AAAAGCTAGGAAAGAAAAGAAGAGAGAACTAATAAATGTTGTTGTTTTACCCTTTTTATGGCTGTGAGCCTTTGTACTCACAAAAAATGGGCAGCTGATGGGAATTGCCTGTAAAGGAAAGCTGTGCTTAACACCCAGAATGATATCCTCTGCAAACAGAAGTATATATGCCTAAATTGTCATTGACAGCTTTGCAGCTCATAACTGCATGTACAGTCATGATAGAATCCACCATTTGTTAGGTGAATTGGTTGTCAGCATAGCAAGGCATGTGCCATCAAGCCTAGGTTTTTGCATGTGGCCTTATTGACAATTGTGATCTAGGAACCATTGTCGACAAGCACTCCTATGGTATGGTCATAGTACAAAATGTCTTTGCAATGAACTGAGGCTGGAGTGAGATGTCAGAATGTGTATTGTAGGTCTGAGCTCCAACAGCTATTTCTGAAATAAAAAGAATGAAAACTCGCCACCATTTAATCCTTGCATTCTTTTGAATATATTGGACATTTGCACCATATGTGGCTCACTAATTCACAGCCCAGACATAGGTCCTCATGTCCATGGCAGTTGAGCTCCACCTCAGAGTGGAGATGTTTGAGGTATAGATATTTTGGCAGCTGGGCTTGACTGGATCTAATGTAATTAATGACATTTATGGCCATCACCACATTCACTTCCATTGCAGTACCCCCACCCAGTGCAGCATTGCAAATGTGTACATATTCCAGCACCCACATGTCCTCCATTGTGATATCTGTCGCATTTGTACTGGAGATAAACAGATACTGGTTAACCTCCTGTGGCATCCTCATGGTGTAATTATAAGCTACCATGGAATGCCCCAGGTCCACACCCATCAACTTGGCCAGCTACCTAAACCTCATGATGAAAAAGTCAAGAGTGGTGGGCAATGCTAGACCCAAAAAGTTGGTCCATCTGATGTATGCATCAAAATGCAAGAGTAACCCTGCATACTCACAGAGAAGATAATCTCCCAGGGGTTCCCAATCTGTCTGCTGTCTGACATTGTCAGGACATCACTGTACATAAGCAGCAATCTTCTCATGTGGCACATGCAGGAGTGCAACACCAATGCACATTATGTTGGGAATGTCGGCTGCATGTGCATACTGTTTGACAAGTCTGAGCCACTTGCCCACATAAACTGCGGTGCCCTTCTTTATCCTCTCTCTAGCACCAGTAGGGAAGCAGTCCCTTAAAATCCATGAGTTTGTGTGTGGAATCCTGTACTGTTCTCCTCATTGTCACCATCATCATAACGCATTCTGGCATTATGTTGAGTGCTGAGGCCATACTTGCCAGGTCGCTCATTGGCATATCGTTTGTACCACCCTCTTTAGGATGACCTGCAGTCAAATTAGATAGATAAAAATGAGTGGTTGGATAGTGACTAATTGTTGTAATTATGTCTTACTTAATGCCTGATAATTGACATTATATAAGTCTCTAAAGTATCCTTATCATTTATTTATGTTTATTATTTTCATTCACTATCTCTTATATAAGTGACAGCTTTCCTCACTCTCTTACTAATATTGTAATAAATCTTATTCGTACTAACTAATGTTATTAAAAATCCACTATAAGGGAGCTTAAAGAGCTCCGCTTATCTATTCGAAACTATCGCCCGTGAAAATAGAAATTGCGATTGTCACGTGATATCGCAATAATTGATGTCACAAATATTCAATATATCTTCTTTTATTTAATACAACTTGCAAAGCTCTGCTTCACTCTACTTTGCTCGTTTTAATACTAATAGCACAGTAATAAACAAGTATAAATAATCGAAATTGTATATGTGAGGTCCCTTAGATCAATGAAAAATTGCTATAAAATGAAAAGGCCATTTTAACATATTATAGCTTGTATTATACTAAATTCTAAAAATTCCTTCTGGGAAGCCTCCTATTGAGACTTCCCTGACTACCCTTTTATAGGCAATGTAAGACTCCTCAAATGCAGTGGCTTGTGGCCTCTCAATTTAGACAAGCTTATACGATGCTTTATCAACATCACAGGTTGTGCCCTGAGTAGTTAGGCTTATTGCCCAGCTTACAGTCTGCCACAGACTTGTTGCCAATCCCTACTTGTCATGCACTGCCACCCCAGCCATCCCCTCTCCTGTACCTGGCGACAATGATCGAATCCTGCCCTTGGCATGCTAAAAGAAGTGTTCCTGCAAGTCTACAACTCTGCATCCCTGTGGGCACAGCCACATCCTATTTTATAGGTATACTTTCGGCTACCAGGCTCACTCTCTTAGTGATATTAGTGGGAGGCCAAGCAGTGCTCCCAGCACAAATCTACAGATGATGAAGTCCCTCATGCTCATACAACACTGAATTTTTCTTAATTTGTATTCTGTCTTTATCTGTGGCTGCCCAATTGAGCACCTCTAGTGTCTCCTTCAGCCACAGTCAGGACATTGTTGTTGTTGTAGCTGGTGCCACTTGGTTTATCGGGTGGCTTTCCATCTGTGAGTCATCCTGTGCTCTGATCACTCCTGTCTTTTTTGGAAGGATCTGTCTGTGGCTGCATGCCCAGAACTACTTGGGTGAGATCCTAGTTTCAGCAACCACCATTCATTTACCTGGCACTGTGCAGCCGTTGCAGCCTGATTTTCAGCCTTGTTGCCCTCATCTCCCCAGTGAGTGAGTATTTGCTGCAGTTGCAATTGCTTCTCTCTTGCCCATATCCCCTCCATGAAATTGCAGGCCAGGTATGACATCAATTACTACAATGTCACGTGCCACTTGCGATTTCTATTTTCACTGTTGATAGCTTTGAACTGATAAGCGGAGCTTTTCAAGCTCTGCTTATAGTGGATTTTTTGAAATAAATATATTTAGTAGTATTAAGTTCTATTACAGCAAGCCTACATGCATTCCATTGAGGACATTGAGATGTCTTCAGCTTTTGCATCCAGAAAATGATTACTTCAGGCCACCAGCACAAGTGAACTTGTCATTCCAATAGCTCAAGGGAATATCATATTGTGGTTATCACATCTGCCATCATCTGCATGTATGTGGAGTTGTCGTCATCATATATTATGATATAACATATTAATTAAACAAACTAAAAAAAGCTATAAGCTGAACAGCCTCCACTGTTTATATTCGCTGGTATTTATATTACTCATAACACTATTCCCACATGCTCAAGTAGGGATTTGACTGGCGATTCATCAATGGCTCAATCACTGGGGACAAGCCAGATTAAATTGTATCACACCATACATCCAAGCCAGCTCTACCCCTGTAATAAGGAATTTTGCTGGTTATAATAAATATTAATATGAATAAGACTACGAGAAGAGCTAAAGAGCTCACTATCCGGAATTCGCTGTATGCGTGAAATATCATAAACATATTTCACGCGTACAACGAATTCTGAATAGTGAGCTCCTCAGCTCTTCTCGTAGTCTCATTTCTATTAACATATATTATAACCAGCTCAATTCCTCATTACAAATAGAGCCCATGATGAGAAAGGTGCCACAGTAGATAACCAATCTCAATCATTAAGTTTAGTTCATTTTTTACTTGTTTTATATTTTGCACAATATATCTATTTTCTCTATATGCCATCTTGGCAATGCTGTCGATGTGTTATGCCAGAATTCCCACTGCCATATTCCACCAGCTGCAGCGGCGGCTTCCTTGCCAGTACTTGGGCATTTTCTTTGCCAGCTCTGGACATACAAGCATATTTCCTCGAAACTCTATCTGCCCTGATGCCAGCTGCTTGAGGTGGTTTGCAAGGTGGTTGGTTCCAATACACCCTAATACATTACTCAAGTGCACTATCAAGTTGATGCCTCATCGCTCTATCATTGACTGCAGCCATGCCATGCAGTCACTTGCTTCCCCAAACAGGAATGCCGATGGCATCATCGATGCTACTCTAAACTTGCGTTTGACCATCTGCAGCAGTGGTGAATGAATTGAAATAATCTCGTTGCTGGTCAGTAGTACTCCCTGCACACCACCATCAAGGTCAATGAAGTTTAATCTTAAGTAAGGGCAAACATGATGCCAGAGTAGGGCTAGGTCACAAAGGTGAATGTTGATTTATCCATAATCTTGACCCATCGGCCTGTTATTTAAAATATTTTGCTACAAATGGGCTCATCAGTGTTGCTAGTTGTGAATACCAGTATACAAAGGCAACGTAAAACAATGAACCAATTTTAACGACGCCGACGTTTAAAAGGACAGTTGATATTGGTTTTGAAAAGGGGATAATGGCACCAATAGTCAATCCTGCTACTTAACAAAATTAGGGTTGAATTAGTGTCCAAATAGATCCATCAAATCAGGCGTATTATAATCTGTTTCAATTTAAATGGCAGCGCATATTCGTATCTAACACATGGCTATAAGTATATATCTAAAAACTCCAATGGGGTAACTGGTTAATATAGATGTTCGAGTATTTCGGGTAATACTGTTTATTTTGTTGCTCCCACGCTCTCGCGTGTGCTGAATGCAAGTAGCGTAACTGTCATTTATGTGTATAACGTGTGGGAATGACAGCTCCGATTTGCAATGATTATTACTGCTTTTATATTGTTTTCTTGTATTTGCGCACAGGTAAATCAATATTCTTGGTAGGGTTTTACTATAGTATCCATTTTACTAGCCATAGGGACATCATTTTATTGTTCAGCTGTTAAATTTTTTTTTGCAAAACCCATGTTGCCTTCCAGTTATAACTGCGACAACTATCGTAGTTGGTGCATGATTCAGCAGATATGTTTGGTTATTCCAACAAATAAACGCACATAAAACAAACATATATTTCTGTTAATAACTACTTGCCTCGTCATATGTTTTGAATATGTAATGGTTAACTTTATTCATTTTGCGGTTCTTGGATATGCGCATATTTCAAATGGCTATACATAAGTTTGTTTATATTGCGGCCAGTTGCCATCTTTGTAAGCTTTAAACCAATTTCTTTCAACAACACTTTTTCGCCCAATACACTTGCATTGCTATTATCGTATTTGTTAAACATATTTGGCCAACACCCTATTATTAATATATTTACTTATTTATTCAAGAGATACTAGCAACCATGTTTGCTGTTATGTTTTTAGCCATTGCTCTCGAGCTCATTGCATCAATGGGGTCGTTCGGCGCGCTGGTAGCACAAAACATGTACACCAACAGTGCTGCTGGCTGGTATGTGAGGCTGGACTGGACAGCCGTTTACTCTTACGCAGTCACAGTACTCAGCATCATCGCTAGCTTTAGCTTTACCGTCGGCGCAATTGTTCGAAATGCCTCTGGCAACAAGCGCACCTGTGCAGCCTGGTTCAACCAGTTTGCCATCTTCCTTCTGAGCTTTGTAATGTCAGTGCTGTGGGTCGTCATTGCCGGCTTTGCTTACCGCAACCCTCTTCCCATGCGGTATCCCTGTAACATATTTCAGCATTTGCGTGGAAGCCTTGAAATGTTGGGGCTGGCATCAGGAAAATCTCTAGTTGAAGAAGGCGGGCTGCTTGTCGGCATATGCCAATCAAGCAAGGCGTTCTTAGTACTGGCTGGAATTGGACTTGGTCTATGGATACTGATTCTTGTGCTTTCATGTGTGGCGATGGTCACTGGTCTGGAGCCGCCCAAGAAAAAAGCATCTTCACATGTATATAACTATTCGTCGCACAAGCATGGTCATGCACACTCACATGGTCCCGCAAACTCGTCTCAGAATTCGGCTAGTCACCACCACCATGCCGACTTGGCAGTCTGCAATGAGGAGCAGTGCTTGCCAGCAAATGCTCAAGCACAGCAACCAGCATATCCACCTGCTGCAGCGGCACCCCACAATGGTCGACAGGACTTACCAGTGTCGCGCAACCCTCGTGGACAGCCAAGACCAATTAACTGGCGAGCTACTAATATATGCAATGTCCCCAATTGTCGGCTGCCCAACTGCAGACAGAAGTCACCGCCCCTCACGCGTGCACACACACATCACAGACACAGACACAGTGACACCAGTAATATTGCCAAGACCCCTTCTCTTCCATTAGTCTTGCCACCCAGACAAATTGCAGAAGTTGATAGAAGCATCATCTACACAGGAAAAAAGGTGGTTATTGCCAACTCTGCAAGCGTAGATGCATTTGCGGCAGACGGATATAACCAGGATATTTTGCCACGGGGGATACCAACAAACACCAACATTGGCCAGACCAAGAGTCAGCGCTTGCACCAGCATGGTAGCCAACAAATTGACGACGAAGATGATAGTGTCAATGGCGAAAATGAGGCAGAAGTTCAAAACAACCAATTCGTTCACAGCCACAGCCATAGCCACACCGATGCATTGGGTCATGGTGAAACAGGACGCGCAAGCTCGCACTATGACGACGATGACGGTGAGTACACTGGCGAATATGCAGACCATCATCAGAACAGGCAGCATGTCCATCATCACCACCACCCTTCACAGCACAGTGAAGCCAGATTTCGCCACACTCACAAAACTCACGCAGACAACGGCTGCGTCAGTTGTTTGTGCGTGATAACGAGGCTCAGCATTAGGCCCACATGCCATTTTTTAGTTACAGCTCATTGACTGGGTTGTCATATATATAGTATAATATAATACCTTAATAAATCTACTTGCTGGTATTAATAAAGCGCCAGTAATTTCAAATATATTTGAATTAATTAATTATTTGCTCTTCATATTTCAAAACATTTCGATTATTGTGGCCGCATATTGTTATGTTATGTAATGTTTAGTTGATGGTCAGTCGGTCGGCTGGTTGGTTTGTTGAATGAAAAAAGGTAAACACATCGGTATAGAAATTTAATTCGACTGAAAAGTAAAGAAAAAACAACAAATAATAGATCAAACAAAGAGTTAAAAAAAGTTCCTGACAACGGCGAAAGTGAAATTGGCCAGTTCGGGTTCTTAGTTTTGCGCGACTTGCTTGATTGCTCGAGTCTAGCTCGCTTGATCCATGCGGTGCGATCGCAAGCGCTGCGGGGGTCCTGTCGCACACCTTACTTGTTCGAAATCACCAGCTGGAGGAACTATATCGATGCAAGAAAAGTAAAAAGATGGAAGTAGACGTTCACAAGTGTTGTCACATAAAGCCAACAACGGTATTGAAGAACTATTCCGTTGGGAACTGTAATTAGCTTTGCGTACAACCAATTAAAATATCAAGAACAAGAATAAATAAAACAAAAACAGAAGCGTGTATCATAGTAGTATTTTTGTGTAACTTACAGTGTCGTAGCTCATGTTAACCCATCCGTCCTGGTCAGTATCATGGCGACGGAACGTATCAGTCAGCGAGCGGATAGTGACACAGGCGTTAATAAAGTTGTCGAAGGTGATAGCACCACGACCTGCATTTGCCCCTTTGACACGACCAGCTAATGTTGTTAGTACAAATCGAACAAGCAGCGAATGTAATAAACACGAAGAGAAACACGCACACGGGGAGGGTTATAGCAGCAACAGCAGCAAAAAACAAGAAGAATGATGGTCAGAATATTGAAATAAGAAGTATGTGTTTTTAGATGATTATAATACAAATTTAGAGATGATTCAGAGGTGCTTATATATGTTGACATGGTTAGTAGCAAAGTTAATAAGATTAGAAATAAACATATGATCACTTACCGAAATATCACAAAATTTGTGCGCGCGGAGAAAGAGAGTGTATGTTGCGTGGAAATATGTCGACGTGAATCGCAATTGCGTAGCCAAGCGTGTTGTTGGTATTGTTTGTTGGTATTGTTGTTGTTGCAAGCCGAGGGGTTTGGTTTGATTGGTTGCGACGGGATCAAGTTCCAAGCGAAAAAGAGATGCCAAAGTTCGGTCCAGACGAATTAAAATCATGAATGAGCAAATCCAACAAGAAATAATCATCGACAATGTTCCAGAGAGAGGAAGGCAGAGAGATGCTTGAATAAAGATGCACAGATACAGTTGGTAAAAAAAAGTACAAATTGGATGAGGAAAATAATGTATCTGACGGGGGAGATTTCATAGATTCATTTTCAGAGTTTCATTTTGCAGACAATTTTGCAGTGACTTAGATTGTGCTTGTACAGCACACATCGCAGCATTGCGTGGTGACTAGTGCCAAATCTTACCTTGAATATCGTACTTGCGAACCAGCGAGTCGACGACCTGGGGGGACACGCGGAAGCCGAATGCGTTCAAAGCCTGGAGCAGCTCCGCGCGGTCGATGGTGCCCGAGTTGTCACGATCAAAGGCACGGAAGCATTCCTTCCAGTCGTTGATGTAGGACCAGAGTCCAATGAACTCCTGGAAGCTGATGGTACCGCTGCGATCACGGTCGAACATGCCGATCATCAGACGGACAGTGTCCATGCTGAACTGGCTCCAGTCGCCTGCGATACAAAAAGGCATGATGTGAAACAAAGAGATTGTGTGAGTGTGGGGCAGTCATAACAATAGAGTGCGGGCGCAGAGAAATAGTGTATTTATTAGCTTACCATTAACTAGAGCGCGTTGCAGCTCGCCGGCATCCAGCTGACCGCTGGCATCACTACAGAATCAATTAAAAATGCATGGTGCATGGCGCGTCAAGTGGCACGACGTTTCATGAGGAGACGTCGAAAAGAAAATTTAGTCTTTCGAGTGAACGAATTTTGCCAAAAAAGAAAACCAAATTATGTGTGGGGCACTGCGAGCTATGCGTGCATCACATCACATCGGGCAGACGTGTTTTGATACTATACCTGTCAACGGCGCGGAACCAATACTGGAGCTGGTCCGTGTTCGGGGCTATAAAACGGAAGAATTCAAATGGAACGATTAGTAGAGCCATCGCACAAAACAAAACAACGCAAATTCTAATAAAGGGCATTTCGAAAAGGGAAAAACGGGACATGTATGCCAATTAGAGGTGCGTTATGCCTAATACGTACGCTGAGCACCCGGGCGTTGCTGCTGCTGTTGCTGCTGCTGCTGCTGCTGGCCACCATAGCCGCCCTGCTGCTGCTGAGGAGGAGGTCCGCCGCGATAACCGTAAGACATTGCTAAGAATTAAAGTGAAATTTACAAGTGGCTGTAAGAGAGAAAAAGTTTTGTAGAGACAAAAAAGATTATAGCGTAAAAAATTAGTTGGGCAAAAAATAGAAATAGAAGAAAAGAAAGAATTGAAGTCATCGCAATAGGGGCGGCGTATTTAAGGGTTTTGGGGTTGCCTTTCCTTTCTGATGCCACCTCTCACGCGCCGGTCAGGCCAGCACATGGGCGAACACAGCGTCCTTGGCAAACATCACAGTTTCCCTGCGGAATATACGCCGCTGCCCGATGCTTTTGTAAAATAAAAAATAAAAAGCACTGTTGTCCCCGCTTTCTGCCAGTGACCCTGCCCCACCCTTACCCGGCAGGGATGGATGGCCGCGAGCTCAAGCTTATGCTTGGGCCTGAGCCTGGGCCTGGGCTTGGTACACTTCTGAAGTTTGGCCTTGGCTCTGGCTTGGGCGACTGAGTGTGCGCAGCCTGATTTCGCTGTTCATTTTGCAAAGGACACGTCAAAAGAACAAAGAATGGCATAAACAATAGAACAGGTTGAAAGAAAAAGAACAAAAGAACGTTGGTTTGGAAAGCTGCGGGCGCTCAATAAAGTGCAGACGGACGGAAAAAGAGAAGGGCATGGGCGCTATGCATACGAGCGCGCTGGCGGCCGCTGGTGCTGCTGGCTGGCGCCGCCGAGGATCGCAGCTGTGTCAGCGCCCTGGGGGGAGCCGCTGGGCAGCCTGCCGCTGTTCACGCACAAGTCAAAGTACTGGTTGGGGCTGGTGATGGCGTTGATGGCACTAACGGCAGTGGTGGCATTCAGTTCGGCGCCGGGGTCGGCGTCGGCAGAGCCCTGCTGTTGATTCTGGCGGCGCTGCAGCCTGGCCTCCAGGTGGCGCGTGCAGGCGACCTGATAGTGGCCGGCGGCGGCAAGATCAGCGACCTCGCGCACCTCGGCATCGGCCAGGCGGTCGTGGTGCAGCGCGGCGCGCAGGCGCTCGGGCGCAAAGTGGCGGAAGGGGCAGCCGTGATGGTCGCCTGGGCCTGGCGGATTGCTCATGATGATGCGATGGCACGAGTAGGGCGTGTAGTCGGCGCGCTTGCCCTCCATGCCGTAGTTGTGGCGAATGTTGTACGCATAGCCCTTCTGGAATGGTCGTCGGTCATCGCGCCAAAGGCCCGGCGCCAGTACACCAGCGCCTCCTGCAGGCTCAGACCGATGCCCTTGAGGAACAGGCCGAACTGCATGCGGCCGCCGTGCGCAGGTGGCGGTCCCTCAGAAGCTGGCCCTGCAGGTGCTGCATGCACAGCGGGAAGTTGGCGGCGAGGCTGTCGGCGCTGTCGGCCGTCACGGCACCGCGGCAGCCGTCGACTGGTACTCGGACCGCGCGGTCTGGTTACTGAGGTTCTGCAGCACCGGCAGCAGCCGCTCGTCCTCGCCCATCTGCGGCAGTGCCTTGGCGCACACGGCCAGTGCGCGCGCCAGGCCCAGGCGGAACTCGTGCAGCAGCAGCGTGGCCACCTCACTCTGCGGCACATAGGCCTTGCCCGCGCGCACCACGACCTGTAGCCGCGACACCAGGTCGAAGACGCGCTCAAAGTCCACCTCAAACAGCTGCTCCTGCGCCGCATAAAAGGCGGCCGCGTCGCCCAGCCTGTCGTCGCGAGCGGCTGGCGATAGGGGATCAGCCTCAGCCTCGCGGCTGCCAGCAGTTCCTGCTTCTCGGCGCTATCGGCCTCGCGGAACCGGTGCTTGAGCAGCGCGCACTCGTAGCGCAGGAACCACGCGCGCAGCTCCTCAGTGCGGCTGAACGCCAGCCGCAGATGAAGTGTGAGACATGGTCCTTGCGCCGCTCGTTCAGCAGCTGCCGCGGCGCCAGCTTGGACCGGTTGGTGTGTGTGGGTAAGTGCTTCTCCAGCGCCTCGTTGACGCGCTTGCGCATGTCGTCCTCGCCCTTGGCCCGCAGCTGCGCGTCCTCAATCGCCCTCAGCACCTGTAGCCGGTCAGCGCAAACGTCTCGAACTCCTCGATGCTGACCTCAAGGTCCGGCGCGTCGCTGTAGACTGTCAGCCGCGATGGGTACCGTGAGCGCCGTACAACTTCGGGCGCGGCTGCGGTGTCGCCGAGCAGCGGTTCTCTCTTGGGTGCGCGCTGGTTGAACATGGCCTAGCGTTGAATTTGGGGCGATGGGGAGGGGGAGGAGGTATGCAAAAATAATTTAAGATTGGCGAGTACGCATTCAAAGCTTCAAAAGGAAAAAAAAGACGCGATCACCTTGGAGGGACCATCCTTGAAAACCAAGCAACTGTTTTTTTGTGCCGCGGCTGTTTTCCAGTGCTTGAATGCTTTCGATGCTTGCAGTCTCATTGTTTTCTTCAATTCAGCAGTTAAAGAAAACAAAATCACAGAAATCACAAAAATCAATCCTTATTTTTTTCGCTTGCGGCGCGCGACACGAAAAAGCCACGTCTAGCGCGAGCCCCACAGACTGCCGATGATCGACCCCAGCTTGCTGCTGTTTCCGCCGCCCTGCTTGCCGGCACGTGCGCTGATTGCGTCCATGTCAAAGTCGATTGCGGTGCCGCGAGGTCGTAGAACAGCGGCTTGACGGGCACAGGCGCAAATGCACCTCGTGCAGGTCAACGAGTCTCGGCACCAGTGCGGATTTGGCCACCCCCCCTCCTCCGCTGGAGCTGCACAGCACAGACTCGCTTGGCACCATGGCCGGGCGCGAGCTGGGGTCCGTGTGCCAGTCCTTTGACGCTGGCTTGGTGCTTTCGGCGGCAGTGCATAGCCTGTGCACAACGGGGATGGCCGACTTGACGCTGGCCTCGATCTGCGAAATGTCACTGTTCGAAACAGATACCAGGTGGGCCCACAGGCTGTCTGCCGCGAGCAAACTTGGCTGCGGTGCAACCTGCTTCGATTCCGCAGAGGCAACAAGGGCTGCCGCGCGCGGAAGCGTCTCAGTCTGCGCCGCATCTAGCAGCGCGAGCGAGGCCAGGTATCGGCGGTGCCGGGGCTGCGCATGCAGCGCCGCAGAATAATAGCCGCGGAGGCAGTCGTAGTACGCCTCAGTGACTGCGATCTCTTCGGCAATCTGATGTCCGCGGATGGCGCGGCTCATGCCCGGGGACATCTTGGCCAAAACGCTGGCGCTCGCGCTTCTCAGCTGCGAAATGCTCTTGCGTGCCATGTCGTACAGGACAACCGTCCGCGTCAACTCGGGCAGCCGGCTAACCGACACACGCTTGGCGCCGCTTTTGCCCATTGCCAGCGCATCAGGGCTAGCGCTGGCGCTGCTGCCAAGCCACGAGCTGCCGCCGCCGCTGCCAGAAAAGGCCAAGGATGAGCCTGAGCTTCCCGGAGCAAAGCCGAGCTTTGCAGCAATTGTCTCTGCCTGGCCGACGTACTTGACAGCCGCAATCGCATGTAAAACACAGATGCTGTAGAGCTGGATGGCAAGGTACGCCGATGTCAGGACTTCCGACGCGGCTGAGGCAACCTTTGACGACGATGCGATTTCCTCGACGTAGCAGCTATGCGAAGCCTTTTTAACCTTGTTGAACGCAGCAACTGCATCCGCTGTGGTTGAGCTGGAGCAGTCATCCGAACGCGCCCATCACTGCCAACAGCAGCCTGAAGCGCCGCCTGCGCGGCCTCGAGCAGAGCTGACAGGCCGGCGTTGGCAAAGGCAATTTTGCCGCCGCGCCACTCGAGCTGATTGGCAAACGCATGGTCCTGAAGACCCGCTGCCGCCGCCGACCTATCGCTGTCGCTGTTGCTGTCTCTGGCGCTCAAAGTGAGGTCCTCGAGAGTCTCGGCCAGTTTGCCGTAACCCGCGATCGTACGCTCAGTGCGGCTGGGGTCTCCTTGATTTTGGAGGTGTACCACGCAGTGGTGATTTCCTCCGGCTGCAATTGCTGCGCACCGCTTACGCGAGCCTGGTAGGCAGCAAGGCGGACAATCGGATCCTGCGTCTCAATCATCGCGTGTGCAAGCGCATACTGGCGCGAGCTGCCGGTCAGCGCCAGGTGTTGCCAACCACGCGAGAAAGCACAGCACAATCAAGAGCCGCCTCCCATTCTCCAAGCTCAAAGTGCATTTGGCCCTGGATCTGCAGCCAGTACGCGTATGCCGCAAGCGAGGTGCGCCTGTCACAAATGCTGGCCGCAACCGTAGCTAGTTGGCTTCCGGCCTTGCACGCAGCCTTCAGACGGCGGATCAGGTGGTAGCGCTGACGAGGCTCTTCTGTGCGCGAAAACAGCTCACGAAGGTCCATGGCATACGCCCACGCGCGCTCCGCCTCAAGCACCAGTATTTCGATATGTGCGGGCTTTGTGGCTTCCTCCGCAGTGACTTCCTTCTTGCGATAAACTGTAGACGTGCCCTGCATCATTTTAACCGACTTGCGCACGGTGCGCAGGTGGTGGGCACAGTAGCGGCGGTACCGTGAGTAGTCCTGCGCGCGCAGGCCGTATGTCTGTCGCGAATCGTGGACATAGCCGAAAATATCGAATTCGATTGCTGCTTGCGCCATCTCTGTAATCCAGATGCTTTGGTAAAGGAAAAATACCAACTTGCTAAAAATAAATATATGAAAGTAAAGCAAGGTAAACAAAAGAGTAAGAATTAGAATGAGAATCACGGAAGGCGTACACGGCGGCAAATTTTCATCTTTTTTTAGCATTACGCTGCAAGCAAAAAAGTGAACATTTTAAAAGCGCGTAATCGACTTTCACGCATATTCGTGTTTGATTGGCTGGCATATTTGCTTCTATTTTTGCGCGTACTCTTTGGCTCACTGAAGCATGCTTGTGCAATGACGTAGAACCATTTGAAGCTGGCCAAGGCCCACAGAGGCGCTCTTCATGCTCCAATGTCAAATGTTCAAGTCCAATACTCAATAATTTGGGTGTTTTGTACTGCAGCGCTACTAAATACAAGTGATAGCGCGAGAAAAAACGAAAAAATTATGTTGTGTACTGCGAAGAGCTTAGTTATTGGTGGGCGTGTACTGCATATAAAATGCATTTTAACCTTCTTTTATTGCGAATAACTCTAGTATTGCCAATTTTACACGCTCTTACTGCATGTGAAACTTGCGGACAAAAAAAAAAAAAAACTAGCCCTGCTGCTGCTACTACGGCGGCGGCACAGTTGGCCCTGTGCAAACACTCTTTTCCAAAGGAGCAAAACTAATGTTGCATTTGTAATTCTCAAATGCAAACATCCGCGTATAAAAGCAGCATGGCTCGCCGCACAATACCACAGATACAAGCATCCAAAACATCTTCTAGCTATCCAGTCATTAGCTTTTCATCTACAGCTCCCAAACACACCCAAGCATATATTATTTCCATACTATCTGACAACAATGAAGTTCATTGCTACCATTGCCGCTACCATCCTCGCCGCGACGTCTGCCGTTTCTGCCCAGGCCAACTCTCCTCCCATGGGCGGTGCGTCTCCTCAGGGCGGCAACATGGGCCCTATGATGGGCGCTGATGCCAATGCCTCCCCTCAGGGTGGCAACATGGGCCCTATGATGGGCGCTGAGGGCTCCACTCATGCCGAGGCATTCAACGGCGCAGAGTCCGCTGGCGGCCCCGCCGGTGCTCGCGGCAAGAGCATGTGGGCCTACCCCAATTACAGCGCATACACCGGCTATTCTCCATACAGCGGCTATGGTGGCTACGGCGGCTATGGCGGCTATGGCGGCTACGGCGGCTATGGTGGCTACGGCGGCTACGGCAACTATGGCGGTTACGGTGGCTACAGGGTACGGCAACTACGGCACCTACCCACGCAACAGATACGCTGGCAGCTACTGGTAATTTCGAGTACTCTCGACTCGCCGTTTATCTGTAACCAGTGAGCACAGTAGCTAGCCGCTGGATGCGCCTGGATCGCTACAGTAGCTTGGAGTTAACCAAACACATGCTTTTTATTCTTTTTAATCTTTTCACGCGTGCTTGTTATTTCGGGCACATTATTATTAAGCGCGATGGTTTCTTTTTTCGGGGCGATTTTGTTTTTATCCCGGCAAAAGATCCAATCAGCGTTTGTTTAAATTTAACACCAATATATACATATGCATATACACAATGTCACAATACAAAACAAAGCCAAATATCAATAGTTATTTTATACAAGTTGTAATTTTCCACATTATTGTTTTTTAATTTTGCCAATGATTTGGGGTTGCAAAAAAATCCAATGTGGCACTGTCTACGTATAAAAGTATATATAAGGTTGAGAAAGATATATGAAATAAAAATGTCCAATTGCTGTGCTCAGAAGCCATTCTTCTTCTGCTTGGTAATATGTCTGCGCAGGTCGTGGCGCTTGTGCACCATGCTTCGCCTGCCCTTGGAGACAATGGCGCGCTTGTGAGACACCATCGCAAAACTCTTCGTCTTGCGCTTCTCCTTGTTCGACAGACTGCGGCCCTCCTTCTCGCGCTTGGCCTTCTTGCTCCCAAACTTGTCACGGCCCTCGCGGCTAGCGTTGGCGGCGTCGACGCGCTCCTCGTACGAGGCCTTTCTGCGGCGGCGGCGAGTGTGGTAGTCACCCAGAATATCCCAGTCTTCAACGTAGTCCTTGTTCTCATCGTCGTCCTCGCCCGACGAAGAGTCGTCGCTGACATTGTCAATATCCATGAGATCCTCTTCCTCAGAGTATTCGTCGTCGGCAACATTCTTCTTCGCCTTCTTGGACTGGGCCTGCTTCAGCTGGCCGTCTCTCTGGCGCTTCTTGAGGCGGTCAATCCGGTCAAAGTCTTCGTTGGTTAGGAATCTGATCATGTCGATACGCTTCTTCTCAGTCGCCTGCACAGGCTCTGTCTCAACAGCCGGTCCATCTTCGACCTCGCTGTCAGACCCCTCGACATCGTCGTCGTCGTCCTGATCCTCAGAGCCAGATCCAGAGTCAGATGCAAGTTCAATGTCTTCCTCCTCCTCCTCGTCATCCTCATCCTCATCCTCATCATCGTCCTCATCGGATGAGGCTCCAAGCTCAATAATGTGCCCGCAGCACCGCCCGCCTCGGCTTCATCCTCGCTATCATTGGCCTCCACCCACGCTGACTCAGAATCGTTGCCAGCATCGCTGCCCTGGTCGCTGTCAACCTCCCACTGGTCCCACCCATCGCCAGGCGCTGATGCATTCCTCTGCTCGTACATCTCGAGGAGCTCAATGCCCTCGACGCCCTCAGCGACGCGCGACTCACCGTAGCCGAGAAGCTCCTTTCCAGAAGTGCCATTGCTGATGTTTACTGTCGCATCGCGTCCGCGGTCGCGACGGTGCAGCATCTCGGGGTTGACCTCGCGGTACAAGGCAAGCAGACTGCGGGCTGCCATCATCACACCCTTGTCCTTGTGTTTACGGTACATAATCAAGTCGTTGAGCAGATCAGGGTCAACTGCCAGCGGCTGGCGGAATGCATTGCGCGGATTGTGTTGAGACCAGCACACATTACCTCGGGTGAGCAATGATCCGAGACAAAGTTGTCGGCGATTGCGCGGATAAGCGGCTGCAGAATGTCGGGCGGGGTGAATGCGTTTGTAGCGGTGGCCAGGATGGCCAGGATTTGGGTCACCTCGGCCTGGTGCGGCTGTAAGTACCGCTGGAAGAACGGATAGAACGCCATGAGCTGCAGCTGGTGGTGGCCAATCAGACGCGAAACGAGCTTGAGCATGACCAGGCGCACTTCAAAGCGGTCGACTGTGCTGCCACCACGCTTGGTTGCATTCGCTGCGCTGTTGACCCGCGAAAACAGCCTCTCAACAAAGGTCTGGGGGTCGTGGATCAAGCTGAGAACGTCAAAGTTTGAAGTGTCTGGAATATCACTCTTATTCTTCTTGCGCTTAGCCGCGGCGCTCTCCTCGTCGACATCGTCATCAACCAACTGGCCGTCCTTCTTGGCCTGTGTGCGCTTCTGAATGCGCGTCGCGCGCTCGAGAACGCGCTTGCGGTACTTGGTCTTTCGGTTGATGTTCACTTGATGCTGCACCAGCCTAAAGTTGATGGTCTTTTTCTTTGTCGAGTTGCCATCGTCATCTTCTGCCTCAGATCCGATCCGTCCTCGTCATTGCTGCGCTTCTGAGGGTGCAGGAAAAATTGCACGGCGGTCATCATGACCTTGGTAATGGGCGAGAAGCAAGCTTGAGAAATAACGTTTACAGCTTTGGCATCAGTCCAAATGTTTTTGCGGTACAGATCAATGCACACGTCCAGACTCTTCTTGGCTGCAAGGGCACCCTCTCCGTGCTTGTCCTGGGCTCGGCAGCGGTGATCATCGTGTACATGAAGCCCTGGAGAGCCTTGTTAAGCTTGTGGTTGCGGTTCCGACCCTTGTTGGCGTTCTTGACATCGTTAACGATGTGGGTGTACAGAAGCTTGCGCAGGGCCTTGTCGTGGCACCGGAACAGCGTAAAGAACAGCGGCATCACTCGCAGATTGGATACGACGCCACGGCTACGCAGCAGAATGAGCGCCTGGACGATCGACTTGCGCAAATCGGCATTTAGCACCGGGTAGTGCTTCTGAACCAGGTTTATCAGCTGGGAGGGGAACCGCGCGCTCTGTTTCGGGTAGCATTTGGCGACCTGCGACAAAAAGGTAATCAGATCGCTGAAGTCCTTTGCCTCCTCGTCAGGCTTGAGCTCGAAAATGGCAAGCGATGCCTCAAAGTGGTGCAGCTGTTGGTTGAACTCATCCTGGTAAGACTGAGGATCACGCTTGATCAGGTTCTGCAGCTGGGGCAGGTTGCTGAGAAGGCTGGCCGATTTGTTTTTGCGACCCATGGTAACTGGCTGGCTGACTGAGTGACTGACTATGCGTGGTTCTAGATGGCCTTAATACAAGAAAAAGAAAAAGGGTGTATGCGCTTGTATGAAAAGGGAAAATATAAATATAAATATGAATGTATAGTAAGCGCTAATATCAACCAGGTCAAGACAAAAGTGAAGCAAGGCTGAGCGAAGAATCGCTGCATGAGTGCTTTGCAATGTTATACACAGCGATTTTTTTCATACTTTTTTTTCGTACTTTTTTTTCCCCTTTCCATTCATTTGGAAAAATACTAAATTTTCATCAAATAATCAGACTAAATCATCAGAATTAAGATCACCAATTGGGCCATACACATCCACACACGCACGTATGCACAAATAAAAACAAACAGGTAAATGGTAAATAAAATTGGTGGTCCTTCCTTTAGCGGATGTAAGATGGCCTTGTCACATCCAGGATACTCTGCACAGCGGATCCAGAGCCATGGGACGAGCTGCTGGATGCCGATGACAACGTTGACGCGGCTGTATCGCCCTTGCCCGATCGGATAGACTTTCCGCGAGACTCAAAGATGCGCCAGAACTTGAGGCTCTCATCGCTGGCGGCGGTGGCAACGGTTTGGCCGTCGGGTGAGATGGCCGTGTGCAGCACGCGCGTGTCATGTGCGGGGATATCGACAATCTTGGTAAGCGAAGGGTAGCTCCACAGCGCCAAATGGTTGTGTGGGAAACCGTGCGACGTAACCAGCTCGCGGTACTCGCTTGACCACTGGATCGAGGTGACCTGAGAGCCGGTGTCAATCGAGTTGAGCCGCGCAGTGGTGGTGGTATTCCAAAAGTGCACATGGCGGTCGTAGGAGCCACCACCGCTGGCAAGCAGGTTTAGCTGCCAGGGGCTCCAGGCAAGGGCCTTCACGGCGGCGGTGTGCTGGGTCTTAGTGAACTTTGGAACGGTCGAGCGCGCGTCCCAGATATTAACCAGGTTGTCGTTGCCGCCGCTCGCAAGAAGAGCACCGTCTGCACGCCACGTGAGGCCACAGACTTCGCCGCTGTGGGCAACCAGCTCGGCAGTTTTGTGAGCAGCGACACGCACGTCATGATTCCAGATCGAGCCGTCGCGGCAGCCCGAGGAAAGCATGTGCTTCTCCCAGGAAATGACGCCCACTCGAGCCTGATGCCCCGACATGGTTCGGATTCTGTTTTGCGACTCGGCATCCCAGATCTGAACGTCGCCGTCGCTGGTGCCCACCGCGAGGTATGTGCCGTCGGCAGTCCATTTGACGCTGGAAATATATGCGTCGCCCTCGAGCTGGCACAGACTGTTGACATCGCCAGTGCTGGCGTCCCACAAGTAGACGCTCTGGTCCAGCCCGATAGCCAGCATATTGCCCATCGACCAGTCCAGCAGGTTAAGTAGTAGTCATCAACAAGCCCCGGGGCATCCAGCACGCGCTCGGGGGTGTTGAGGATGCGGCGCTTGGTTCCTGTTGATGCGCCTGCTTTCAAAGCTGGCCGGCTATAGACCTGGCGAAGGTCGTCCTTTTCACTAGTGGGCGCCTCCTCCCTAAACTTTAAAATGCGCTTGTTTATCGAGACACCGCACGCGCGCGCAATCTCCTCTTGGTAGGCAATTGTGGCGCTGTCAAGCGGCTGGTCGCTGTCGGACCGCGCAATGTTGAACTGTGAGGACGCCATGTCCATGGCGCTGCGGTTGGGGATGAACCGGTCATACTGCGAGGCCTTGGCCTTCTTTTGCCGGGGAGACGGCGGCCCAGAAGTCCGGGCAGACATGCCGTTGATATCACTGCCCCCGATGCTCAGCTTGCTCATCGGGTGGGGCGACGGGTTGATTGGCGGTCGTCTTTGAGATTCCTGCTAGGAGCCTTTGACTGGTGTGGGGTTTGCGAGCCCATGGTGGGCTTTGCTGCGAAGTCAGCCATGAGTGCTTCCAAAAAGTTGTTTTGCTTGTATTGTGTTTACGCTTACCGTAGCCCAGCGTTGTTTATACGGAAGCTGTGTGGAGTGACTGAATAAGTATGAGTATTGATAAGGCAAAATTCAAGTGGAAAACTGACAAAATGCCTTGCTCGAGCGTGTTTCAACAATGAGTATATTGTTGGTTGTGAATTAATTGTAAAGGTAAATTCAAACAAAATAGAAGGAAAAGAACAAGAAATTATTTTTGTATTCGAGTCCAGCGAGCTGGGCTGCTTTCAAAGAGCGCTTTTATTCTGGGAATCTTGATTGGCTGGCTATGCTTACATTTTTTGGCTTTGTTGGCGCTAAACGCGAACAATACGCGTTTTTTTGTTATGCAAAAAAAGTCAGGGGTATTCACGTGAATTTTCCCACTCCCCTCAGTGTAAAATGAAAAATTACATAATCGTAAAAAGCCGCGTGGGCTGGCGCGAACCCGAAGTATATATCAATTCTGGCCTTAATTGCATTCCTTTCCATTTCTACAGGTGACCTATTTGATTATTGGAAAATTCAGTCTGCTTTCTTGTTCAAGTACTTCTACAAGCAGCCTGCCCCACGTATGATGGAGGAGACACCAAACAAGCCCGATGAGACGCCGCGCGACTACAAGATAATGGCGCTGCTGCTCCAGTCGCACGGGATTGAGGACTGCGACCCGAGCGTCATCAACCAGCTGCTCGAGTTCTCGCATCGGTACACTGTCGATGTGCTGCAAGACGCGCTCGTGTACGCCGAACACGCAAAGAATCCGATATCGATCTGGAGGATGTTCGTCTCGCAATCCAGGGCCGCGTCAACTACTCGTTTACGTCTCCGCCGGAAAAGGAGTTTTTGCTTGAGCTGGCCGATGAGCGCAACAAGCACCCGCTGCCGCTAATTCCTGAGAAATATGGCGTGCGCCTGCCCCCGGAGAAGTACACGCTCACCGGGGTAAATTTCCACATTGTACCCGACCCGCGCAGCCAGGCTGCAGGTAATAAACCCGCAAACACCCACCCGGCCGCGTGAGCGTCACGCACCAGCATATGTTATTTATTTTTGCCAATTTCAAAGAGATACCTGGGTTTGGAGCAATGCAATACACAAGCGCAAGTTGCACCGTTTCAAAGACGCCCGAATTTGTACAAGAGTGGAAAAGTTACCTTTCGTCATCCATTATTGTATTGGTACATTAAAAGAAAAGAATGAGACTGCAGTATCCTGCAATCAACATCCTTCCCACAGATTGCATAGCAACCTGGCAGGTGTTTAGAAACTAGTGGCAATAGACTACTATGGCTGAATATATTATCCAGTCCGCTGCTTCTTTTGAAGAGAAGAAGCAGGGGCAGATGATTCTTGCGCACACGCTTGGCCTTGGACTTTGGCTTGAGCTATGAGCTTTGGCTTTTTAGCTTTGACTTGAGCGTCGCTGTAGACTCATTCGGCTTCAGCCAACTCTGATGATGCATTTTTGCGCAAGAAACAGGGAGGACGATTGCCTGTAAGCAGGGCATTAAGGATGATGCGAAAGTTCAGCACGCAGCCATGCGGGATTCCACTTCCGTCTAGCTGATGCACTTTTTCGCCATTCCTGATCTTAATTCCGTCGGCCCTGAAGGTTTGCAAGCAGTCTTCCATTGTGCACTGGAGCAAGCTGTGTTATAAAATTTGGCGAGGTTTTTCTATCCCGGAGTTCTATTAACGCCTGTTGCGGCTACCTGCTGCTGCTGCTGCTGCCAGTCAACTCATCGTGTATCCTCTGTCTGATTTTGCGCTCAATTTTGCCCTGCAACCAGCCGCTCAGCTGACAATGCGCTTGAGATTATCGGTGGCCCGATATTGACGTACTGCTCCCGGTTTTGCTCAGTCAGCTCATCCTGCAGCTATGCATAGTTTTGCGAGAGATTTCGCTCTTAGACTAGCCCCTTTCCTCCCTTATCCTGGATGATATTGGCAGACTGTGGGCGAATAGGCATCCACTGGTCGCGATTCTGCTGTGCACTGTCAATAATAGATGTGGTGTCGGCTGCAGTTTTAGTTGCAACAGAAGTGGCTGTGGCTACTGCTACAACAGAATTGGTATGGATATAATTAAATCGTTAAACGTCACGCTTAACGCATAGCAAAGCATCAGTCAGACAAATACTAAATACTTCTCCGCATCTTCAAAAATCAGAACTTTCGTTATAAATTTCAAAATCCATATATATATTAGTATATTTCATAGGGGCAAAAATAAACTAAAAAAGGAATGGAATCGAGAACCAAAGCAGTGCTAATGAGGCGGAGCAAAAAAATAGACCACCTGCAAATACAGCAGAAGCAGCGTGCTCAGAGACGGCGACCGCGGCGACCACCCTTTCTGCGGGTGCAATCGGTGGGGATGGGGGTAACATCCTCAATGCGACCGATCTTGATACCAGCGCGGGCAAGGGCGCGGATAGCAGACTGGCCACCCTGGTTGGGGGTCTTGGTGCGGGTTCCACCCATAGCACGGATCTTGATGTGGAGGGCGGTGATGCCGAGCTCCAGGCAGCGCTTGACAACATCCTGGGAGGCAAGCATAGCGGCGTAGGGCGAGTTCTCATCGCGATCAGCCTTGACTCTCATGCCACCTAGATTTCAAACCAAAATAAACCAAATAACACATTTTAGCAAAAAAGGAGCCTGGGCAGTGCAATCGATGGGCGTTGGAGAGAGTACGTGTATCACCACTAGTCCCTCGTCGGCCACTAGCGACATGCCAAAACGCTTTGGGAAAGCTGTTTGCTGCTCGGCGCACGGATACCAAAAGCACCCCCTGCAAAGGGGGTGCTCAAGATGGCACGGTTGGGTGTTGCAATGATCGGCGCTTTAAACCCACAGCGAAAACACTCGACAAATACAGCCACCCTCCACCTTTACAAGCAAAAAACAACATTGTTGAATGGTGTCCTTTGCGTAGCGTGGGGAGAATGACCATAACACATCGGACAACAGCAGCTCTCAAGCACACAAACAACAGCAAAGTAAAAGAGCATCATGTCGAGGTCGCCTGCCAATCGCCCATTTACTGCCGCACCTGGTAGGCACAAGCAAAAAAGTGCAATCAAAAGACGTTACAAACAAGACAAAATGCGCTTGCACTTGTGCTCACTGAGCTAATGTGGTAGTGTACAAAATACAAAACCGCGTGTCAGAAGTGTGCCAAGGACCGTTCGCGTTGCCCAAATGCGGACTGCATCTTCAGGGGAATTTCAAAAAGCGCCAACCAGAACACGGCCAACCTGCCGCTCTCCGCACAACGAGCACTAGAGATACTCTATAAAAGCACGCAGCAAGCGCGACAAGGAAGCTTGAAGGACAGAGAGAACAAGCATAATGTGATGTAGTGGTGTGGTGTAATTTGGGTATGTGTGCAACTGGTGCTGCTTATACTTACCAGTAATGCGGACAATGGTTTCGCGGCCAGTCAGATCAGTGACGTGGATGAAGGTGTCGTTATCCGAAGCGTAGATGTGGGCGACGCCGAAAACGAGCTCTCCAGGCTTAACCTGGGGACCAAAGGAGATAACCTGCTCGGGCTGCTTAGTCTTACTGGCCTTCTTCGACTACAAGTAGAGAAAGGTGTGTATATAATGCAGTTGGGAATTGTCAATTAGTTGTGATTCGCGAAATGCATTACTATGCAAATTTCAAAAATTTGCGCTGTTTAGTCGCATCCATCGGCCTGCTCCCACCACACCAAAAAACCAATACATCCATCCAATGGATGGATGTGCCAGTGGATTAATGGATCCATCGTAATTGCCTAGCGTTGTATTTGTATTTCGCATCCGTGACTGTGTACGCACCATTTTTTATAATTAACAAAATTCTGTTCGTACAAAAATCGAGAGAATTGTGGAGAGAGGGTCTCCCTCATGCCTGTTGTAGTCAAAGTGGATGCTTTTCAAATGCATCGTCCTCCCAGCTTGAGTCTTTGAAAAAGGTAAAAAAAAGAAATATTTACCAGGCGCTTTGATTGATCATCATTTCGGGTGGTAATTTGATTTGCCTCATGCCCTAACATCTGATGTCAAGCCAAGTGCCCGGCTCAATTTCTAAACCCTATCTTTGTTTTAGGCGTTGCAATCCAGTGTGTTTGGTTTGATTATTTTATATTTTGCTTTACTTCACTTTTCATTACTTTCTACTAATTGGAGCATTATCTGACCACAGGCAAATTGGCGGTTTACCACATTTGATTTGATATCCCCGTACAGTGCTGACTAACAATGCAGCAGGGCCAGAAGAATACAACGCCGGCAGGGTCGTTTTCGGGGTCTCTGGCGGTTGATCATGCGCTAGCAGGGGTCGGCGGCGCGGTCGTTTCGACAGTAGTGTTCCACCCGCTTGACCTGGTGAAGATCCGGCTCCAGGTGGACGTTGCCCAGCGGGACGAGGCGGTTCTTGGCCGTGCGATTCGAGCCACACGGCACGTACTGAGCACAGACGGGATCCGCGGAATGTATCGCGGGCTGAGCGCCAACCTGGCGGGGAACTGCGCCAGCTGGGGGCTATACTTTGCGTGGTATACGTGGATCAAGGAGCAGATGGCCGGCGGGCAGACAGCAGAGACACGGGCCGGCATCAGCACGCTGTCGCCCGGTCAGCACCTGGGGGCAGGTGCGGCGGCCGGGGCGCTGACGCAGTGCATAACCAACCCGCTGTGGGTGGTTAAGACTCGCATATGCACGACGTCGCGCGGAGACGCGGCATCGTATCGCGGGCTGATTGACGGGCTGCGGCAGATTGCCAGCAAGGAGGGCATCCGCGGGCTGTACAAGGGCCTGGCGCCAGGCCTCTTGGTGTGGCGCATGGTGGGCTGCAGTTTATGGCTTACGAGGAGATGAAGCGGCGGCGACAGCGCAGCAAGTCGGGTGGCAACTTTTCATTGTTTGAGTATGCGGTGATGTCATCGTCGTCAAAGGTCTTTGCGCTGTCGAGCACGTATCCGACACAGGTTCTTCGGTCGCGGCTGCAGCAACAGCCCGAGGCGTGCGTCTCCTTAGCGCCGGGCGCAAGCGGGGCGCCCCGGATGGCGAGGTACTCGGGCTAAGCGATGTCATCGGCAAGATAATAAAGACAGAGGGCGTTTCAGGGTTCTACAAAGGATTCGGCCCGGCGCTGCTGCGAGTACTCCCCGGAAACATCATTACATTTTTGGTTTACGAAAAGATCTCGGGCTTCTTCCGTGGAAATGCGACGCGCTAGAGTACTAGAGTACTCGAAGCTGACAGGGCTTGCATATTTTGTAATTGTAAATTCATTTTTATTCAAACACACGGCGTGGTTAATAGGTGCCATCATTTATTAAAATGTTTAAGTGCCGCTCAGAATACAGGGTCCGGATTACCTGGCTGCGGAGACCCGTATTGCTGTGCCAGAGTGTGCTGCTGCTGATGACGGTGATGGTGGTATGCAGTGTCTGCAAAGGGGTTGGGCTGCAGAGCGCGCGCGTCGCGGGCGCAGTCGATGAGTTTGCTGACCTGGAAATCAAGCAGTGGGTCGAGAAGCTTGTAATGCTGCGATGGATCATGGCGCGACGGGTCAAAAACGATGGCCTGCCAGAAGGAGACATCTGGGCGACGTGGCTCTGACTCAGCCCCTGGTTGTGGCCCTGTCTCTGATTCCAAGCCCGGATCTAACCGTGGACCGATAACCGCGCAGTGGCAATGCGCACAGCATAGGCAGATCGAGCGTGGAGTTGGCGCGGTAGGAAAGAAGGGCAGCCTGCAGGCGGGCCGCGCGTCTGCTTGGGCCATACAAGGAGAGCAGCAGGATGAAAAGGTCGGAAGCACAATCGCTGAGAGTGCTCACAATGTCAAGCGAGTTGGCGTGCTTCTTTCTCTTCTCAAGGAGATCAGCAAATAGGGCCAGAGCCTGGTTTGCGGGGGCGAGGTAGTTATCAATGACGCAGTTGGCCTGTTCAATGTCGGATCTGTTAGCTTCAGATCTGCTGGCGTTGGCGTCTGTATCAGCAGCCTGCAGCTTCAGATGCTCACGGAGAGCGGTGAAGTACGAGATGTTGTCGCGAGCGTGGTCGCGAGCAGCCCTGAAGTGGGGGCGGCTGAGTGAACAGCGGCGCGTGATGGAAAACACATGTGCCGAGTCGGTGGTGCCAATGTCATCCTGCAGCATAATGCGCTCAGCGCCCAGGGGGTCAACAACAATCTTGGGGCAGTTGAGGCGGCGCACCATGGCCTGAAGGACGGCAACCTCGGCAACTGCAGCACGGACTGCCAGCGCAGGCGGGTTGTAGAGCGAATCGAGGAGCGACCAAGCTTGCGACTAAGGAGCCGGGCCCCTCAAGGTCGGCAGTGGCAACAAGGGTCTCGACGTAGAGATGAAGGTATTTTTCGAGGTAAAGATAGTGCTTGCCAGGGGCCTCAAATTCGGCCTTGTAAAATGTAGCAAGCTGCTTGTTGGCGGAGCGCATCTGCAGCAGCGAGAGCAGCGCCTGCTTAGCAGGCTCGGGTGGCCAAGTATGCGGTGGTCGATCCACGCAAGTAGATACACAGGCCGGTGGTTCCAGCGGCGCTTGTCATTGGTGCACATAGCAGCAGTCAGAGCGCGGATTCGGGCATATACTAGCCCAGAGTCAAGCTCTGCTGCTGGTGTTGGTGCTGGTGCTGGTGCTGCACATTCAAGTTTTGGCTCTGCTTCTGAGGAGGGGGCCGGTCCAAAGGGGAGGGCGTCAAGGAAACGCTGCACAGTGGCAGCAGACACGCGGGCTGCGTGCAGAAGCTTGGTGAGAGTGACCAGCAGCTTGTAAAGGGCATCGTAGGCGGATTCCGGAATGGATTCAGCAGGGGCAATCTCGGCACTGGAACCGGCACTGCCACCAGCACTGAAACTGGCAGCAAGGTGACAGGCATTGAGATACAGGGCACACGCAGCCAGGGGGTCGGCAACCTTGGCGGTGGCCTTGGCCAACATGTAGGTGCACTTCCAGCTGGTGGGATCGAGGCGTGCGGCGCGGGAAAGAAGCGTGCGGGCAAGGCTAAACACGCCTGCTGGTGGTGGTACTGATGTGTAGCGTCTGGCTAGTGAGTGCGCAAGAGAGGATGTGGCGCGCAGGCGCGCGGGCGCTGTCGACCAGGAGCCCAGGTCCCACTCGGGGTGGCTGGCAGAGCCGCTATCCTCGTTGTCCTCATCAACCACAACGTTGGCCGGTAGCACAGTCAAAGCCAGGTCGGGCAACGGGCGCGCGGCAATACGGTAGAGCAAGCGGCCGGCAAACGAGACGGTGCGGGCAGCAAGATCACGGTTACAGCGTGGCAAGTTCTGCGACACCTGCACAGCGCACGAGAGCGCCAGGCGCTGCAGTGATGCAATGTCATGACGGCAGTCGATAACCTCAGCGGCAGTGCCCAGCAGCAGCTCGTCAGCCAAGTCAGCGTAAGCCTGGCCCAGGCGCATCCACGCGTCGGCACAGCGTGGCAACAGCGCGAGGTTGAGTTTGTAGTCATCGATGATGGTGTCGTAGTCCTCGACGGCGCGCGGCATGCCTGACCGCATGCGAAAACGCAGGACATCATGCTGCGTCGCCGCGCGCACAAACGGCAGCGTGAGAAGCGCGGCGGGCAGCGCACCCACAGCGGCGATAGTGCAGTGAGAGTCAGCGGCACAAATGCATCCGCCCGCGGGCTCGGCCGTGCTAAGTGGCAGTCTGTGTTCGGAGCCGCCAGCCAGCACACTGCGCACCTCGGCAAATGAGGGCATGTCTGGGCCGTCGAGAAACGCATCGATTGCGTCGGTGTTTCGGCTGAGACGTGGATGGCGGTCGGTGTCAATTGCCCCCAGAACCTCGGCCGCTCTGTCGATAATGGCCTTCAGATCACCACGCAGCCCCGTGCCGCGCTGAGAGTGCGCGGCAGCGCGCAACTCGGGCGCAAGCAGCCGGCACGCAGCATCGGCCGATTGCACATCCATGGCCAGCGAAGCGGGCAAGCACGCGTGAGTCACTACATCGCTGCCGTGGACGCGGATGTCAAAGAGGCAGCGCAAGCATGCCGCGGCCTCAGCTCTGGCACCAAAGTCGCTTTCAGTGCGCTCTGTCTTTGTCACGCTCGCTGCCAGAACATGACGCAGAAACACGCCGTCAGCGGTTGTGCATAGGCCTCGCGAGCCAAGAAGCTTGTGCGCAGCCGCCAGGAACACCACATCGTCGGCCAAGCTGTGCTTCTTTGCTGCCAACCACAGCGCCAGAGGGACAAACGCCGCCTCAGTCGAACTGGTGTTGGCCACCACGGCTACTGGTGGCTGCAGCGCAAAGTGGCGCGCAAATGCCAGTGCAAGCGCAACGAGCGCTGCAGCGTTAGTTTCAGTTCTAACCCCAGCTTCGGCTTCGGCAGTGCCAGTGCCAGCGTTTTCGAGTAGCGTGAATATCTCTCGCAGGCACGCGACGCAGCGCGCAACAACAGCATGTGCCGGGAATCCGCTTGCATGCTCGTTGCTGTCGCCGCTAACCAGGCGCTGCGCAAATACCCCAAGCTCCAGCGCCAGTGCTCGCGCTTCGCCTGTCCGGTTCACACGCTGCCTCTCCAATGAGACCAACAGCCGTGCTGCCTGGATGTGCTGCGCAAAAGCTAGTTCGCTAGCGCTGCCGCCTGGAGCCAGAAGAGACGTCAAGACATCAATCGCATTGTCGCCCTTTTGCTCTGCAAGCGCAAGCTGCGCAAAGGCCGCTGCGTGCGCCTGCCGCTGCCGCACAACGTCAACTGTAACTGGCGCCCCAGACAGGGCACACCGCGCAGCCACCCGAGTCTCAATGCTGCGGCCGGCCAACAGCGCTTCGCACTGCACAACAAGGGCTGTCGCATGTGCTGCATCGTCTGCAAGCGCTGCCGCCTCGTACGAGGTCCACGCCTCGGCAAACTTCAGCTGCCAACTGCCACGGCTGTCGTCGTCATCACTATGACCATCCGCTACTCGCATCCAATCTTCGCGCATGGAATGCAGTGCAAGGTTGGCGTCGCGCTCGCTCACATTAGAGCTCGAGTTCGCGTCTCCCAGCAGCAGAACAGCCAGTGTTGCACTCCACGCGTCGCCATCCCGTGTTGCCGCGTCGGCCAGTGCCTCGTGCACTGCGCTCAGAACTCGCATCAGTACTTGCCGCACGCGTGCCGACGCCAAAAGAACGTGCGGTGCCCTTTTGAACTCGGTTGCCGCCAACCTGAAGACGCGCACCAACAGGTCCAGTGGGCCGCTGTTGTCGAATAGCAACGCTCGACACGCGTTTTCTTCAAGCACGTAGTCAGCAATATCTACATTGTCATGCTCCCGCCCGCACAGCAGTGCCCTCAGTGAGTCACCATACTTGCCACAGCAACTGCTGCTTTCGCTGCCTAGCCCCCACTCATTCTCGCCTTTGTCTTTGCCGCCCCTTCTCGCAGAAGTCTTTTGCGCCAACTCCCGCTCCTTGCCGGCCGCTACTGCAACGAGGGCCGCGGCCTCGCACATCGCCCCAAACTCACTCGTGGTGGTTTCTCCGGTCGCCTCGAGCCACACGCCTGCAGCGTCACGCGCTTGCTCAAATTCATCCGAGTCGAATGGCTCTGCGCAAAGAGCCAGAACATGCTGATGCTGGCTATTCTGCTGTTGCTGAGCAAGGCCAATGTTGCTGCCGCCCATTGTGCTCAACCCTGTTGTCGCCACTGTGGTTGCACGCTCAAGGAACCGTGTCGATCGCCTTTTGACGGGAATTTCGTCGCCAGACGCCGCATCGACGTCTACAGCCGCTCGCTTCCCTTGCGCCTTCCCGTCACAAATAGTTCTGTTGGAGTTGCTGCTTCCACTCGCACTTCTGCTGACAGGCATGGGGCTGGGTTTGGGGCTGAGTCCGAGACCAAGACTAGAGCTGGAACTGGGCTCGTTTCCGACAATGTCAATCTCATACGGGACTGCCACATGCAGACCATCGCCATCCTCCACGCATCGCTCAAAAACATCAAGGACCGCCTCTATCAGTGCTACAAGGCCCACTGTCTTGTTCTGCGACGCAACTCGCAGCATCGCTGGCGAGTAGGGCACATGTGCGGCGTCTGCCGCTGCGTCTACCACTGGCCATAAAGGAATCCCCACGCGTAACACAGGCTCCGCAGCAAATCGACCGCTGTCTAAAACAACCTGCTCTCCCGCAAGCTGATTCAAAGTATGACTCAGCGCGCGCGCCATATCAGGCCATTCCGCTGCAACATTGTCAACTATGCCGCGCGCCATTTCAGCATCGCCTCGCATCAGTGCTGCTCTCATAACTCTTGCGCGCACCACCACCGCATTGGCCCCATGCGCCGCTTATTCCAAGCACTGGCCCGGCGCTTGCTACATTTTGACCCTCGAGCCCTTTGCTAAATGCCGACACCGCAACGTCTAGTTGTCCGAGTGCCATTGCGCACTGTCCGATCATTAGGTACTGCAGCCCATCGCACTTTCCCAGCCGTGCTGCCTTGCTTAGCTGCTCCAGTGCCTCTCCCATGTTGGTACTATCTCCGCATTCGCTCCTCAACGTCGAAAGGTCAAACAACGGCGACCCAAAGCTTGCTTTTGAATCAGATTGTCCTATAGCCCGAATCATTCCGCTGTTAAAAAGTACCAGCGACCTCAGCTGATCCATGCCCACGCCACAGTGCTCTTTGCAGTACGCATTGCACTCACTTTCAACTTGCGCCAATTGTTTCTGCCCAATTAGCATATTTTCTAGAACCCGGTTCAGCCCCTGCTGCGCTTCTAAAACCTGGCCTGTGCTCCACAAACGTAGCGCTGCATTGTACTCTTGTAATATATCTCGAATTTTTTCTTCTATCCTCGGTTCTCTGTCGCCAATGCCAAAGTCACCGCTGCCCGGCTGCATCCATTCGCGTCTACCATGGGGTCATCAGCCGGCGGGTTAATCGGCGTGAAGCTCAGCATGCTAACCAAACTATTAGTATTATGTTATAATAATAAACTACAGACAACTGTAAACTTTAATATTTTTTATGAGATGTTGCTTGCCAATACACATTTTTAATAATCGCAAAAACTCATTGCAAACTCGTATAAGCGTGCACCCACAAACCGCGTACGGGTTTTGTCACGCGTGACGGCGGTTCAAAGAAATAATCAAATAATGAATCAACAGATTAACTATATTGCGCCTTCAATATTAAACACACATGCAATAGCTATGGTCGTAGCAGACAAAGGTCTTTTCTAATAAATAACACACATAAATATGTTAACTTGGTTGTTGAAAGTGATTTTTGCAATACAATTTTCTTACACTATTGCATAAAGTGTCTGCAATAGTGTAGTTGTGCCAATTGATATGGAATTAGCAGGACATAGTCATATATATTTTTTGGGGGATACGAGCAAAGTCAATATTTTTATAGCTGGTAAATGGAAAATAGCCTTAATAAAATTGCTTGTAGTTGGTGATTTGAGGTTGCCGAGGTTTTCAGGCAATATTCTGCAGCGCTCGCCCTCGCCCAGTAACTGAAACACCATGTCCTTTCCAAAGTCAGCCGGGCCCATTGCATTGTCCCTGCCAAATATAGGCGGCACTGCTTTCTGACCAGGCGGACCGGCCATACGGTGGCTTACTCGGTTGGTTTTCACCGACTCAAATTGCGGGTGGTTAAAGTTTTTGCCTGCCGCAGACTGGAATTGAGGACGCAGAATTGCGGCAGGACTACCATGAGCATAGCTGCCCAGAAAAAAATTGTTCCGCTGCGGAGATAGTGACAATCCAATTGTCTCTGGTGACAAGGGCAGAGGTGTGGCATACCCGCCATTTGAGCTCGCTCCATGCCAATGGGAGCTGGGGGTGTTTTGCCAAGAGTTGTTGGTAGCAACGACAATTGGGAGTAATGGTCTATCGATACAGGCGCCAAAGGAAGCGAGTGCTGCCTGCATATGTCGACCAGTGGCTCAGTGAAGCGCTCCAGTTCAACCGGGCAAACGGCATTTTCGACCCGGATGCAGCGTTGGCGAGAGCTTGACGAGCTGATGTTACAAATTCCAGCGCTTTCCCTGTTGCCGGTAAAGCCAATGGCGGTGTTACAATCTTCTGCTGGTAAAGTGTGGTCAGGGACCTTGATGGCCTCGCTGGAATTGTGAATAAAGTCGCACTTCTCCTCATACGGGCAGGCCCCAAACTTGTACATGTTTTTGCATAATTTTGTCTTGTAGTTCGGAGGGCGAAACCTTGTGCGAATATCGTTTTTTCCGTGTGCAAAATTACAATTCTCTCCGCGGCCACAATGGCCATTGGCCATGTAGGTGTCACAAAGGGATGTCTTGTAACTTTTGGACGGCGAGGCGCTATTTCTCTTCTCAGTCGGCGCAGCTGCGAGATAGCAGCCTATACTCATATTAGGCAATTGGGTGCATGTGCAGCGCAACAAGTGCTTAGTGACACTAATTTCAAAACAGTGGGTGTAAAATTCATTTATACATTTGCCTTGTAATGTTTCTTCAAATCAGTACCTTTTTCGGGTCGCGTTTGCATCATCCTCATGCCAAGGAACGTTTCTTAGAAAATAATAAAGTTGGAAGAAAAAATTAGACAAAAAATGCCAGACGATATGGAGTAAGGCTACAAATACAGGTTAGCTGTTGGCAAACAGGTTAGTAAACGATTAATGGTATATATATATATGACATAAAATGCTGAAGCGGTGACTCAAAATGCTAGATTTGGTGGGACGTGGCCAGCGGCCAGTGGGGGCACTTGGGAACGATAAGAATAATAATTAGGATATAGAGAGTAGAGGACTGGTCAAGATACAAAGATCATTTTTTTCTAGCACGGCGGCGGCAACTCATCATTTATATACGAAAGGCCAAAATGAAAATGACAAGCTCTTCATAAACGCGCAATTTGGTCAAATAAATGCTATCTGATTATATATATATTTTATCTCTGCTTGGCTTAGCTTCTAACCTTGTCCATCCACTACACTGTACTACGCTTGTTACCAAAGCGCATATCCTCTCGGCAGTTTTTATCATGTGTCGAAGCTTTAAATGGCATGTAGCATTTCACAATGTACAATGGAGCACTGCGGGAGAGTACGAGGTAAACAGTGTCTTTGGGCGCGCACGTTGCATTAGCACGCCGCCCGGAACAGCACCACAAGTATAATCGTTCGGCATGTGATGCTGCTTACAATGCGTTACGCTCGAATGCGCTTAGGCCCTTTGTCCATTCGCCCCCTTGGCGTCAGTGCCAGTAGCAATTGGGGCATAGCAGGCAATGTCGCAGCATCACTAGTCGCATTTATAACATGCGCAGCATTTGTGCGGGTTTTGACTATCTGGCATGGCTGGCATATCGATGATATGCTCATTGGCACCCTCTGCCTGGCTTCCACAGGGCATTCATGTGCATATATGTCTCACAGCCGAACGCGTATTCAATTCTCTATTTGGTTGGTACAAAAAAGTGACAAGCCTGCACACCCGCCCTGGGTGTAGGTGTGTGGCTCGGAGGCAAAGTGAAATGGGGCGCGGCCGCAGAGCACAGTTAGGCTCGGACGCGAGCTCACTGCAGCCACCGGTGCGGGAGCATGCTTGCGGCCGAGCTTCTCCGCGCAGGAGTGATCTCGAGCATTGGCATCAAAAAGTCGGCAATCTCGCGCGCGTCGCGAGCGCTGAATGCATACTCGTCATGGAGCAGGTCCTTGAGCGGGAAGGGGTGCAGGCGGCGGATATTGCGCAGCTCACCGCGGCGCGTGAACAGCTCCTCCGAGTACTTGCCAGACAGGGCGAACTTCCGAGGAAGGGTGCCAATGGTCTCGATGATCTGCGCAATGTGGTCCTCGTCCTTCGAGTAGCGGCTGCCGGAGTGCGGCTCGAACAGATAGTCGCCAGTCAGCAGCTCGAAGATAACGCAAGCGCACGACCACATGTCGGCAGTCGTGTCCCACCGCGCGCCGATGATGACCTCGGGCGACCGGTACTGCCGCGTCTGGATGTCCTCTGTAAAGTGCCGGTCAGCCCACGTTGCGTTGCCCAGGTCGCCAGCTTGACACTCAGGCCCTGCTGCTGCGACCGTGTAGACGCCTGTGAGTCCGATCGGTCGTTAGCTGCGTCGGTGGCGGCGGCAGCAGCATTGTCTTTGCTCCGGCTGCGGCTGCGGCTGTGGCTCCGGCTGCCCTCGCCAAAGTCGTGCCGCGAGCGCGTCGGCGTGGCAGCAAGCGAGATGCCGTTGAGGTCCTTCTCCAGCGAGCGCGCAATGCTGGATCCGGCCGTCAGCGGGCTGTAGGATTGCTGGTTGCCGCCGTCAGGGCTGGGTGCGCGCGATTGGCAACGCTGCGGCTCGCCTGAACCAGCGGCGCGCGGCCCTGCGCACCGTCTTTGGCCGCCGAGCTGTCATTGTGCAGCTCGCGCCGGATGACTTCTTCGACGTTGTCAATGCAGACCAGGACGTTCTCGGGCTTGAGGTCGGTGTGGATCATGTTGCACGGGCCGTGCAGGTACGCCAGACCAGCAATGATCTGCCGAGCAATTTGCTTGACGAGCGCCAAAGGCAGCCCATCGCTCTGCTTGGACTTGTCGTCCGCAGCAGCCACAACAGTGCTGGCTGTGCTGCGCGCACTGTGGGTAGCGTCGCTCGAACCGCTCTGCCGTCACCGATCAGGCTGGCTTCGGACTTGGCGGCGGTCACGGCGTCGCGAAGAGAGCCGTATCGGCGTGCATTGCGCAGCAGGAAACAGGTTCTCACCCAGCACCTCAAAAACCATACACACGTGGCGGCCGTTGGGCCCGAATGCTCGAAGCTGTCCAGCATCTTCGCAACGTGGTCGCGACCCACGTGCGGCTCGCGGATCGACACCGTCCGCGTGCAGAGCTCGATTTCGTCCAGCGCCGCCTCAGCGTAGTGGGCCGCCGCCTTGACAATCTTCAGTGCAACGTGAATGTCCTTCTCGCTGTCATACGAAAGCCACACCGTCGAGAAGTGGCCCCATCCAAGCTTGCGCACCACGCGGTAGCGCGCAGACTTGAACTGGTCGCCGATCTTGACCGGATGGTATCCGCCCTTGCAGTAGTCTTCGATGTCCTCCTCGTCCATTTCGGGCTCGTCGTCGTACTCGTCGCTGGAAGAGCACGTGCTCTCGGCGCCCCGGCCGCCCGCATTCCATTCCTGCCGCGGCTGGCACTGTCCCTCACTACCTCGGACGTTTGCTGGTCGACCTTCTTGGCGTGTGCAGTGGCCTCCATTGCCGCGGTGGCGGCTGCCGCTGCCGATGTCGCTCTCTGAGCGCTGGCGCCCCCGCTCGCCTTTGCTTTCTGCTTTTTGGCCAATGCCCGGCGCTTTGCGTTGAGCACTGAGTCTACAAGTTGTGTCCACGTTGATTGATCAAGCGCAACAAAATGGAAGCAAGCAAAGCAGAGAAATGTGTTTACAGTGTTAGTATGTAGTAAAAAAACAGCAATCCAACGCCCCAGCGCCCTTGTGTCTGCTTCCTCGCATTGTAATGCCTCGCCACTACGCAGCGCCAGCCCGATTGTCGAGGCGGCTACTGACAAGGTAATTTGAGTCGTCTCAGTTACAGGCAGGATTCGTTCGCATAGAAACTGCCATACGCATGAGTATGGGGTGGCAAGTAACGTGCCGCCGAGCCAGAAAGTTTTGTATTAAAATGCACTAAATTTACACCTGCGTTAGTTGGCGCGCTATGCATTTGGGCCTACTTACTGTTCATTATTGTGTCTAATAGGGCTAGAGTGTGAAAGCACTGGCTCGCTGTGTTCACTAAATATGGCTTTGCGAGCGCGAAAGTAATGAAAGAATCAAACAACGCTTATTCAAGAAGAAAAAATGGTCGTTCCCAGTGATACTGCGAGTGGAGAGAAGACTAGGCTGCAAAAGTCAACCCGACTGCCTGTGAAAGAAAATATGTAGAGTGCAAAAATATATAGAATGAATGTAGCAGGGAAAAAAACAAGAAAGCGGAGAAGACGAGCAAAACCGGCGGCATCAATATGAACAAACTGAGCAATACGTATTAGCCGAAATGCCATGAAGATGAAAAATATTTAGATTTTTTCTTCAGTATCCCAATCCGAAGGATGAAAAAAAAATCTAGAGAAAGCCTGGTTATTTGTCGAGTTGGAATTGGCAGGTTTTTTTGGTGCCTGAATAAAGGCACAATGAAATGATTTAGGAGAAAAATCACCAGTCGATCAAGCGCCCTTCCATTTGCGCTCCAGTTTGCGCATATGCCGGATTGAGCCAAGCGCCTGCAAAGCGCAATAAATAGCTCTACAGTCCAATAAGCAGGCGGCTGCCATATGCGTCGAGGGTCTCAACTATGCGCTGCTGCCACCTGTACCAGGCGACACCCTGCACATGCAGTCGCACAGGTCGTCTTTCTTTGGTTCACTGCAAAACATCTCCGCCATTGGTCTTGAGAATGCCATTTGTTGACCAGGTCCTAGCGGCGATATGCTGCCCGAAAATACATCCAAATGTGACTGAATGTCGCTGGCCAGTATCGAGAGCTCCTCAATATGCTCGACATTCCCAGCATTTGGCGCCAGCGATGATAGTATCCACGCCTGAACCATGGCTATGGTGCGCTCTTTTTTGACCAAGCGCCGCTTCAGGTCGCGCGACGCGCCCAGCCCCTTTGGTCTCTCTTCATCATCTCGCCAGAGCGCGCACTGGGGTGGCTCTGGCTATGCGCGCACGGCGGGAAGGTACCTGGTCAAGTGCGCGCAGAATCAGCGCATGCTGCGTGCTCGTGATCTGCCTCTGGCTGCTGAGCACCTCTCCATTCGCGCAATGATATCAATGAGCTGCTTCTTTTGGCCACGCACCTTACATGCGGAGCCAAGGTCGGCCGTGTCGTCGGCATCAGCATCAGCATCAGCACCGATATCCATGGACTGAGTCTGGCGGCTTCCGATGAAGCCCCAGTGCGCGCTGACCAAAGCCGGGTTGATAGCCTCGACCTGTGCGCCGGCGTGGCGCAAATTGGCGTAGAGCACGCCTCGATCAGATTGTTGACCATCACAGAGTTCGTGACCGCCGCCGACCCCTGCGATCTAAACCGCTGGTGTTCAATCACATAGGTGCACGACGCGGCCGATCTCGCAGGGAGCACACTGTGCACAAACTCCTCGACTACGGCGGCAAGAATCCACGGCTCGAATGCCGCCTCCTTCAAAAGCTCAACTCGCCTCCAATCGACCACTTTGCCGCTGCAGAGACGTGCGCAAACGCGAGGTTTCGAAAGCCAATGTCTATAGAGACCACCTCCTTGGGCACAAATGACCCGTGGACCTCCAAGATCGAGGGCGCCCTGCGTTTGGTGGATCCGGCATACGCTTCATAGCCAGCTCCTGCGACTCCCAGATGAATGCGCTTAGCGCAGATATCTTGTGCTCCTTCCCCACGCCCTGTGTGAGCCCCAGTCCCGCATAATGCTGCTGAGCTCAGCGACTTTGAAGGCCGATAGCTTGCTGCGAATGTCTGCCCGCGCCGCCTCAGCAATCGAGCCCAAATCGACCGCCGCACTACCCATGTGGTGGGACTGCGCATAAAGCCGCTCGGCCCTCGTTGTGGCCGCGCGTTGCCATGCGTGGCGTCGAACAGTCTGGGCCAGCATTCAAAATGTGTTGATTATTGATTACAAATTTATAAATGCATGGCCTTGCAATGAAGGACGAATAAACAAAGAAAAGCCAAAAGCCAAAAGGCAAAAAAAGTTAAAAAAAACCTAAAAATCGTTTTGTTTCCAAAGAAAAAAAGATGCGTTTTCTGCTTGCAGAAACGTACTCTTCGATCGTTGTGGACCACAAGAGCGCGAAAGCACCCTTTTTATTTTTTACTATTTTGTTTACTAATTTGGATTGCACTTTCAATTCTGCACAATTCATTCCAGAAGAGTCCTTACGATGAAGGTGTGGCTACGACGCATCAGAAGTCTGTCAGTTGTCTATACTGTGGTGCTGGTTGCAGCCAACCTGTACTTTTACAACTACGCCAAGATATTATCGGTCTTCCATCCGCGTAAGTAACCGCCTTGTCTGCTTTCATCTGCCGCCTTTAAAGGGTTGCGCGCCTATATCGCTTGGGCATATTGCCAGATCGAGCAACGCAGCAAAGCGGATTATACTTTTGTGAATTATAAGACTCACGCATGCGCTCTTATCCACCAGGGTTTCTGGAAAATGTAGCCTCGGATATTAGGTTCAACCTTTATGGTGACCCCCAGATCGAGGGCGACGCGAAGCTGCAGCGCCAACCATGGGTGGGCCGCCTCGATCTGCTGATCAATGACTACTACTTGCACCACGTCTACAAATCGACGATCAGCGCCTTCCGTCCGCGCTATGCCGTGACAATGGGCGACATATTCTCAAGCCAGTGGGTCAGCAGAGCCGAGTACTATACGCGCATCCACCGGTTCAAGTGGATATCGAATCAGATCGACGCTCGGAACAACACGATTGACGGTGGTGACCACAGGCACTTCTACCTGGCCGGTAACCACGACATCGGTATGGTGAGGAGACCCGGCATACCACATCAACCGCTACACCAACAACTTTGGCCCGCTAAATCAGAGTGGCTTGTGGACATTGACGGCACAGTTACGATGATCAACATGACAACGAACGCAACGTCGCTTCTGCCGGATTGCACAGAGTTGTTGTACTCAATGCAATGAACTTGGACGCGACGCGCGTGGAGAAGTACCGTCACGAAGTGTGGGACTTTGTTCGAAGCCTGGCCGGCAAAGCTTCAAGCACCCAGACATTCCTCTGATTCTTTTCTTGCATATTCCGCTAAACAAACCGATGGAGTATGCGAGCCTCAGCCGACAATTATTCTCGATGACGGCTTTGTCGCATACCAGGACTACTTGTCTCCAGTGACATCCGCCTATTTGCTGCACTGCTTGAAGCCGACGATCGTGTTCAACGGACACGACCACAACGGCTGCTTGGCAACACATGTCGTCTGGCCGAGACCAACATGCCCATAATCCTGGGTGCCTCGGGCAGGGTCCTAACATCGACCGAGGATTTTGCAGTCTGACTCTCGACGAGCTGGACGCCTACAGCTCCAAGATCGAGGATTTTGCGCAGAGCACGATATCCACTACGGGCAGCTCCAACATGACTGGCGCGAGCGCTTGGACAGCTATTGAGATAACCGTGCGCTCTGCAATGGGCGCGTACAACGGCGTGACGGGCATATTTGACATACAGCGCTTTGCTGATTCGCAGCTGCAGCAGAATCGAGGAGACGCGCATCACAGGGAGCTGCGCATCGTAAATGAGCGTGAGATGGTAGGCACTGCAAACGGCTACGAGTACCGTTACCGAGAGGTGCCGCTCGGCAACCATCTGACCATCCGCATTCTTCTGGTAACCGACATAATTAGCTGCTCGTGGTGCCGCACTCTGGCTTTTAGCTGGTTAGTTTTGTTGAATGTAAATTTTATGAGACAAGAGCCAAAAAACAACACAAGATTGTATTTTTCGCACCAGAAAAAAGAAATGGCTAATTAAATAATCAAAAGGCAATTTACTTCTTGCTGCGGATCTTACGAAGGTAGAACTCAAGCTCCTTACCCTCGAGGATGTAACCGTCGCAGCGACCGGACTGGCCAGGGCGGGAAGTGACAATGGCGTAGAGACGGCCAGAGACAAACTGGTCATCAACGGCGGTCTCAACGGTGGCGTTACGGGCAGCAACCTTGGCGGTCAGGTGCTTGAGCGCTCCTTGTTGGCGTCAGTCTTGGTCTCCTCCTCGGTGACACGCTTCTTCTTGCCGAGCACAGTGGCGTAACGGTTCTCGTACCACTGACGGAAGGGGGTAGCGTCAATCTGAACAATGGCGCCCTTGACCAGGGTGTTGGTACGGACGAGCTCGTTGTTGGAGGCGTTGTAGATAACCGAGACAATACGAGTGCTGCGGGAGATAGACTCCGAGCCCCACGAGTAAGTACCGGCCTCAAGGCGCATGGCGCGGAACTTCTTGTTGCCACCACGGACACGGACCTCGTGAATGCGCTTGGCACCCAGCTTGGTGTTGGCAGCCTGGCGACCGAGCTCGAACTTTCTCTTCTTGCGGTACTGGGCGCGCTTGGCACCAGTGTGGGAGCGCTTATGGCGAGAGTCGCGGCTGATACCTATAGCGACAAACATCAGTTTCAACACATATTTTGTGCAATGTTGACAACGTCAAATAACAGCGCAGCGCAGATCGAATCCAAGTGCAAGTGTAGCCATTCGTAAGGGTAAAAATCAAATCGAAACCAGGTAAGCGCGCGGAATTCAACAATAAACAACAACAAAAAAGTGAGAAAAGGTGGTGGTTAAATTAGTAAAGTGTTTTGTGCTGCGTATAGACGGTCGCGTATTGCCAGAGACTCACGCTCCAGCATTAGCCCTCCAAAAAGGGACATAACAAAGCGGGTAAAAACATGCAAGGACAAGCAACCAAACAAGAGTTCCTTCTCTGTAGGTAGCAGGACTGTGCCAATTTACAAGCAGCAGCAGCAACACAAAGTCAAACAAAGTAACAGTGTGCGTGGTCAAAGCGCGTTCAGGCTGGTTGGTATAAAAGAATAGTTTAAAGCAGAATAACGCCAGCACAAACAAAACGTGCAAACGCCAACTCTGCAATAAAGTGGCACTCCAAATGTTGTCGCTAACGTAAATTTAAATTCGGATGGAATTTGTCAATTTGTCGGTTTTCAAATTTGGAAGCCACAATTCTCTCACACGCGCGCAAACCATTCCAAACTGACTAATTGGCATCAGACTGGCTGTATATGTACTAGCGAATCCATTCTTCGCGTTATCTGCGTTGGATTCACTGTCATCCAGCCTGCTCTGACTACACGCTCCGAGTTCGCCCCTGTGTTGACCGTTGTGTGCTGTTCTAAAATAAACGGTGATGGATGCGTACCCATATTGACAGATAGTAGCTTTCAAAAAGTTGACGACTGAGTAAAAGAGAGAGATCTGAGTCGAAACAGGGCGGCAGGCGTCAACTAGAAACTTGTCACGCCCATCCCTCTCGACACTGGCAAAAATTAATGGTGCCAAATCTTTACAATTTGAATTCACACGCTTAGAAGGTGAAATGCGACAAATCTAACGAGCCTGATTTTGATTTGCGCATCTAATCAAATCAGGTCAATTTTGCTTACCAAAAAAATTATTAGTGCAAAAAAAATAACACGAAAAAATTAGTTCAAGCCAGCCCCAAGTGGATAAAAAAGTGGCCTAGCATTGGGAATTCGAATTGCTGCCTGCCGATTTGGCGTGCGGGCCATGGTTTGAATTGACTCTTGGTTCTTATTTTTCAAAAAACAATTCTGTAATTCTCCTACATACACCCCCCACACACACTCTTTATCGCACTTACTGTTTGTCGCACCTTTCAAATAAACTTATTTACACACACATACGATAATGGCCGAGAAGAGAAAGTCGAAAGACAAGGACGCCTCGGCGAAAAAGTCAAAGGCGCCAAAGTCGTCCAAAAAATTAAATGGCGGAACCTCAAAGGATTTATCGGTCCAGCCTATGTCCATGCACTCGTCTATACCCTACCCGGCAGCGATCAATTCGAGCAGCTTCATCGAGAGCACGACCAAATTGACGGTGACTCTTGCAGCGATCCACAGCCGCGACTTCTGGGCCGGTGTGTACGAGACGCTGAACGGCATGCTGCTCCACTTTGTGCCGCAGGTCCGCGGTGTGGTCCTGTCGTACTCAAAGGTTAAGCTTCTGGGCGATTCGGCGCTGCTTTTCAATGACTCTCCTTACGCCCAGCTGGAGATCTCGGCGAAGCTTTTGCTGTGGCGGCCAGTGTCGGGCATGTCTCTTGAGGGAGCCATCAACGTGCAATCTCCGGATCACATTGGTATGCTGCTGTGGGACACGTTCAACGCATCGATCCCCGCGTCGTTTATCCCCAAGGACAAGTACGAATGGCGCCCTTTCAGTGACGAAGAGATCGCCGCCCGCGCAGTGCCCGTCTCCAACAACAACAATGCCAGCGACGACGAGCAGGACGAGGACGAGGCTGAGGCCAGCACCATGCAGATCGACGCATATGGTGTGCCCAGTGGCTTTGGTGAAAACAAGTTTGGATCGGGCGAATGGGTGCACAAGGGCACAAGCCAGAGCATCGGAGCTGACGGCGGCCTCGAGTTTGTCGTGGTCGATGTCATCCGCGCCAACGAGGTTCTGAGCGTCACTGGCGCCCTCCGCTGATACAACACATCAAAACAAAAAACCGTGGGTCCTTTTTTTCTCTTTTGCAACCACCTTGCAGACACAGACTGTTGAATATACATCTTTTTTACTTTTAAAACTTAGTCGATGTTTTGTAATATTTTGCTCAATCTGAAAGTTGTAGGTGTGACTGCGAGCTGCAAACTACATGGCCCATGTCAGCCGCATGACATGGTCGGTCTTGCGCTGGGTCGACTTGATAAAGCCCAGGAACCGCATCTCCTCCACAGCCCGCATAAAACGTGCCTGTATCTCGCTCTGCGCGACTTGCTTGCGTGCCTGACCGCCACCCTGCTCCACGACAGACGCAAATGCCGAGTACCAGTCGTAGAGGTTGATCATCCGGCCGCACTCCTGGTGCAGGCGATACGCAATGCTCGTGTCGTTCATGCTGGCCATCACGCGCTGCTCGGCATCAACATTGCCCCCGCTATCGCCATCGCCATCGCCATCGTCATCGTTTGAATGGTCGAGATCCTCGGCTGCGCTCTTGCAGCAGTCGCAGTTGATGTAATAGTGAGACTTTCCGAGCGCCGCTTGAACAGCAGCGCGCGGCTGAGCGCTAAAGGTTGTGTCCAGGAGAAGCGACTGCTTGTAATAGAATATCTCCTGCAGTGGTGCGCGCTGGTACGGCAGCAGGCATACCCGAAGGATGGTCTCAATGTGCCCACTGCATTTGTCCAGGGCGCGCAGCATTTGGTCGCTGGAGCTGTTGTCAAAGAGCAGGAACGGCCTGTTCTCCATGTCCGTGCGCGTGCGAATTCGCTTGGACAAAGCCTCGCCTGACTCGCTCTGCTCTGTTAGCGCGGCCTCGGGATCTGAAATCAGGTCGCTCGCCTCCTGCAAGAGGAACCTTATATCGACACCGTTTTGGATCGCATGGGCAAAATCGATGCTGCCGGCGGCCTCGACGACCAGACACAAGTTCGCGAGAAGCTGCTCCATCTCGGGCGCTTTCATTCGGCGCATGACAGCGGAAAGCGTCTTCCAATGCACGCACTCGTCAACAGCTGGCTAATGCCGTAGTAATGCAGCATGTGAATCGGCTTGTGCAGCGACTTGGGCATAGCCCCCTGTACAGCCAAAATCATTTCCATCCCCAGGCGGTAGCACTGGCGGTACGAGACGAGCAGTTGAACCATTTCGGGCAGCACTATGTTTTGGAAGAACTCGTCATCAGTGAGGGCCTGGCGTACATACTTGCGGCCGTCAGGCCCGTCTGCCTTGTCCTCCAGGAATTCTTGGACGGATTTCTGCATGCGGATAAGCTCGACTTGATCCTCGCTCAGGTGGATCGGGCACTCAACAACAGTCTTCTGGCCACTGGCTCTGCCGCCACTGTGCTTGAGCATGGCAGCGAGTACGCTGAGCGGCTGCGCGTAAAAAAAGTTCATTACTGCGTACTTGAGCTTGTTGACAAAGCCGGTGATCGAAAAGTTGTACATCAGGAACTGGTCGATCAGCGACTTGTACGACTCTGCGCCGAACAGCAGGGTGGACGCGCCCTCGACAAAGATGCTGCGAATGACCGCGTCTATGCACTGCTTGGACCGCTGCAGGTTGAAGCGCTCGACGTTCAGCATTGAAATGCTGGCCTTTGTCAGCGACTGGTGGATACTCTCATAGGATGTCGCCAGCCCTAGAACAACAACAATGGGCACTTCCTGGCAGTACCTGGCGGCGATGCGAACAAAATCATCGACAATCATGGGTGCAAAGCCCTCAAAGTCTTGCAGTATGATCACGGCTCTACTGTCTTTGCTCGTTTAGACATGTCCCACCAGAGCTTCAAGAGGCTCATGTCGTAGGGGATGGTCTTGGCGCTGGAACCGACGCCAAAAACGGCGCTGGAACCCTTGCCCCTTGGCCCCATTGAGTCGCTGACGCCCAGACTGGCTGAAATTTGGTCGAGCAAGGCCTTTAGCATGTTTGGGAGCGATGAGCATACTGCGATTCAAGCAGGGCAACGTGGTGGCCCCTGGATACCAGCTGGTTCTGCAGCGATTGGAACAGTTTGCTGTGGTCGCCCGTGTTTACACCGGAAAACGCAACTGCTGCGGCAATTTCGGCAAATGGGGCTTCCAGCTGGCCCTCTTCTCTGGACTCTATACGCTTGTACGACGAGTCGATAAAGCTGCAAACCTCTGTTACGCCCACGTTGTTGACCTGCTGCTCGATCTCAACCAGGAGCTGCTCCAGTGGCACCCACATGTCTTCGAATAGCTGTTGTCTGAGCTGCATCGAGTCGGTGGATTCCCTTGCCTGGATCAGCTGCACGTACCCGCCATTGGCCGAGATGTCTCGTTGTTGTCGCCGCCATCGTCGTGCTTTTCCAGCGGTCACCCGGGTTGGCCGGCCTCTCTTGCTTTTTGGTTTGGGCTTGTCGTGTGCGGCTGCTGTTGCTGTGAGGATGGCTTGAGAATAAACGTGCTCTCTGTCATGGAGTCAAGGCGTCCACGGGCTTGTACGCTTCAGCCATGGAAGTTGGAATGTGCGTGTGAATCGGAAGAGAAGGGTTGTATACAAGAAAAAGGAAATAAAATAAAATAAAACAAACAAACAAAAAAGGAGAGAAAAATACGAAAGCAAAGATGTGAGGGAAAAAAATAATAAAGCCCGATCGATCGGGGTGATCGCACACGAAAAAAATAAAAAATAAAAATTGAACAATGAATATATTTTGATATACAAAAGAAATATACATGCATATATGTATATTTGTAGCCTTGCTGGTTTCACATGTGCAAAAAACTGCGCTTCATGTTTGACATTGCGCGTAGCTGTGGGGGGATTAAAAGCATGTTTCTGTCTAGGATTTCGACTAGCGAAATACAGTCCTCGTCAAGCAAAGAAATGAGCTCGGCTCCATCGTCCGCAAGCCATTGGCTTGCCATATCATCAAAATTGCTGTCGCCGAATTTTGTGTAGAGCACCTTGACGCACCGGGAAAACAAACTGCTGTCGGCAGCCGAATAGTCTGTGCCACTCGCCGCTTGCAGTTCGGCATTCCAGCCAACAACGTGGATGAGAATGGCTGGCTTGCAAGACTTACGGCCCTCGACAACAAACTTGTAGACAGCGTGTGCGCCGGAATGGCCCAGAAACTCGCTGCAGCAGACCTGGCTCAGGCTGACTGAAGTTGCTGTAGATGTGTGTTTGTCTGCAGTTTGGTCCACTCTACAAATTAAATTCTTTTTTTTAGTTAAACAAAAGCGTACTCAGCAATATTAAGCGACATGGCAACATTCAATTTAGCGTGTGCAGTCAAAGACTACCTGTCAGCTATTGGCTATCGACAGCAGCATTTCACCTACCTCTCGCCTGGTGTATCTATACGCACTCGGTGCAGATATAGCTTGTTCACTCGCCTGCGACCCATGCATCCGGTCTCGCCCACAACCTGGTTGCACGCGTTGCAATGCAACTCCGTATATGCGTTAACAAAGCGCTCCTGACAAATAAAATAAATCAATCAAATCAACACGGTCGAATGTTAGCCTGAAGAAAGTTGCTGACAATGGCCTCGTACATATGAATTTAAGGGGTGGCATGTTTGCTCATCATTAGCCAGCTCAGCGGTGTCTATAAAGCTGTCTGGTTTCGCTTTTGAGAGCATTTTCTATTGTTATTTAGGATGATTTTTGCACATGCCAGAAGCTATAGAGACTGCCCGGACCAATAAATAAAACCCCTGACAAAGCTTCTGACCATATGTGCTAATCCAACAAAAATCGCATATATGCAATGAAAAAACCCAATCGTGCTGATTCGTTGTTTTGCATTTTAATTTCATTTTTGGTTAGGCTTACCTTTGCGTCAATGTGGACCAGCCGAGTCGGAAGATCCTCGCACAGTGATGCAGAGACCAGCACATAAATATCGCCGATCCATACGTCTACGGTCGGGACTGATTGTTCATCGGGACTCTGCTGCTGCTGCTGCTGCTGGCTCTTGCACTTATCTGGCTCGAACGAGAAAAGCAGATCGGCGTTGACATTCAGACTGTCCTCCTCAGGATGGCACACCCAGCAGTCAACCAACTCACCCCAGTACGCTGAGGGGAGATCGCGAATGCTCAGCTCGTGTCCGCGGCTTTTAAATGTGTCGCTGAGCAGCCGCGCGCCGCATGCCTGGCAGCAGATTTCGTTGAACCCCTTGATGGTGCTGGATGTGACCGGGCGCTGTATCACGGTTATCAGCTGGGGCGTGCTTTCTAGCCTCTCCTTTCTGCTGGCATGCGCTATGGGCGCCCGGATTCGAACCCAGCCAGGATTGGTCGATTTGGTCACTGGTCTTGGTGTCGGCGTTGGCAGAAGCTGCGACCGCACAGCTGTCCGCGTATTTACGGCAACGGGAGTTTCACTATTGTGTCTTTGTCGATCTGAATCTGATCCTCAGCCACCAGACGCGGCGCTCCATTTGCATCGGGGGACATGGATTCTGCGTATATGTCGACGACCTGGAGGTTATCCAAAACCTCGATGTAATAGGCGGGCATAGAGGAAGTGTGGGGCACAAGAGATGTGGATGAAAAGAGAAATATGTATGAGGAGCTTGTTGTGGATGGATACCAAAGCTCAGGTTTTTATTATTTTTATTTTTCGTTATGAAGGGAATTTTTTCCATAGCAAAAATACATGGGCAGCGCACTCGCGGTTCCAGCGCTGGTTATGGCTTGAATCTAATTGATCTCTCGGGTAGGCGGGAGGTTGATTTGTTTGGTTGTTTGGTTGTTTGGTTGTTTGGTTTGGTTGTCATGGTGAGAGGAATAAATAATGTGAAATGAAAATGTAAAAAAGAAAGAAAAGAAAAGAGAAGAGAAGAGAGATAAACTACAGACCAGCTCCAAGGACCGATTGTCCGTGGCGGCAAAAAGCAATAGCCAACAAGGAAGTGATGTAAAGTGAAGTGATGTAAAGTGAAGTGAAGTGAAGCGGGCTGGGTAGCAATTAAAATAAAAGGGTATGCTCAGTCAATGAACTTGCGATACCACTCCCGGACGCAGTTTCCACGGTACGAGTCGAAGGAGTATTTTTGAGCGGTGCCGTCGGCACACAAGACAATGACGCTGTTGCGCTCGTTGCCAAAGCCGCATATGCAGCGCACCTCGTTGGCCACACGGAAGTGAGCGAACGACCACTCGGACGAAAAGTACTTTGGCAAAAGGTCCTTCATGAACTTGAAGTTCGACTGGCGGTTGCCTGCAGCCGACGCCGACGCCGACGCCGAGGCTGGGGCCGGTGCTGCGGATTTGGACAGCACTGTTGGGCGGCAGGGTCCTTGGAATCGAGGTTGAATATGTGGACGGTGCCCTTGTCCGAGGACACGCACAGGCGCGTGTTGTCGGGGCTGAATGCAATGCTGTAGATGTCGGCGCGATCGACGCCGCGGCGCAGCTCGTGCACCAGGCGGCCGCTCATGGTGTCGAAAATGCGGATCAGCGTGCCCTTCTCGCTAGCGCTGGCAACCATTGTGCCATCGGCGCTGACGGCCAGTGCGCTGATTGCCGTGGCGTGGGCGGCGATGATGTTAATGTTGGTCGGGTGGACAGCGGCGGCGGCGGCAGCAGCGGGCGGCGACGTCGCCGTTGCTGCGGCAGCATGGCAGCGGCGGGGTCCAGCGAGAAGCTGCCCCTGCTCTGCGTCCGAGTGCGCTGGGCGGAGGGGCCAGCCGAGGGGAGACAGCGGCGGCGGCGGCGGCGGCCGGGTCCTGGAGGGTGGCTAGGCTGATGCACGAGTGCAGGTCGACGATCTGGATGTGGCCCTTCTGGCGGCCGGGAAAGGCCAGAATGCCGGCGTCGCTGGCGCCACTGATGGCCATGGCGCCGCGGTCGTTGTCTGCGGTCTCAAAGGCGTGCAGGTGGCGGGGCTTCGCCTCGAGCGAACACACGATGCACTTGTTGCGCAGCACAACAACGATACGGTCGCGCTGCAGCTGCACGTTCAGCACGTCCGAGCGGAACTCGAGCTCGGCGATGATATTTGAACTGGCGTCGTCCCACAGCATGACTTTGTTTGGCGGGAAGCATGGGTTGCGGCCGCCGCCAACAAAGGCCAGGTAGTTGGATCTGTACAGCATGGCGACGATGCCAATGCCGCCGTCCTTGAACTCGCGCCGCATCTTCTCCTTGTACGGGTCGCTGTTGAATATCCTGAAGCCGGTCTGCGTGCCAATGGCAAAGCACCCGTAGTCCTGGTTGAAGGTGGCGTAGAGCAGCTCTGGCGCGTAGCCATCCTGCGAGCTGTAGGCGGCAGCGGCGGCGGCGGCGCGGGGGGCTGGGCGTCCAACGTCCATTGAAGCTGCAAATGTAGAGGGCGAGAGCGAGAGCGAACTGGCGAGAGTGAATTGGCGAGGGTGAATTGGCGAGGGTGAATTTGCGGGTTGGTTTGGAAAGTGAACAAATACAATAAGAATATAAAGTTGTGTGGAATGAGAAAAGAGGAGGACGCGAGCGTGTGTGCGTGCCTGTGCTGTGTGCTTGCTTGTCTGCTTCGCGGAGGAAAAGAAAAGGACTGCGCTGCGTGGCGACTCGAGGCGCTGGGATCAAAATCAGCTGCCAGGCCCGAGAAAAGGTCAGATGACTTTGCTATACTTTACTTTTGGCGGCTGCTGACTTTCTCCTCGAGCGAATTGGGCAGCGTGAGCGACTTGAGCGACTTGAGCGACTTGGGCGACTTGGGCTGATGAATTGGCAGCCTGAATTGGAGCTGACTTGAGCAGTTTCGCTAAGCTGCTCAAGTCCCAAGTCGCTCAATTCCCTTCACAAAGTCGCTCAAGTCGCCCAATTCGCTCAAATCACCCAATTCGCTCAAATCACCATCACCAATTCCTCGCTCAAGTCGCCCAATTCACAATTCACCAAATTCACCCAATCCGTTCAAGCCACCCCCAATGGAGTTCATGGCCGACATGCTGGGCGGCGCCGACGCTGGCAAGCCGTCGGTGTTCGAGCTGGTCGCGCAGCACAAGATGGCCGAGCTGCTGGAGCCGGCCGTGCGGCACATCACGGCGGTGTATGCGCACCGGTACCCGCGCTACCTGGTGCGCGTGCTGAACTGGCACGAGGAGGTGTTCGCCGCGCTGATGGTGGCGGTCGAGCGCCACTATCTGCGGCGCTACGGCGCGTCGTTCGCCGAGCACTTCTACGGCGCCAAGCGCGTGCGCACGCGCAGGATCGGCGGCAGCGGCAGCCTGACGCGCGGCGACCAGTGGGCGTCGGTCGCGCTGCTGGTGGGCGTGCCGCTGGTCAAAAGCCGGCTGGACCAGTGCTACGACCGCATCAGCGGCGGCGACGCAGCGCGGCTGCTGGGCGGCGCCTTTGCGCAGCCCGACGATGCCGGCGCCGGTGCCGGTGCCGGTGCGGACAGCGGCGGCGCCACGCGGCTGCAGCGGCTGCGCGCGTCGGCCAAGCACGCGTTCCGGCGCCTGTACCCGCACGCCAACTTCGCGTACCACGCGGCCGCCGCGCTGTATTACGTCGCGTACATGTTCGACCGCACGCGCTACAGCTCGCCAGCACTGCACGTGCTGGGGCTGCAGCTGCGCCGCCTGAGCGCCGCCGACCACCGCGCCATGGACGCGCGAGCCGCAACCGCGCCCGGCGGCTCGCTGCTGCGGCTGCTGCGCATCGGCGCGGGCGGCGCGCTGGACGTGCTCAAGACAGCGCTGCCGCTGGCGATTTTCTTCTACCGCTTCCTCGAGTGGTGGCACCGGTCGGACTTCCACCGCCGCGCGCAGCAGCCGCCGATGCCACCGCCGCCAAAGCCGCTGCCGCCGCACCCCGACGGCGTCGCCGTGCCAGGCGACCAGGCGCTGTGCCCGCTGTGCTGCAGCCCGCGCACCAACCCGGCCATGGCGCCGACTGGCTACGTCTTCTGCTACCCGTGCATCCACCGCCACTCGCCGCCACCGGCGCCTGCCCGGTGACGCTGGCCGCAGCCGACGCGGGCGCCATCCGCAAGCTGTACGCTGACATGTAGTTGGCAGGGTTGTATTTTAGTCTTTACTTTACTTTCTCGCGCAAAACACTAAAACACTCCACTCCGCCGCCCACGCCCGATCTTGCGGCGGCACTGCGGGCAGTAGTGCGTCTTGCGGTGCAGCCCCGGCACCACCAGCGGCACCCAGAACAGCGGCCACGCGATGGCCGCCACCAGCACGGCCGCGCCGCCGGCCTTGAAGCCGATGCGCCGCTTGATGCGTGTCGTCACCACCGCGTGGCACCATGGGCACTCGACCGTCTGCGCCTGCCGCCCCAGCCCATCGGCTGCGCTCGGCCCCGCCGCCCGGGGCTCGTACATGCCGTACCCGCTGGTGCTGTGCACGCTGGCATCCGCCACGATCCATGCCAGCGTTCTGCTCGAGGCTGCGGATGTACGCCTGGCTCTGGCTCTGGCTCTGGCTCTGGCTCTGGCTCTGGTTCTCTGGTTCTGGCCATCGCCACAGTAGCCGGAATGACCCTGGCCGCTGTCCCGGCGATAAGGGCGACTCTGCTGCTGCTGTGTGTTCTGCGGGTATCTGCAGTCCGAATACCCGCCATTCCACATGCGCTGTGCCTCTGCTGGCGCGCTGTCCTCGTAAAGGTCGTGTACTGTTGCCGACAGCTGCTCGTCCGGCGCGCCTTCGCTCTCGTAGCCGCAGCCGTAACCGCAGCCATCGTCGTAGTGGTTCTGGCCGCGCTCGCTTTCGTAGAGGCCCTGCTGTTCGCCACGGTAGCCCTGGTTGCGCCCGTTTCTCGGATACTCTGCCGGCATGTCGTACCTGCCGTTGGCAGCTGCTGTGTTCTGCTGCGAGTCTGCCGCCGTGTCGACAATGGGCCTGTACAGTCTCGATGACATTTGCGGTTGTTAATGAATAAATCCCTTAAAAATTAATGTTGCAACTTTTTATTTTTGTGTGAAAAAAAAACCTTACCAAAACCAAACTATCAATGTTTTTATGTTGTGTGCGTAGCCATTCCACAGCCTTACTCTTTGCCAAGTTCTCGACCACCATTGTTTTAGACTTTTATTCTTACTCGGGATGCATCCGCCGTTGAAACCAAAGCCGCGCGACCACTTTTCTTTTTCCTTTCCTTTTCTTTTTCTTTTACACCCCCAATTCATGCGTGCCTTTTATATTTGTCTCGGCCTTGACCACATATTGTGGACTTTGGCTGTGTTTTTTAACAGTGGCGGTTACTCGAGTAACCTCCCCAACTTCCGGATCTTCACCCCTCCCCGCATTTACAAAGCCATTTAAATGAACAATCGCGCAGTTACATATTACTTGATCCACGATTATTTGCATTCTTGAACAAACAACCTATCCCCTCCCCCTGTTTTTAAATAGTTGCTCCTGCCCGCTTCAAAGAATGCTGAATCTTGAATCTTGCACATTTTTTGTCACATAGTCCTATGAAGCAAACAACAATAACGACAACCCCCCAGTGCGGCTGGTTGCCAGCCTTTTTGCCAATGCTTGTCTCCTTCAATCTAATTTACACCATCCTTTCCATTTTAACTTCACCCTTATACACTCCCTTTGTTCTATTTACACTCTAGTACTATTCACAGCCAACCTCCAACCTTTTTTTGCACCGCTGACCTGCACGATGCACAAACCGATAGCGCTCATTCCATGTATATCCGCCGTGTTTCTCTGCGCTTGCTCGCTCGTCAGCGCACACATTGAGCTAAAGGAGCCACCACCGCGCCACTCGCAATTTAGCAAGTTCTACATGGACAATGACGAAATCGACTACAGCATGAAATCTCCCCTTGGCCCCATCGTCGGATACCCATGCCGCAACTTTAAGGCCGGCCCCACCCAAGGCACGATGATCGCCGGCCACCCCTTCCGTGTAAAGTTTGACGGCATCGCCACACACCTCGGCGGCGACTGCCAATTTGCTGTGTCCTACGACAACGGAACCAACTTTGCCGTCATCTGGGACAAAATTGCAACTGCTTTCTCGACACCGTCGATGGTGGCTACGAAATACCCGTGCCGGATTATATCCCGGCCTCCAAAAAGGCCATCTTCGCATGGACATGGATCAACTCTTTGGGCTTGCGCGAGTACTACATGAACTGTGCCGACGTGCGCATCGAGAACTATGGCCACCAGCAGCCACTGACTGCCCACGAGCTTCTGGTCGTCAACCTACCCGGAAAACAGACTCTGACACCAAGGACTGGCCGTGAAGAAGACAAGCTGCCGCTCATGCTTAAGCAACGCTCCTTTATCACTGTTGGAAAGCCTGTGGATCTCATCTCCGAGGACCAGGTGGATGACCGCTCGCCCAAAGCTGCTGCCAAATCAAACTCTGGCTCTGGCTCTGCCGATGACTCAGATGCAGATGGCTCACCGCAGCAGGCCGAGGCAGATCCGGTTGCCAGAAACCACAAAGATGTAGTTGAAGACGATGAAAGCACCCTTCCAGACGAAATAACCAGCTACGTGTACATCACCCGGACAATCACCGAGGATGATGACGACATCGGCAACTTTGGCAACAACCCTGACGGAGACTACTCCTACAGCGAGATTGACAACTACCGCAGCCGCATCAAGGGCAGCAATGGGCTCACAGTGCTCAGTGAGGAAAACAAAATCAATGAGTACTTGGGTAGCTACAAGAAGAAGTCTAATGCTGGCTCAACCGCTGCCCATCTTGATGTCAACAATATGCAGCCACTGGCCACCCACTTTACGCCGATGAGCGAGTGTTCGGAGAGCTACATGAAGTCGTATCTTGATTCGTCAATTCCCTTTGACGTCGATGACACAATGCCGCTGGCCACGCACGCCATGTCGATTAACGACAACTTTGACGTCTGGCCCTCCAACTCTGTGTCAACGCTGGCTGCAATTGACATTGTCATTGGCAGCTCCACGGCTGCAACAGCATCCCCAGTTGACTTTGGCATGCCACCGGTGTCAGTTGAAGTTGTTTTGTTCCCGGGCGGGTCCAGGGCCAGCGCCAGCGTCTGTACTGCCCCGAAGGCCGTCACCCAATTCAAGACGGTGACAATTAACAACACGCCCTTTTTGCAGGTAGTCGTCTCGTTCAGCGACACTGCGATTCCCTCCAGCCTGACCATCGCATATTGACCGACATAGAGGACAAGCAATGGGGGGGGGAATCAATCAATCAAGCAACCCTATGCCGTGGCTTATTGGACTAAGGATTCCAGCTGCAGCTTTTCGACATTGTTAGCAGCGCCCCGCATTTTTTGTTGGTTAAAATCGCCCAACTAACTCCCTAGGCTCAATCCTGTTCCGTAAATTTCTTTGGTATACCAGGGATTGGCTGTAGAGTTTTTTTCTTGAAATATTTTTTTTTGGTCTTGGTCGCGTCGACCATTTCTGGATGCGCCTACATTAATTTTTTTTATCTTTTTATCGTTTTTCTCGTTCTTTCCTTTTCTTTCAAATCGATTTTCCTTTCCTTTATAATCATATTCACACTCACAACACAACATGGCTATTGAGCACGATACCTTTGCCCCAACAGCATTTTCAGAGACGTCCGTATCGGCGTGATCGGAGGCACCGGTCTCTACTCGCTGACGGGCTCAAGGTTGTGGAGGAGGTGACCGTGGAGACCCCCTGGGGCCTGCCCTCCGACCCGATCACCATTGCCGAGACCGAGCGTGGCAACAAGATTGCGTTCCTCGCCCGCCACGGCCGCTCACACAGCGTGCTTCCCTCCGAGGTCAACTACCGCGCCAACATTGCGGCGCTCAAGGCCTGGCGTGCAGGTCATCCTGGCCTTCAGCGCCGTCGGCTCCCTGCGCGAGGAGATCCAGCCCGGAGACTTTGTCATGCTCGACCAGATCATTGACCGCACCAAGGGTGTGCGCGCCGACTCTTTCTTCACCGGCACCGGAGTCACCGCCCATGCTTCCTTCGGCGAGCCCGTCAGCGGCCTGCTGCGTGCGCTGGTCCAGAACCACAGCACTGCGGTGCCCAGCATCACCGTTCATCCCAGCGGCACCGGTGTCTGCATGGAGGGCCCTGCCTTCTCGACACGCGCCGAGTCCAACTTGTACCGCTCGTGGGGCGCCAGCGTCATCAACATGACCTGCATCCCTGAGTCCAAGCTCGCGCGCGAGGCCGAGATCACCTACGCCATTGTGTGCATGGCCACCGATTACGACGCCTGGCGCGAGTCCGAGGAGTCGGTCACCGTCGCCGAGGTCATGAAGACCATGAAGGTCAATGCTGCCAACGCCAAGACCCTGCTGCTGGCCGCCCTCCCGACATTGAGCAGGCTGCGTACAACGACCCCGAGCAGGCCCTGACCAAGCCCGAGGCCGGAAGCATGCAGTACGCCTTCCAGCAGACGCCCGACAAGCAGGCGTCTGGTGACCAGAGCAAGCTTGCCTTTATCTTCCGCAACTATTTTTAATTAGAGTATTTCTTTGGTAATCACATAAAAATATTCATAATATGGAGCTGCTGGTACATTGAAACTTAATTATGAGTTTCAGTTTCAATATCAATATCAACATCAACATTAATATCGATTTAGCACATTATCGTCATGTGGGCATATATTCATTTTCTAACAAATGACAATGCTAACAAAAAACATGGTGCATTTTCGATGAATTAATTTGAAGTTTTTTTTAATGTTTGACAGATACAGAGATATAAGCGGTGCTATAACGGCCCAACCTGCGGGGCGCACACCAAACGCGTCATCTATTTTGACTTGCTCTTGGGCAGACGCGTGCGGTTGTGCTTGGAGGTGCCCTTCGCCAGGACATCAACTGGAGACTCGGGTTCGACAAAGACCTGGCCGTACCATGGGCGGTGGAGCACCTTGATCTCACGGACAATGTCCAGGTCGCGGGGGCGGTTCATCTTCTGCCAGCTGCGCACTGTGTAGCGAGGCAGTAGTGCGACGACAACAGAAATGCCGACGCCGAACCAGAAGACGAGTGTCGACATGACAGAGGTGGAGACGCCCTCGAGCGAGTAGTAGCGCACGGCCGACGAGATAACAATGTACAAAATGCAGACAATTACCGAGAACGCAAGAGCGACACCCATCAGCCAATTCCACTGCCATGAGTTGAATCCTACACACAGGCTGGCGGCGATCACCACGGCGACCGTCGGCCCAGTGCTCAGATCGAGCGGCCCCACGTCCGGCCGTTCGTGTTTTGCACGTCTGACGTGTAGGTGAACAGATAGAACGTGAAGAAGATGACAACAGACTGGTAGATGCCATCGAGAACGTACATAAAGTACCGCCACCACGGGAAGTAGCGGTTGTGTATGCCGTCAGAATAAACGGCAACGTAGGTCATTGCGGTCTTGTAGTTGAAGGGCTTGTCGAGGCAACCGAGGATGATAACGGGTGCGACGGTGAAGATCACATTGTAGAGCTGAATGTACGACAGGTCGTAGAAGACATTGGCCGAGAACGCGCAGTAGATGCTGTACCAGAAGGGGACCATGGCCCAAATGACATTCTTGTAGAAGAAGCTCAGGATCATTTCGCTCATGCGCAGGTAGTCGAACAGGCCGTGCACGAGCAGCAGGTTCTGCAAAAAGTGGAAGCGGCCGACCGTATAGTCGGATGCCATGGCGGCCTGCAGACCCTCCTCGCCGGAAATGGCCACGCCAATGTCGGCCGTCTGGATCATGCTTACATCGTTGGCTCCGTCGCCGATGGCCAGGGTGACTAGTTTGAGGCCATCTTTGATCAGCTTGACCACCTCAGCCTTTTGCAGTGGGCTCGCACGGCAGCAGACGACCGACTTGAACAACGGCGCGATTTCAAGCAGCAGCGCGCGGCACTCGGGGTCACTCATCAGGATGCTGAGCGCAGCACCGTCGATGACCAGCGCGTTGAGTGGTTGATACGCCGCTTTTGTGTCGCTGTCAGCGCCCAGCGCCTGGCCCTCCTCGTTGAATGTGCTATTCCGGCGCAGGTATTCTATCGATTGGCGCACCTCATCGGGCGAGATATCTTCATCCTGGATCTGCGGGAAGGCGGCATGCCGCCCTCCGCCTCTGGTTTCAGTCATATCAGACGCATTTGCGACCTCGGCGATGGGCCAAGGCTGCTAAACTCGGGGCTGTCCTCTATTAGTGCTTCTGGGGCGGGGCTGCTCCTGTCACTGTTGAGATTGCCGCGCTGGCGCTGGTGGCTCTTCATGCGCAGCGTGTGGCCAATGTGAAGGAACTTCTTGGCGCGACCGATCTTGTACGATACGCTGCCCAGGACACGCGCATCTTCAGAGTCCAGGTTAATGTTGCTGGTGCGCGACATCTTGGCGGCAGTCGCACCCTTCGACCCGCAGCCGCGTCTTGCGCAACGTGTTGGCGGCTGTCCCAAGCATAATGCGCCCGATCAGCTTAAAGCGCGACAAGATTTTGTCGGTGCCCGAGGAGCTGTTGATGGTCCACAGCTCCATATCCTTGGTGAGAAGGTTGGCTGCAAAGCCAATGTTAATGGCGGTCTCCATTTTGTCGCCAGTTAGCACCCAATCTTGATTCCGGCCGCGCGAAGCGAGGCGATGGTGTCAGGCACAAGCTCTTGCAGCTTGTCCTCGATGGCAGTCGCGCCAACAATGCGGAGGTCCCTCTCCATCTCCTCGCAGATAATGGCAATCTGCTCTTCGCGGTCGCTTTCGACCGAGCCCAGCGCAGTTGGTAACGCGCGGACCACTTCACCCACTCGTTCTCCGACAGCTTGCGATAGCACAGCACCAGTGTGCGCAGGCCGGCATTGGCAACTCATCAATCTGGTTGAAGGTGCGCTCGCGCATGATCCGCTCAAAGTTGATCTCGTCTCGCGACTCGAATGGGGCAGGTGGCTCGCTGCTGGAGGGCAGTTTGCTCAGGCGCTCGATCATCACGTTGTCCGCGCCCTTTGAAAACAGAATGATGTCGTTGTGGGGCGCTGGGCGCCGCATTATGGACGTCATGCGCTTGCGCGTGGAGTTGAAGTCGATCGTGTCAAGAACCTCGTACTGCGTGCGTTGCCCGCGAATATCCAAGTAAATCGTGTTTTTGACGCGACCGAGGAACGTGTACCCAAAGTTCTTGGCGGCGCGCACCAGAGCACCCTCATCGGCGACTCGGCGCTGTACGCGAGCTTGCTCATATCCTGAGTGGGTGGCGACTCGGCGCCGGATCCGGAGGCAGACCGAGAGAAAGATCCATTAATTCTGGCTCCTCGCTCAGTGTGCCCATGTTGAAGTTGGCCGACGCCGGGCTGTTGGTGCTGTCTGCCAACGAGGCATAGCTCCTGTCGATCGTTTGCAAATTCGACCCGCGCACCGGCATTGTCAGGCTCATATGATTGTCAGTAGCGCTGACAGACGACGTGGTGTGCTGGTGGGCAGCATAGATGGCGACGCCGGCCTGCCCTCGGACGACGGGGCCCACTCGAGGCCCTCGATGTTGCTGGCGTTTGTGGCGACAGAGTCTGTGCGGCCGTGGTGCTTGCTGCGATGACGCTTGTGGCGAACCATGTCGGTGATGCGTTTGGACCCTGTGCGGTTGTGAAGGATGCGTGTCAGCCGGCGGATCGTCGACTTGTCATCGTCGTCGTTGTTGACAATGTGCTTCTGGAAGTTCTTCTCTACCACGACCGAGTGGCAGGTGGCCAGCTCGGTCAGGAACAGGTCAACCATGTCGCGCTGGCGTAGCGGGTCAACGTCAAAGCCATTGCTGATGGACCGGTGCGAGCCAAGCGCCGGACCATGTGCGGTGCAATCGGCATCCCTGTCTCGTTGTTTATGTCTACCGCGCGCACCCTGCCGACTGGCGCCACTTCGGGCTTCATGTCGTAGAACAGCTGCGGGTCGACAAACGTGTACGCTCCGCCCTCGCCCGTTGTCTCGTCGCCAATCTCAACATATTTGGGGTCAAAGACATTGCGCATGGCGGTTAAGTAGCTGGCGATCATTTGCTTGGACTTTGACTTGGCCTCCTCTTCGGTAAGCTGCTGAATGGTGCGCGCGCGTGAGCGGTTCGCAGCAATGGGTGCAGGGGTTGGTGCTGGGGGGTCCGAGTCACGTCGAAGCGCCCCAGGGACGCGTCGGCGGTGGATATCAGCGGGCTGTGCTCGTACTGGTTGGTGCCAGTGCTGCCAATGCTGGTGTTTGTGCTGATGCGGGCGCGCCCAAAGTTTCCCTCATCGCTGTCGTCGTCCTGAATTTCCATAAAGAACGGGTTAGCGCCGCCCTCTGGGGGATTGTTGCGATCGACCTCCTCCTGTGCAATGCGTCCCTTGACTACGTCTAGCTCGTCGCCCGGAAGCTGCCGGCCATATATCGTGCCGTTGATCGAGCACATTCGGAAGTCCATGACGTTGCGCGTTAGAGTGCCTGTCTTGTCGCTGAATATGTACGACACCTGGCCCAAGTCGTCTGAGATGTTCCAGTTGTTTGCAATACAGCGCTGATCCGTCGGCTCGTAGTACATATTAATGTCTTGGTAAATCCAGTAGGCATGCCAGCCCTTGACAAACTCGATACTGACGTACAGCGCAATGGGGATGATATTTTGCAACATGATCATGGCCGACCAGAACAGTGCAAAACCGTACAGACCCTTCTCCATTGTGGTGTCAACATACATACTGTACCGCTGGTCGGGGTTTGCGTACTTGAGCCCGCCAACGAGCGCCACGATGAATGATGTGACAAACACAAAGCTAAAGCTCATCGAGACCTGGACGTTCATTGTGCGCTCGATGCGGCTGCGCTTGTACGGTGGGGGGCCCGAGTTCAGAACAATCTTGGTCTGGTCTCCCGTGTACAGCACAATTCCGACAATCCAGTCTGTGTTGCGCACAGTCATTCCGCGGAGGACGACGTTGCTGATCGAGAATGGGGCCACCAGCGGGTCGGATCCATAGTTGACATCATTGGGCAGCGACTTGCCGAGCACAATGACGTTGCTACAGAGTACGGGAAAAAAGGTGCAATTGTGAGGGTCGGATAATTTAGCAAGAATGGAGGTATATATGGAAGAAGAAGAAAACACAAACGCAAACAAATGAGCCCAGACTGTCGCTAGGCATGACAAGAATTCGCGGTTGCATATCATGCAATTGGTATAAACAAACAAACAGACAAACAAATAAATAAACATGCCATGATATGTCATCATGTTCATGTGTAACACTTACTCGCTGGTTGTAGTGGCGACACCATCGGAAGCTAATTTAGGCTCTAGCGTTTCCATGGCCATGGCCTGCGACGGATCAGAGGGGGCTGGTCGTCAGCGTTAAAGTGCGAGACGAGCGCCGGCTTGGATTTTAGTTGTGCGAGTGGGGACTGGCGAAAGGGTGCAGTCTGCTTGGGGCCAAGCATGCGCATCTCGAAGTTGTTGTCGCCGAGCGGACTACTAATGCTGCTCATCTGGCGGCGGTGGCCCATTCCAGGGGGCGCGCCCCCAATTGAATTGAACGGGGATGGAGAGGACGGGCTCTGCAAGTAGCGGTCTACGCCGGCACCCAGCGAGTCGACGGCGTGGAATTCTCGCCCTCTGGCGCCGTCGGCATCGAGAATATGCGAATTGAACCGTTAAGCTTGGACATGTTGGAGCTGGGCGGGTCGACTTCAATCAAGGCGCGCAGACGGCCACATCCTTCGGCATCGCCCACGCCGGCAGTCTCTGCCAGGGACGCGCGGGGCTTTAGGTTTGTTTCGCCGTCGAGGTTCTTGGTCTCAACGTAGCACCCGCCGTCGTCGCCGAGGTGGCCAGCAACAGCATATCTGATGGCGCAGGGTCGCCTGTCTTGAGGATGATAAAGTCGCCGACTCGCACGTTCCGCCACTTTGACTCTTCATCTAGCACCGGTGGCTTGGACGGTCGACCGGGTTCCGTGACTCCTCCCAGTCGTGCGGGACCTGATTGTACCAGTTTTGCGCTTCATGCGGCGCGCCAAGCGGATGCGCCAGGCGAGCAAGCGGCTGCTCTTTGCCACCTCGGCCTGCCTGTCCTGCCATACTGTGTTGAAGTTGCGAAGGTTGCGCACGAGGCGCGTGGGTGTATTGTTGAACTGCTTGTCTGAGATGTGTCTCCGCCAGTCCTCGAAGGCGTCTTTGATGCAGTGATGGCCAGCACGAGAATAATAGGCACGACGGCCAAGAAGCGGCTGCCAACAGCAAAATAGCTGATCATCTGTAGAATGGTCAGCGTCAGGAAATAAATGTTGGCCACACGCCCAAACTGTCGCGACAGATTTTTCGGCAAAAAGTCGAGAAGTGTGTACTGCGATGTGGTGATGGCGTTGGTGCTGAAATGCTCTGCGTGTTTAGAAACATCGCCTCGGGTATGTCCATGTTAGCGTATATCTTGCGCGGAGGCAGATTTGATGCCGCCATGCGCACTCCGGCTTCGTCTACAGTGTCGGATGTTTTGCTTGCTGTGCGCTTGAATAACCGCTTGTAAAGCGGCAGGCGAGGGCCGCTATTTGAGGCGCTGCTACTCATCGTCACACTCACCAATTCCGGTGCTGCTGGCAGTGGTGGTGGTGGTGGTGGTGGTGTGGGGAGCTTCTCCTATTTTGTGGATTCGGCAAGGGAGAACAAGCAGTAGCCGCGGTCTCCAAAAATAAACGCAGTAAGCAAACAGGCTACGTCGGGCTATTGAGGAAATATTGCAATCGAGCTAACAAGAAAAGGAGAAAAGAGCGCAGAGGGGTGTATGTCAGAAACAGCAATACGCAAAAATAAAAGTGACAAAAGATATGTTAGTATTAAAATGTTTACTCGACAGCTGTGGCTCGCATAAGAAGCAGACATGCCATTAAACAATTGTCGTGCGCTCACTCCTACACGCACAAAGAATAGTGTAGGATATTGCGGTCTGTTCCATTTTCCCTTGTTGCGCAGAGTGATAATTTTCCAAGCAGATACAGCAGATGGAGGTGATCGTTGAGGAGTGCGGAAATATGATGGCATTCGGTTGATTGTGACCAAAATAATTTTTGGAAGGGTTTCTGAGAAAAAAAACTAGTTTTAATCTGGCTGCCCATCGTTTATTTTACATAGTAGCTGTGCCCGGCGGAAATATCTCGGAGGGGCGGAACCTGCCTTCCCAAGCAAAGCGCGTGCGCGTATCTTTGCAAAGCAAAAGAACAAGGGATTTTGCTTGTCGAAAAGTGGGGAGAAAGCCAAAGATACAGCTGAATGTGTTTCGGTGCATTGCATGTAAGCGACGCAATAGGGGGAGATGTGTGGACAAAGACAAAGTCCAAGACAATATGTAAACACAAGGCGCTCGCTGGACTGGGCTGGGCCAGTCCGAGCTGGCGCTCAGTCTAGGAAGCAGGTTGCGCGAGCACGAGATAAATAAAATAGGAACAGTGCAAACCCAGAACATACCTTATCGAGAGGGGGGAGATGAAGAAAGTATATTAATAGATATCCCGGTCTGCGCGTTAGCACGCTCTAGTGTCTGCTTCAAAACCTCAAAGCTGTTGGCGTCAAATTTTGCACTCCTTTTTTTGTAAAACGCAGCAAAGGTGTGCGGCTAGCAGTAGCGGCAAGTCTGAATTCCGGGCTCTTTTTGAGTCAGCACGTGTGGGCTTGTCTGCACGCGATATGTGGACAAGGCGAATGGTGACCTCGAACAAACAACCAAGCGTTGAGCGCGTCGCTAGTTCAGAAAACAAAATCCCAAAAAGTGCGGTTTACAGTAAAGCTGAGCCTGAGGCTGAGAATACGATAACGTGAGTACAGTATAAAATAAGTCTAAAGCGCAGCTGGCTGGTGTATAGGAGAGAAAAGATGGCACACACTAGCGCAGGCGGTAGAAATAAGTACAGTTCAGCGGTAAAGAGATACAAATAAAATAAAATAAAATTATGAAAGCAAACTGAAAAAGAAATATTAAAAAAGCAAAAATTGGATAAAAATGGTGTCGGATTACCAGCTGTATGAAAAATAGGCCAAAGGATTATTGGGCCCAAAAATCCACCCATTGTGTTTGCCTTCCTATCAGTGCCAAACCTGCAATTACTCAGCGTGCATTTTTTTAAGTGCGCTGTACACTGAGATTCGTCCGCCGATTATCGCATTAGTGTCGTCTCACGTTCACCCGCTCCCCCAATCCCCCATGCTTTTTTGTTTGTATATGTGGTGGCGGTAAGATGCCAAGGAATCCCGCAGGCTTTATAATTGCTCTGGTGGTAGTGCAGCAGGAATGCCACAACACTGACGAGGAATTTTGGTGTAGCGCACACGACCAAACGCACTGCGCTGCAATGTGTCTCGTGGTTGCGATTTTCTTTTATAAAAACACCGCTGTCAAGCAGCTTTTAGCTTTGGCAGCAGCGTCAGAAGCAGAATCAGCAGCAGAATCAGCAGCGGCGCTGACAATAGATATGTGGCGGTATTATTTTTCTCTTAATTTAGCACCATAGATTTTAGTAGTTTAGTAGAGGCATAACCCTGTGGCTGGAAAGGCGCGCATTAAAGTGGTAGGATCACGTGTGTACCCAAACACTGAAATAAGGCTTGTCCGTTTATCGGTTTAGGAAAAAGTAATAACAAAAAACATACATACAAGAATGACACTGTTTGAGCGCCGTCAACAAAATATGCGTGTTTCACTTGGGTCTGTGCTGTACGTTTGTGCTTCTCACTCCGACTTTGGTTTGGGTTGCCTCTTGCGATCTAGGCCCAAAAAATAGTTTTGTAATTTCTGACAGCCGCCAAAATAAAACCATGCGCGGGGGGACTACAAGATCGAAATGTTGATTTCTGACTATAATTGTGTCGTCTTTATCTAAGCCGTCAGCGCAGCTTGCCTCTTGTCTAAACAATAGCACAAGGCAAAAACAAAGCTCGTTTTTCGGCAATATTTCTACTTTGAAACAAGTGAATCAACATCTAAATTAAATCATATTTGTATATAACAAGAACATCAAATAAATTATAGCTGCATCATTGTTTTCCGCGTGTGTTCTGGGAGTGTCCCATGAGAAATTTCAATATAAAACAACAGTAATCTTTTCAAACACAAATTATTTACTCGCAAACCCTCCAACTCGGACAGGTGTAGAAGGTCAATCTGGAGGCTGTATTGCTGCAAGCTAAAGTGCCTTAACAAAATAAAAATTAATGAATATGTGAGAAGTCACCATCACCCCTCGCTTCACTTGCTTATTACTCAGATTTCTAATTGAGAATGGGTTCAGAAACAATTGCGAGAATAAATGAGGCGTTAACACCACCGGAAGATTAAAATGTGTGAGAAAAAATATTTGGCTACTGAGGTACATCCCCAATTCTGCGTCGCTTGGCTCTTGCTCGTTTGATAGCAGACAATAGACACAGGCCAATTTCTGCGCATATTTGTCCCAATTGTCTTTTGTCACTGATTGCGTGAACCGAGCAACAACCCCCAATCCTCGCTGAAGCAGTTGAAGGTGATGTGTATGTTTAGCTTGCGCAATATCTCTGTTCGGAAAGCGCCTCTGGTTTCAGGCGCTGTTTCTTTAAGTAAAGAAGCCGCATCATCCACAGGAGGAGCCACAGCCAGTTGCAACTTGAGCTGTGGCATCAAGAATGGGGGTGGCAATGCTTGCAACTGGGATTCGGCCATCCAAAAGGAGCAGCGTTAATAGGTGTGGATTTATGTGCATGATTAGTAGTGAAGAGGGGATAGAAGGAGAAAGGAAGGAAGAAAGAAATGGTGCCACTTCTCTGTTATTAAATTTAGTGGAAAGATGAATTGGTAAATATGAAAATGTTACAATAGTTACGCCCCGTTCTGCATCTGCCCATTGGGCATTTGCTGGTGATGTAGTTGCTGCTGCTGTTGCTGCTGCTGATGGTGAGGCATCTGCATTTGCATCTGCTGCTGCTGTTGTTGTTGCTGTTGCTGTAGGAGCTGTTGCTGCTGCTGATGCTGTTGTTGTTGCAGAAGCTGCTGCATGCGCTCCTGGGTCTTGGCAGACAGGTAGTGGAATACGGCCTCGTCAGCCCAGGGCTCATCGTACAAAGCGCTCTCCTTGAGCCACTTGGATGCCTCGTGCTCCATAGCCTGGCGGCGCTCGTCGGTCATCTCGTTGGAAGAGCTGTCGGCAGCCATGATGGCGCTAAGTGCAGCTTCAAGGCCGTGGCGTCTGTCGCCCAAAATAACCTCGAGGTCCTTGGTCTGGTTGTCATCCAGCGGTGGATGAAGGCGACGGGGTCTTCGGAGAAATTGCGTAAAAAGTCGCGCTTCGTGCGGGCGTTGTGTATTTCTTGCATTTTCTGGGCCAGCTGTGCGTCGATCTGGGCCAGCTCACGGTTGCGCGCCTGTACGTTGGCCAGCGGGCCAGCGCCCTGGCGCGAGACCTCCTCGACCTCGACCTCAACATCAAACGCGTACTGTGCCATGTGGAAGTCGCCCTCGTGTACGCGCACCGTGTACTCAATGACCAGTGGGTCGGGGCGCGACATGAACGCGTGCAGCATCTGCGGGATGGCAGTGAAGGAAATGACGTGTGAGTTGAATGCCTGCGCCAGACCGGCGTCGCAGCGTATCAAGTCAGGGTCCTCGGCATCCTGCAGGTCGTTGAGCTTAATGTACTGCCACAGCTTCATGATGAAGGCAGATTTGGAGATGTTGCCGCGGATGTCCAGCAACTCCCGCAGCAGCGGGCTATTGACCTTGAAGCGGTCCGTGGCCGTGCGAATGTCCAACATAATCTTTGCTCGCACGTCCTCGTCGCCGCGACGCTTAATCTCAAAGCCGTCAACGTCGTTCTCGGCGGCTGCGCGGCGCCACTGCACTGTGTTGTCGCCGAAAAGCTCAGTGTTGCGGTCCAGCTCGACCACCATTGAGTTTAGGAACTCGCTAAACTTGTGTGGCGGCGGGCGCGTCTTCCATGTCGTGCCCGGCGGGTCCACCAGACGACCCTCTACGCGCAGTGTCCATGAAGGCGCATCGGCCTCGCGCTGCAGTAGGTCACCCATGTCCGAGTCGTCATTGGGAACGGCAGACTGGTTAGCGGCCAAATTGGAAACAAAGATTCGAAGAATGCGCTTTTTGTAAACGGGCTTCCCAAGGGCCTCCTGCACTTCCAGGCGCTTGCGCACGATTTTGGTGTCGAGTTTGCGCTCCAGCGCCTGCAGTTGCATGTAGAGACGCGACTCGGGAATGTACGCCTCAATCTTTGGTGGCAGCGACTTTTCAATTAGCCTCTTGCGCTTCGGATTCGGAGTGGTCATTTTGTAGCGGAAATTGTCGGATTGGCGCGTGCAATTAAATGGAGCAAAGAAAAATGGAATTAACGAAAACAGATAAAAGGAACCGATTTTTTTTCGAGGCTTGTGTTGCGCGGATTGACGCGTTTCGTGTGCGTATTCGCCAAGTGCTGAGCGGGGAGATCAAATCATCGATCACTGGTTATCAATGACAGATGTGCTTCACCAGATCTCGTGCGACATCCATGCACCATTGCGACACGCTTAGCGTCATGTTATGCTATGTCAGTATGACCAAAGCGGACACTAATATGCAAAGGGGCTCAATGCCAGTAAGTATCGGCGGACCTCCGTGTTTCTCGCAGCAAAAGTCTGGGCGCGATGGAAGCCAAAGCCGTTGCCGATCGATACTGCAAGCAGGAAATAAGACAAAGGCCCAAAAGAGGCGCTCAAGGCCAAAAAGCAAAGGCCACTGCTGTGCGAGAGGAGGTCGCACAGATGCCGCTGCCATTTATAAAAGTTGGGGGGGAAGCACCCATGCATAGAAAACTGCTTTTTTCGGAGCAGCAATTGCAATTGCTCACTACCTTTTTTTTACATTCCCATTCTTAGCATTTTATTTCTTTTATCCTTCATTTACGCATTTTAACACCCTTAGGAATCGCACATACCAACAATGGCAGTTCGAGCGTTGCTACTAGGGAAGCAGGTGGGCCCGGCGTCACTACAGCGCTTTCAACATGGCGCACATTCAATTCGCAACTGCGCGTTTGCGCACACAGCATCAGCGCCAGCGTCAGCAGCAGCAGCAGAGGCAACGTCGGCGAAGCTTTCGGAGCAGCCGGGCGAGCGGCCGTATCCGTACTACGTGGCTTACACAGAGGAAGGCACAGTGCGTGTCGACGTGCGCAAGAGTCCGCAGCTGGTGGGCGTGACCAGCTCGCGCGGCACGCGGGCATACAACCAGGACCGCTTCGAGTTTCGGCCGCTGCGAATTCCGGGCATGGTGGCGGACCGCCGCGACAGCACCAGCGCGCAGGTGATGTACGTGGGCGTGTATGACGGGTGAGTACGCAACTGTGATTGCGAGTGTGATTGTGGCTGTGGGTTATGGTTGTGAGCGAGAGCATTCGCTAATCTAATCGGGATTGATTTTTGTAGACACGGCGGCGACTCATGCTCAGACTACCTCACACACGCGCTGACGCAGCACATCGAAGAGGCCACGGTCGGCGACCTAAGCTCGGTGCTGGCAACGGTGCGGCAGTATGGCATGGACTGGGCCAACTACACGCCGGCAGCACTGGAGCGGCTGGAGGCGGCCGTGCAGCGCTACGAGGCGCCCAGCTTCCTGAGCATCGATGAGCGACTGACGCTTGCATTCCTGGCGGCCGATGGCGCAGTGCGCAACACACGGTGGAGCGATGGACAGGGGTCAACAGCATGCACGGCACTGCTGTGGGATCCCGAGGGCCTGCCGTTCTGGGCGCGCGAGAGCCAGCTGCATATGGCCGTGGCCAGCGTCGGCGACTCCAAGGCGCTGCTGTGCCGCGCCGACTCTTCCGGTGGGCTGGCCGAGGCGCTGAGCTCGCCGCACAACCCGAGCATGCGTGAGGAGCGCGAGCGGCTGCAGCGCCACGGCGCGTTTTTCTCGCGCGACTCGTTTGGCGAAGAGCGCGCCATGGCCCGCGTGGCCAATACGCGCGCGTTTGGCGACTGGCAGGTCAAGCGCTTCGGCGTTGTGGCTGAGCCCGAGATCCGCCACTTTGAGTTGGGCGGGGACTCGGCGTTTGTGGTCATTGTGTCGGACGGGCTGACAGGGGTGCTGACCGACCAGGAGATTGTCGATGTTGTCAAGGGCTGCTCCACCCCGGCTGTCGCCGCGCGTCGCCTGGTTGACGTGGCTGAGCGGCTGGGCTCTGACGACAACATGACGGCGCTGGTGCTGCGTCTGCCGGCATGGGACGCGCCGCTGCTGCGCGACCTGACGCTTGACCTGCGCCAGCGTCGCCTGGATGCTGTTGACCAGGTACGCCGCCTACGCGGTTCAATGCTGACGGGTCCGCAAAGCGGGCCGCACGAGGAGCATGCGGCACACGTGCGGCTCGCCACGCCCGAGCGGCTGCTGCGGCGCATCTTCACTACGCATCAGCGACCGCTGCATCCGTGGCGCAGATCCAGCAGCGTGTGCGGGCGTCTGGCTTTCGGCTGACGCTCGTCGCTGATCCCGAGGACATTGTGCTAGACTCGGACGAAGACAGCGGCAGTGTCATCGCGGTGCCCGAGGTAATGCGCATGACATTGTCCGTACTCGGCCGCGCTTCTGCGCCTGCCGACAAGGACTGCGTGCTGACGGCTGAGCAGGAGCGCGTGCAGCTGAGCATGGATGAGGTTACGAAGGCCTGGCGTCTCATCGGCCTCCACGTCATTGAGGCTTAGGCTGCGTGCGTGCCGCCCGCAATTGTATATTTCCCAATAATTGATTTCATTAATTTGTTTTGTACTTTGGCTCATGCCTCCGCTATCCGACGGCCTACACCCGAAAATATGCGCTATACCTCGGTATATCTCTGGCCCATGTTCCCGAGCCGGCAGTTGGTTGTGTAAGCAAGGTGAAACACGCTGCATATTGCAACCATTTAACAATGGGTTTAAGACAATGGAATCGGATGCGCGTACGGCACCGTTTTAATGCCTCTTCTGCAGCAATTGATTTTTGGACGTGACAAACAATTGTTCCGTTAGAACTATGAATTCTCATAAAACGACTATATAAATAGAGCCCACCATTCCTTGGTCTGTGTGCACTCTCTGTCTCTATTCTAATTTTTCCTGCATGCCCACTTGCATGCACCAATTTTTCCTGTTCCTTTTTTACACCTGCCCCTCCAATACCACTACCACTACGACATCTCCATCGGCTGTTTAAAAGTTTTCATATATTCATTTCCTGTTGTTCTCTTTGCCTTTCCCCACTCTTTTTTATTTTCTCGCAGCGCAGCGCAGAGCTGACACACCCACACACATCATACCCACGCCTGCTGTTGAAATAGTGCGACTAGCAAAAATTTTAATTGACACTGCGGAGCAAGCACAAAAAACAACAAAAATTATTTTATTTTAGTTCGCTTCGCTCCATTCTCTTTTTAACTTTATTATCGTTGTTTGTTTACGAAAAGCCTATTTATTAGTGTTTGTTACTGAGTGTAACGCACCCATCAATCGCCAAACGAGTGAAACAGAGTCGGAGAACAAAACCTTGATAAACGCAATATTATCTGCTCGGCAAAATACCTGCACTATTTACAATTATTTTCTCCGATTGTCTGGCTCTTTTGCACAACACAAACCACACAAGAAAAAAATACCGCTCATAACGCCCAGAACAGCAATGTCACTTGTCCGGACAGCTGGAAGCAGCCACAGCAGCCCCAAATCGGCCCTGTCTTCAGCATCAACTGCAGCGGAAATGGAGCCAATGACGACATCCTTGCCAGCATCACCATGCTCGCGTTCAACCCCGCAGTCCCACATCCAGATCCCAACGCCACTTCACGCGAACTCCTTCTCTGGGAGTACTTGGCCAAGACCAACGCCGAGGTCCGAGATCTGAGGGCCAAAGTCAACAGCCTGCTAGAGATGAATATCCGGTATGCCGAGCAGCTGCACCACGCGCTCGATACAGAGGCACCTAGGAAGCGTACACGCGGGTCTAGTTGTGCGGGTCGCCAGTCAAACAATACGTCGGATTGGTGTCAGAGTCTCCAGTCGCAGTTGCGCTGGCTGTGGATGAGCCGCGAAACCAGGATGGCGTGGCTTCACAGAGCCAGGTGCGTGCCAGGGCGCGGGCACTGACAGTAGCAGTGGCTCAGCCTCAGCCTCAATCCCAGATGCAAATGCAAATGCAAGTCGACGCCCCAACTTTGGATTTGGCCCATGTTGAGCAGCCACATCAGCATCAGCCCCAGGTTAACTTGTCCACGCCACTCAACTCAGCCTACGTTCTTGCACCAGCCGTTCCAGCCGCTGACCTTCCAGCAGCACCATCCCACATTCCAGGCACTGCAAGCCGCGCAGCAGCACGAGCAGTTACAGCGACGCATAAACTCGGCGCTGTACATGGACCATCAGAACCAGCAGCGCTTCCGCTCGTATCCTCGTCGTCCATCTCACTGCAGCAGGCCCTAGCGCAAATAAGGGGGTTCCCGTACTTGGGCCGGGCTTTAGGGACACAAACAATAGTAACAATAGCAACACCACCGCTTTGGACAATATTATCTCTCAGCAGGTGATGCAGTGCACCGCTGCTATGTCATCTGTCGCTACGGCTCCTGTAGTAACATCTGCGCAAATGGACAGCATCCACCAGTTCATTGGCCCCTCGACGAACTCTGCCATTCACCCACCCACAATGATCCCGCTGAGTACACCCATCATGCCCATCGCGGCGTATCGCAGTCGTTGTCATCCCACACGGCGCCATCTTTGACTATTTTGTCAGGCACGTCAGCTATGGTGTCTGGTCAGGACAAGCATGTTCGTCAGCGCTCGTGGCGCTCATCGCGGCCCGACACATTTGAGGAGCTGCAGTCACAGTCGCAGACCCAGTCCAGGCATCCATCAATGTCACATTTGGCAACGGCAGCGACCCTCGCGTCGACTTTAAACACCAATCAAATATTCAAGTCGTCATCGATGCTCGAGCAGAAGCAAGAGCAAGACCCAGATGAAGACCAAGATGAAGACCAGGATGAAGATGATAGCAGTGGATTATCTAACCAGGATATATCGAGCACTGGTGCTATTGACTTGGACACGAGCGTGACCTCGCTTAGCCACTCCAGCGCATCCATTTCTCCGAACCGCGGCCCTGGCGCTGCCGCTGCCACGAAGCGCCGCATGTCCTGGATGATGTCGAGGTCGGCGTTCCCGAACAGATACCTTCAATCGGTCAATTCGACTCGCTGCGCCAGCTGTACGATTACAAGGAACTCTGCAGAAGCTATGACTCTGTCCATGGCTCACAGTGGCGCGGAAAGATGGAGAGCAAGCGCCGCCAGAACTGGAGCCGCATCTCCGCCGTATACAACCGCATACTGCAGATGCGCGGGCCTGGCACCACGGAGGCTGACATTGAGCGCGCACTGAAGGCGACAGTCAGCGAGATGGAGTCGTTCAAGATGACTCTGACGCGCTACTCCCAGCTGATCCGGAAGCGGCTCAATGACGAGCGCCGATCTGCTCTGCTAGATCAGTCCACTGAGAATCCCGATCTCGAATGAAGGCTGATCGCAGCCAATTTTGCGGAATCAAATCAATGTAGTCACCTGAGCACAAAATGCCCTTCTATTTTTTCAGCCAATCATAACTTTTTAATTGAGAAAATCATGTTTACCTCCGGCGAAAGCAAAAACAAAGCCGCCCGGCAAATCCGAAAAAAAATTGAGGCGTGTATCGAAAGCCAGAAATGTTACCTACTTTCATGTCTGTCTGTGCTGTAATAATTAGCTGTTGTTTCAGCATAGTAATGGTTCGATAGATCGCTGTTCAGTCTTGCCAATATAAAGCTCTCGTCGTTTGTCCATCGTCAGTTTTTTCCCATTCCATTTTTTGCTTGCTTGTTTGCTCCCTCATTCAGCCGCACTGGGATCTCTCATCTGTCCAACTTTTCATCTCTCCCTCTTCTGCTTTCTTTTGTTTACTATATTATTCTATATTATTTGCACTATTACCGCTACCACTCCTAATTAATCATATTTGTCATGGCCATCTTCCAAGCTGCTTGGGAGTCGTACATGGCCTTTATGGCCCGGTCGCCCGTGGGCTGCGCCGTCGTCACTGTCGTGCTTCTGGTCTCGTTTGTCGTCACATGGGCGCAGCTCGAGCAAAAGGTAAGACGCTCGCGTTAATTTATGCATTTATGCTTGAATATATCTGCCTACAATGTTCCTTTTATACTCCCTCATCACTTTAGAGGGATACGCAAACGCACTCTACTAATCCTTTGCACTATCAGCTCTTCCAATTCGGTACTCCTTTTGCTGCTCCCCTTCCTTAGATGAACTACAACCCGTCGGCCCCGCCGTTCGTCACGTACTACGTGCCTTTCATCGGATCGATGATCGAGTTTGGCATCCACCCGGTCAAATTCATGCGCAAGCACCAGGCGATCCACGGCAACTTCTTCACCTTTCTTATGTTCGGACGCTGCATGACTGTTTGCATTGATATTGACGGCAACGACTTTGTCTTCAACGCCAAGCACTCCAACGTCACCGCCGAGGATGCTTACAACTCGCTGACCAAGCCCGTCTTTGGCGAGGGTGTCGTCTACGACGTGCCCAACGCTGTGCTGATGGAGCAGAAGCGCATGTTCAAGGCCGGTCTGTCGATTGACAGCTTCCGCGCCTATATCCCCATTTTTGTGCTGGAGGTGAACCAGTACGTTGACAAGCACTGGAAAAAGGACGAGGACACCATTGACCTGCTCAAGGCCATATCCGAGATGATCATCATGACTGCGTCGCACTCGATGCTGGGCCCCGAGATCCGCTCGAAGCTGTACGAGGGCGTTGCTGAGCTGTACCACACCCTGGACGGATGCTTCACCCCTATCCACTTTTTGTTCGAGTGGCTCCCTCTGCCCTCCTACTATGCGTCCGAGAAGGCGCATGCCGAGCTGGACCAGATCTTTTCCAAGGTTATTGCCGAGCGTCGTAGCAACCCCGATGTGAAGCACACCGATATGCTGGACATTTTGATGACCTCAAAGTACAAGAACGGCGAGTCTATGAGCGACAAGCATGTCGGAAACATGCTGATTGCCCTGCTCATGGCCGGCCAGCACACGTCGGCTGCCACCACCACCTGGTCTATCCTCAACCTGGCCGCCAACCCCGATATTGTCGCCGAGGCGCGCAAGGAGTACGAGGGCATTTTGGGCGAGGAGCTCAAGGGCGACAGGATTATTGAGCCCACCTATGAGAACGTCAAGGACTTTTCGATCCTGAGCAATGTCATTCGCGAGACCCTGCGCATCCGCTCTCCTCTCGTTCAGATCATGCGCAAGGTTATCAAGCCCACCGCCATCCCCAACACCAACTACGTTGTTCCTGCCGGCCACTACCTTATTGCCTCCCCCGTCATTTCATCCACCGATGAGAAGTACTACAAGAACGCCGAGGACTGGGTGCCCAGCCGCTGGGTCAACGCTGACACTGACGAGGTTGCCGACAAGTCGACTACTGACTATGGCTTTGGCGCCCTGTCCACTTCGGCTCGTTCCCCCAACCTGCCCTTCGGCGCCGGCCGCCATCGCTGCATTGGCGAGCAGTTTGCTTACCTGCAGATTAAGACCATTCTGTATATTCTGCTGACGCGCTTCGACTTTTCTCTGGACCCCAAGCGTGGCATGCCTGAGCGCGACTACACCTCCATGGTGCTGCTGCCCGAGGGACCGGTGCTGTGCAAGTACAAGCGCCGCGTCACCAACTAAGCCTATGCCTTTTCCATATCAAAAATATTAATCATTCGTACATCACATGGCCACGCAAAGTCGCAAAATCCTACCGGCGAGCAATAACTGCTGATGCCGTTGCCGTTGACAATACCACAAACCAATGCAATTTTCATCAAAAATGGAACCAGAAGAGAGCACTTGTACTTAACAAACAAGCAAGCCATTTGATGCCGACATATCAAGCAAATAAAAATAATTGTATGTATTGAAAAAGAGACAATAAATGAGTGAAGCACATAGACACGCTCTAGAAACCGTGGACCTTGATGTTGTTCTTGTTGGCAATGCCCTCGGAAATGAGGAACTCCTTCAGGGGGATGCGGTGGTCGCCGGACAGCTGGATAATGCTGCCGTGCTCCTCATCGGCGACAACAGTGCCGATGCAGGCGAACTGACCCTTGAAATACTTGACCAGCTTCTTGTGGTCAAAGATCTCGGGCAGGCCCTGCATGGTGGTCACAGTCTTCCGGCCATTACGCTGCTGAATGCGGATGTCTACGGCTCAGAATCAAAAAATCAAAGAACAAAAATGAAAAGCAATGGTTTTTTTTAGCAAACAGTATCATTAAAAAAGCTTTGACAAGCACACACAAGCAGCAGTTGGACATACATAAAAGGAAATTGCAATGAATCAGTGTAACTATGACATATAAGAGCAAGCATTGCTGAAGCACCACCTCAAGACGAGGAATAGTACGTTGTTTCCAGCTGACAAGTACAAAAAAGCTCAAAAAGAGCTAATTATCATCATATTCCGCCCTCCCCCTTCCCCATGAGAATTCTCAACTGCTGAATCTCGAGCGCAATTTAAAAAGCAAACTTTTTTCTACAAATACTTACGAATCTTGAACTCCTCAACCTCGTCCTTCTTCTCCTCGGCAAACGGATCATGGGCAGATCCGGGCTTGCCGCTGAAGAAGTCCTCGTCGGCACCAAAGTTGTTCAGATCCTCATCAATAGTAACGGCCTTGCTCTTCTTCTTCTTGGAGGACTTCTTGACGGCAACAACCTCTTCGTCGCTGAATGAGTCGGCGCTAATTGGGTTAACCACGCTGGCCTCAGCTACATGCTCGAATTCATCTTTGGTAGGCGTCGACATAAAAATAGATTGTATAAATGAAGTAAATCAAATTTAGATTGAGAAAGCAAAAAAAGAAAGAAAATTAATTGGTACTTGAATGAAAAAGGAAGAAAAAACGGCGATATTATTTGATGCGCGGGGTGTGGGGCAAAAAGAAAAAAGGTTGAAAATTTTGTTTGTTTTGTATCACGAGATTTGTCAACCCAATAAAAAAATGCAAGACAAAGAAACGTTCAGAAATTGTGTTTTGCCTATAATATTAATTGGAAGTATAGCAGCACAGTTGGCGGACTAATAAAAAGAGAGGAAAAATAGAATAAAGCTCATCATCGCCCGGCTTTTATTAAAAGCTTAGAAAATGTAGGGGATGAACTTCCAAGGGACAACGCGCATGTACTCGTCCCAGTCAGCACCGTACTTCCTGACGCAGCGCGCGTCATCGCGGCCAACGCGATGAACAAGCACAATGAGGAAGAAGGTGATGTAGAAGTATGGGAAGAAGGAGCCAAAGCCAGCGATCAGACCCCAGGAGAGAGCCATGACCAGATCAGCCGTGTAGTGGGGCTTGCGGGCATACGCGTACCAGCCGTCGATCAACAGCTTGTTGCCGTGGCGAGTCTGCAGGTACTTGGCATTATGGATGAAGCTCTTGGGCAGCTGCGGGAACGCATTGCGCTTAATGAGCGTGTTGTTCCAGTGCATGCGGAAGCGGTTGCGCTGCGAGTTACCAGTGTCCCAGAAGTAATAACCGACAATAACCATGGTGTAGCACAGGACGAGCCAGGGCGTGGAGAAGTTCATTGGGCCGTTTTTCAGAAGGTACACTGACGAGTAGCAGTACGAGAAGGGCACGCCGGCGAGGTTCCAGAACAAGAGGTACCAGCTCTCGAGCTCGTAGAAGATATCCCACGAGGTAATCACGCACTCCTCGCCCTTGTTGCAGGCGTTCGAGTACAGCCAGTGCGCAAGGACCATGAAGGCAGACTCGGGCGTGACGTAGCCGATCAGCTCGTACTGTTTGAAGGCGCACGACACGGAGATGAAGAAGAGGATGGGCCAGGGGATGCGGAGCTCTGTGAAGAGCTTCAGATCAGGCTGCCCAGACGCGGGTTGAGGCAGACGCCCATGAAAAAGTCGTAGATGACATTGCCCGATGCGCGGTGGGTCTTGCCGCGGAGGACGGTGATGGCGTAGAGGGCGCCGGCCAGAAGAAACTCCAGATCATGGCAACGGTCATGATCGGGCCCAGGTTGTCGACGATCTCAGTCAGCCTGAAGATGCCGGTGAAGTGCAGGACCAGCGACGTGATAACGGTAATCCACCATGACCACAGCGCGTTGCAGTGGTACGTCAGGCGCTGGCCGTTGAGGCTCGGCAGCTTGTAGCCCTGCATGGTGGGGCCGGGGCAGACGTACGCGAGGGCGACCATGAAGAACGTGAAGCCAAGGTAGATCTTGGCTCCGGTCCAGGTGGGGCCCGCAATGTCCCAGTAGCGCTGGGCCATGCGGCAGGCCCACGGGGAAAAGTCGGCCAGCGATTCGGGAAGGAGAAAGTGGCCGTTGTTGTCGTAGACGCACAAGAACTGATACGCCATCAGCAGCGGGAAGCCGACAATCATCGAGGCGGCGCCAATGGGCCCCCAAACTCGTAGACAAAGTTGCTATCTGTGACATCTTCAAAGGCGACGTTGTCATGCGGGCGCGGGCTGGTGGTGGCGGCCTTGCGGCGCGTGAGCATGGATTCCGACGCCGACTCGGTGGAAGATGAGTGTGCGCTACTCATAGTGCAAGCGGGTAATAGCTCGTCGATAGCAGGTCCAAGCGCAGTTCCCAAGCAGTGACTTTTTAATTCTTTACCCGAGAGATAAGAAAGGGCAGTTGTATCCGAGAAGGCGGGTAAATGTAAATAACTTTATATTTTGTCGTTACCCTGGAGCCGCGGTTGTATTCGAAAGGTGCCAATAAAAATATAAAATAAAGGAAAGGTAGAAAATAAAGGAGAGAAAGAAAATATCAGTTTTTTTGTTTTCAGAAATCCAATTTAGAACGGGTGTGGGATGCGGTGGGCCTTTTAACAGCTGCGCTTGCGCTTGCGCTTGCGGTTGGTGTTGGTGTTGGTGTTGGTGTTTGATATTTGAACGAATGTGTAATTTCCCTTTTTCACCCTGCCATTCTGGCGGGCGCTTCTTCATTGCCATTTTTATTTATTTATTTTATTGCGCGCTTTAGCGAAAATCACATCAACATACACTTGGACGCACAGCCGGCAATCCTAAATATTCACGTTTATGCATTGTGCGGAAAAAATAAAAATAAAAGGAAAAGGACGAGCGAGCTGGATTTATTTGACTGGAAATGTTTGCCTGACACAGGCATCAGCAGTTTGTCGAGGCGCAGTTACACACATCTTTTTGTTTTTTGGTCATGTTTAATTTTCTTTTAGCCACAAGGATCAGCCAGGAAAATAAACAATAGCACGTAGCGCCCCAATGGATGGGGAGAAATAGATACAGGGATAAACAAAAAAGGGAGACAGAAGATGAGGGGGGATGCCTGCGCCCAGCTCTGTCATACAGCAAGATCGGGAGTTGCCTGTTTGGCTGCTGGTAAGAAAATGGGGGGGGGACCTTTAAAAAGAGGGTTCTAAAGTTCTTAATTTCTGTAGGGTTTTCGAACTACCAGAAGTGAGATATGCTTGCATGGTCGGTGCATGCACGGTTCCCACCCAGAGCAGCCGACATTGTGTAGAAACTCAGCGCAATCAAGGGCCGCGCAGGTACACTTGAGGAGAGACAATATAGAGCACTGTTCCCCGTACTATTTTGTGCTATCCCATTCTATTCATCTCTGCCTGCGTGTTGAATTTTGAACCTGGGAACTGCATCATTTAAATGACCCATACAAACTTTGCTCAAGCACACTTGTGGTGCTGGTTACGGATGCAACATGTGAACTGACTCGGGGTTTCCGAATATCAACCAAAGAAACGTGTTTCTAGATGTTTTGCAAAAAAAAAAAATTGTTCTACAAAGGAGCAAAGGCTTTTTGCTTTGCAAGCATGCATGCCAAAGCATCCGGACTGGTCCAAAAATAAGCTAATAAAATGGTAAACATTAAATTACCTTCATCAGGAAATTGGCCAGTCGATCACTGATCAACGAATCAACATATAATCAACACGGGACTTGAATGTACTCTTTGAACGTGTGAGCTGAATGCGTGTATAACCACCACCAGCGATTGATTGTCCTTGTGTACTGTCGAAAACGCGTCGCGTTCAATAAAAAAGTAAACAAAATTTTCTTTTCCCCTTTTGCTACTTGGTTCTGGTTATGCAACAGGGGGTTGTTTGGGTGGAGAGCAACATGGTGCCCAAGGTGCTTTTATAACGGGGGTTCAGTGCGACAGTAGCGCACAGGCAATGGACGGATCCTGTCCTTGATGTTCTGCCGCCTCTGTTTTTTTCATTTTCGCATCATACTTTATCTGCTTTAATATTTCTTTTTGAATTTCAAAGTTTTTCATTACTAAATCCGCCCGTTGCCTTGCTTTATTTTGTTTTGCTTAAATTTCAAACTCCATATTATTTTTGTAACCTTGTTATTATATCCAGACAGACAGACAGACAGGAAGGCAGGCAGACAGACATCCAAATGCCCGAAACACACCGCCTTTGCGACAAAAGTGCAGAGCTATCGAGCCTGATCAAGCGCGTAGCAGCCGCGCGACGGTTTGTGGTTATCACGGGGGCCGGGATCTCGGTCAACTGCGGCATCCCCGACTTTCGCTCCTCGCAGGGCATATTCCAGCAAATCCAAAAGGCACACGGCGCCCTCATAAGCAGTGGCCGCGACCTCTTCGACGCCTCCGTAGTGTTCCGCTCCTCCGAAACCGCCAATATCTTCTACCACTGGATGACGCACCTCCGGCACCAATGCGCCAAGGCCCAGCCAGGCGCCATACACCAATTCATCCGCACATTGGCTGATCGGGGACTTCTGCTCAGAAGCTACACGCAGAATATCGACGGGCTCGAGCGCAAGGCCGGGCTGAACGTCTGGGACCCATACGTGAAGAAGGGTAATGACGAGTATGTCCCGTGGCAAACCGCGCAGTCTATTCCGCTGCACGGGTCCATGGACCATCTGGTGTGCCAGCTGTGCTCGAGCTCGTATGCATTTTCGGAGTGTCCTGCGGAGGATGGCGATGCGGCGAGGAGTGCTGGTGATGCGTGCCCGGATTGCTTTGAGCGGTCTGAGACCCGCCGCGCGCTTGGCCGGCGCCAGCTGCCCGCAGGCAAACTGCGCCCCACCGTGGTGCTGTACGAGGAGCCACACCCGCATTGCGAAGACATTGGCAGGATAATCTCCCACGACGCACGCGCCCTCGGGTCTCGGCAACCGCGCTCCGAGTCGACCGGCAGAGTGGCACCCACCAACGTTGTCTTGATCTTCGGCACTACGCTCAAAGTGCCTGGGTGCAGACAGCTGGTCAAGCAGATGGCGATGGCCGCCCCAGCGTCTACCGTCACGGTGCTGGTCAATAATGAGCCGGTTTGTGGCAAGAACTGGGATGGGATTATTGATTATCAGGTTATTGGGAATGTTGAGGACTGGTGCGCGCGCGTTGAAAGGATTTGGAACGCTCAGACGAAGATCACGCGGTGGGCCAAGACGCGCAAGCACACGGTCGACGATGGCCTCGAGGGAAGTGTCAAGAAGGGCAGTTCTGAGCCGGTGCCGACAGGCAAGCGGCGCAAGCCAGCTGCTCCAGTCGATGTACCAGTTGAAGCTCCTATCGAAGTTTTAGTTGAAACTGCTGCCGAAGCGCCTGTTGTCGTTACCGAAGCGCCTGTTGTTGCCGAAGCGCCTATTGCCATTGCCAATGCCACGCCAAAAGAGGAAAAGAGCAACGATGACCAAATGGACGCGTTCATCGATATAATCAGCGTTGAAGATGACATCAAGCCCATGGCCAAGAGCATAAAGCGTGCTGGCAAAGCACACAGGCCGCATCCAGGCTCTGCGACGAACCACTGGCCAGACGATCCATGCGTATCGCCCAAAAACAGAGCCTCGAGGACACGAGCAACAGCGCCAGCACCCAAAACACAAGCATCAGCACCCTCCGATCTGTACATAGACCCCCCCCTCATCTCTCTTTCTGGTTCTTTCTTGTTTCGAAATTAATTTTAATTTATACAGCTCTATGCACACTAAGCGATCGGTATCGATTATTCTTTTCACTCGTTTTCCATGGCGGCCTTCATCTCATTGAGCTCGTTCTGCATGGCCTTGACGCGCTTGAGCGCGCGCAAAGCCAGATCCTTTCTGCCCTGTTTCTTCGCCGCTAACGCCCACTCCTTCGTCTGCGCCATTTCGGCCTCCACACCGACCATGTAATCTTGGATGGTCAGCGTGCCAGCGCCGACCTGCGCGGCGACCACGCTCATGCGCAGCTTAATTGCCTCTTCGAGATCACGCAGCTGCGCTACCGCCTCCTTGTCCCGGGTCTCTTCCCGTATGCGTGCAGGAATCTGCAGCAGCTCGAGCTCGAGCACTGCGTTCGAGAGCGTTGTGTCCATTGAGTCGAGATGCGCGGATATGTCGTCGGCCGGCAGCAGCAGCAAGGGCGTGCCGGGATCTGCGACTGCCTCTTTGTGCTCGGCCAATGCAGGAACCGGTTCTGGAGCTGGGCCGGGCGCCTCTGGAGGCGACAGCGGCAGCTGGTTGTCGGCAGAGGAGACAGCAGCACGCTCTGGCACAGTGTCAATAACTGCATGAGGAGGCTGCTCCTGATTGTCAATATATATCCAGCGCTCAATGTACTTGATAGGCTCGGGCGTGTTGTTCAGCGGCAGGCGGAGGCGCACAGACACGTCCACAAAGACAGGGCCGCCAACCAAGGGCTTTGCCATCCTGCTGGCTGCTTCCGACGCCGTTGCCGCTGCCGTTGCCGCCTTAATCTCGACCAAGGCAGCGACCTCCGCCTTTTCGCGCAGCTCGGCCAGCGGCAGCGTCGCCCTGCCGACCAGCTGCGAGCCCCACAGCAGGCCCATGTACTTGTACAGGTCGACGATCAGGCGGCCGCGCTCCACCCACCTCACCAGCGGCCGCACAGCCTGGCGATTGACAAACTCCACATTGCGCACATAGCCCAGCTCCAACTCACCTCGGCTCTCCTCAAACTCCCTGTACCGTACCGTGCGCGTATATGCCTTCTGGCCGCCGGCGTCCTTGGGCCAGCCAAGCTCCCATTGGAGGTAAAAGCCCGACTCGCCCTGCAGCGTCGCCTTGAGGTCGCCGTCCGAAACCACACGTCGAATGCTTATTTGCAGCTCGCTCGCCGAGATGTCCCGCGGCTGCTCGCTCGGCGCCATCCATCGCACCTCGCGGTGGAGGAATGGCGGCGGCAGCGTGCGGCCGTTAGCCTCGTAGGACGCGGCTGTCGCCAGGTCAGCGACTGCACGCTTCTTCAGCCGATGGAACTCGAGCGCTGTGGGCTTGTCGCCGGCCTTGAGGAAGTACGCCGCCAACCGCGTGGCATCTGCCGCCTGCGACGCGAGCTTATTTTTCATGGCCGCAAACGACGTCGCTATTTCCTCCAGTGCCAGTCTGTGGCCGACATGGTCGTCGAGGGCCTCGCGAGGAGCCGGGATTGGCGCTGCCTGAAGCTTTTTCTGCTGGGGCTTAGTTACTGACAGCGCTTTGGCTGCTGGCTGTGGTTTAGTTATTGGCTGCGGTTTGGCTGCCGGCTGTGGTTTGGCTGCTGGCTGTGGTTTGGCTGCTGTTTGTGCTTGTGCTTTGGCTTCGGCTTCGGCTTCGGCCGGCTCTGCGGGCGCAGCAGACGGCAGAGGCGCTGGCGGAACAGTGAATCCTGGCGGCAGCGGCTGCCCACTCTGCAGAAGCGCCAGCGCCGACTGCACATCCTTCATCTGTACGAGCATCTCCCGCGCACCGTCCATATTCCCGGCGCGCTTAGCCACCAGCGCAGCGGTCTTGAGCTGCGCCTGGCGCTCAGCCAGACAAACAGCCACTGCATCACTCTGGCCAGCCCCGGGCGTTGGCAGCGCGAATGCCGCCGCCGCTTCTGTCGCTTCTGTCGCTTCTGCTGCCCTGGATTTTGCTTTTGCTGCTTGTGTTTGGGCATGGGGGCTTTCGGAAACTCTCGACAGTTCGGCCAGCAGCGTCGGGTCGTTCATATCGTCTTCCGTCACATCGACGCTGTCCAGCGCTCGGTCGTCGTCGTCAAACCCGGCAATGTGCATGGGCTGCTCCACGAGGGAATCCGCCTCGGCCGCAATATGCTTTTGCTTTGGCCGTTTTGGCGAAACAGCACCCAGCCCCATTTCTGCGCGCAGGGCTTCTAGCTCACCCAGAAGCTCAGGGTCGTTGATGTGGTCGTCAATAGCATTGTCATCATAGTCTGCAGTGATGTCCAGGCTGTCTAGCCCGATATTGCCGATGGGTGGACTTGGCTCTTCGCTGTCGATTCGGGCTTGCCGCTGCGCGTCGGGTGGTGTCCTGCTCTTTTTCCTTGAAGCTGATTTGCCTCGTCCGCTTATAAGATACATGGCGGAAAACAATGGGTAGTTGTTTTTTTGTGTTGCAAATTGGTAATACAGAATTGTGTGTAATGAGAAACGACAAAGAGAGAAAAAAACGAGCTTGAACCAAATGCACTCACGTCATTCCTTTCCAGCACTCCATTTGACTGATCATGGGCACAGGATAAATCCAATGGATTAGATGGATTATATTAACAGCAGCAGCACCACCAGGCAAGCTTGATTGTTTGTTCATGCCATCGATAAGATAAAAAGCACATTTTTGGGGGAGATGATTATTACAATTGGGTGGCAATCAGCCCTTTTTTGCAAACAATTCTTTTTTTTGACCTTTCAAAGTCTCAATCATAACTACTGTTTATCCCTATTGTTTTTTTGTTTTTTTGCCACGCATACACAGATACTATTGCGGAGATGGTCGGGCGAGATATGGCCATAGCGTAAATGTTAAATCTGCATCACATCCGAATGGATCATCCGCCATTTTAAACTTTTTGGAAAAAAATAAATATTTTTGAAATCCAAGAATTCAAAATCCAAAATCCAAAAAAAAAAATTTGCAAGGAATTTAACAATTTATTATGCTCGGGAGGCTATTTTTTGTTGGCATGCAAAGGCTAATTAATTTAAGCAAAGCGCGTTGAGTCATTATTTTTATTTGGCTGACAAAGTGTTAGTATCTGCATACTACCTATTTTTTCTCATCCTATGCAAGAATTCACTTCAATTCACTTCAAATCGGATACTGCCGGCGTATGCCTATTGTATTTTTCTTCTTTTTTATCCCTGTTAATTTCAAATGTTTCGCGGGATGATGTATGATGGTGGCTGCTGACTTGGGGCAGAAGAAAATCGTAAATGCTGACAGTCAAGGCACAAATAAAAGGCGTGTGGCACTATAAAGACAAAAAAGAAAATTGGTTTTTCTCCTCCCTGTATAATTAAAAAAAAAAAAAAAAAAAGTATGACACTTTAATATCAATTCTTTATTTTTCTTCAGGCGTGTATGTTTGCGATTATAGAAAAATCCTGTTGTATCTGCACCATCCTCCTTTTTCACATTCCCTAATTCTACTTGGTCATCTAATATTTTTTATTTGCACACACCTCCACATCCTTTTTTGGGTCATCAATATTCTATAAAAAATTTTGTTCACACAGTTTGGTTTTAGGGGCGCCCAAAGGCATATACTATATTATATACTCTACTTTCCTCCTTCCCAATCCTATCACGTTGCATCCGATTCCTTACACGAGGTCTATTGCTTCATCGGCTGTTTTTTTCAATTGCTTATATAAATACAGACAAGTCTGCACTCCATTTTTCTGTTGGTTAGTCTTGGTTACATCGGTTGATTATCGGCAAGTCTACTGTTCCATCATTCTATTTGTTTTTTCTCTTTCACTCTTCCCAATTTGAAACCTTTTTTACACTTTCCTTTCTATACACACGCATTTCAATGTCTTTGGTTCGCATGCAGCAGCAGCGCAGCAGACTGCGCGCAGAGCCCATTGCCGAGGTGTGCGGGTTTGTCGCCAGCAACAAGCCGGTGCAGATAGTGCCGGCCGCCAGCAGACTCCCCCAATCGCTCTCCAAAGCACCGGCCTACACATCGCTCCGACGCAGCACCCTTCTGTGCAGCCGCGACACACCCAAAGCCACGGCCGCAGCCGCAGCCAAAACGCAGCACGAGCGCGCGCTCTCCCTCCTCCGCACAGTCCTGGCCACGGCCAAGCTTGTCCCCTTGAGCGAGGCCTCCAGCCAGAGCCCGCAGCCAGCGAGAAGCAGGCCTGGGGCCTGGACGTCCTTGAGGAGCAGCGGCTGGCGCTGGTGCGCATGCTGCGCGACACACAGAGCGCACAGGCAGAGAAGGTCGTGGCGGCCCACGCGCTGATGAGCAGCCGCGCGGCCTGCGGCCTGGTGGACGCCACCAGTGCGCGCGCATACGGCCGCGCTCTGCGCCAGTCCTCCGCGTACGGCATAGCCATGCCGGCGGCAGCGCACGCCGTGTCCAGCAATGACTCGCTGGCGTCATCGCTGTCGTCTACGTCGTCCGAGGCCACGCTGAACGATGGCGACAGCGACGGCGGCGGCGACGACGCAATGGACGGGCCGTCGAGGCCGGGCCTGATTGAGTCGTGGGCGGCCAACAGCTTCTGGCGCGGCATGTCTGCGCGGCCCTGGTCTGCATCGCGCCCCGGCTCTGTGTGCTCCGACCGCACACTTGTCTCCATTCAAATCTCGCTGCCTGTGCCGAGCCTGTCGCCGACGCCACCGGCATGTGCTGGTCGCTCGACGCTGGCGACGACGCAGCCAGCGCCTGGGGTCAGTTCTACGCCAGCCTCGGCGGCGTACGCATTCCCACGCGGTTCCGCGTGCCCCCCATTCGCTGGCCATGCTGGCCACCGAGCAGCTGATGATGCGCAATGACAAGCTCAGGTGCCCGCTGAAGAACCGCCTGGTGGAGCCCAATCCCCGCAGGCTGGCCTTCGAGGACCACATCCGAGCCACTGGCTCCGTGCCCACGCTTGACTTGTCTGCCAGCACCAAGCCGCCATCTACGCTGCGCCGCCAGCTGTGGCGGTGAACCCACTACCGTCCAAAAAAGTATGTCTGGGCCGCATCAGTTTTATCGCCATCGCCATCGCCATCGTCGTCATCTTCACTTCGGTTGCATCGTCACTATCGGCTTCATTGTCAGATGGGACCGTCTATTTCTCTCTCTTGTAACAGCTATCAGATCACATCAAAATTTTTGCATTCATCCACTTTTTAAAACTCCCTTGTACTTTTCCCACCCATTTTGTCAATAAACCCACGCCTCTCATTGCTCTTCTTGCTCTTGCTCTTATGCGTCCACACGGATGCCGTTGTTTGCAATCGTGTGACCCACTTTTCATTTTTAAATACCTTTATTCCGATCGGTCGTGCAATGCGATCACCATGCGCACGTGGTTCGGAACCTTACTGTGTTAGCTCGTCCCTCCCCCTCTCGTCTTATTTTTCTTCCACACCATGTCTTTTTTCTTCCCGCTCGTATTCCCCAAAAACAATACACAATCAATTGAATAGTGCAGTCCATGCACCGTCCACTAAGGACCGCAGTCAGCTACCTTATAAATTTGCTTTCTTTATAGCCCCACTGAATTCGACTCTGTAGAGGGTGAATTTAGCTTTTTATTTAAATTGCTTTGCAATTAATTCAACCAAAAAATAAAAATAAAAATAAAAATCCTGCTTGCTTAATTCTTCTCGTATACATGTAAAAAACACAAAAAAACTGCTTTTAGCATACACATTTTAATACTTTTTAACCCAAACATGACTGTTGTTGTGCCTAATCAACCTGAAGGTTGTGCTTTTTTTCCTATGTATACCCAGGTAGTATAGCACACGCTAAAGTCAGTTGGACTATCAGTCCCAGTGATTACGTTAACACAGTCATTTATGGTGCTTCAAATTTTTTAGGTGGTGTGATTTTAACTCGACGATTATGCAGTATATACTCGCTTTAAATTGGATGGTAAACAATGTTTTATGTATTTAAAATGATAAACCCTTTTTATATCAAGCTGGAATGGTAATAACACCTTACTACACTAATGACCTAATGTTTAGCATCATCTATTACAGGGATTTAGAAAAAAAGCAATGAAAATGGCATATCTTTAACCTAGTTTGTTTATATATTTTATTATTTAAAGTCATCTTGTTTCAATAAATAAATTTAGAAAAATATAAAAACTACTATTTAACACCAACAATACAATAGTCACAGTGATATTTCACAACGCTTGCCCATAGCAGGTTTACTGGCTGCATTTCCAACGGGTCTTACAATATGATTTTATCCCCTCTTATTTGTTGCTAAGGGCTTTGCGTTTTATTGCTAATGTGGCGTTCGCCTTATTTGATGTAAATTTTGCATAAATTGTTGTTATACTATGTTTGCTCTTTTTCAGTTATTTTCTTTTTGTCAATGTTGATTGTTTTGGCACGTGTAGATGTTGTGAATTTTGCGTAACCTGTTGTTATGCTGCGTGTGACCCTTGAACTACTTGCTGCTGTGTTTTTTGTATCAATTGCTACTGTGGTTTTTAGTGCTGAGGTTTTTAGTGCTGTGGGTTTTGGTACTGTGGGTTTTATCCTCTGTGGTGGCGAGGTTTTTGTGTTTACTGGGCCTGAACGCAGTGTTTTAGGTTGTTCGTATGTTGTATTATTATTTGTGATTACAGATGGTTCATTCTTGAGTTGATTTGAATTGTTTTTACTTTTTACTTTTTTTCACATTTTTTTGGGCCAGTTGGATTTTTTGTTAAACTTATTTGACGGCTGTAAATTGTTCTTGTGAAATATACCAAAGCCAAATTAAACAAAAACTTGGTTTTTTCTCTGATTTCTAATTCTTTTTCCGAATTGTCATTGAGCAGTCAACCACTTCAATTGTTGAACTACCATGTTATTGTAAATGCAAACATTACATTATTTTTTTTGTTTTCTTTAGATGGGAAGAAATAATAGTTTCAATAGTTTCGTCAAGATCAAACGGAGATTCGGTTTCTTTATCCGGATTGTACGGGTGTGCGATATAATACGGTTTGTCGTTGTAACCATGTTTGTACGTTAAATAAGATTTATAGCTTATTGATGATAAAAATATATAATGCGTATTGTATAGTAGTATTTTTATGATGAATGAGAAGTGAGATTAAAAATGAGATTAAAAATTTGGAGGATGAAGAAATTTCTTCTCTTTTTATGTGATCAAAATGAAAAAGTGGTGTGCAATTTTCTCTTTTTTTCAGTTTTTCAACAAACCAGTTGAATTCAAATTTATATAAAGTTGCTTTGTGGAATTTAATAAAGGCAGCAGCTTTTTATTGATAGCGCCAAGCCAACCTTTTTAAGAACACTGGGTTAATGGTTTTTAGCACTTACACTATACTAGCGTACCCACTGTTGAATTGCGTCAACTTGCATGCTATTGGTTGAATTCCATTTGAATTCTGCTGTTTTAAATTTGACAAGGACAAATTCAACATACATGAATTCAAATGTTTAAGCATTTTTAATTTCTCCACAGTAGCGACTACCGTTTACATAGCTCCTTATATAAATAAACCAAATCGAGAGCTCAAGCAAATGAATTGTTTAGCATATGGTGCTTTGCAAAAATATGTCCATATGACCATATGCCCACATTACCGACCAAGTGGTTTAATCGAATCAAGCCACATCAGATTAATGTACACTAATATGTGCGAGGTAAAGACCAATTGCCGCTGTACTTTACCATCCACGTCTACTCTTTTATAGCTATTGCAACAATAGTTGTATTAGCAAAATTTGAATTGGAGACTGTCTATATTAGTTTTTCTGGCAGGGCATGCAGTGTCATTGACTGTTCTTGTGCTTCCCTTCAGCCATTAGATGTACCTTTTTATTAGGCTCCAATCTCTCAACAAATTTTTCTTTTTCTTTTCTAGCAGTTACATATATTAATCGGCCCACTGACATACTGGCTCACTGTTTCAACCTTTTTAAAGTTAAATTTTTTATACCATACTAATTAAATATTAAACTAAATAAATAAAAATACTATTGGCTGCGTAGTTACGCTGACCGCTACTTGTCTTTATTGCTTGTAGGTTCTCATTGTATAAGTGTTATCACTTTAACGAGGTTACTGTAGTATGCCTCCAATAACGATTTGTTTATCTCACGCCTATTTTTCAGATTTTGCGCAGCCAATTAATGTATCAATAGCTTTTATATTCTTTGAAAAGCATGTTAACTAGTTTGATTTGTGAGATGAGGATCTCTATTTTTTCCGCTTAATGGTAATTTATGATGAACCGATTTTTTTGTTGCTTATACAAATACCAAATGATACATTTTTTCATAGCAATATTGAATGTATAATTTTTAATTATATTATCCAATCTTTTGTATTCCTCTAAAGGCTCAAGTATAATATAATTGTTTTCTTCTTTTCATGTATAGATTGTATACATTTGTAGTTCAGATTTACCTGCAAAAGTTGATTTATTGTAGCAGTCAAGGAAAATAGCAATGGTATCCGTTGATCTAACAGCTATTTTAACTTCAGCCCACTTCTCTCACTTTAACAAAAATATTTTTTTTAAAATCACCAGCTATTTCAATTCGTATATCCGTGTTTTTTTTTACATATTATCATGATACATCCTGTTTTTAGTATTTACACCTATCCAACTGTTGACAAGATGTATTTGGAGGAGCGGGAAAAGGATTCTCTTTTTATGTGTGTTAACCCAAACCAAGTATTGGCTTTCGATAATTTGTTCTATTTTAATGCTATTTTGTAAATTATCGTTGAATTCACATTCGATTTTTACAAGAGCAAATTCAACGGGGGTTGAATTGAAATTCATTTGAAATCAAAAATGGCAGGCCTGTAAAGTGAAAGAAAAATGTATCGCTTTTTGATAAAGTTGAAAATAAAGCTTTGCATGGTCAGACTTTCAATTGAAAAAAAGAAAAAGGGGGAAGAATAATAAAAAAACAGAATCCATGCATAAAAAAGGGGGAGCACCAACAAAAAAAAATTATTGTTGGTGCTGGAACATTTGACTGGGTGACTGGGGAGCACCAGCAGAAATGTTAGCGTCCGGCGGTCCCGACATTTGGGTGGACATTCCGGCGTATGGCATGGCAGCCGAGTACATGTGTGGGTGCGGGTGTGGGTGCGGGGGCGGGGGCGGTGCGCCGGGCATCTGGCCGTACATTAGGCCGGGCGGCATGTCGGGTGGCATCATCATCATCTTCATCATCATCTGTTGGTGTTCGCTGCTGGGCATCTGCCCCATCTGCCCCATCGGCATGCTGCCTGGTGGCATCGCCCCGAACAGGCCTGGTGGTGGCGGCGGCGGCGCCATCATCCCATACATCATGTTCGGGTGGAACGCCATCGGATGGTGGGGTTGCAGCATGCCCATCGGTGGCATCTGCCGCCCATAGGTGGCATCTGCCCGCCCATCGGTGGCATCTGCCCGCCCATCGGTGGCATCTGCCCGCCCATTGACGACGGGTGGACCATGCCAGGCATCATCATGTGCGGTGGCAGCATGCCCATCATGCCTTGCGGCGGCGGCATGGCATGGTGCATCTGCTGCATTGGCTCAGGCGCAGGCATCGCAATACCGCCGACCGCCATCTGGTGCATGGCCATAGGCTGCACCTCTGGGTTCTGCGCAGCCTCGGAGTTAGCCTCGCTGGGCGCACCGACAGACGGCTGCACTGACAGTGACGACACCGACCGGTTGTCCGCCTGCTGCGCCTTGATGCCCAGCGCCGGGAATTCGCGCTCCAGCGACCCTGCCGCGTCGTGCACGCCCAGCAACGACTCGTTGGCCGCCAGTGCGGCGCCGTTGGCTGGGTCGCTCGCGGGCGAAGCGCCACCACGCGACAGCTCCACGAGCCACGACGGCAGACTGCGCGCTGGGGTTGCTGCGCGCGACGCCGGCATGCTTTCGGGGCGCTTGTAGCCAGCCGAATGACCGCCGCCCTGGACGCTCTTGCGGAACACCGATGTGGCACGATGCCGCGCAGCGCCTCGTTGATCGGTGCTGGGCTGGATGTCCGCACGCGCTGGCCGGCCACCGATGTCGCTGCCGCCACTGGCGGCGATAGACTCTGGGTTGCGCCGCAGAGGACATTGGTGCCAAGCCAAGGGGTGCTGGCGCCGCCGAGATCGCTGCCGATTGCTGGGCGACCGCTTCAATATGCTGGCCCATCACCGAGGTGTCGTTGGCCGCCGCCTGCATGAGCATGGCCATCCGCATGGACTCTACTGCGTGCATGCTGTTTAGCGCCTGGGCGTTGTGCATCGCCAGCGCTGCGTTCTGCGATTCGTGTGCCGCCCAGCCGTTCGCCGACGCTGCTGCGGCCGGCCCTGGCACCGGAACGTTGGCGTTGGCGTTGCCTCCGAGACTGACTTTATTGCCAAATACCTTGAACAGTTTGGACAGCTGGTCTCCACTCTGCTGCTGCGGCTGCTGGAGGCTGTCATTGGGGTACGCCAGACCATTGGCATATGCCGATGCCGCCATCACGTCATGCAGCAAGCCGCCAGGCACTGGCAGCGTAGACCCAGACAAATCAGCAGCAGCGTGGTCAGCCTGCTGCTCATTTGCCGAAAACAGACGCAGGAAGCGAGACCCGCGCACCGCACCCTTATCGCCGCCTGCACTGGACTGATCAATCTGATCAGCAGCCAGCCCACTGCTCATATCGATGGCGTTCGGGTTGTTGCCGCCGAGCTGCAAAGCGGATCCATTGGTGCCACCGCCCTCCTTCATGCGCCGCTTCCACTCCTCCATATCATGCATCTGTCTCGCGCTCTTGTTCTCGTCGTAAACAAGATCATCGTCCATCCACTCTGGCTTGCCGCCCTCGGCGATTTCGCCTAGGTGGCCGTGGTTGTTTGACAGCGTTGCTGCTGCGGGTGCTGCTGCTGCTGCTGCTGCCATTGAGATGCTCCCTCCAGGAGTCCGTGTCGGCCCCGATGCTCTCCAAGAGACAACGCCGCTTCGGCTGTTGTCATGGCCGTTGTGTTGTCGATTTGTCGACTGGCCTCCTCCCGCTGCATTGTTGCCAGACCGCCCCGCACTGCCGCGAGTGCCGATGGATGACGTGCTAGAACCCTTGGACGCGTAACCGCCGCCGGCGTTGCGGCCCTCTGGGACAACGCCACCATCAAACATGGCCACCACCTGGTTGCTGTTGACACCGTTATTGCGCGGAACTCCGAAAACTCGTTGCGACGCGTTCTGCCCGCGATGCGCCAAGTTTGCTGACCGCTGCGGCGCCAGAACAATGTCTATTAGGCAAAGTGATGAAAAAGAGAACAAGTCACAAAACCAATACTTTTTTAGTATGACGTTCACAATATAAATGATATTCGTAGGGTACCAATTTTTAAGCTGTATTTTACTAAGCCTATGGTTTCATTTCTGTTTTGTCTCTGTACCTTTCTGAGTCCGAGGAATATGTTCAAGGCCGATGTACGGGTTTCCCAGTGACAGTTTGGCATCAATGGTGGCCTGTGTTATTTCAGGCAGCTTCACCTGCGACCCGGGCCTACACCAATTCAACAACAGAAAAACGATAAATAAAATGAGCATTCAGAGTACATGTCCACCGTGAAAACGCAAGCGAACAAGAGTTCAGTTGCACCAAAAAAATCAAGCAAAGTGTACACGCAAAACAAAAAAGGGCATTAGCGTACCTTAACGGCGTATACGGAGAAAAGTCCAACGGCAGCCGAATAAGACTACTCTCGCGCAGCGCTAGCAATTCCTCAGCTGTGTATCTAATGATAGGCGACTGTGCAACAGCGGCGGAGGATCCAGCCAGAAAAAGCATACGGCTAATGTCTCTCGACGCCGCCTCTACCGAAGAGCGCTGTGTTTCAAGTGAATTCCCTTCTGTGGTCCCAGATGATGCCAGACCAATTTCATTCCCAGTGGTAGGGGTTGAGACAGTAAATGCTTTGGATTTAGGTACTCGGTGTTCTCCTCTGGGAGCGTTGCCTTGGCTTGCTGTTGCTCCGTTGCTTTGCATGCTGCGCCGAGGAGAATTTGACTGGCGAGCAGATTGCCGCTGCTCTTGGCCTCGTCTTCGCGAACGGGGCTCCGTGGGCTGCATGTCCCCAAGACTCATGAGAAAGAAATAAAAAGTGCTTGCTTTTTTGTTGTTGGTGGCTGTTTAATTGCTTTAAAGTACGATAATACGAAGAAGGTTTATCGGTGGGGTGAAATCGAGTTTCCTTTTTTCTTGAATAAATGTCGATTTTGTATGTGATAATAATTGAAAGCTTTCAAAACCAAAAGCCAAAAAAGCAATAAAAATTGCATACGTGATATTTTGTACACTTAACGGTTGTGATGAGTGTGTTTTTTCTCCCTAATTTCCCAACTTTACAAGCAGGGGAAAAAGTCTGAGGGAGGACGTAGCGTACTTTCAGTGGAAAAGTCAGGTTGCTTCTGCTTTTAAATAACAGATCTGATTAGATCAATGCTATATGGGATGTCTCGCTTTTCAATTTGAGAGGGTCCCCCTTTTTTGGTCGGATACGTTTTATTGGAATTTTTAAATTTCAATATATTTGTAAAAATAAAAATACTAAAAATCACTAAAAAAGTACTTGGCCGCCACTAAACTCGCCGCTCAGTCTGCTGTCAAAGCAAGAGCACCCTAAAAAAGCAAGCAGACCCGAAAGACTGTTGACACCGGGACGGCTGTTAATGTCGAAAAAATTGTCAAAAACGAAAGCGGAAGAAGTGGGCAGTCGGTTCCCTTACACCTATGACTTGATGCATAAAGAAATCCTCAGCTGGCTCAATTATGCTCTTTTCATTGACCCCGGCAGGCGCAAGATGCTGCTGCGACATGGTCTCAAAGTGTTCCTAATCGATGAGTTCTGAAAGTCCAAGTTCTGCCCCGGCATGCCATTCTGAGATGGAGAAACATCACTGAGTGCCCGATCCACACAAATTAGGCAAGGCCAATTACAAGCCCAATAAATACTAAGCGCACAGATGGCGGCACTGCAACTGATGTGTCGCACAGCCTGTTGGTTACCTGTCAGCCAATATCATTGGAACTTACAGCACCAAGTATAGATGGTCAAAGGGCAAGATTCAGCGCAAGATCTGGCAGTAAGAGAAAAACGACGCGTTGGAAAAACAGCAGTGGCAACAGCAACTTGCAGTATCAGATGTGGGCCAATCGAGCTCGTCGACAAAATCATCGAGAATGAGCTTTTGCCACAGCCTGCTGCAGTGCACCAACAAGACATGCCTGCATACCTGGAATGCCAGTCGATGCTATGTCAATTGACCACAATAGCAACGAGAAAAATCCAAGTGGTGTCACGGTCAAGCAGTGCATCGGCGAATTGGAGAATGGTGACGCGTACTACGCCGCAGCAACGCTTTCCAAGCCCAGCCAAATCCTATTCAACAAAAAATGGAGAGTGCAGAATCAAAAACTTATAAAGACCCCAGCGACAGCCATTTCTGCGACATAGCCTGAACACAATTATCCATTCAAGCTCAAGCTCTCTGCTGATCCTAATCTCCAGGCGGCCGATTAAAATAGTTTAACTTTCAACTAAAAGCCACCGCTCCCATTTACTTGTGCACGGGGTTTCCTAATTGTTTCCATCACAACCGTGCTGCTTCTGCAATGCGAGTCGACACGTCTTTTTTATATTCCAAATTTTCCATTCCTTTTTGTTTTTGTAATTATTAATTCAAGACTTTTTTCATTGCCGTTCACATTCGCCCTGATAAACACGTGTCATTTGTGTCCGCAACGCAGACTTTAACTTTACACACATTAACTCGCTGAACGCCAAGATGAGCGGTCTGGCAGAAAGGTATGATTCTGGACACACACCCATTTAACACAATTTGCAAACAGGATTGTCAAAAAAGGCTGAAAGTGGGGTCGTGAATGCATAACACCGTTTCCAAAACCGACTTGGCACAAAAAACTGACTTATTATCTTGGGAACACAAACTATCTTCACACACCACTTGTTGATAGTAGTACCGATCAGGCTATGTTCCTGGATCCAGCATCCGCGACTGGGTGCTGTTCCCAATCACTCTGATCATGGTCCTTGTTGGCGTATTCAGACACCAGCTCACAATCCTGATGACGGGCGAGCCACCCAAGCCCGACGTGAAGGACATTCGACAGGGCAAGGCGCTTATGCGCGGACAAATCCTCGCCCAAAACAAATCGTACATCCCAGCAGCAGCCTTCATCGAGCGGAAAAGGTACCTGTGCGAGGCCTACGAGCAGGGCACATATCTGAAGAACAAGGCAGCCAAGGAGCAGAGCGCCGCCAACCTGATGGCCGACCCGAAGAACATGGAGATGATGATGGACGGCATGAAGAAGCAGATGATGGGCATTGTGCCACAGACCCTGATCATGGGCTGGATCCAGTTTTCTTCTCGGGCTTTATTCTGATCAAGCTACCCTTCCCCCTTGGCGTGCGCTTCAAGCAGATGCTGCAGTCTGGTATTATGACGCCGAACATGGATGTCAGATGGGTCTCGTCCTTGTCGTGGTACTTTATTAATCTGTTTGGCCTGCGCGGCGTCTTTTCGCTTATCCTTGGTGGGGAGAACTCGGCCGACGGAACCCGCGATATGGCGGCCATGAGCACGATGGGCGCAATGGGTCAGCAGGCGGGTCAGCCCCAAGACTTTAACAAGCAGTTCCTGAGCATGAAGGACAGCCTATCGATCATCTACCATGAGTGGGATCTGGAGAACATGAGCAGCGTGTGCTGGTCAAGTACGGCAAGCAGGCCAAGCTTCTCAAGTCATCACGCAAGTAGATTTTTCTTTATTATAAATATTTTTGTTTACGCTATTTATTCGAGTTACATTATACCAATTGCAAATCTAGCCCCAGTTTGTACTCACGTGGTGTCCCCCCACAAACAAAGACGGAAAAGTGGCAAGCTGCCATGGTACATCCAGAATCTGCCTAGGCTGCTGCTGCAGTTGCGTGCAACTCTCTTTCTTTATTTCTACCCCCTTCATTTCAACTAACAACATAGTTTTAAATAGCCGGCAATGGATCCCAACGAGGACACCGAGTGGAACGATATTCTGCGCAAGCACGGCATTCTGCCCCAGCAGGTCAAGATCACGCAAAACGACATCTACGACTCTGCTGTAGAGAAGGCACAGGAAGAGGAGAGCAGGCGCCTGGAAAATCTCGACCTTGACGAGCTCGATGAGCTGGAGGACGAAGAAGACGACCGCATTCTGGAGTTCTACCGGCAACAGCGGTTGGCCGAAATGCAAGCGCATCTGGACAAGGAGAAATTCGGTGAGCTCATGCATATCTCCGAGCCCGACTATAAGCGCGAGGTCACGGGGCCAGCAAGGACACATGGATTGTTGTGCATTTGTTCCGCGACAGCATCCCAGAGTGCAAGCTGATGAATCGCATTTTGTCTGAGCTCGCTCAGCAGTACCGCGCGACAAAGTTTGTCAAGATCGTCTCTGTCGAGTGTATCCATAATTATCCGGATGCTAATTTGCCGACGCTGCTGGTCTACGGCAAGGGCGATATGCAAGGGCAGCTCGTGCGCTTGGACCGCTTTGGTGGCATGCGGACGAAGCGCAAGACATTGAGAAGTATCTGCTGGACATGGGTGCGATTGACTCGAGCCTCCGCCGCCCTCTGCCCAACGAGAACGCCTCCGACGAAGAGAGCGACGACGATTCTGCAAGCCAGTGTACTTTGACTGAGCAAGAGCTTGCGCAAATAGACAAATGCATGCTTCGCATCGGAAAAAAATAAAAAATCATATGCAACCAAGCTGTTTATTCTTGCGAAGCGCGCTTAATATAAAATTACGTAGAAAAAACGAAACCGTATGTTTGCCCTTTAAATTTCAAAGTTCAGCATCATCGGCCCGGCAACCTCGCGGGCCTTGTCCTCGTCCACCAGCAGTGAAACAAGGCGAAGCGCAAACTCGAACGTTGTTCCCGGCCACGACTGGTGACCAGATTACTGTCCACAACAACTCGGTCCTCCTTGTATACAAAGTCGTTCTTCAACTGGTCCTTGACACTGGGGTGCGATGTCAAGCAAATTGGGTGCGGCACTTTGCTCTGGATCCCCGCGCTTTTAATGGCCAGGCTCCAGCACATATCGCCGCAACAATCTTGTTTTGCGCGTAAAATTCGGCCAATACAGAATTCACCTGCGCGTTCTGGGAAGCGTGGCCGCGCCCTCAGCTCCGCCCGGGATTATAACCGCGTCGTAGGTGCTGATCTTTACCGAGTCATCGCCCAGGTAGGCGTCAGGTACAATTCGTACGTTGCGGCTGCATGTGATGGTGCTGCTGGTTGTTTCAACAGCCAAACGAGCACTTGGATACTTGCTCGGCGCAGAACATCATGGTGATGATTGCTTCCATCTCCTCCGTGCCGTTGGCGATAAACACAATAGCCTTCTTTATCTGGTTGGTGTTGCTGCTGACCATTTTGAAACAATAAATAGTGTTTAAGTTTGAGCGTGTATATGTGTGTGCGCGTGCGTGTTGAATGGATAATGCTGCGAGAAGAAGCGAATTATATGGTAGAACAGAAATAGAAAAGGAATAAGTTAAACTTGGAGAAAAGAGAATCGCACCACCAGTTGGCTGCCCGCAGCAATTTTTTAAAAAAAGCCAGCTGGGGTTAGGGTGGATGGATCAATTGGATTGATTAATGAAAGGTGTTTAGAACATTCAATCAGTGTCATATGGATCAGCTTCAGATGCCGCTGACGTCACCGACTGACCAGCTGAGGAGCTGGCGGGCCCAATTTTCGGGACCATGAACTTGATGGCCTGCGGATTAGAGTTTGTCAGCATGGCGGATCTATCAACGGGGAGGCCCAGCAGGTTGCGCATGCGGTTCAGATTGAGCTTGCGCTTCTTCTTGAGTGTATTCGCGCCTGCACCCTCCCCAGCAGCAAAGGCGGGTGCAGCGGACTGCGAAATCACCGTTGCTTCAACCGACTCGGCAAGCTGATCGACAGCGGCCACACCTAACGCCTTGGATCTGGGCGCCCGCTTCGCCACTACTGCACGCTTGCGTTTTGGCGATATCTTCTTTGCTTGCAAAGCAATATTCTCTACCTCCACTGTGTCCATTGCTGCACCCCCAGCGTTGCCACTGCTATTGGTGCTGCAACTGCCATTGCTCTTACTTGTGCCTGCCCGCCTCCTTGCCGGCTGGGTCCTCAGCTCGGCATCCAGCTCCTCGGCGGTCTTTCTGCCTCGCAGCGCCTTGCGCGGCTTGGCTGCCGGTACTGGTGGCAAGATCGATGATGTGTTGAATGTAATCTCCGAGTCGTCGCTGTCCGCATTTTCAATATTGGGTGCGTCTGGTGTTGGTAATTCCGAGCGAGCTGCCCGGCTGATGCGCGGCTTGGCATTTGCCACCTTTGAGACTCTGCGATTGCAGCCGGGCTCAATATCGACCAGTCCAAAGTTATCATCGTTGTCGTCAGATTCAGCATAGTTGGGCCGCGAGTTGCGTGTGCGAGTGCGAGTTGCAGTGTGCAGCCTGGACGCTCGCTGTGCGATAGGAGATACGGGGAGCGCAAATGTTGAAGGCGCAGGCTCATCGATCTCCATCTCCATATCAGTCTCGCTTGCTTTGGCACCAGCATCTGCACCATCGTCAGCCTGAATACCAACTTGAATTTCACCCTGCGTTTCCTCTTCCTCGACCGTTTCAGAGAATTGTACTGACTTCCTCCTAATCGCTGGCTTCTTGATCTTGGCCGGCGCCTTGCGCTGTGGCACTGGCTTTATTTGAGTATGCTTGTGAGAGTCCCCGTTGGCACTGTCTGTGCTGCCGCTATATGAAAATGCAGCCGTCCCAGTAACACCCTCACGCTCTTCTTCGAGTTTGACTTGCACGTCCGCCGCATACTCTACGGCTTCGCGGAAGCGATCCTTCAGTTTGAGGTACTTTTCATGGTTGCGATTCTTCTCCGCCTCCCATGACGACCACTGCGCTTCGCTTTCCTCGCGCAGCTCAGACTCCCTGCGCTCGGCGTTCTCGGCAGTTTGCTGTAGGCGAGTAATTTGACGTGTCAGCTGTTCGCGCTCCTTGCCCCACTGCGACTCCTTGTCGGCCAGTTCCATCTTGATATCGTCGTTGGCCATGAGCTCGTCAACTTTGTTGGTCAGCCGGGTGTTTTCAGACTCCAGGCGCTTGGCCAGGTTTTCAGAAGCACGCAGTGTCTTTGTCATGGACGCAGTCTCTGCAGCTGTCTGGCGCTGCGAGATCTCGAGCTGTGAGGATAGATCATGTATTATGGACTGGAGATCTGCAACTTCCCTGGACTGCGACACGGAAAGCGATTTGTTCTCTGTCTCCAATTGTGCTACCCTGGCGGCAAGCTCAGCTGCCCGCTGGGTCTCAGCGCTGATCTGGATCTCTAGGGCCTCGACATCCTGCGCGTGCCTGCGCTCAAGCGCCTCCAGCTGTCTGTCGCGGTCGGCAGCAACCGAGGTTATCTCAGCCTTAAGCTCTGAAATTCTCTGCGCTTTCTCCTCGGCCCACGTCTCCAAGTCACCAATCGTCTGGCGCTGGGCCAAGTTGTCCTCAGCCAGTGTGCCGAAGCGGTCCTTGAGCTTACGGTACGCATTCAGTAGCTCACTGTACACCGAGTCCAATCCGTTGTACGAGCTTTGCAGGCCCTCATACAGATCAATGAGCTTGGAGTTTGAGTCCTCAGCGGCAGTCATCTCGACTTCGGCGCGCCGCAGCTCATCTTTTAGAGCGAGTTTTTCCGTCACCAGCTTTGCGTTCTCCCAACGGACATCGGCCTCAATACATGCGGACTCTGACTTTAACGCCTGCATGGTCTCCTCCAGCGTCTTGCTCTTCGCCTGCCAATGCTCGACCTCCTTGGCCAATGCCTCGCGCTCGGCGCTAAAATCGCTCTGAATATCGTCGAGGTCCTTCTCTAGCTGCTCGTTCTTATCGAATGTCTGCGCGAGCTCGTCTTGTAACCTGTATTTTGCGTCCTGGTAGAATTTTGCCTTTTCGTAGAAAAACATGACGCGGCGGTCGACTGGGCGGACAATTTCGCGGCTACGCAGCTTGCGCAACGATTTTATCAGATCGACCGATGCGCCCATGTCCTCCGCGGCACCGTCGTCGGTGTTGAGGTAGAGGATAAAGGCAGTTTTGCACTCCCCATTGAGAAATTCGTTGACTAGGCTGACCAGCGCGTTGTTTGGAATAGTGGCACCACTGAGCACAGCGTCGTTGGCAAGCAGGTGAACCAGGGTTGACAGAGACTTTGCCGACTGATGGAGTTTGTTTGTGGACAGCATTGCTTTTGAGGGGTCTCCTGAAATACCTAACGGCATCCAGCTCACCAGATTAAGGTCGACGAGGCACAGGTGCCCGTTGGTCGGCACCCCCTTGAAGCTCTCAAAGTGAAGCGACAAGATGAATGGCAGCGTGGTTCCCTGCAAGATCGTGTGCTCGGTTTCTGCCCAGTCTTCCACTTCGCGGTGCAAGCCTGCGAGGCCATTCTCCAGCTTGTCCGCGCTGATGCTGCGCCCATCGTTGCGCCCGCCCTGCAGGTTGACCAGCTTGTTGTCTGTAATGCCGACAAACGCATATGTCATGCTGATGTCCGGGTCAATGTGCGCCATAGACTGATCAATGCTGCGGCAAAGATCGCTCATCAGCTTTTTGCGATCGTAGTCGGCCAACCTCGTGATGCCAGATCCCGAAATAAACAGCGCCGATGTTCCTCCTATAAGAAAAAATGAAATGTTTTAAAATGTCTGTCCAATTTAGTGTAGAATGCGCTGAGAGCACCACAGGACACATACAAATTAGACTTTTCGTTTTTCTTACCTTTGACTGCATGTTCAATATAGTTATTTAGGTTTCCAGCGGAAAACAAATTCGAAGTGTCTGTTGTGCAGCCGTCCACGTAAACCCGCTCGGACTCGCCGCCATTCGTGCGCGTAAAGTATTTAGACGTGTCGCCTGGCTGTGCTATGCTCTGGCTGCCGACAAGGCCAATAACAACTTCGGTGTTTTGAAGTTTAATTTGCGACAAATTCATTTACAATTGAAAAGTATATATAACACGAAATAAGTTAGGAAAATAAAAACAAAAAAATAGAGAAACAAAAAAGGCGTGAAAAAGTAAACAAGAAAATTTGGACATTATTTTTAGTGAGCTTCATGATTTCCAAAAAGTAAACAAATTGATTATTGGTTGATCGCTGTATGGATTAGATTATGTTAACAAGCTCTTCATCGATATTGTAGCTTAAGCTGAATGCAAAATATACAAAGTTCTACTCTAAAAAGTTTAAAGCGCGAGCTTGGTCTGTGAGTAGAGCCATATTGTGCCACTTCAGTGTAATGGCTGATGTTTAACGTGCTTACAAACTAAAAGCTATGTTTTTTTTCATATTTGTGACATCATTTACAGCTGCCGGGTGCTTGAACAAACAATGACCAATGTAAAGAAGGTTCTTCTATGTATACTAAATATATTTTTAAACAATGAAGAGCTAAAGAATATCATATTATAAAATCTCTGGCCGTGTGCAATATACAAAAATGAGAGATTGCACACGGCCAGCGAGAATTGTATTGAGAGCTTTTCAGATTTTTTTTGCAGTTTAATAAAAATATTTTTATTAGCAGAACCTTTTTACACCTACGGTCAAGAGAAAATTTGCAACCAAGGCTGATCTAACACCCAAGTACAACAAGACTGGGTTGTTTTGATCCAATTCCTGACATCAATCAAAGCAGCCACTACTGCCTGACAGCTCAATCCTCATTAAAATCTTAATTGGGAGTATTAATAACTACGAAATAGCCTTGTATATAAAACCACGTGCTATATAACAACACGTGAGCATATGGATTTTGACTGTGAGCGAGAAAAAAGATGATTAGGCAGGGTGCGGGACAAGTTTCGCATTGCCCCTCCTTTTTTTATGAGCGAGCGAGCTGTACGGGGTTTTTTTCTTTTTCCCTTGCTTCTTTTCTTTTTTCGTTTTTTTATTTATTCAAAAATCTATTCGCACATTTAAACAACATTTCTCATTTTCTCATTTTATTCTATTAGCACCTTGTCAACAACCGCTTGAATTTCACACAATGTCATCGCCGAGAAGAAGAATCGAGACCGATGTCATGAAGCTGTAAGTTTTTCCATAAAAATGGAAAATGCACAAGCGCATTTCGAGGACCAGCCAACGGGGAACAGCTCAAATGTAACTTATAATACAAACTAATTCACTAAACTGAGCCGCATTTATTTTTATTTTTTTGCTTGGTTTTCGCAATTGGTATAGTTTAATGAGCGACTACGACGTCAAGCTGGTCAACGATAACATGCAAGAGTTTTACGTTTGGTTCCATGGACCTGCAGATAGTAAGTGTTTTTTTGGGGTGTAGCTGTTGTAAACGTCATTTATTGGTAGCTTGTGCGTGCGTATGTATTTATTTATTTTTTGTTTGTTTGGCCTGGCCTCGTCCAGAGTACTCACTGTGCTTAATACGCAGCAAGAGCAAGAGCAAAATATTAAAATAGCATGGGAAAATATAGAAAAAGGTTACAGTTGCAAACAATAAAGTTGCCTTTTCGAATATTGTTTGTTACTGCCTGCACATTTTGGCAGTGTTTCCCTTCACCCATTTTTCTTATTTCTCCCCTTTGTTTTCCCTGTTCCCCTCTTCTAACGCGCTACTATCCTGTTCACTGCTAATCAAAATATTTCAAACAATTCCTTTTCATTTTTCGCATATCATTAGCACCGTTCTCTGGCGGGTTGTGGAAGATACATGTGGAATTGCCTGAGCAGTATCCATACAAATCACCATCGATCGGATTCACGAACAAAATCTTCCACCCAAACATCGACGAGTTAAGCGGATCAGTGTGCCTTGATGTGATCAACCAGACATGGAGCCCCATGTTTGACCTGCTAAATATATTCGAGACGTTCTTGCCGCAGCTCCTTCGGTACCCGAACCCCACAGATCCATTGAATGGCGAGGCAGCAGCATTGCTGATGAGGGACTCGACCGGATACGACGCAAAGGTCAAAGAGTATGTCATTCGGTTTGCGAGCAGCAAGAAAAAGTTGGAGAAGGGCGGGAAGAACGAGGACAACAGCGATGATGACGACGATATTAGTTGCGATGATGATGACGATATCAGCTCGTTGAGTTCGTTCGGGAGCAACCAGGACGACGATGCGGATATGTCGACTTGAAACGTGTATCGCCCCATGTCCTAGTAACACCAACCGCAATGTCTGTCTGTGCATCTCTGCTTCTTTTACCCTGTGTTTTTTAATATCATCGCTTTTTCAATTTGTTTTATTATTTTCATATCCATTCTTCATCTGTTGAGAAAAAACATACACTCATTAACACGATACGCATTAGGCGTGGAAGTCCTTGCCCTCGAATGTCTCCTTGATAATGCCCTTGCGGATGACAAAGTCGCCAAAGTGCTCGCCGTCGTTGCGCTCGACAGCATACTGCTTGATGATCGGGGTGAGGAGCTCGAGGATCTGGTCCTCGGTGACAGTCTCCCGATAGATCTTGTTCAAGCGCTCACCGGTGTGGCTACCGCCCAGGTAAAGGTTGTATGCGCCGGGCGCCTTTCCAACAAAGGCAATCTCGGCGTTGTACGGGCGGGCACAGCCATTGGGACAACCAGTCATGCGGACAACAATGGCGTCGTTGCGCAGACCGGCCTCGTCAATAACCTTGTCAAGGAGGTCGATGAGCTGCGGGAGGTAGCGCTCGGACTCGGCCATGGCAAGGGCGCAGGTGGGCAGTGCAGCGCAGGCCATCGAGTGGAGGCGCAGCGCCGAGTAGTCGAGGTTATCGAGGCGGTGCTTGGCGAGCAGCTCAGAAATGCGCGTGACATCCTCGTCCTTGACATCGGCGACGATGAGATGGCCGTTGCAGGTCAGGCGGAAGTTTCCAGTGTGCACGGTCGCGACCTCAGCGAGCGCAGTCTTGAGCGGGTTGCCTGGGAAATTGGCAACACGACCGTTCTGCACAAACATTGTAAAGTTGTTCAGACCAGGCGTGGTCTTGACCCAGCCGTAGCGGTCGCCATTGCGCTTGAAGCTGTACGGGCGGGGCTCCTCAAACTTGAATCCGAGGCGCTCCTCAACCTGCTCGCGCCACCAGGGAACTCCGTAGTCGTCAACGGTGTACTTCAGGCGCGCGTGCTTGCGGTTGGTGCGGTCTCCAAAGTCGCGCTGCACAAGCATGACCTTCTCGGACACAATGATGGCCTTGTCCTTGGGCACATAGCCAATGACCGAGCCAGGCGCGGGTAGGTCTTCTTGTTGTTGTGCGTCATGCCCATACCCCCGCCAATGGTCACGTTGTAGCCGAGGATATTCTCCTCCTTGTCGTCGAGGATGGCGATGTAGCCCAGGTCGTAGGCCACAACATCGACGTCGTTCTCTGGCGGGATGGCAATGGCAATCTTGTACTTCCGGGGCAGGTAGGCCTGGCCGTACAGCGGCTCAGAGTCCGAGGCAGCGCCAGTCTGCTGAGCATTTCCGGCAACAAAGGTGCCGTCGAGCCAGATTTCGTGGTACGCCGAGGTCGAGGGCAGCAGGTGCGCCGAGATATCGCGAGCCAGCTGGGCAATCTCCGGCTGCAGGTGGGCCTGCTGCGGGTTCGCCGAGGCCACGACATTGCGGTTGACATCTCCGCAGGCGGCAATAGTGTCCATCAGCGCACGGTTGATGCCACGCATGGTCTCGCGCAGGTTGCGCTTGAGGACGCCGTGCAGTTGGTAGGTCTGGCGGGTGGTGATCTTCATCGTGCCATTGCCGTACTCGTCGGCCAGGCGGTCCATGGCCAGCCACTGCTCTGGTGTGGAGACACCAGCGGGTAGGCGCACGCGGATCATGAACGAGTAAGCCTTCTCGTCGCCACGCGCCATACGCTCGGCGCGGATATCGCGATCATCCTGCATGTAGGTACCGTGGAACTTGAGCAGCTTGCCGTCCCACTCGTCGACAGCGCCCGTCGAGTCGTCGACGAGGGCCTCGGCAATGGTGCCGCGCAGGTAATTGCTGATGATCTTGTTCTCCTCGTCAGTGCGTCCTGGAGCCTCCTCGGGCTCGGCAGTGCCAGATACCACGGCAATGTTGAGCTCCTTCCACAGGCGCGCGTCAAAGTCGGCGTATCCAGTCTCCCAGCCATCAGCGTCCTGGTCATCGCCGAGTCCAACTTCAGTGATGCGACGGGCGCCAAGCTCAGCTAGCTTGCGGTCCAGATCGCGCGCGGGCTTGTTGTAGAACAGCGCGTCCTCGGCACGAGGCCAGTAGTGGCTGTCACCCAGGCCAAAGACGGCAAAGTGTGTCTCGTTGAGGTTAATGCTGGCCGACGCCAGCGCCTTGGAGAACTCGCGGCCATTGGTCGGTGTCTCACCCTGGCCGGCTGTCGACAAACTGAAGACACGGTCTTCTCGAAAGGCAACTCGTCAACCTCATAGTCATCCATGGCCAAGCACTGGACGCGCATGCCGCGCATGCGGCCCTGACGCGCAACGCGCTTGGCAACCTCCTCGGCGTTGCCTCCGTCGGAAGCAAACAGCACAAGCAGCGGCGGCCCGCTGAGTCCGCCCAGCAGCGCATCGACATCGCCACGCGCCCGGCGCGCCAGTTTGGCGCCAGCAGTGCCCTCGACCGACTCGTCAAGCGAGTTGCTCAGCGCGGGTGTTGCATGGCCAATGGCGGCCAGCGCGTTGTCGCGCTTCAAAAAGTCTGAGAGCTCGCGGCGCAGGCGCTCAGAGTCGAGCTGGAAGCGCGCCTCGGGAGTGGTGGCGTTGGGGTTCCAGCGGAAGAGCGGCCAGGCACCGCTATCGACGGCGCGCTTAGAATGCTGCAGCACCGAAATGGGCGAGTACGACGTGCTGAAGACGCCATCAGCGTTCGGTAGGTAGGCGACAATGACTGATGGTCCAGGGAAGGCATCGGCCTCGGCCAGCGCGTCCAGAACTTGGGTGTACGAAGAGTACACGGCTACCGAGGCAACGTACGCCGTGCCGTAGTTCATCGCGTACAGACCAATGTCCTTCTTGCGCTGCTGGTGCCGGTTGGCTGCGCCGAACGGATACGGCGCGGTGTCCAGAACCAGCATGTTGATGTTGAGTCCACTGGCAATGACATGGTGTACACCACTGTTTCCAACGTCGTACGCCCACTCGTCAGCGCCCACAAGCCAGTTAGACCGCAGGGCAAAGTACTCGCGCAACCGGTAGATCTCAGCAATCGCCGCTGCCGCATCCTTCTCAAGCTCAAGCAGCGCTGCAATTTGTGCGGCCGCGGCCTCCGAGGCAACGGTAGCGTTGTCGCGGCCACCCAGCCATGCAGTCAGCTCGGCCTGAAGCTTGGACGACAGGGGCACGGCAACATCGCGCAGTGCGGCCGTTACGGCCTGCGCAAGACGCGCGCGCTCCTGCTCGTACGCAGCCAGCTGGCCAAAGCCAAACTCGGGCGTGCTGGATGCGCGACCGCCGTCACCCCAGATCGACTGGCTCTCGGCGGCGTTAGCGACGTGCAGGCGCCCGTCAAACAGCTGACGCAGCATCTGCCCGTAGGGGATTTTCTCGACACGGGCGCGCTGCTCGTCCAGGTTTATAGATGCAACGCTCTCGGCAACAGCCTCTGCTTCGACGCCGACAATGCCGGCCACGTCCGCCGGGTCAAAGTGCGCCGGCAGCTCTAGCGTGCGCGCATGCGCCGTGATCAGTGCTACCTGTGCCTCTGTGAAGACCGCAGGCGACACGCCCGACACGGCATTGAGCAGTATTGGCCTTGTGCGGCCGCCCTGCGCCGTCTCCCACTCGTCGGAGTGCAGCGCAGCGGCCAGATCAAAGAGCAGCGGGCCCCAGGGCGTCGCCTGCCGGGCTACCTGCTCGAAAGCAACCACCAGCGCGGCCGATTGGGGTAGTGCCGCCAGAATGGCGTCAATGCTTGCCGGCCGCAACGCGGTAATTTGAACAACACCCACGCTGGTATCGTTGGATGGCAGAGCAACAAGTCCAGTGCCAAAAGTCACGTACACCAGGGTGGCCTCTGCACCGCCGACATACGACACAGCCTGTGCACCGACAATCTCCAGTGCGGCGGCAACCGTCGCATCCTCGGACTTGAGGTACGCTGCAAACTCCTCCTGACCGGTCGCATAGATCGCCGCCTCACCTTCGGTCGAATCGGCAGAGAAGCAGTGGATGATGGGCATTGCCAGCTTCTGTGCTGCCAGCGATGCAGCAACGGCAAAGTCAACGGCCTGCTGCCGCGATGTCGAGCGAACCACGCCGCATCCCGAGTCGCGCAGCTCCAGCACCTTGCCGATGTCGGCCGCCGACTCTACTGCTACGTGCAAAACAACCGCCTGCTTGTGCTTGACGCTGTTGCGCAGCACGGGCAGCAGCTTGACCAAGCCCGATGCAGCCACCAGGATGTTTGTTACCTTGCTTCCGGCGGCCGCTGCCACTGATGCGATCTCTGTCACGTGCGCCAGGGAGATAAGCTCGCCGGTGCTGCTACTGTCTGTGCTCAGAAGTTGCTGGGTGGCCTCGAATGTGCTGACATTGCCGACAATTGCTGTCGTGCTGCCCAGGGTGCTCGCTGCTGAGTATGCCACAGCGACTGAAGTCGATGCGACGCTCACGTTTGTTGACCGAAGAGATGAACCCATTCTACAGACGATATGGAATTGGGTGAGCAACTGAAATTAGATCTGGTTCTATTTCTCGAGATGTGGAAGAGCGGCGAAAGGGCCAGGTTGATTGACTGATCGGTGGATCGGTGAACTTACTGTATAGACAGAATAATGTTTTTAAATGTTGTTTCTCGAACAAAAGAATATATTCACAGTGTTTATAATAAAGGTATGCCTGAAAACCGTATTGGAATCAATCGGGTTTAATGTATAAGAATAAAAATAAGACAAGAAAAGGATGGAGGGAGAAAAGATCAAGAGTGAAGGAGATTGTAGATAATGGATTTATTTAAAATACTCGCAGAAAGTGTATAGATGCTAGCATGTTATGTGCTCTGTTTTTTTGCTGGCTCAGAGGCAAAACTAACGGCGACATTGCAGTATGTTTTATAGGCAAAAGCCTAGGTCCATCGTCGCATTATGCGCACCGAATTTTTTTGCATCTTTATCTCCGTTTTTTTTTGGCATTGCACAATCGCAAAATCTCGTGCTTTGCTTTGTCCCAGCCTAATCGGCGCATCTCCTCCACCTTCCCATGCGCCTGCCATATTTGGAAATATCTGTTTTAATTTCATTGGATGAATTTTTATCTCTTTCATTTTAATCTGGCCGTCTGTGCGCTTGGAAAAAGAAAAGTGATCACTGGGCTTGGTGGCCAGGAAACCCGCCCGAAATGATGCCATTTTTTCAAGCTGCCTTTCGCTCGATTTCGGTTCGCATGCCCACCATCTCCGCCTCTGCATACAAAGTGCATTCATCTTTTTTTGCCTTTTTGCGTTCCTTGATCCAAGCACAGTCACGCGCAACAAGCCAAAAGACGAATTAATGATGCGAACCAGTTTATATTGGACAAATAAATCAAGTTGATTACTTTTGAACATGCTCGTTTTTTATCTTGATCAGCTTGTTTTGAAAAGCAAAACCCCGACATGACTGGATCAAGCGTCCGCTTAGCCTTGGATCTTGCACTTGGACCACGTGTCGCACACGTTTTTACTTTACTTTGAGCTGCCAAAACAGCTCTTCCCAAATCCCTTCTCTCCAGTTCGTCTGTGTGCACGCACCCAAATGTTTTATTTTTGCGGACTAAAGAAAAAGTCAAGCAAAGGTTGGGGGAGGCAAGGAGCGTGTGTAAAAAAGAACTGCGACGAGCATCGTCACATTCTCCCATTTGCAAACTCACACATTCGTGCAGATCGCCCTTTTTGCGCTGTTGTTCAGGCCAATCGGAACACATGGCGATGGTGCAAGCCCTGCGATGGCGCCATCGACCGTCGAAATGACAATATTCTGTACAAAAAGGATGCCTCTACCCACGAAGCAAAGAATAATTTAGTTAAGTATAGGCAATAAAGTAAGCACAATATTCCCTATTTTAGAGCATGGCAGTGATACTGAGCTGAAGGAATATCATTAGTAATCTGCCCCAGGAAGCCAGTTTTTTTGTTTGTTTTTACTTTGTGCAAATGGAGGTGTGCATATGCAGCGGGTGTGGGTGGGGGAGGAGTGACTGCTACATTCATCTCGCTATCTCTGCAGCCAAGGGGGATTGACTCGCAAATGAGAGCGCGAGAGCTGAGGAACTGTACGTCGGAATAGTGCAAAAAATTGGAATTTCCAATTTGTCTGCGTATGCCTCAAAGCATGCAGTGAAAAGCTCAGATATATATAAAAGGCACTTGTCTATACTATAGCCTCTTTTTTCTCTCCTTTCCAACCATTGTTTATCGCTATTTTTCCTATACGAATAAGCTACAACACTTCAAATCATTTTCATCACATCATCATACATAATGCCGTCGTTTGCCACACCCGTTCTGCAGTTTGACGAGGCGCAGCTCGAGCACATCAACAACAAGCTCATCACCATGACTCCTGCGCAGGTACTCGAATGGGCCTCAGTCACATTCGACGGTCTCTTCCAGGAAACCGCCTTTGGTCCCTCCGGCAATGTCATCTCCGACATCCTGCACGCCCAGGGCTGACTGTCCCCGTCATCTTTATCGACACCCTGCACCACTTTGATGAAACCTTAGACTTGGCCAAGCGCAGCCAGCAAAAGTACAACTTCAATCTCCACACATTCAAGCCTGCAGACTGCGAAACTCGCGAGGACTTTACCGCCAAGCATGGCGAGGAGCTGTGGAAGTCTGACGATGTTGTCTACGACTATTCGGTCAAAGTCGAGCCGGCCCGCAGGGCATACGAGCAGATGCAGGCCCGGGCAGTCATCACTGGCCGTCGCCGCAGCCAAAAGGAGACCGCGCGACCCTGCAGATTGTTGAGATCGAGAAGGGCACCGGTTTGGTGAAAATTAACCCTCTGGCTACATGGTCGTTCCAGCAGGTTTGGACTTATTTGCGCGCTAATGAGGTCCCCTATAATGTGCTTTTGGATCAGGGATACAAGTCCGTGGGCGATTACCATAGCACGAGAGCAGTCAAGGAAGGCGAGGACGAGCGGGCTGGTCGCTGGGCTGGGTCGGAGAAGACTGAGTGCGGGCTTCACAAGGATTACTTTGCCATGCGCGCCGCTTTGTAGCCAGGAAGAAGAAGGAGCAGCAACAGCAACAGCAACAGCAGGAGGCCATTGTCGCTACTTTGTCGCCTGTGCTGACCGCTCCCGTTGCTTAACTTTATATTTTTCCAAACTTTATTATCAAAACAAATAAAATAATGTGTACATATATTCATTTCAACTTTCAATGATTACAGCCAATTGCAGCCAAATATTTTTACTTGCTAATAGTGAAGCTTTCGCCATCATTACTACCAAGCTCGACGAGCGACCTACAGCTTTTGATTGATTTTCCCTTGGTGTCCTCAACTCTCTTTTTTATATCAATTTTATTGTCCTTGCAAATTTTGTCCAGCGACTCAGATCTCTTGACAGTATACGCCTTCTCATTTATTTTGATTTGTATCAAACGATCCCCGTAAACCATGAGGATGCCTTTAGGATTTAGCTCACCAATTTTGTCATTATTCTTGGCTACCTTATTATCGCTGCTGTAAATAATAACGCTTGAAACACTGATACCCTTATGTTTGGCAACGTATTTTTTTACGGCTTCAACACTTATATACGTACGTATATCGCACTGCATTGAAGTGTCCTCTCTTAGAAATTGAAATATGAATTTGTTGGAGGTACCCAAATAGTTAAACGACATGATGAAAGCAGTAATGGGTTTCTATGAGAACTGAGTAGACTGGGTAGGCTGGGTAGGCTGGGTAGGCTGAGTAGGCTGAAAGCGATAGTAACTGCAAGAATCCTAAGCTGTTGTGGAAGATGTGTAGAATTGTTTTTAAAAAGTGGGCCCCTGGTCTGGGTCTTTATAGTATTTTTATGTCAATTTGTGTATATCAGGCCAAATACAATTTTATTCATGAGCAGTAAAAATGGATAGCTGCGTATTAATAGAGACTAGCGCAGTAGAGAAAAAAAATGGAATCAAGCCTTGGAAAGGTTGAAAATATTAAAAATAGCTAACATTGGTGGCCTTTTTTTACACCAACTCCGCTACTTAGTATTTTCTTCAAACATTTTTTAGTATTTTTAGCATTTTTATGCTGACTGTGGCCATCTGACCCAGGACGGTTTATTTTAAAAAAAACCAATTTTATGTTGTTGATTTAATGCCTCTTTGTATATTTTCTTTTGTACTTTTGCTGACTTAAAGATGAGTATTCATTTTTAAATCACCGAGTAAATAGCATTATTTTATATATAAAACTCCGCTCCTGCTTTTGCGAATAATAAGCGGTGATAATTAATACATTAATACATGCATTTTACTGCTGTGCTATGTTATGTATGATCAGTTGTTACAATTAGTCCTTAGCGGCTCGACTTTAACGACAGGCCTGACAATGAGTCGGGCACTGAGCCGAGCCATCCTCACCCTGCGGACAATTGAACTGGGATTCTGTTTATGCCAGCCGCCTTTTGCTAATATGTAGCGGGAGAGCGACAGTCTCAAATAATGTGACTGGAATGTAGCAACTGCATTGTGTCTCTTTAAGAATAAATACATATCATTTTCATATTATTTGGTTTTGGCTTTTACACGCTCTCCGCCGGTGATTATTGCAACACAATTATTCTGACAGTAGGTTTTGTCGTGCTCTATAAAAATGTGGGTCTAAATTAATATATTAAGTATCAAAAATTACTTTTGGAACTGAAAAAAGGGGCAGCGCTGTAAACATAATGGTGTTCCTTGATGTCAACCAGCAATAACAGAAATGTGTATAATGGCCATGAGGGCGATCTTGATTCTTGAAAAGGGAAGATAGTGGTTTAGAATATGTGTTGGGCACCACAGGTTTTATGTTAGTGAAGATGATATTAATTAAAATACAAATTAATAATCAGCATTGTGTTGCTAGAAATTTTTTATTTTTTTATCAGAAAACAATCGAAATATACAAAAACGAGGCGTTCATTAGTGGTCATTTTTGCTTGAATTATCGCACATTTTACTTAATGAACAGAAACAATTGATTTGAAGGCAGGACAAAGTATATTTGATATGCAATCCTCGATTTTTCTAGTTAAATTATAATGACCCTGTGGCTAGTTGTCATTTTTACATCCTCTGGAAATACTTTGTTCAGAAAATGTCATTAAAACGAGTATGAATACAGTAGTCGACCACCTGGGTGCCAGCAACCCAGTGTACTGCAAGCGTCAATCAGAGATTGTTCAAAAGGCCAAGGAGTACTGCACTGGCCAGTCACTTTCCCACATTGAATACACCAAGCAGAAGCAGGAGACCTGATAGCAGGTGTACGCCAGGCCTCACAAAATAAACCCTAAATATGCATGTCGCAAGTTTATCCATGTGTTTCCACTCTTGTAGCAAAACTGTGACATCAATTATTGTGATGTCACATAACAATCGCAATTGTGATTGTTTATGATCGCGATTTCTATTTTCACTGTCGATAGTTTTGAATAGATAAACGGAGCTCTTGAAGCTCCCTTATAGTGGATTTTTGACATATATATTTAGCACAAAAAGCCTTATTACAAGAACTGTGTCTACAGGCCAGATAGCGTTCTGCAGATTGATGCCATTTCGTGGTTCCTCAAGGACTGCATTGGCTTTACACTGCACCCAGTCATGGGGTGCCAACATTGTACGACTTTTTGAACGGCCTGACTATCTGTATATTCCACCCGACACAGTACACCTGTCATCATTTCCGACCAACCTACATGCCAGAGCTCGATTGCTGCCATGAGCTGCTTGGCCACATGCCATTATTTGCCGACCCAAAATTTGCCGAACTTGTACAGGAGATCGGTCTAGCACCCTTGGGCATCTCGGACGAGGAAATCCAAAGGCTGATGACCATCTTTTGGTTCACTGCCGATTTCAGTTTTTGCCATGAAGGTGCAGATGTCTGCATATACCATGCTGCACTATTGAGTTCATTTGGTGAGTTGGAACATGCAATGTATGGAAAACCCAAGCATTAGATATTCAACCCCTCACTTACATCTAAGCAAAAATAACAGGACAAGAAACATCAGCCCATATATTTTGTTGCCAACAGCTTTCACAATGCTACAAGCAAAACGTGCGAGTTTAATATGACCATATGCTCTCTGTTCCATGTGCGCTACAACCCACACATACTGTGATACAAGAAATTGCGCTTGTCTCTGGCGATTGATTAATGAACCAACGCCAGTTAATTCCTACTTGACATGCGGGAATTCATATGCACATATAAATACTAATGAATATGAACAGTGGAGGCTGTTCATCTCGGAGCTTTCTTTTAGTTCATTCAGTTCAAATATATTTTTAACATAACATACAGTACATTGATTTGTTTGACATTTAGTTCTACAGTCACATAAATATTGAAATATTACTACATATATTTGTTCAAGCATGCATACACCACAAAAAAAGAACACAATAGATACATTGTGTGAAATATAAAACAAGTAAAAGCTAAAAACAAAAATTGATGAATAAGATTGATCATCTACTGCACTACCCTGTCCGTCATGTGACTTTATTGCAGAATCTGGCTACATGCTCCTATAACAAATATTATTCTAAGGGTGGCATAGTTGGGATTTCCCCAGACTTGGATTAATTGCCTGGTGGTGGATGTTACGTTAAATATATATATATATATTGAACAAAATGAACTAAAAGAAAGCTAAGGGATGAACAGCCTCCACTATTTATATTCATTAATATTTATGTGTATATGAATTCCCGCATATCCAAGTAGGAAATTAACTAGCGATTGATTCATTAATCAATCGCCGGAGACAAGCCACAATTCCTTGTATCACAGTGGAAGTGTCTTCCAAGGTGTTAATAAAGCTAAATCCGAGCACTCTATCTGCCAGTTAGAGCATCAAGCATGGCCAGATAGCTGCTGTGCATATCTGCCGTCCTCATTGCTGTTTGTCCATGGCCACTTTGGCAGGCCATCATCATTGTCTTGTTGCAGATTTGGTATTCAGGTGTTTGTTAAGATTGGAGTTCTCATCTACAATTGACATTTCTTAGGCGTCAAGAATTCATTTATTTCCTGTTCGATCTGTAGGCCACAACATCCCTTGTACCAGTCATACTGTTTATCTATAATCTCGTTTACAAACACTGTTGCTTGCTTTTGCACATTTCCTTTGGAGTTTCTTGACCAGTGTTGTGTACCTAACCTCTGTCAGCTCCTGCCAGCCATGCCTCATATCCAGGTTCTAGCTTTTTTGTCCTGATAGTGGGCATCCACATGCTTTTTGAGTTCCTCCAATATGCAATCTGTTGGTGCTGGATACATCTGGAGTCTGTTGATCGTCTCAGTCACAAGATCTGCGGCTGGGTCTTAAAGATCCCAGTGAAGGTTCTCTCATATTGAGAATTATATGCCCCCGTTGTAGACATGAAGCATGTGGCTCTGTGTCTCAATTGATCTGGCAGCCAGGCGACAGAGCATAAACGCATCTCTGGTTCAGTATATGCGTCAGAGAAGCTTATTGTTTTATAACAATGAATGGCAGGGCCACCATGCTTCCAAAAAAAGCAACAAAAGCTAAAAAAAAGCAATGCACAACAAAGAATACAATGCCGATTGGAAATTAATTCGTAAATATAATTAATTCTTGTTTTCCATATTCCAGCCAACCAAATGCGAGTACAATGAGAAACTCAAAATTTTTTGTTTATATTAAAAATAATTGTTTTTTGTTTTTGGCGCACTCTAACGCAACACATTTTCACTTTTGCTCTCCATTCCAACTTTTTGGTTATTTTTGTTTCTCACATCTTTTTCATTTTTATCTTTTTGCTTTTTAGCATTTTTTACTCTTGATTTTTACTTATCAATTTCTCTCTCTTTCTCACTCACTCTCACACACTTTGAATTTTGAATTTTGAATTTAATCTATAATTCAATAGAAGTTATGCTGACAGTTTATTGCAAACGCCCAACAAGCCCTCGACCAGAGCCAACCTGTTGATGCATGTTGACTCAACCGATAAAGAACTTGGTTCTCGCCGTAAGCGGTTGTATTCCACCATTAAAGGAAAAGAGTGGCCTCTTGACTTCGAAGCCTTCATTGAGTTGCTAGGTGTAGAGGAGCAGTACAATCGGTTTATCAAGTATTTCCCCTCTCTCTTCCTCGACTTGGCCAAGGCGTCGCCAGTGCTTCAGAATAAAAAGCTTGTCACCAATACTGAGTGCACACCTGATGAGTCTGACGTTTTCAGAACAGTCCCACCAACATCTCTGAATGTAAAGGAGGAGTTTCGGTATGTCAAGTTTGTGGACCAGTCCCTTACAGTGATGAGCGAGAAGGTTGATGCCCTCAATAAAAATATTTCGGATGACAGTGCCAAGGCCCCAGGCTTGATGCTTGTTATTGAGGACCGCCAAGAAGCAGATATAGTGGGCTCTGCACACAAGCCAACCTCGCGTTTTATCACAGGGCTGTCATTAAGCGTGGCATAACTACAGTCGACTTTGTGCTCGAGGCCAAGATGGATCTGGCTCCTAATGGGCCTTCGGATAAGATAGGCGGCCAGCTCGCTGACTATGCAAACGCACTTTGGGAAAACGATGGAACCCGCACTTTCGCACCAGTATTCTACCTCCATGGGGCACAACTGACACTTTGTTTGTATTATCGCGACAGGTGCCGCATGGTTGAACTTGGCAACTTCTGCTTGACAAGGACAAGCAAGCGTCAGGGTGACTTTGAATATGTTCAGCAGTGTCTTCTTAGACTTTGGTTTTGTTAACCCTTCCATCGGACAAATTTAGGCATTTCTGTGATGTCTCAGGGGGTTACGCAGCTTTTTTTGGTCTTTCCCATGACAGCAATTCTGGTGCCAGCACCATCAGTCAAGATCAGGTTCACACGATGACAGACAAGTGCGCAAAGGAAGGTTGCAAACTGGTGGTGCTTGGTAACCCCATACCCCGCCCTAGCCCCTTGATTGGCAGCCGTGTTTACCTATATAGGGGCAGCACAATGGGATGCCTGTCATTCTCAAACTTTCCTGGACAAATAAGGATCGTTTGCCAGAGGGAGCTGTGTATGACATTTTGCACAGTGGTAGGGTTGAGCTTATTCCCAAGGTCATCAGCAGTGGTTTGCTCTACAGAGACTCTGGGAAATACCGACTTGGGTTTGTGCTCATGGAGGACTGTGGTCTGTCAATGGCTGAGTATCTGAAAGGCAAGCCTGATTACCAGAAAAATGAGGTGGTTCCTGCATTTGTCAATCAGCTGACTCTGTGCTTGGCTCAGGCTCGAGCAGCTGGTATCCTGCACAGGACATTTCGGCAGGCAACATCTGCATAAAAAATGGCCAGGCTCACATCATTGACTGGGGCTGTGCAAAGTTTGTGGATGGGGCCAAGCTCTGAACGAGGTGGAGGGGGGAATGAAGGTCAGTCCATCATAGCTAAGGTTGCCAAAACTTGGGAGTTTGATGCTGCAAATGTTGCACAGAATGAGACTGATCATGACCCCCTCACTGGACATCACTATTCATGAGATTCCCATGCTCTGCCAGAGTCCTGCCTGGGGCATCCTCGAAGACTTGGGAGTGTTTTTTATGTCATCCTGGATGCAGTGTGGCCTCAGAGCATTGAGAGAGACAAGATGAATGGATTCAATTTCATGGATGGCAGAGCTATTGCACTTTTCAGGTTTGCACTGTTCCAGGCACAGGAAGCTTATCTGAAAGATTTTGCATCAAACAGCCCAGCACTGAGCTGAAAAGCTCCTTGATGCCATGCGCCAGTTCTTGTTTGAGCCGGAAAACCGGTTCATTAGCTACCGGCTCTGGTCAGACAAGATCTTCGATCGACAGGCCAACTGGGATGCTGCTCCTGAGTTTATGGATCCCGAGGCAATCAGGATCCTCCAAGGACCTATTGGCCAAATTAAGCAACCAGCCGAGGACGAGGAGAATGCTAAACCATTCAAAAAGAGACGCGCACTTTAGGTTTTTTTTGTTTTTAATAAATCTTTTTTGATCCCAACAAATTAACAGCAAAAGATAAAATATGTACATTTTATTCATATTTCCTTGTTTGCATTAAATAAAATTTCAACCTCTTGTCTGTCCTTGTTTACTAACCCACCGATCACCTTTCACTGATCGCTTTAATTGTAAACAACAAATACTTTTAAACTCGCACATTGATCAATTTTACATAAGGTTGATTGAACCCGTAATTTCGTTTTTGCTATTTTGCCAAATGAGTTCAATTTAATGTTTTCTTTCTTATTTCTCGATTTATTTCTCATTTTTCCATTCCAATCTACACTTTGCATTTTACAATTTAGTATTTTTTTTTTCACAATTTCAATAATCTTTTGCTACATAGACGATAGCTGGTACTACCTCGCAATTGGCATCGGAGCAGCACTCGGCACATGCTGGGTACTTTCGCATCTTTTGGACCAATCACAGTATGTTATATTTCTGCTGCACACACCGACCAAAAAATGACAGCGACACGCCTGGTATGCCGGGACCAATAATTCCAAAATGGGGTGCGGACAATGAGGTGGCATTGAACATTCAGATGCCCAAAATGGTTAATTCCTTGGCACAATTGGCGCTGAATTCAGACAACTTTAAGCTGCGGGATACTGTGTCTGAGCTGCTGCTTGATATGGCCATACGGCGAGAGATGCTGCAAGTGCTGGTGATGATGCCACAACGGGTCGGCAGGGTGTTTGGGCCGGCGGCATTGAGGCGCTGGTGGATGCTATGCATGCGCCCAGGGAGAAATAAGTGGCGATGGGGGCAGCCGTCACGCTGCTCGGGCTGCTAGACGCGTCGAACATGGCAGTGTCCAAGTGGTATATGTGGTGGGCAGCCACTGCAGGCTTCTTGAGGTGCTCAGAGAGGCACTTCTACAGCCAGCCAATGGCTCGCCCTGAGGCGGCAGCAAGCAGAAGCAGCGGTCAGACGCTGTGCTTGTGTTGGTATGTGTGGCCATGGCAAAGCAGTTTGCGCTACGCACCGAGTACCACCAGTGAATTATCGATCTGGTGTTTCTGCCTGCATTGCTGGTGTCGCACGCAGTTAATGGCTGAGCTCAAGCTTTTGCGCATGCTGATGGAGAGCCTCATGCAGCTATACACTTTTCTCGCAGTGTATTGGCCGCCAACATCAGAAGAAAACGCAACAGAGGTGGCAAATCCGCAGATGGTGCAGCTGCTGGAGCTGGGCACCGTCGATGTCATCGCCGCGTGCACCCACCAGGATGACCAGGGCATGTCCTCGTGGGGCATTGGGTTTCTGCATGAGTTTATGTCACGAAGTGTCGGCAAGGCGCAGCTGGCAGCGAGGCCAGGGTTGGTGCGCCGGCCATGTCGCAGACTGGTGATGGGCAAGTATGCATACACTAACCATCTGATTCTGCGCTCGCTCTGGTGCCTGTTCACAATGCGGGAGATGGCTGCGGTGCCGGCTGCACTGGCAGAGGTCACGCAGCCGGAGAATCTACGGCTCGTGCTGGCGATGTTTGTCTCTGACGACAACGTTGAGGCGCACTACTGGAGTGTAGCGCTGATCAGCCGCGTGTCAGCGCCGGCGTCGACGCACCAGTGGATCCTTCGCAGTCCATTGCCCCCAGGCCATGGCTGGCGTGGCCGAGGTGCTGATGCCAGACTCCACCTAAACTGATGCCTGAGATGGCCGGCATCATTTTGCGCTTGTGCCATTCAATCGACTTGGCAACAATGATGGCCGAGTGTCCAGCGATTCCAACCATGTGCATCAGGCTGCTTATGGCTGATGCTGAGTCGGCGCACATTTTCGGCCATCATGGCCGTCATCACACCGCGGCGACGTCGCAGGCTTTCTGCAGCTGCTGATGGCTGACGACGCAATTAAAACGCAGTTGGTCGAAATTGCCTTGGCCAATGGCAGCAGCAGCGGCCCAACACAGAGTTACGCGGCAAAGGGTCTAGTTGTGCTGATGTGCGCCAGACAGGTGGACCCCAATGATGCTGTGTGCAATGTGCTAGTCCCACTCCTGCGGCAAATGGAGAGCATGCATTTTAATACTTTGGAGCTGGCGTTCTATCCCATCGTGACAGCGACGAAGCATTGAGCGAGGTTGCCACAGCAGGCACCAAGTTGGGCCAGTGGATGAATGCTGCCTTGGTGCTGTTCTCTGCCATGCAGATTATGGTCGCGCAGCAGGGCATGTGGATGGATGCCAGTGTGCTTGTGTTTGATCCTCTCGGGTACTTCCAGATGGGGCTGCTTGGCCAGCTGGCTGCCTACATTCGGTACTCGTGTGGGCTGGACGTGGATCTTATGAAGAGCCTGGGCATCTGGAGCAGCGCTGTGAATATGGGTGTTGATGCCGTGGTTGCGTTGTACTATGTGGTTGTTGGTGAGAAGAATGACGCGCACTGTTGCGCGTGCAGAAAACCTGCGCAGCTATCGCAGGAGCACAAAATTACATAGAGGACATCAACAGTGAGCACCTGTGGTCAGTGCAGTGAGGAAAGGTCAGAGGCTGGGAGAGCTGTATGGCGATGACTCAAGGGTGGCCGGCATTGGTGGGGATTTCCCCTTGGGGCCGTGCAACACGCAGCTGCACAGGCTGCTGCCAATGATCCAGATGACGATGGGTGTGCTGGCAGACTCACTGCTGGTGGCTGGGCCCAAGATGCAGTCGCCGGAGATTACCTGCCACCTGCTCTATCTACTGCGCATCCTCAGCCGTGAGCTGCTAGCGGTGCTGGGTGGCTTGACGTTGCATGCCTTGGCTGCTCTCAACGTGTATACGCTGTGCTGCAGTGACGCGTTCGGCTTGCTGCACATGTGTGCAAAGTACCTATGCTGAGAGCCAATGTCGGCTGCTGACCTGGCAAGTGAAGTGGAAGAGCAATAAAGTGCCTTATGGATGAGCTGGGAGTGAGGCGGCAGCAGTTGCTGGAGGGACTGGGCAGGTGCCTTGATGACTGCAGAGCTTTTGTGGCCAAGTATTTCGATAAGTTCCCGGAGGCCATGCCGCCGGCTGTTGCGCGGTTTGGCGAGTTTTACACGCAGTTTGCGATTGGTCGGTTTGCTGCTGACTGGTGGACGGGCGCCGAGATGTTTGCCTTGGCTGGCAATGATAAGGGCGTCGACGGTTTTGGCGATGTTGGGCTGGTTGTAAACTGCTCGGGGCCGCGCGGTACTGCCATTGACTGCAGGTTTACGGAGGTGCTGAAGCCGATGCCTGCTGTGGATATCTTGTTTTATTATCTCAGGATCAAGTCATCCTCTGCTGCTGTAATTATTGATAATGCTGCTGTTGGCCACAGTTTTTCAATTGTCATTATGACTGGGAAATGCCCATTGATTGGCCAACACGTTCACTGTAATGCTGTATCCATTACTAGGAACACTATTTGTAATGTTGAAACGCTTGCCAAAGATTGTGTATATTGAGAATGAACATGTGCAAAATTTGAACCAAGCTTGTCCCACTAATTTTTTGTTAAAAGCCCTTTGTAACTTTTTCCAAAGCATTGTAAAGGATGCAACTAAACTGGCAAAGGTACTTAAGAATGCCAAACTCAAAATGACATTTGTCTTTTAAAAATAGAAACTACCATGCATCTATTGAAATAGCATTTTAACATGTAAATTTTAAATACACATTTAGAGTGCTTTAAATTAATTATTTGCAACGCCATTGAATGTGCGCTGTAGCAACCATTGTTGAACTAATAGTTTTAAACAGAGTAGTTCTGCAAACTTGCAATTATATTTTATTAGCTGGTCGCGATCAACTAATTAGCCAGCCTTGGTTATTTGCCAGACAAACACCAATTAATAATTGCACAGTGACACATATCACATAATTGTACTGTCGCACTTCATCAATGCATAGCGCTTTTGCAATACACAATTATATATACATAGTGTTTATCTCTTTACGTTCACCAAACATTCATAGAACTCCCAGATTTCAACAAAAAGACAAAAACTAAAATTTATGAATAAGACTGATTGTCTACTGCGCCACCCTGCCCATCATGGGCTATATTGCGGAACCTGGCTACATGCCCCTATAGCAACAATTATTCTAGGGGCGGCATGGTTGGGATTTTTCCAGACTTGGATCTAATTGCCTGGCGGTAGAAGTGTCTGCCAGGGTTTAGTAAAGCACATACCACATAAAAACGTGCCCTCATGGAAATTGCCATAAGTATATCACATGGGGGTATACATGCAAAATAGGGCACATTTTTGGAAATTAAAATCAATAGTTATACATACCACATTTTTTTAACAATATTAACAATATTAACAATTTATTTAATCATACACAATGAATCGTAGGGTTATCAATCAGACACTGGTTCTCGACCGAAACTTTATAGCGCCAGCAGTCAAGGCGGTCCTGCACACCATTTTATTTCACAGATATTTTGGCAACATCAGCCCCAAGCAGAATACAGTGCTGTCAGGACTCACCTATGTATGTGTAAATTTGTGCCAACATATCCCCAAAATCTGTTCAATAGATAGATAGTTGGAAAGCAATAAAAGTACTAAATTACATTTGTTTTTTCATGACATTAGGCATCCGTCGATGACACTAATGTCATTAACGCTGTAGAGGACAAGGTGCAAGAGCTCATGCAAACAGTTTCGGCGACAAGCGACAGCAAAGCGCAAATATGCCTGTATTTCACAGAGACAAAATCCCGCAAGGCCTGGTTCAGCACATCCGAGGAGGAAATATGCTGGGAGGAGTGGTCTATCAGCATCCAGTCCAAGGTCAGCCACAATCGACAGAGAGTGAGCGAAACCAGCAACAGAGCAGCTCCATGGACCAAGCCAAGAAGGCCATCTTTGGTGTCATCCAGGAGATGGACCACAACAAGGACCACATACCGCTGATTTCCAACTCACAGACCAACCCGTTCCCATACCACATTACCGTGACGCCGGCCTCGGGACTGTGGAGCTCGATGATCAAACGCGCTATACTTCCCGGGATCTAGAACCATGTTGAAAATATCTTATTTATATATCTGTACTAATTTAAATGCCTTCTCGCCCGCTCCATCGCTATTTGAAGCCTCGACAGCTGAGGCAAAGTATCTGCCCTACGTCGCTTGTTCGCGGAGAGAGTCAACTGATCGCTGGTAACAGATGACGCCGTTGTAGTGGCTGTGGTGCGAAATATCCTAGGGGTGGCAAAAAGATTGAGGGTCGGAGGCGGTGCCGACATATCAAGTTCCATATGTGACGTGCGCTTCATCGTCGGTGTGGTGAACATCGACGCGTCCCTAGAATCATATTGGTTTTGTTGGCAAGTGCGCGCAATCCGAGTTACAAGATTGTCAGCCGCCTGTAACGCGCCCTTCGTGGCATCTGCAATCGCGCTCTTGTCCACGTAAGGGGCACTGCTGGGAATGGACTGGTGCAAATAGTCCAGCTGGTGCTTCAGGGAAAATTCCAGCGCACGCAGGCAAGCTCCCAGAGACGGCTCGCTCGCATTGTTTCCGCTAGAGAGTATCTCCTCGAGAGAGGCTCTAGCAACCGCATTGGAGACGAAGCTTAGCCCGCCGGCAAGCTGCTTGCCGAAATACTCGTGGCCAATGCCGCCGGTCTCTGACGCATGCGAGAACTTGGCAGCCCGAGGACAATCCAGTGCTTCCAACAGATGCTCGTTGATGACTCCAATGAACAGATTAACGCATCGACCGCCATATTGAATACAGCCACTGCGGCATGGCCATCACCATTGTCGTCTCCAAGTAACCCCACAGCACATCCGTGTATGCGGCGCAGCGTCTGTAGAGACGCATCGCTCACCGGGCCGAAGCCCGGCTGACCTTAACCAGAGAGTCGCACCGGGCCAGGGCTACCTGCTTGGCCAGCCACCTCATTCCCGTGGCAAACTGGCCCTTGGCCAACGCCACATTCAATGCCAGCGTATGCATGCACTCTGGCGGCGGTGCGCTGCTCATGTCCACAGTCTGCTCAATGAGTCTCTGCACTACCCTAGTCGCTTGGTGTCGTCGCTCCAAAACACAAAGAGCAGCGGCGTAGAGCCACTGCGCTTCGCCGGCGTGTCTAAGCAGAGTCTGTCCAGGGCGCCATTGACCAGCGACACAATCTTCCGCCCGGCACTAGAGCTCTCCGGATCACCGTGCACGTCACTGGCGGTGATGGGCTCCGAAGACAGCTGGACGACAAGCGCGAGGGCGTAGTGTCCGCGTCCTCGCTAAACTCCAAACTCTGGGTGTTCACAATTTTATAGCCGCCACTAACGCCGCTCGTATATGCCACGGTTTTGCCAGTGGCTGAGGATGCAGCTGCTGGATCTATCTGCCACCACAACCATGATGATAGCACCGACTCTTCCTGGGCGCTAGAAACCTCCACAACGGCGCTTAGCGATGGATTGCCATAGCGCTTGATCGCGCTGCGAACAGAATCAAAGCATTCGCGGCCGAGATGAAGCGACTCCCAGAAATCCGCGGGCATCGCAACGGCAGCCTGTCCAAATTCACATCCAAATCCAGCCCATGATAATAGGGCCCGTCAACCGCACTTTCTAGACAGTTGAGAGTGCCAATGTGCTTGGGTGTCATGCCAATTGCCGCATGGGCAAACACCCGGTTCTGGCCGATGTACTCGGTGTCCACCAATCTGTCGAGCTCGTCAATGTATGCTGGTGTAGCGCGCGGGCTTGCTGCTTGGCTACGGTCTCCATACCCCACTGCGAGATGATCCGGCGCAGCATTGTTTTGCGGCGGAATGAGTCGGCCTGGGCAATTGTCAGACATCTGTAGGATTCCTCGTATGCAACAAAGGCACTGGTGTAGTTGATGATAGACTCGCAATGTCGTTGGCCAGGGTGACAGCCACTTCGGAATGCTGCTTGGCGCGCTTGGCAATGGGTTGGGCACCTCGCCGACCAACGACTCGATTAGGTCTGCGTAGAGAGTGTTTGAAAGGGAGTCCAGTTGATGCGCGGGCGAGGTTTGTTCCACACGACAGAGGCTACATCTGGCGCAGAGGGCACTGCTGGTGCTGGCGCTGGCACTGCTAGCTTTGGCGCTATCGGGCAACTGAAATGTTACTCGCCACGGGTTCTGGCTTAGACTCTGTCGTAGTTGCAGTCGCAGTGGTAGCTGTGGGAACTGCAAAAGACGAGCACTGGGGGCTGGCAATTGGAAAAGGCTTGACATGCTCGTGGAAGGAGCCGGTGCAGACGTGGAGAATGTCAAGGGTGCGAAAGAAACAGATTTTTGCATCTTATTGCCATTAGTGGTGCTGGTAGATTTGGCACCGAGCGAAGAAAACAAGGAGGCGTGGCGCTATTCTGACCAACAAAGGGGGCTGTAGTCTCGGAGGACTGTGCTGGTGGTTCGGCCGAGAGTGGGCCTGCATTGGACTGGTTAAAGCCAAATGCAGAAACTGGCGTTGAAGCTGCCTCAGCCGTGTTGGCGCCAACATTAACACTGGTTGTGTTAAGATTCTCCCAAAGACATTACCGTTAGCCTGTTGCTGTTGGTTATTTGCAAATACGCTGGCGGGCTTTTGGCCAGACAGCCTGGGGTGCAGCGGCGGCCTGGTGAATCCCGACCCTGCAGGCGCTGGTTTGAACGAAACCGGAGCCAAGGCTGAGGCCGAGGCCGGGGCAATAGCACCATTGCCAAAGAGAGAGTTCCTCTGTGCAAGCTGCGGGGGTCCAGCTGCACTCGGACCCTGCGTGCGATAGCTCAGCGCGGTGGGTGCCAAAAACCGCGGCTCAAGCGTCGAATTAATAGCGTGCATTGGTGTTGTGTGGAACTTGGACCCGACCACGCGCAAATTACGCGCCGAGCGGGCCAGCTTCTGCGCAGGCTCCCTAAATACCAAGCGCTTGCCGTCTCTCTGTCCCAAGCACACACCGCGAGCATTGACGCTGACTCCGAAAAGGGCACAAAAATCAACAACCTCCTGTGTCGAGTCAAAGGCAAGCATGGCGGCAAACTCCTCGACCGGATACTCTTGCCTTCCTGGTATGGAAACGCCGTGTTCATGGCCTTGAGTGCAGCGCGGCGGATGCTGGGAAACCGGTACTCGGCCAAGCAGGCCAGGAGAAGCGGGGTCTGGGGCGACGCCACTGCGCGAAAGAACTGCGTAGACATGTTCTGCGCCGCAAACAGTTACCCGGGTCCTGACGGCTGGTCACCACGTTACTCGACTCGCTGAGCATATGCAGCCGCAATGCCTGCTGCACAATGGGCGCCAGAAATATAGACGCTGGAAGTCGCTCAGCCACACGCTTGGCATCAGAGTCGCGCAAATGCGAACAATATAGTATGCGTAAAACTCAGCCTCATTCGGACACGCTGCGCCGACCTTGCGATGGTCGTCGTAGAGCTCAATCAACGTCTTTAACGTGTTTCTCAGCTGCTCCATGTCCTGCTGCTCGGCAAAGTCCTTGTGGCCGCAGAGAATATGCAGAGACACAATATGGAACCTCGCAATCCGCTCGCACGCAGCCACCGTGTGCTGATCGCGGATATTCTGAATTGTAAAATCCTGCCTGATACTTCTAGTCCGATCACGCACAAACCCATGACAGCTCTTCAACGTCTGGTCCTCGCCGATCACCCGGTCCACAAGGTAATCCAGCGTGCGTACTAGCGCATCAGGCGTGCGCAGGTCCTCCGGCAAAGGCTCTTCGTTTCCGGCCGCTGACCTGTGAAATGTCTTGACAGTTTTGCTCGCGTCGGCCTTTTGCGTGCCTGGAATAACCTCTTGCGGCGCCAGATTTTTCTTCAGCTCGCGCTCTTCGCGCTCAAAATCCGGGCACATTTGCATGCACGTGCCGACTAGTTTGCGCGCCTCTGTCAGTGACCCGCCTCTGCTCAGCATTCCTTGCTCTGTTAGTTGTTGGCGGCGCTTGGTGCGTGCTGAGACCAGCTGGCTGTAGCGGTGCTCGCCCTCTGTGTTGTTGAACCGCTCGCGTCGCAGGGCTTTGAGCCTTTCCTCTTCGGAACTCGAACGATTAAAGTCCATCGCGAACGCTTGAAAAATATAGAGTGGAAATGCGCCTCTCGCAGAAAGGGGTGGTGTCAAGATAGAGGAGTGCGAAAATGAAATAGGATTGAAAGAGAGTGCAAATGCAATGGCAAACCCGAAATTAAGTAGAAAACAAAAATATATAAATAGCAGTGGAATTGGCAAGGCATGAACGACAAATGCATTGCGTCCGACATGAAAATATATACCACGTGTTTTTAATGGATCAGCCCACAATGATAATTTGAATTACCGATTTTTTTGTGGATATCAAAACTTTTTGTGTGTGCAAACTACTTACAAATCAAATCATTTTTATTCCTCTCACACGTTTATTTTTCTTTGCCTCTGAATTTATAAAATTAAAAAATGTCTTCTGAACGGCAGCAGCAGCAAAATGTCTCGGATGGCCCGGCACCAGCCGTGGCCATTGGACCCGAGCCCTCACCCATGAGCCACGCCGAATCCCTGGACAGCATAATGGAAAAGCTCCGCAGCACCCCGCTCTTCATGACCGATCTCGCCGATGCAGGCGAAGGAAACGACGCTGTCGAAGCGCTCAAAAGCCTTGCCTACGACGAGCCACCTGAGGAAATGGCGACCAACCTGAAAAACGAAGGCAACGATTGCTTCAAGTGCAAAAACTTCAAGGACGCAGTACAATACTATACGCGCGCCCTTGACTACGACGGCCATGATAATCGCGACCTCAAGGTCTCCCTATTGACTAACCGGGCGGCAGCCAATCTTGAGCTTCAAAACTACGGCCGGGCCATTCAGGACTGTGCAGATGCCTTGAGATTGAAGCCAGATAACTCAAAGGCGCTGTTCAGGTCGGCAAAGGCATGCTTGGCTTTGCGAAAGTTCGAGGAAGCCAGGGAGTGTTGTAAATGGGGGCTGGAGGTCGATCCCAGTAACCGCGAGCTGGTGCGTCTGCAAGCGCAGATCAAGGACACTGTGGAGGCTGAGGAGCGCAAGGTCAGGGAGCGCGAGGAGCGCGAAAGGGAGAAGGCGCGTGTGCGTGATTTGCTCCGCCGCGCTGTGGAGATCCGCAAGGGCCTGACCTTTGACAATACAGGGAGCAAGGGGCGCGCGAAGGATGCGTATCCGTGGGAGAATAGCTCGGACAGGGAGGTTGTTTTGGACGAATCCACGGGCCACCTCCTGTGGCCTGCATTCTTCTTGTACCCTGAGGCTAAGGAGTCTGACTTTGTTGAGAAATTTGACGAGGCGACGACGCTGGGAGAGATGCTCGAGGTGGTCCTCGCAGAGCCCCCCGCATGGGACAATAGGGAGAACCCAAAGTACACTGTGGACTCGGTCGACACCTACTTCTTGCACCGCCCCGTTGGTGGCTTCGACGAGGACGAGCGCCTGGTTAAAGTTGGCATGAACACGTGCTTGGGCACTGTGCTAGATCACGAACGCTATGTTATCCGGGACGGTATCCCCAGCTTTGTCGTGCTGCCTCGCAAGGGCGCCTTCACCGAGCAGTTCATCGATCGCTACCGCAAACTGCGCCAGGCCAAGGAGTCGGCCGTGAGGAAGGTTGCCGCCTGATCTGACAAGTGAAGCGTGCTTGGATCGAGATTGTTATTTTTCGCCGAATAGAAAAATAAACTTGCTATTATTTTCGTGTTGAGCTGGTCTCTCTCTCCGTTTCCATCCTTAAACGCCCTGTGTCGCGAGCGCAAAAAAAGACAACACAAATTTATTATAAAAATAAAGAGAAAAAGAAAAAGGCCCATCCTCGCACGTCGTCTAGACACAAGGATAGACACAAAAGAATGGTAAGGGAAAATGAAAGACCGGGCAGGAAAAAAAAACGGCCATAGCCAAGCTTGCGCTCACACTAGACAAGACCTGAAAAGACCAGCTCCGATCCGGCTTCAGTTGGAAAAAAAGCAGTTCTGGCTTAGTTGCCAAAGTTGAAGCCGCCCTGCGGAGCCGAAACATCGCCTTCAAAGTTGAACTGGCCGGTCTGGTGGTCAACTTCGGGCATCAGCTCGTTGTCATCCTCATCCTCGCCCTCGTCAGCAAAGTACTTGTCGATGATGTTGTACGCCTTCTTGTAGATCTCAATGTTATCGTGGAGCTGCAGGTTGTGGATCTTCTCCATGCCACCGGCCTCCTCGATAAACAGCGCGTACTGATTGATCTGGCTCGGGCTATTCTCCTTGTCAGCCTCTCCGACCTTGAGGATGTTCTCCAGACCGTCGAGCGCAACCTGCGTGATCTTGTTGTCCATACAGTTGAGCAGGTCGCACAGCGGCTTGATGCATCCCTGCTGCACCATGTAGCGGATCTGCTCGGGCTGATTCAGGCCGCCCGAGGTCGCGTTGGACACGGCCCAGCACGCCTCCTTCTTGCTCTTAAAGTCGCCGTGTTGCAGAATGTGCAGCAGGGGCGGGATGATGTTGGCGTCGATAATGGCCTGGATCTGTGTCGTGTTGCCGGCAGTGATGTTGGAGATGGTCCAGCACGCCTCCTTGCGGATGCCGTCCTTGGGCGAGTTGAGCAGCGCGAGCAGTGCAGCGAGTGCGCCGCTGTTCAGCACAACCTGCGTCTGCGTATCGTCACCGGTGACAATGTTGCCGATGGAGCGGAGCGCGGCGTCTGCACCGTGGTCATCGGGTGCATCAGCAGCTCGACCAGCCGGCGGCTCACGCCCGAGTTGATCACAGCCTCGATCTTCTCGTTCGGGCCATCCGACAGGTAGGAGATCGCCCAGCACGCGTCGGTCAGCAGCTCGTCGTCGACCGAGTAGATGAGCTTGCTGAGCACGGGCAGCGCGGCCGAGATGGAGTCCCACGCCGGCTGCGGGTTCTTGCCACGGCAGAAGTTAGACAGAGTCCACGTCGCGTTGCGCAGCATCGACAGCTTGTGGTTCTCATTGAGCAGGCTGAGCAGCGGCGCCAGCGCGCCCTCTGAAAGCACGTATCGCGGCACTTGGGGCTGTCGCCAGCAATGTTTCCCAGCGCCCACACCGCCTGCTCGCGCACATCGAGGTTGTCGATGCTCAGCAGCTGGATGAAGATGGGCACTGCCTTCTCATCAATAACCACCTGCGTCTGCTGTGAGGAGCCCGAGGCGATGTTGGTCAAGGCCCAGCTGGCCTCAAACTACAAGGATAAAAATATTATGTTACAGCAACGAAGGTGTTGAAATGTGGAAATGCAAGCCATTAGCCAGACAATGTCGAAAAAATAAAAATTCGCCTGGAACTGCAGTCACAAAATGCAAACAAACTGAGATTTCCCACAATTCACCATGAAAAAACTTACCTGAATCACAGAGTGAGAAGAACGCAAAAGCTCGACAAACCTCGGCACGACGCCGCACTCGATGACCTCGGCAATAGGCGGGTTGCACTCCTTGGACAGCAGCTTGCGGAATTTGGTCACCGACGCCAGCTGCTCGTCGAGGTTCTCCGAGTACAGGCCGTTGATCATCACCGGGAACTGCTCCTTGAGCAGGATCTGGTTGGCGTCTGTTCTCTGCTCATCCTCATCCTCGCTGTCTGACAGGTTGGCTGCGGCGGGGAAATTGAAGTTACGCTTCTTGGCCAGCGACTCATTGCGCTTCTGTTTGCGAATCTCGACAGTCTGCTCCTCGCGGCGGCGACGCAACTCGTCGGTTGGAAAGCTCCCTTTGTCTTGTATGCGTTACGGCGATGCTCAGGAACACGGTCCATTTCTTAAAAATCAATAAAAATGCTTTTAATGCGACTTAATGGACAAAACAGAGTAAATGGAAAAAAAACTTTATAGCGTTGTGGGCAGCAAAAGTAATTGGATAAATTCAACAGCAAATTCAAAAGCAAATAAAAAAGAGGGATGGGAGGTGGGTCGAGCCAAAGAAAAATACAAATAAAGAGTGTATTTGTCCAAGACGGCGCTCGAAAAAAAGTGAACTGGCTTTTTTGCGCACTCTTCTGTCAGTCAGCCAACTAAGCAAGCCATTATTTGATTTTTGTTTGTTTTCGAAGCATCTTTTTCTGGCCCTGCTTGAACCCCCCATTCTCGCTACTATTTTTATGAGCTTTGTCTTTGCCAAACACTACATGCCTGAATTCAGGCTCAGGTTCTTGCAGATACATTTTTTTTGCTTTTTCTCTCATGTTTTTTGTTACCAGCACTTGCGTGCGCGAAAAATCGAAATCGAAAGAACTCGAATATCACACCCAACAACAGAAAAAAAGCCTGTCTGCGTGACTGGCTGTGTGACTTGCTGCGAGCCGCAGCTCTTTCTTTTGTTGTCCATCCAAGCCGCAGGCCAAACAGACAAAAAATTTTCTGCTTGCTTGTTGGTCAAGCTATCGATTCGGTCAAATCAGATCAAATCACCAATTTTTTTTTTATGTGAAAAAGAACACCTTTTTAACATTTTATTTTAAAGGTCGTGTATGCAACATTTTTTATTTTTTTGCTTCCACTGCACACTAACTACGTTTGTTTATATTCTTTTTTAACACCTTTTTTCTATTTTTTAAAAAAACATTATCTAGTCAGCCATGGGAAAGATTAAGAAGAAGTTTTCGGAGGGAGCGTCAAAGACATACACCACGCGCAACCGTGCGCTCAAGAAGCTGCAGGTCACGCTGGTTGACTTCCGCCGTCTTTGCATCCTCAAGGGTGTTTACCCAGTTGAGCCGCGCAGCCGCAAGAAGGCCAACAAGGGATCCACAGAGCCTACGACATTCTACTACTCCAAAGACATTCAGCTCCTCATGAGCGAGCCCCTGATCAACAAGTTCCGCGATCACAAGGTTTTCCTGCGCAGACTCAAGAACGCTCTCGGAAAGCGGGATCTCACCAGGGCCAAGTCCCTTGAGAAGAACCGCCCCGACTATACCCTGGACCATTTGGTCATCGAGCGCTACCCGACTTTTGTCGAGGCCCTGCGTGATCTCGACGACGCCCTGTGCATGGTGTTCCTGTTCGCCACCATGCCTGTGGCCGACACCGTCGATAGCAAGGCCGTCGAGGAGTGCCGGCGCTTGTCGACCGAGTTTATGCACTACGTTATTCACACTCACAGCTTGCGCAAGGTCTTCTTGTCCATCAAGGGTATCTACTACCAGGCCGAGCTCCAGGGCCAGACCCTGACGTGGGTTGTTCCCTACCAGTTCAGCCAGAATGTTCCTCGCGAGGTCGACTTCCAGGTCATGAGCACCTTCTTGCAGTTCTACCGCACCCTGTTGGGCTTTGTCAATTACCGCCTCTACACCACCTCCAACCTGGCCTACCCGCCCAAGGTGGATAAGCCATGGAGGACAACGCTGCCGGACTCGGGTCGCTGCGGATTGAGTCGAAGCGCGTCGAGGATTTGATTAAAAACGCTCAGTCTGCCACCGACGACAGCGCCATGGTCGAGGACGACGAGGCTACCGAGGCTACTGAGGCCGAGAAGCCCGTCGAGATCACTGCCGAGATGAAGGCTCGCCTAAACACCCTGGGCAGCAAGATTAAGTCGATTGTTGCCGCCACGCCGGCCACTGCGGCGCCCTTGTACGACGCGGTTGGCTCTTCCGCGACATTGACGATGACGAAACCGTGCAGCTCAAAAACATGCTTTTCGGCAAGCAGGTATTCTTCCTGTCGCGCGAGGTGCCCCGCTACTCGCTCGAGTTTATTATCCGCGCCTTTGGCGGCCGCTCGGCTGGGACACCTCGTCGGGAGGCGGCTCTCCGTACGCCGAGAACGACAGTGCTATCACCATCCAGATTGCTGATCGCCCGACCCAGGGCCACCAGTTCCTTGATCGCAAGTACGTGCAGCCGCAGTGGGTCTACGACTGCATCAACGCCCGTTGCCTGCTGAACGTCGACGACTACCTGGTTGGCCAGCCCCTGCCCGCGCATCTCTCGCCCTTTGTCGAGTATGCTGAGGGCGACTACGTCCCCGAGGCCGCGACCAAGATGGCCGCCGCTGCGGGCTTTGAGGGCGAAGTCACCAACCTCCAGCCCGAGGACCGGGACTCTTCCAGCGAGGACGAAGACGAGGGCCAGGAGAACGTCGAGGGCGAGAGCGCCGACGAGGACGAGGCAGAGTCCGACGACGAGGATGATGAGGATGCCAAGGTCGAGAAGCAGTACCAGAAGCAGCTTTTGGCCGAGCGGGCCGGTCTCACTTCTCCGAGTACCAGCAGAAGCAGGGTGCCAAGCCCAAGTCCAACAAGCGACCGGCTGCCTCCAACAAGCGGACCAAGGCTGAGATTGAGGAGGAGGAGCGCGAACGCATTGCCATTTCTATGCTCAGCAAGAAGAAGCGCAAGGTTGTGAACCGCACCAAGGCTGACGCATACAAGCGCAACAAGGATATCAACACCCTTATGGCGCGCAAGGCTGAGATCGCCAAGGCAAACAAAAAGAAGTAATTGTTTTTCATAAATTTCTAAATCAAAAATAACCCAACCAAACTCCATATACACCAATTTATTGGATACATCAACATATCAATATATTGAAATTGTGATGCTCCCACCCCATTGGCATACCAAAATCCCGCGATATATATGTAAGTAATATTGAATTTTTGGGCTCCATATTAACCTAAAAAATGTTGAATCAAGCCACGATAAAAAAATACAAGGGTGCGTTTACTGAGCTATTCTATCAGGCGTACAGATCGTCGTCGTCATCGTCGTCATCGTCATCGTCATCCTCTTCATGGCTGCCATGTCTGTCGTGATCACCATCTTCTTCATCATCATCGTATTCGCCCTGATTTTCATTGAATTGCACATCGCTGTCGTCTACAGCGGGATCTGCTCCTCCAACATCTAACGCATAGTCCGATCCGTCCGAATCATTCTCGATGCGCCGGCGAGAAGACCTGCGAACAGAACGGCTGGGTGACCGGGACTTGCGTTTGCGCGACTGCCGTGTATTAATTGGACTCTCGCTCTTAATATACACTGCCGACACAGCTGCTGCCGCCGCGTCTCCCGCGCGCACCGTTGATGTCAACCGACGGCTCTCACGCGTGCGTCTACCAGTCGGGCTCGGAACCAAACTTTGCTGAGATGTCCCGCCGCCGAATCATCACTATCATTGCCATCGTTGGTACTGCCAATGGCCTGGTTGAGCATCAGCCGGTACTGCGCCGTCATCCGCTGTGCGGCTATCGGCACCAGCGTTCCCGGATCGTTAAAGGTGTCTGCGTTCTCCTGTATCAGCGAAATGTCAAAGGACACGGCGTAGATATGGCGGTAAAAGCCGTTCTTCAGACGCTCATATACAGTGTCCAGGCACATTGGGTAAGCAATGTTCAGCAGGTAGTCCGGGTAGTTGTTACGGTAATCGACGTTCTTGGCGAACCACTCAAAGTCATTGATTTCGCGCAACCGGTCGACAATGTTGAGCAGGGCAGCCTTGGTCTCGTGCGGGATCTCCTGCTCGGCATTGTCGTCGTCGTAGACGAGCTCCCAGGGCGAGACCTGCTCGGTCTTGCTCTCGCCGTCCGCATTAGAATCGCTGTCTGCATGAGCCCATTCGACGATGACGCTCTTCCAGGGGTTGCGCGCAATCAGCCGTGTCACATTGGTCTGCCGCGAGGTCGGCTTGATGTCGCGGAATCCTGTGATAACCGCCTTGTGCGCCTGGTCTCGTCAAACAGCACCTCGACCGGATCGCCGCACTTGAGCGCGCTGCGCAGGGATGCGCGGTACCGAGAATAGAGGATCAAAAAGTCTGGCACGCCGTCGCAGTCGTGGTACTGCACTTGAATGTACTTGCGCGTCATCTCATGGTCGCCCTGCGCCTCCAGGTCCATTTCCTCGATGGACTGGTTCTTGAGCAGCTGCACTTTGACTGTGCAATAGGTTGGCGGGCCCACGGCATACCGCAGGCTAACCACCTTTCCATATACAGCCACTGGGAGCGCTGGAATCGTCACATACGGCAGCATCTTGTCGTCAGCTTCTTACACCGCGAGGGGCTTGCCCAAAAGTCCTCGTGGCCCTCCTTGAAGTAGACGATGATGTCCCCACCTGCGGCCGGTAGGGCACGGTGCTGGGCGCCGTGGCGAGAACCCAGTCAGTCGGCTCGTACAAACTGCCGATGCGCAGCTCGGGGGTGGCCGCCTTTGCGGCGGCGTGAGTGCTGAATCCGATTGATGCCTGCTGCACAGTGCTGCCGTCGCCGCGGCTTCCGCGACTCGCGGTACCTGCTGCTGCCGTGTCGATTGCTCCGCCGCTGCCGCGAACTCTCAGCAGACGTCCCGCGCCGTTCTCCGAGTCGAAGGACCCCTCGCTGGTCGGGGTGCCGGCAGCGTACGCTGATCCTGGCACGCGCATCTGACCGTTGGCCAGGTCTGACCTTGAATACACAGTGCAGACGCTGCCACAGTGTGGTTTCCTAATGAGTCGCGTTGCGGCTGGTCAGCGTAGCCATCGTTGCCATTTCCCATGAATCTGTTGCTGCCAATGCGAGTGGTGCGCAGCCGGGTGCGCAGGCTGTCCTCAGCCTCCTGCGACGCACATTGAACTGCTGGCTGGAAGCATTGCGGCCCGACCGGCGGACCCCAGACGAAGCCGGTTGGCGGTCAGAGTTGTCCGAGTCGGAGCTGGCCATGATATCCACATTTACCTCGGCACCAACAGCAGCAGCGCGCGGGCGAGACCTGGGTGCGGCAAACTCCGACGACGCGGTGCTCTCGTTGTTAATACTGGCACTACCTTGATCTTCCTCCGAGTCACTGGCAACGCGGCGGCTTGCGCGGGATGCGTACATTGACAACGCTGGTCTGTCTATTGAGAGGAGGTCTGCCCCTGCGGCGAGGAGCAGGCCTGTCGGCGTACCACTGCTGACATTTCCACTAAAGCCCCCGCGGCGCACGCCACGGGACATACTGCTGGCCACAGCAGAACCCTGTTGGGTCTAAAGTCGTCGTCGGATGTCATGGGTTCCTCGGCCGGGGGTGATCTGAGATGCGGTTGCGGTAGCTGCGGCGACCGCGAGTCGACGGACATTTGTACCACTGGCTTCTTCAGACATGGCAGTATGTGGTTCACTCATCACGACCGTGTCGAAGGCATCCTCATCGTCTGAAAATGCCCCGCGACGTGTGCGCCTTATGCGACCGCTCGTACGCACAGGCCGCCTGCCGCTGCCGACAGGCATACCCGCATCATTGCCGTCGACATCCATTGTATTGTCGCCTTGGTCACTGGAAGTTTCAATGTTGACATCATCGTCGTCGTCATCGTCGTCATCTTCGCCAATGGTTCGGCGTGCCGAGCGCCAGGTGATCGACCGCTGAGACACATTTCTTTGCGACCGCGTCGAGTTTTCCGAGTTGTGGCGGCTCCGCAAAAGCTCCAGCGCTGATCTCCTGACATTAGGGTCGAACGAAGCGCCGCGTGCCAGCCTCTCCGCGCCGCGCGTGCTGCGACCAGTGGTTCCTCCAGGCATCGCATCAGCGGCGCCTCGTCCTCCTCATCCTCCTCCTCTTCTTCTTCTTCCTCGTCTCCTCTTCGCCCGCCGTATATTCCTCGTCGTCGCTGTCGTCGTCGACGGGCAGAATAACGGGCAGTCGGCCTCAGGGAGCTCTTCGATAGTGGTAGTGCGCACCATAGGTCTGCTTCGGCGACGGCGACCGCGTGCCGGTCTCACTTCGGCGATCGGCGCCTGTGCAGCGCGATTGTCGAGGTACGCGTGCTTAAGCTCAATCTCGAGAGCTGCCCTGCGGCCGGACTCCTCCCGGCCGAACTTCAAGCTGTCCATGCCCATGCCAATGTTGAGCCCGAATCGGGGGCCCCTTTGGCGGCGGTAACGCGGCCGTCAAAGTCCATCAGCGCGCTGTGCGGCACCAGATAAGACGGGATTTGTGACTGCTGGTCGGCGACAAAGTGGTTCTCATCCATTATGGTCGCCGTATAGTCGTTGGCAAACATCTGCTCGTGCATCTTGTTGGCGTCGTCATAGGCCCACTCAGGCCCAAGCCCAAACAGCATGGCGGCGCCGCTATCGCTGGTCAGGGCAAAGCTGAGCCCGTCCTCAGAGAACGAACCGTCAAACAGCAGCTCGCCCACCCTAAACTCGCGCAGAATATCGCCAGTATCGACGTTCCATATGATTGCCCGGCCGTCGTAGCCGCCTGAGACTGCGATGCGCGGGTCCGTCGGGTGTGGGATGAGCACGTAAACCTCGGCCACGCTGTGCGCCCGCCGCTGCCAGCAGATCTTTCCAGTGCGCGGATCGATCGCAAATACGGTGCCTGTATTGTTGCTGGCAATGATGCGCATGCTGTTGCACGCCCAGGCTACCTGGTTGGTCTCGACGCGCGCCATTGGCGCGACTGCTGGCGGCGGTGCATTGAGTTCGGCGTTGGCAGGAGCTGTGAGCGTGTTGTCTGAGACCAGCTCTACCGCGCCTCCGTTCGCGGTACCGGATGTAGGCAGGTCGTGCAGGGCTGTTATCGGCTGGATCGGGAGAAGAATATTTGGAAGAGCGAGCATTGCCGCACTGGGAATGGGCGCTGAATCTGCCTGGCTGGAAAACTGCGGTGCTGGTGTCACAACACTGCCCACCGCCATGCTTTGTTGAAACTGATGGACCGCAGTGACGTTGCCCGCCGCGATGGCGTCCGTCAGTGTTCCGAGCGCAGCGATCGCTTCAGCAGCTTGCTCCGCGGACTGCGTGGCCGCCACAGCTGCTGCCTCCACTGCCAATGCGGCATCAGCAGCAGCACCCGATGTTGTCGCAGCAGCCGATGGCCTGGGGACATCGTTGTCCAGGTCGTCCAGCGCCGGCTCGGGCGCGTCCCCTGGCGCCGGGATGGGCTCCTTGACATCGATCGTCACTGAGGTCCACTTAATATCCGTGCTGCTGCATCTCCAGACCTTGACTGTCCCGTCAATAGATCCAGTCAAGAACATCTCACCATCGCTGCTAAACACCAGTGTTGTGATGCTCTCGTCGTGGGCTGCAATGCGGCTGATGAGCTTGGGCTCGCCCCAGCCAGCGGCGCCGCCACCATCGGCGTTGACTGCGCCGGCGATGGTCGAGTATATGCTGACGTACCCCTTGACCGTGGAAATGGCTAGTCGCGAGCCCGTGTGGTTGAAAGCGAACGAAGACACGGTGTCGCGCGGCTCCGAGCGAGCATCGATGACTATCGGGTTGGTGTCGAAGACCAGCGTGTCGCGGTTCCAGCGGTAGAGGCGGCAGAGCCCAGCATCGCATGTCGAGGCGAGGAAGCGGATCTCGGGCACAGGCGAGGGCGAAAACCTGACCGCCGTGATGCTCTTGTTACGGCCCTGCGGATTGGCCACGAGCACGGCGCGCGGCTCGCCTGTTTTTAGATTCCATATGCGCACCGACCCGTCTGTCGACGCTGAAGCCAGGAGTGTGTTCTCCATGTTCAGCGCTATATCAGACACCATGCCCTGGTGGCCCTTGAAGGTCTTGACCAGGTACCCTGTCCGCGTACACCATATTTTGATCAGAAAGTCGTCGCTGCCCGTGATCATCCGCCGACCTGTGCGGTCGAACAGCACGCAGTATGTCGGGTACTTGTGCCCGTGGCACCGCACGAGCTTTCTGAACGACGCAAGTACCGAGAGCGGCAGCCGCGTGGACCGGTTCATCGGCGACTGGGCTAGGTTTGCACTGCGGCTGCGGAGCTTGTTTACCAGCGAGTTTTCCACGCCGCTGCTCGTGGGCGGCGCTTTGTGTGTGCGGCCAAGAACGGTTCCCCCCGCTGTCAGCAGTGCCGAGCTGTCGCGGTTGGCAATGGCCTGTACGATGTTCAGGAGCTCGCTGCCGGCTATGTGGGGGTGTTCTTTAACCAGCTCGTCGTATGTCCGCGTGTGCTGGTTGCCCTGCCAGTCGAAGCGCCGCGGCAGGAGCTGCTGCGCTGTGTCTTCGAGGATCTGCCGCAGCGGCTCGGCGGCCGTGCGCAGCGGGCCCTGTGCCAGGTAGTGTGCAATGAGAAAGTTGAGCTATAAAACGAAATGAAAGCGGCCTTTTAGTGTATGTTTTTGCGCGTTATTGGCCAGCGTATGCGCTCGCGCCATTATGTGGCCACACAATGATAACTGTCAGTGCCAGCTGTGGCTGCGACTAAAATAAATATGCAGAGATTGCCCTCCCCCCAAGCACACAGATACGCCCTTTTAGGGGGACAATCGCACCCAGCATACCCCCTTCTTCCAATGCAAACGCCAAACATTATTTTTGTAAGCCAAAATCAACAAAGAGCATCCTGAATAAACAGCAAGACTAAAATACGTACCTCTAAAGTTTGTGATCCACAGAACGTGCAAGTGTAGAAAATAAAGATAAAGCAAGACCCGTTTACAAAAATAAAAAGGCATCGCCAGAGTCCAAGAGCCATTGACCGTGCGCGCAACATCAAAAAGTGCAAAAAAGCTGCTTCAATTAGTACTGAGCTGGAAAACCTGACTCTTGCGCAGTTACGCATACAGTATCTGTATGTATGCTAACCAGAGTGTAAAAAATTGTTCATATAAAAATATCCTTTGGACAAGTCATTTATTTATCCTGGCTGAGCAAGCTGCCGCTGTCTCAGAGAGAAAGGGAGGGTCCATGGCCGAAGAAAAAAAAATGGGCGTGGGCTCGGAATTCAGCGGCTGACAAAAAAAGAGGAACTCGTGTTAACTTTGAGTTCTTCGGGTAAAATCCTAAGCATCTCCCCTCTCTCAGTTCTTGGATGGGTTCTGACGTCCTTTCTTTCTTTTCTCTTTTGTACACACAAATAAAAATATCGTCGAATCAATTTGAATTGCCGCAACTTTGGAATTTCCCTTACCTTGCTCTACCCGGGCGAGGAGGACTCTGCTGACGCGTCGCCGTGTGCGTTGTCAACGGGCATTATTGTATTTTACTTTTGTGGAAAAAAACGGCAAAGTTGTATATGAGCAGTCTTTTTTTCTCAAAGTAATTTTTTTTTGCAAGGCCAAAAAATTGTAAAGTTGTACGAAAAAAGGGGGCGGGGGCAGGCAAAAGCGCAAAATGAATAAAATTGTGATGATTTCAGCTTCTGTGATGGTGAGGGGGCAAAAAAGACGTTCACCCGCAGAAAAAATAAAAAAATAAAAAATGCGACAATTATGCGCAAATTGAAAAATACGCGCAGGCCTTGAAATCGAGGGTCACGTCTATTATGCCTATGTCAGCTATGTCAGCAGCGCCTGCCTCCGTCACATTGCAGGGCCAAAAGCTGGGCAGTAAGGCGGAGAATCGGCCTTTTTCCCTTGCTTTTTTTTCAGCTTCTCGCTGCCCGTGTATGCGCGCTGACAAGAGGCGGGGAGGGAGACGAGCTTTGACAATCACTGTTTTTTCCCACCGCTTGGCTGCTTTGATTGGCTGTTTTGCGTCGCGCTCCTTTCCTCTCACGCAACGCGGGCGCGCTTTCATTCGCTGAGAATAAACAGCGCGTGTATAGTTGGCTCGACTCGGCTCGGCGCCAATACAGCGCGATCCGGCTCGGAATTGGTGCACCCTTTTTTCCCCAAGGAGCTGATGGGTCAGGAACCAACAGCTTTGCAGCGATCGCAAATAGCACCAGCACTAGCAGCAGCGTTCACGCCAAACTTTAGGGCGTATTTTTGGCCTGCGCATATACCTTAACGCTGGCGCTGCTTTGCCAAGTCGGGCTCTTTTCGCCCCTTTACACCCAGTCCGATTATTTTTCCCTTACTGTCCGCGATTCTCCAAGCTCAAAAGATACCTTACTTAGCCCACTCTCTTTCAGCAATTATACAACGCACTCTCTGCCTTAAGCATCGTTCCCTTTCTCTCACGCGTTATATTTTTATTTTCCAAATTTCTCTCATCTGCAGCAAGACAAGAGAAAGTGTAAAAAAAGACAATAAAAACACGCCGCTATTTTACATATTTAATATTACCAAGTGGTCTTGCCCACCTGCAACCCAGAGAGATATTTTGTGAGCACGCGCTAAAAGCAAGCTGCACCTTTCTTTTTTCAATCTTGCCCACGGACTTTTCAATATTAGTATTTTCCTTGCTTGCACACGCTTTTTATTTCCCGAGTCTCGAGTAGAAAAAGGGCCTTTTTCACTTTTACATTTTTGAGTCTATTTTTCTTTAAAAGACCCTTATTTTTTGTTGCTTTCACTTTGCGACTTGGATACACATACACACACATACACACTTGCTTGCTCGTTCGCTCGCTCGTTTTTGCACAGCCAATACATTTTGCTTTTTGAAAGCAATCTCGGCCAACGGTTTTGCTCACTTTATTTTCCCTTTTTCTCTACTTTCCAGCCATCAACACACCCGCCCCTCTTTTTCTCTCTTTCGTGTTATTCTTTTTTTGGCCCTTTCTTTTTTCGGCACACTTGGTCCTTTTTATTTTATTTTTACCCGCCCTATTTTCTCTTTTTTATTTTTACACACGCACACTCACAGACACTCCACTCGACCTTGTGCACCTCTCCCCTACCAAAGCATTTATCCCTTATTTTTTTCATAATCAACGGGAATCGGCATAAAAGACATTCTTGCGAGATGAACGAAGGAAACTTACACGGGCAAGGCGGTCTGCCGTTGGGTGCGCCTGATGGCTTGTCGGGATATACAGGAACCAACCACGATACCTTTTACGAGGTGCACGAAGGAGACCTTGACTTTTCCGAAACCGGCCACCGAGACAACCTCGAGCCCTTCATTCCTCGGCGCAGCGCCCCGGCGCCGCCCAACGCCAAGCACTCTGCAGCGAGCTCGCAGATGGCGGCGGCCTCTGCCGGTGCCAACAGCGGCGCAGCATACTCCAATGGCAGCAGCATCCCCTCTTCGAAGGAGCCTCGCATCATGGTTCCCACGCGTCAGGCGCCCCCACCGCCCAAGAAGACCGGCCTGGGCCCAGGTGGCGGCAGCGCCAGCGGCGGCAGTACCCTGCAGCGCAGCAAGACCACAGGCGCCTCGACGCTGCCCACGCGCAAGTACTCTGATGGAAGGCCCCTGAACAGCACGTACCTGGGCCAGCTGGAGCCTGTTCACTCGGACACCAACCAGACCAACAAGTCGTTCAAGGGCGCTGTCAACAAGCTGTTCTCGTCTATGTTTGGTAAGTAGTCTGATTTGGATTCACCCGCTGCTTTTCCTGCCTTTTTATTACTCTGTGTGCTTTGTATTTTGTACTTTTGCCTACCAAAAACACCTACCTGCTGAATGTCGCTCTGCTCGTCTTTTCTATCATTGTAGACTCGCTATCTGGAGAGAGCCGGTCCGAGATCTCTGCTCCGTACAACCCCATCCATCTCACACATGTCGGTTTCAACAATGAGACTGGCGAGTTCACGGTACGTATCATACTTTGATTGATTTAATGCTTGATTGATAGCTTCCCTTTCCCTGCGTGTGTTCTATCGCAGTGATATGCAGCAGCATGGCCCGCCTGACGGTCCCAACGCTGTTTTTCATCTTTCTGGCCGATTGCTCTTCTCTTGTCTCCACACAAACGCGTGCACACGCATATATATACACGCTTGCTTCTATTATGCTTAGCTCCCTTTTCCATCTCTTTTTTACCCCTCCCGCATTTTTCTTGTCCGACCACATGGTGCTCCAATGTGGCAGTATTACCTGTCTCCGCGCTAGGGCACGGATAGCCACAACAACCCACCCGGGGGCTCTGTCTGCCTCCTACTGTATAAGTGCCGTATTATATCCTGCCGGTGCCGGTTTTTTCAAGCGTCTTTTTTACCACACCCGTTGCCTAGTGTTATGCGCGCAATGACAGCACCGGCGCTGCTGTGCACTTCCCTAGCTGCATATTTTTTGTGGTTGCAATTGCCCGTGCGCAGAAGAGCTGGCGCAGAAATAACATTGGGGACCTTTTCCTGGTCCTGAAAGAAATAAGCGCTACTGCTTTGTTTACCTCTTGAGTTGGGTGAAGAGGATCTACAATTTATTGTTATTGACATGTTGGTCAGAAAAGAATACATGCGAACTTGCACGCTATGCATGCAAAGGTGGCGATGAAATCATTCAAAGGGAAAAAAACCGCATATCGCCATGTGCAATGTGCCGTCACAGTTGCTTTTTTACGCCCGTTCGTCGTGGGCGGTCTCTGCATAGCACGAACTCGCTCCGCTCTGCCATCCTTGCGCCTCCTGCACTTGAACCCCCATCAAGCTTGTCCACGCTTTCCAGCCCGGCAATCGACCGACAGCTGCCATTCTCCCTCCTTTGTTTACTGTTTCTAATTGTGTTGGATTTGCATCCCCTTTTCTTTGCTCTCTTTTTCTGCGCCGATGGTACTGTAGGGACTGCCACGTGAATGGTCTATTATGCTCCGCGAGGCCGGCATCTCCAAGCAAGATCAGGAGGCCAATCCGCAGGCCGTTGTCGAGGTGATGCGCTTCTACCAGGAGAACACGAAGCACCACGACGACAACGTGTGGATGAAGATGGCTTCCCTGGAGAAGAGTCTGCTGGAAACTGACGCTGGACGCCAGTTGACTCAGGCGTCGTCACAGAGCGTCTCGTTTGCAACAAAGGAGACCAAGGGCTCGCCCCCGCCCCAACTGCCACAAATCGGCGACCCCTCGACGAATAAAATGCCAGCCAATATTAACACGGGCTACCCCAAACCCGACCAGTCCTCCCGCGCCGACCAGTACTCGCCCCAGTACCATTCTGCGAGCGCCGCTGGCCCTCCTGTTCAAGCGCCGTATCGCCATCAGCATTCTGGAAGCGATGGCTCGAAGCCCCCTGTTCCCAATGGTGCCGGTGCCGGTGCCGGTGGTATCAACCAGCTGCAGCGCGCGTATGACGAGGATGCCGATCAGACTAGGTATCGCCAGCCGCAGCCGCAGTGGCAGAACGCGGCCAAGGCTAAGCCTGGATATGGTCAGCAGAACTACCAGCCACAGCCTGCTGCGCCCTTGTCGTCGGCTCAGCTTAACAGCAAGTCCTCGCAGAATATTCCTCCGCAACAGCAGCAGCAACCTCAGCAGCAGCAGCAGATGTCTCAGCAAGCACAGGAGCAGCATCAGAGTGCACTCAAGCGTGGCCTTACATTGCCGAGCAATCCCAGGGATCAAATGACGCACCAGCAGCAGCAGTACGCTGCCCAGCACCAGCAGGCTTCAGCCTCGTCTTCAGGCCTGAAGAAGCAGTCTAGCAGCCACCAGCTGAAGCGCGGCCCAGCACCCAACCCGTATGCCCAGCAGCCGGTGCCCCAGGTCCAGCAGGCAGTCTACCAGTCCAAGCCGCCCGTTCAGCAGCAGCCCAGCATGCAGCCTGCTGGCGTACAGCGTCACAAGACTATGCCTAAGACCACCCCGTCTGGCGCCCTGCAGCACCCATCGCAGCAGCCGCATATGCCAATGCAGCCGACGCCGCCGACGAGCAACCCGGCCAGCAACGGCGGGGCTGTCCTCGCCCGCGCCCGCGCCAGCAGCACCAACCGTCGACAGATGAGGTTGTCGACCGCCTGAAGCAGATCTGCAATCCTAACGACCCCATGCTGCTGTATCGCAACTTTGTCAAGATTGGACAGGGAGCTTCTGGCGGTGTCTACACTGCGCAGCCAGTGGGTAGCCCAAATATCGTTGCCATCAAGCAGATGAACCTGGAGAAGCAGCCCAAGAAGGACCTGATCATCAACGAGATCCTTGTGATGCGGGAGAGCAAGCACAAGAACATCGTCAATTTTATCGACAGCTTTCTGCACCGCGGCGACCTCTGGGTGGTCATGGAGTATATGGAGGGCGGCAGTCTGACGGACGTCGTGACTAACAATCTGATGACCGAGGGCCAGATTGCCACGGTGTGTCGCGAGACGCTGGAGGGACTCGAGCATTTGCATGCCAAGGGTGTCATCCACAGAGATATTAAGTCAGACAACGTGCTGCTGTCGATGAACGGCGACATCAAGCTTACTGATTTCGGGTTCTGTGCCCAGCTGACGGAGAGCATGGCCAAGCGCACAACAATGGTGGGCACGCCCTACTGGATGTCTCCCGAGGTTGTTATGCGCAAGGATACGGACCCAAGGTCGATGTCTGGTCGCTGGGTATCATGGCCATTGAGATGGTTGAGGGCGAGCCACCGTATTTGAACGAAAACCCCCTGCGTGCATTGTACTTGATTGCCACTACGGGGACACCCAAGATTCAGAATCCCGAGAGCCTGTCGCCTATTTTTAGGGACTTCCTTGGCCAGGCCCTGGAGGTCAGTGCCGAAAAGCGGCCTAATGCTACAGAACTCCTGCGCCATCCGTTCTTGCAGAAAGCTGATCCTCTGCGCTCCCTGGCCCACTTATCCGGGCTGCTCGTGAATCCATTCGCACGGCTCCTCATTAAATCACAAATATTTTTCACTATCTGCAAGCTCGAATGGGATGGAATGGATAGTGGTATTTTTTGCCATTATTTTCTCGCACCAGCTGACAAAAAAAATGATGGGCATAAATATTTTTACATATATATTTTTTTAATAAAAAAGATTGGTTTTTATTGCCTTGTGCAAATTATTGTAGTATTGGGGATAATTAGCTTGAATTTCTTCTATAATTTGACTAAAGCAACAGCCACTTTATTCCATCTTTCGCATATCTCTTTTACTTTACCTTCACTCGTTAATGTATTTGCTGTTATTTTGTGCCGCTCAAGGGGTCATCTGGGCACTTGAACTTGTTTGCTTTTCAGCGCTCTTGGATTTTTTTACTATTCAAAATGCAGCTATACTAATAAATCTGCCTTATTTCCAAATTGGAACCGACAAAGTTGTAGATCGGTTACAAATTTTGAATGTTATCATATTTTCTTCTTTTTGCATTCTCGTGTTAAACTCTGGCGCAGCCTGTCTAAACTGGTAGTTCGGTAATCCCAATCCTTTCACAAAAACCTTTCTTTTGGAAAAAAAATTGTTAATTCTGCGAGGCGGTCGACTGAAAGTCAAAATGCAAGCAGCAAGTGTGCTATTCAAGTCCAATCGGAGACATTCGCTGACGAGGATTGGTGGGAATAATGAAAACCAATTTGTTCTGTAAAAAAATTTTCCTACAGTTGACAGAAGCAATTAGTCTCCGTCTCCATACAGTGTGCACTTAATAATTTGGGCAAAAAATTCCCAAATTGAAAAAGGTTGAGTGGTCATAAGAGCAAAACAAAACACTTGCGCAATGTGAGAAAAATTGCATTGATTGTCCAATGATAGTATTTCCATATCTATTTTTTTTATCAATTTAGTTTACTGTAAAAAACAAGAATGGAAATTGTTTACTATTTTAGTAATTGGTTGATAGAAGCTATAGCGCGCTTATGATTTCTCTTGTCCAAAAAAAGCAAATAGCCAACCGAGGGATTATCAGTATTTTTTTTTGCACCGTGAGTCCCACGGTCTGCCTTCCGTTTAGCATCGATCAACGAATAAAATAGAAACAAGAGATATGTATGACCAAATCTTTCCATCTCCACTGTTCCTTAAGGCATAGTGAAAAAACTTTGTGTCTACCCCTGGCCTCCACAGTTAGCTGTTGCACAAAAAATGTTTAGATGAAAATAAAAAAATTATGCTTTATATAAATACATGGCCTGGCGCCTCTTCCTCACGCCTCCAAGTTTTCCAGCGGTTCATACTTTTTGCTATTCTTGATATAAGAAAAGGAGAGCTATTTTTATTTTATTTTCTCTTTAATTATTTTGCTATTGCACATTTGACTTGAAATCATTTGTGCCCTATTTTTCTATTAGTTTGATTTTCCAAGTAGTTTTTCTTGCTTCTGTCATTTAATATTATCTTTTTCTGCCGCCGGTGTGCCAGCACTTACCTCGCACTAATATCTATTTATCTGCCAGACAGCAAAATCAGGCAATAATGTCCTACATTGGCGACAAGATAGTTGACGAGAAAGTCCTTTCCATCAACCCTTTTGAAGGTGAGGAACTCCACCCCGAGCATGCTGAGGACTACCTGCGCGAGGGTGAGCGCTGGGCCACTGAGGAGGACATGTCCTTGCTTCGTCGCGTGGGCGACAAGATCCCCACGGCCGCGTACTTTGTCGTTCTCACCGAGTTCTGCGAGCGGTTCACCTACTATGGTATTTCGGGCCCTTTCCAAAATTACATTCAGAACCCCTACAAGACGGGTCCACGCCCCGGTGCCATCGATGGTGGCCAGCACATGGCCACCGGTCTGGGTAACTTCTTCCAGTTTTGGTGCTATCTGACCCCCATTCTTGGTGCCCTTATTGCCGATCAGTGGCTGGGAAAGTTCAAGACTATTCTGGTGTTCTCGGGTATCTACATTATTGGTGATCTCGTTCTCACCCTTACTGCCATCCCTGCCTCTATCCGCCACGGCGGCGCCCTGCCCGGTCTGATTATCGCCATGATTACTATTGGTCTGGGAACCGGTGGTATTAAGGCCAATGTCTCGCCCATGGTTGCCGAGCAGTACGGCCGGTACCGCCCCTTCGTGCGCATCCTCAAGAGCGGCAAGGAGGTTGTTGTTGACCGCGAGCTCACTGTCCAGTCTATCTTTAACTGGTTCTACTGGTCCATTAACGTCGGAGGTCTGGCTGCCATCGCCACGACTGAGCTCGAGGCTAACGTTGACTTCTGGCCTGCGTACCTGCTGCCCACTCTCATGTTCATTATTTGCATTGCTGTGTTCTGGTGGGGTCGCGACAGATACGTGATCACCAAGCCCAACGGATCAATTATCATCAAGGCCTACCACACTATTACCACCGCCCTGCGCAACCACCGCAAGGCCAAGGCTGAGAACCAGCTTGCTCTGGACAACGAAGGCAAGCCTGTCACTTGGATGGACTACGCCAAGCCCTCGCTTAACTTTACCAACTCAGAGCTTGCCTGGGATGACCGCTTTGTTGATGAGCTTCGCATTGCCATTCGTTCATGCAAGATCTTCCTGTGCTACCCTGTGTTCTGGCTGTGTTACGGCCAGATGTCCAACAACATGGTTTCGCAGTCCGGCCAGATGAACACGGGTAATGTGCCCAATGATATTATGCAGAACATTGATCCGTTGTGCATTATTGTTCTGATTCCGTTCTTCGACATGGTCTTCTACCCCGCTTTCCGTCGCTGCGGCCTGGAGCTGCGCCCGGTTACGCGTATCACAATTGGTTTCTTTTTTGCTGCTCTGTCCATGGCCTATGCCGCTATCATCCAGCACGTTATCTACACTACTGGCCCGTACTACGACCACCCTGGTGACGACGGCAATGGCTTCAACCACATCTCTGCTGGTATTCAGATTCCAGGCTACGTTCTTCTTGCACTTTCTGAGATTTTTGCCTCGGTTACTGGTCTCGAGTATGCTTACAAGCGCGCGCCCGAGTCCATGAAGTCAATTGTCATGTCAATCTTCCTTATCACTAACGCTGGTGGCTCGCTCCTGGCCTTCTGCTTTAACAGCATTTCGTCCAACCCCCATCTCGTCGAGAACTTTGCTATTGTCTCTGGTCTCATGGGTGGATTCACCATTCTCTTCTACGTGTGCTTCCGTCACTACGATCAGATGGAAGTCGAGGAGCTCAAGGGGAATACTACTTTTGAAAATAGGCTGGATCAATAAATTATTGGTTTTTTATTTGCGGTCCTGTCCTATATATTGCGGTTGAATTAACACAACTCGCGCCACTATTAATATTGAGATCCTGAAATAAATATATTACTCTTTCCAAAAAATGCGTTTATATATAATATATTTTGGTAGAACAAAACAAAAAAGACAAAGGAACAAATAAATAAATAAATTGAGAAAAAAAAGTACAATACCAATAGATTTGTTTTAAAAGTTGAAATAAAAAATTTTCAATGGGATCAGTATCATTATTTATTTTTTATGATGAGCAACGCACAATTGAGCAGTTACGAAATAACATGGAATGGAGGGATGCGACGGTGGTGGCTCGTTTTAGGAAGTGGGGGATGAGGCTAAACAAAGAGCAAATTTTGAATGGTAGCGAGCATTGAGAAAAACAGTTTTTTGCTTCTAAATCTGACCACCAATACTTTTACCAGCATAGACAATGGCAATATCCATGGAACCGCGCTGGATTTTAAATGTAAACAATACTTTTTGCTAACAATTTACAAAAAGGGGAGGAAGGAGGAAATACCAACGAGATTAGCGCACAGATCAGAACATGACAGTGACAGTGAACAATAATACGATGTGTAAGGTGCACTTGATTTGTGTTACCTGACAAATTAATGGATATAAATCAGTTTTACTTTGTGACAACTCCATTATTGACAAGTGCCTTGTTGAGGAAAAGTTAGCATCAGATCAATTTATTTTTAAATCGTATATTGGAGGGTATTCTGAACAATTTAGCTTCTGGGGGCCAGATACAAGAAAGCTTGAGTTTAGCAAAATTTTATAAAAAAAAACATTTGTGCATTCAGTAAATAAATAGTATGTGTATATTATCCCTTGTAGGAAATAATTTAATCCAAAATAATTTTATAAACTGTATTCAGACATCCTCAATCATTATGTGTTACTCTGCTTTTGTCATTGACGCCATTATCATGTTATGGGTTACCAGATCAATATTAATTCAAAGGCAAAGGCATCCTGTTTTTTCTGTTGTATTTGACAGATACCGCATATTTTTGCAAAAACAAAATTATAAAGTAAAACGCTCACCAAAGTAATAAATAAAAGTGTATTTACTTGCCAACAGCAATAACAATAACAACAACATTCTCGAGTAAGGTTGCCTTGTTGATATTTTTATTTTGTACTGATGTGTCGATTTGTGCTTAGCCCTGGTTACTGCCCTTCTGCCCTTCTGCCCTTATGCTTTTTGTGTGGATCTCTTCGCGGCCCCTTTTATCGTGGATAATCAAGTTTACTTTTATTTCTCGCACGTTGTCAGGCCAATATCTACGTGTTAAAAGTAACCCAACCCACAGCACTCATTGAATATTGAATTGTGATTTAATTTCCAAAGTTTTAATATTGAGACAGCACCCAACCCGCACTTTGCTACTATTCCCGCATATAACTATGCTGGTGGTTCCAAAAAAGTATTTGTTATAATAGTGTGATTGTTTGCCATCAAGCACGCAAGACAGAAAACCCTTATCCTGGCCATGACATTTTTATTTCAATTCCAACTTAGCGTAAACAAACCGCCACAAACCCATTTATATTATACATGTGGTAAAGCGGCAAGATATCAAGCACCAGGATCAGCGGCACATTGGCATTGACATTATCATTGCCATGAGCTGTGATTGTTATCATTTAAAATTTTGCATATCGGAATGAAATAGTACATATGCTAGCATGCGGTTTTCTGTTATTTTCAATTAAACGCATATGAACGCACCAAAAAAAATAGAAGACACAATATGGCGGATTTTTATGACGCAAAAAGGCTTTTTTATTTAGTTTATGGCTGGAACATATTATGTTTTTTATTACTCTTCATCCAGACACTGGCTTCTTGTCAGCATCATCCCCCCTCCTGCTTAACCCCCTTGTTCCCCCCTCCCCTTATGAACACTTTTTTCTGGCTTTAATACAAACGGTAAAAATAAACCAAGCTGAACTAAGCCAGGCCAAGTCATGCCGTGTTGTGCCGTGCTGTGTAGTATCACACAACTTTCATGCCATGCTGTTTCCAAGCCATGCGTTTTCCAGGCTGTTTTTTTCGGGCCGGGCTATTTTATGACTGCGAACACCAAGCTTTTTTTCGCTAACACAAATCCCCGCTAACCATATTTTTCTGGGTTGGTCCTCCCCCCCCCTCCCTCACCCCCCTTTCCTCTATCAAAATGGCACTATGAGCACTATTTTATCTCATTTTTTTGTTTTGAATATTGTTCATATCCCTTGGGTTATCACTGCTTTTTTTATTTACTTTATCCAAGCCATTTTTTGTCTTTTTTTTACACACCGCAGAGAAAAATTTTTGTTTTGTATCGGTTTATTGGCGGGGGTGGAAAAAAAACCAAAAAACCAGAACAACTCAAGCCGGGACAAATGTCATTGAGCCATTGGAAATGGCTCGCACACATACCCAAAAAAAAGAAAAAAGATTTTCCAGCTGTTTTGCCTGCCTATCTCTTGTTTTTTTTTGTTACTCAGACCAGATCCGGGCTAATATAAATACTCTGTCCTTTCTGTCTCTTTTTTTCCCCCTCCCACCCTCTTTTTTCTTCTATTCTTTAAGTCTGCTTTCATTCACTGTCTATTTCTTTCTTTAGCCTTTGCACCACCATAACTTGCACATAAAACAAAACACACACACACATACTTGATCATCTATCCACACACACACAACGCACACAATACAATTAATCATTCACCCACACAACACATAACACACATTTTTATCGTAACCATGAACTCAGTTGCTTCTGACCGCTTTACCTCTTCCTCGCCCTCTCACAACAACAACAACGCCACCATCATCAACCACAATATCCCCCTGTCCACACCCTCCCGAAAGGCATCCTCCGACCAAAGCAGCGGAATGTCTCCGGACGCCTGCAACCGGACACCTCCGTCCAACAGATCAACGAACAACCGTGGGTCCTGCTCTCCTATCGGGACTCTGGCGAGGAGTATGAACACCAGTCTTCTTCTCAACCGCGTGGACTCAAAGGAGCAGCAGCGCAAGCAGCCGCCTCCATCGTTTGATCCGCAGGCGTTTCAGTCGCCGTGCCGCGTCCAGGTTCTGACAAGACCCTTTGGGATGACGGGCCTTCCGAATACCATCAAGGTTGTAAAGAAGCATGCTCCGCTTACGGGGAGCGGGGTTGAGCCTATAGCCCTTGGTGCGCTGGAGTCACAGACGATGTCGGTGAGAAAGCGTGAGAGGCAGGCGGGTGAGGAGGACAGCCTGGTTGGTTCCTCGATGCTTGGTGGGCTGGAGTCGCCGCTGATGAAGAGGAAGCGCGTGAGTGAGGAGCTGCCTGGTTCCTCGGTGCTCGGCGGGTTTGGGTCGCCGCTGATGGCTAGGAAGCGCAGAAGAGAGGAGTCACCTGGTGCTTCGACCACTGGTGACTTTGGCTCGCCATCGCTGTTGGCATTCTGGGGCCGTGGTACTGGCGCTGGCGCTGGTGCTGCGGGGAAGCCTCGTGGATCTGCATTTGCTGGAACGCCCATGAGCATGTCGATGCTTCGCAATGAAGCGGAAGATGTAAGTTGATTTTTTTCTTGTTTGGTTTCTGGTTTCTTTCTGTGCCCATGTGGCATTGGTTTTTTTTATTTGCCATGTCAATATTATATGCAGATGAGCCGCATGCAGTTTGCTTTTGCTTGTCTTTTTGGACTTGATTAGTATGCTTGTAGCCAAGCTTTTGTATGTGTGTTTATGTGGCTCACTTTAAACACAACAAAAGGATGGGTATCCAGCCAGCCAGCCAGCCAGCCCGTTTTTCCTTTCCCATCCCTTCAGCAGCCTTTGTTCCTAAGCTGAATTCACACGCACAAAGGCAAAATATATTTAATGAGAGGCATTCGGATGAGCAATATGCAATATCGGTTTTTTTTCTTTCTTTTTTTATACGATGGCTTGAGCCGGAACAATTTTTTTCTGTAAAGCAAGTTGGCTTAATTTCTATGGATTTCTGGTCATCATGCCTACTCTTTCTGGGTGTTTTTTTTTGACCAGAGGGCCAGCTGGGTGACTTTCTTTTTTGTCCGCTCCGGCTTATTTCCAGATAAACAAAAAAAGTGCGCCTTTTTTTGCCTTTGTGTTTGCTTTGTAAATTTGCTCACACATTTCCCTCCCCCTGTTATATTTTCTTCACTGGGTGTGGCTCTGCATATGGCGCAGGATATAGTGTTGCTCTGATTTTTTTGTACATTTCTTCTTGGCACGGCACAGATTTTCCACATGCACTTGGTTTTGGGCTTTGGTCCTGGCCAAATGGGGGAGGGATATGCTTGGAAATCCCGGCTGTACATCTGTTTATTTATTTGTTGTCAATTATTTCCGCCCGCACTGTTGTTTAATTATCGCGCGTGCTATTGCTAATCACCATCATTATCATCATCACCGGTTTTGTGTGTGGTAGGAAAATCCGTTTGGTGAGAACTACATTTCTCCAGGGGCCATGCCGCGCACAGCGCCAGCACAGATATCGCATCAGTTTTTGATGGGCGACGAGTCGGCGTTGGAGTGCACACCCCTGATGACGCAGAGCCAGCGCATCAAGCGCCCTCGCACAGACACGGCATTGCCGCGGTTCTCTGCGATTCAGGAGGAGGACGACGACTTTATCTTCAACAATGTTCCAGAGGCTCTGCCCCTGGCGGTGCCCTCGCGGGACCGGTCAGTGTCGAACAGTCCCTCTGAGCGTGTGCAGGCGGCGTATCATCAGCTGCCATGCATGCCGGTGGATTCAGATACAATCATGCGGATTGAGGCCAACACTATGGTGGAACTCCTGTCGGGCAAGTACGATGGGCTGTATGATGAAAAGATCATTGTTGATTGCCGGTTCCCCTATGAGTACCACGGCGGTCATATCGACGGGGCCACCAATGCGCCTACGCAGGCGGCGCTGGAGCAGTTGCTTTTGAACCGGCCGGCGTCGGATAAGCGTGTGGTGGTTGTTTTGCACTGTGAATTTTCAATTCAGCGGGCGCCAACGATGGCGCGGCATTTGAGGAGTCGGGACCGCGAGGCCAATGCGCATCGGTATCCGCTGCTGAATTACCCGGAGATTTACGTGTTGCAGGGGGGGTACTGTAATTTCTTCAAGTCTCGTGAGGTTATGTGCGAGCCTCGTGGGTATGTGGAGATGAAGCATGGAGCGTTTGTTGAGGATTGCTCAAAGCTGATGCATCAGTTTAGCAAGCAGTTTAAGCGCGCCAAGTCGATGAATGATGTTGGATTAGGATCAAGGGCCACCACAATGGGGGGCGGTAGTGGAAGGGATGTGAAGGCAGCATTTATGTCACCTACACCAATGGCTAGAAAATCATCTACGATGACTGTGCCGATGCATGAAATGGATACGGTGCCGGGGCCGATTTTGACAAGGGGGAGTTTGGGATTCTTGGCAACGTTGGATTCTAACAAGGAGTTGCTCAAGAATAGGAAGACTATGGTGGAGAGGGAGAGACGGTTAGTTCGGACGCAGAGTGCCAGACCGAGCATGAAATTCATGGACTTTATGCAAAAGTTTTAAAAATGATGGGCTGTGTAAAAAAAACCTCCCATTCAGAGTCCATGTGTTTGTAATAATTAATTAATTAATATTTTTTATATTTCTCTTTCTCCCTCTCTTTCTAGCTACTATAATTTTAATTTTAATTTTAATGTAAACAAAAAATATATTATTGTTTTTGATTGAATTATAGCTGGTAAAAAAATTAATAGCATGTGATTTTTCGATTTAATTGATACGCTGTGGTGGTGCGCGATGTAATGATAATGGGCGTGAGTTTTTGGTGATTGCAATCAAGATGATCAGGAAGGGAGAGCGTTTATGAAAGCAAACGCGCATAGCATACAAGCAGATTAAAGAAGAAAAAAGAAGCTAGTAACGGGTTTCCGTTCTTTTTTGGTTTTGATTTTTGTTTACGTTTTAAAAGTCCTTTTTAAGTTAAATTCTATTTATTTATTTATTTATTTATTTTGAAAATGTGGAACAACAGCAACAACAACAACAATAATAATGCGGACTACGATTCGTTCGACGATTTCAGCAATTCACCACCTCCTCAGACACCGCAAAGGACATACGAAGCAATCCATCAAATGGAGCAAACGTCGCTCAGCAGCGCGCGCCAACATCTCACCGGCAACCTAGCATCCGATCCCCACTCTCATCTTCAGCCACACCTAACAATGCGGCACATCAACCAGGAGCTCCTCCACCTACAGTTCCCCGGACCACTGCGGCTGGCAGAGGCCACCGAGTACCTTGAAGACAACCAACGAGTAGTCGACTGCTTACTTGCGCTACTGGAACAGAGACGGAAGGATATTGGTGTGCGCGATATGATGGATGAGGAAATGCGCAGGGGGATGGGCGAGGAGGAGCAGCTACGCGTAGTGGTTGCGCGGCTGAAACGCGAATTGGAAGCAAAGGAGAGAGAAGCGTTTGGCGCTGGGAGAATGGCTGTGGAGGCTGGGAGGGCGGCGGAGGAGGCGGAAGTGCGCAGGAAGAAATGCGCTGCGGAGTTGAAAACTGTTAGAGCAGGGGCGACGTCGGGGAGAGCGCAGTTTTTGCACGAGGCGCGGAAACGTGAAATGGAATGCGCCAAGCTGAAGGACCGCGTGCAGCGGATGATCGCAGATAAAATGCGCTCAGCCAAGGCGAGCGTGGAGATTATTAACCCCACGGGCGCTGTGGACATTGTTGGTGCTGGTGCTGCGGGTGGCAGAGACCAGGCGATGTTTCGCCAGGTGGTGGCGGACTATGAGGCGCGGGAGGCTGGGCTTGTGGCCTGCACTGAGGCACTGCAGGGCATGCTGGCTGTGGTGGTTAAGGGGCTGGCGCCGCTGATGCGCGATTGTGGGTTGGGCGAGGGTGCGGCGGCGCTGGTGGCTGAGTTCGACCGCGAAGTACCGCCTGCGGGCGTCGACGCTGTGGTGGAGGCTCTGGAGGCCGTGCGCCGCCATGTTGCCGAGCTGCGGCACACACCGCCGGCGCCAACGCCTATTGTCATTGCCGCCGTGCCACCTGTGCCACCAAAGGAACCAAAGGAACCATTGGCGCCAATGGCACCAATGGCGGGCGTGGATTTGGCCGCGCTTCGTAGCCGCGACGAAACGATTCTGCGGCTGCAGCGCAATATCAGCGAGCTAGTGGGCCAGGCCAACTACCAAAAAGCTGTCCTGGAGGAGCAGCGGCAATGCATGGAGCGGTTGACAGCAGAGCGTATCGAGAACAATGCCCAGGCGGCGGCAGTGCGTATGCTGGACGAATCGTTTTCAGGGCTTTCAGCTGCCAACGAGTATTCAGTGCTGGACCGTCAGGCGATGTTGCGGGAGAAGGCGCAGCTCGAGGCGGAGCGGAGGAACTTTGCTAATGCTGCGGTGGAGCTTGGCGTGGACCGGGAGAGGGTACGGAGGTGGGCGGAGGAGGTTGAGAGGCGGGAGCGGGCGCTGGGGACCGGGCAGGGGCAGGGGACTGAAGGGTTTTGGCCAAGTTGCCGGAGACGCCGACGTGGCTGAGGGCGCGGACATGACTCTGTCGACGCCGGAGATTCTGGGCCAAATGGGCCAGCTGCGTGGGGCGGAGCCCTTGGGACACCGACGCAGTCGATCAAATGCAGCAGCGCGGCCTGGTTGGGCAGCGCATGCTCGAGGACGACTCGTTCGACATGGACGACCAGCGGCAGCAGCAGCCTGGGAACGAGGCGGTGGACGCCGACATGGCGTCTCTGACGAAGCAGACACTGGCCAGCACAGCAGCAACAGCAGCAGCAGCAGCAAGCATCCAGCTCCGCCTCTGCGCCAGCATCGCGCCCCGACTCAAGCGCAGGCGCAGGCAACAGCACTGCAGCGCCTTCGACTCCGTCTGCCCATCAGAAACAGCTGCCGTCGCGGACTCCCGTAGAGGTGCGGTCGGGGCGGCAGCCGCGGGTGTGTACGCGACCGGGGTGTGCCGCACATGCGCCGCATACGCACGAGGATGGGCGGCTGAGGCCGGTGATGGAGCTGAAACCGCCGGTGCCGCGCTTTTTCCGCAGGAAGGCCGAGGAGTCGCCCACCGGCGCAGCTACCGGTTCCGGACCGGAACCGGTGCTGGTGCTGGTGCGGGCAGTGCGAGGAGGAGGCGGCGAGAATGAATATAATGCCGTATCGCACGCCGACGGCTGGCGGCAGGCCTGGGACGATCAATGCTGCGGGTGCTGCTGCTGGCTCGAATGTCACGGGTGTCACGGGTGCGGCAGCTGGTGCTGCTTTGAGAAGGTCGCACCAACAGACGGCTTTGTCGAGGAGCAACTCTGCTGCTGATGCGAAGGATATTTTTAAATAGTCATGTGGAGGAAAAGGCTGCTTGTTTTTTCTGTGCCTGTTGGCCGTTAATTTCTCTCATTTTTGCACACGAAAGGAGGAGGGAGAGGGTCTTGGCAACACCAAAAAAAGAAGAGTACCACGCATAACCTTCTTTCTCCACCCCACTCCACTCCACTTCACTGCACTTGTTTTTGTTCTTGCTTTTGTTCTTTTTCTTTTTCTTTCATTTCTCAATACTTTCATTTCTAAATACTTTATTTCAATTTATCTTCAGTTTCACTCAATCTGCAATGTTCAAGGTCGCCAATCCGTTCGATGAGCTAGTCAGTACGTTTGCCGGGGGCTATTTCCCTTCTACCAATACTCCACCCCCCAAGTGAATAAAACAACCTATTGAATTAGAATTGAATTGAATTCACACACATATATATATATATATATACTTGCTAATTTGTCTTTTTATCTTTTTACCTTTTTATCTTGATGTTGGAGTATAGAGCGCACAACCAGCGAAATGCTGACTGCCGAGAACTGGGAGCTAATTATGGAAGTTTGTGACCGCGTAGGCACAGACAACGAAAAGTAAGACTTGCCATTTTGCGTTGCTAATTTCCCCTTCACACAAAAAAACAGTATAGAAACCCACTAATACTTAATATCATTTTCTTTAAAACCCCATAGGGCTCATCAGTGCTTCGAGGTTGTCAGTGAGCGACTACTGCACCGCAACGCCAACGTCGTTCTCTACACGCTCACCCTTGTGCAGTCACTTTTAGAGAACTGTGGACAAAACACCAAGCAAGAGGTCTCCTCCCGAGTTTTCACCACAACCCTCATCCGTATCCTCAACGACAAAACCGTCCACGAAAAAGTCAAAACGCGTATTCTCGGCTACATCCAACAATGGGCTTTTGATTTCCGCCAAGATCCGACTCTCAGCCTGATGGAGGAAACCTATACTAAATTGAGGGCTCAGAGGTTCCCGTTCCCGTCGCCACAGATTCCGGATAAGATTGCAAAGGAGAGCAGTGAGGTGGATAAGATGAAGGAGGAGGAGGATTTGCAGCTGGCTTTGGCTTTGTCCTTGTCCTCTGTCGCTGATAATGCCGGTGGTTCGAGGGCCAACTATCAGTCGCCGGCGGATATTAGATCGGAAATTACTCGCAAGCAGACTATTGCATCGGCCCACCAGCAGGGGCAAGGGCAGCAGTTGGCAGCTCCGGCATCAACCGTCGGCGGCGTAGCTCGGAGAACCACTCGGGCAGGAGGCGCCCCTCACCTGCAGCAACCCGCCGCAGCCGCTGCCACAGCTGCTGCGCCGAAGAACCACTGGCAACAAAGCGCCGCGTCCAAGTCCGTGCCCTCTTCGATTTCACACCAACCGAGCCTGGTGAGCTAGGCTTCTTCAAGGGCGACGTAATCACCGTTCTCGACCAAAAATACCGCGATTGGTGGAAAGGCGAGCTCCGCACCAAAAGCGGCATCTTCCCAGCCAACTTCGTCCAACCCCTCCTTGACCCACGTGCCAATATCTCCAAAGACCTCGATTGAAGCTCAGGTATTTTCCGAGGCGCATAATATCGAGGCTCTGTTGAGACTGTTGGGGAGCGTGGATCCTGTGAAGGATAATGTGTCGGAGAATGAGGAGGTGCAGAGGCTTTATGGGGAGACGGTGGCGTTGAGACCGAGGATTGTGAGGTTGATTGAGAGGTATACGAAGAAGAGGGAGGAGCTGGTTTTGTTGGATGCTCAGTTTTCGAAGAGTATACGGTTGTACGATGACATTTTGAGAAGGAGTGTTGGTGCTGCTGCTGGTGGACAGCAACAGGGGGGTGTATGCGCAGCAGGGCCAGGGTCAGGGTCAGGCCAAGGTCAGCAGCAACACCAGGTTCAGCCCCAGCAGCAGATGTATGCTGGGTACTCGGCTGCCAACATGCAGTATTCACAGTCCAACATTATTGTATCTCAACCCCAACAGCAACACAGCAGCAGCAGCCGTATATTATGTCGCAGGCTCCTGTTGGTGCTTCACAGCCGCAGCGCGTGTTCTACCAGCCGCAGCTCCAGCCTCTGCAACAACAACAGCTGCAGCAGCCTCTGCAGCAGCAGCAGCAGTCTCCGGTCAACAAATACAGGTTCAGCCTCAACCTCAGCTCCAGCCTCAGCCCCAGCCTCAGGTTCAGGCACAATACCAACAGCAGCCGCAGCCGCAGCAGCACAGCAATACCAACCCCCAACCCCAACCTCCAGCAGCAGCCAGTACCAACAGCAGCCTCAGCAGCAAGCCCAACCCCAGCAAATGCAGTACCAGCATGTGCCACCTCAGCACCAGGTGCAATACCAGAACCAGAGCCAGAACCAGAACCAAAACCCAGCAGCCACTCTGGGTACTCCCACAGGTACTGCCGCAACCACCGCCACCACTTATCAGCAGGCACAATAATTTGATTTCAGTTTAATTGAACACCAACTTATCAATATACTTTAGCTAATTCATTCCATCCCGCTCCGTTCCTAATTTTAATTTTAATCCACATTCATATGGTATATATCAGAATGAAAAAGGACGCAAATGACCATTATTATTTTGCTGCCGTATGTTATTTGTTATTTGTTATTTGCTGTTAGGGCAGCTGCATCGCACACCAACTTTTTTTCCCACGACGGAGCTATCGGAACCTTCTTACTTATCTAAGAAAAAATACGAAAGTGGGCACGGTGGTCAACCTATATGCTTTTTTTGTTTAGAATGTGTTTCTTTTTTTGTGACTGTTTCATATTTTAATATGAACCTCGTGCATCAAAAAATGCAATTTTAGTTTTGGTTAATTAGGAAGAAAAAATTGCGTGGATGTTTTTTTTTAATTGGATAGGAGAATTTTAAAATAAATTAACGGAAAATGTCGGGTGGGAAAATCTTTAAAAAAAAAATATTTCGAGTGTTCGTTTATCTTACACGGTGGTAACAAATAAAAACTAGAAATTCCTTACGTATCTTATTATTTTTGGAATATCTGCCATTACAAAAAAATAAGAAAAAGTATTGGTCAATGATGTTGCAGCGGGAGGAGAGAACAGAGAATATTATTATTCTCCAATGTCTGTTGAGATAGGTGGCCCGTGCGCTTATCTTTTTTTGCTTGTTTTTTCATTATCGACAATAAATACAATTGTGTGTATGTGCATTAAATTATTTTTTTAAAAAAATAATTTAATTGCACATAATGGCAATGTTTTGTTTCTGTTTTATTATTTGGTGTGAAGTATCACATGTATGTGTTCGTCTTCTCAATTACTTGGTCTTGTTTTTTGGCATACATTAAAAAATCCGGAACATAGAAGAAAAAAGGGGAGAACTCTCCGATATGCAAAATAAACCAAAAACCTCCGATATGGAAAATAAAACAAAAACTGCTAGTTTTTTTGTTGTTTACTTCAAATTAATGTGTCATTTAATAAAAAAAATCTATTTTAAACGCACATATCTTGAAATAGATATATTTTCCAAATAACAAGATAAAAAAGTGAATAAACAATTGATCCATGCGTTTCAACCATATAAAATTTTTTTATCAGGTTTGAGAGACCCGGGTTGGAAAAAAAGTAGAGAATTTCACATGTATCAAAAGACCTCTTTCTTTTCTTCTTTTGTCGATCGCACTCTTCCCTTTTCAGCGCACAGGCCACCCCCACCTCTCCTCTGTTTCGAAACTAAAAAAGACAAAACAGGGAGAGTGAGTGAAATAAAAAAACGGAACGGGATAACAAGGAGTTTTCTTTTTTGTGATTTGCTCATGTGGTCCATCATTTTTTTATATTTTCTAAGAGTGAAAAAAAACCCACATCGGAAGGAAGGGGGGGGGAAAACGGGCTCTTTTTTTATCGCTATGTGAGTACTTTTTTTTTATCTGTGATTGACACGGGGAGACAAGGATAATTTTTTTTTTGCTAACAATGCAGCTTTCGTCTTATCCGCCACATACTAAAAAAAGAATATCGGAGGTTTTTTTCTTTACAAGTAAAAAGGGCTAGGAGAATTTATTTTTATTAGGGTCCTGAAACCAAGGGGTAACAAAATGCATGAGATTTTTCCTTTTCTTTTTTTCATTGGAAGAGAAAGTCGTCATATGTTCGTTTGCCTTTTTTTGGTCGGTTCTCACATTCTGTGACAAAGCCAAAACAAGACACCAAAGCCCTTCCCTTCTCCGGAATAGGATATGTAGGAAAGATTCGGAATGGGAATGAGAAGAGCAGCACAAAAATTATTTTTGTTGTTTAGCTTATTGGATGTGGCTCTTTTTTTATTTTTTTTATGCGTGACCACGAATTTACACACGGGCCTATCTAAACAGACAAACCAACCACACTCTAAAGGAAATTCAATTCCGAACTGCTCCGCCATAAACACAATATTTTTTATGCGCTATTTTCCTTGTTTAATTTTTCAAGTATAAAACCAAACCAAACTTCCACCATTTCAAACACCAACTTTTATTTTCATAGTAAAACAGTATCTTAAACTACAACGCAACATTTGACCTTTTTTATTACAAATCTTATGATATATCTCAGACACTATAAATCATTCTTTGAAATCCATTTTTTCACAATAACCATCAACAACACTAGCAAACATACAGCCTAATTAAACCAATGTCTTCCATCAACAACAACTCCAACATCGTCACTGAGGGCATCGACTACGCCACCAAGCTTCGTCGGAATCTCTCCCCCTCGCAGCTCTACGAAGACGCACTCCGCTACGAGCCCGGCACCTCCATCTCCTCTTCAGGCGCCCTGATCGCCAACTCCGGCAAGAAAACCGGAAGATCCCCGCGCGACAAGCGCGTCGTCGAAGAGGCCTCCACCGTCGACGATGTCTGGTGGGGCCCGGTCAACAAGAAGCTCTCCGAGGACTCCTTCTCTGTCAACTACGAGCGCGCTGCCAACTACTTGAATACCCGCGAGCGCCTCTACGTCTTTGACGGGTTCGCCGGGTGGGATCCCAAGTACAGAATCAAGGTGCGCGTTGTTTGTGCGCGCGCATACCACGCCTTGTTCATGAACAACATGCTGATTCGCCCGACGGAGCAGGAGCTGGCAGAGTTTGGCGAGCCGGACTTCACCATTGTCAATGCTGGCCAGTTCCCGGCTAACCGCTTCACCAAGGGGATGACCAGCTCGACCAGCGTGGCGATTAGCTTTGAGCGCAAGCAGATGGTGATCCTGGGCACGGAGTACGCTGGCGAGATGAAGAAGGGCGTGTTCACGGTGATGCACTACCTGATGCCCAAGGCCGGCGTCCTATCCCTGCACTCCTCGTGCAATGAGGGCCCGACGGTGACGTCTCCTTGTTCTTTGGCCTCTCGGGCACCGGCAAAACCACCCTGTCGGCGGATCCCCAGCGGCTGCTTATCGGTGACGACGAGCATGTGTGGACGGAGAACGGCGTGTTCAATATCGAGGGCGGGTGCTACGCTAAGACCATCGATCTGTCGGCCGAGAAGGAGCCCGAGATCTTCAACGCGATCCGCTTTGGCGCCGTGCTCGAGAATGTCATTTACGATGAGCGCACGCGCGTCGTCGACTACTCGGACAAGTCCATCACGGAAACACTCGCTGCGCTTACCCGATCGAGTTCATCCCCAACGCCAAGCTGCCATGCATTGGTGGCAAGCCAAAGAACATTGTGCTTTTGACTTGCGACGCCTTTGGTGTGCTGCCTCCGGTGGCTAAGCTGACCCCGGCGCAGGCCATGTACCACTTCATCTCGGGTTACACTGCCAAGATTGCCGGTACTGAGGAGGGCGTCACTGAGCCTGAGGCCACTTTCTCTGCGTGCTTCGGCCAGCCCTTCCTTGTCTGGCACCCGGTCAAGTACGCGCAGATGCTGGCGCAGAAGATGCGGGAGAACAACGTCAACGTCTGGTTGGTCAACACCGGATGGAACGGCGGCGCCTATGGCGTGGGTAAGCGGATTTCGCTCAAGTACTCACGCGCCATCATTGACTCGATCCACTCGGGCGAGCTGCAGGGCGCGGAGTACACGAACTATGGCGTTTTCAATTTGCAGATCCCCACGGCTGTCGAGGGCGTGCCGGAGAAGGTCTTGGACCCGAGGCGCGCCTGGGAGGGTACCGAGGAGGAGTTCGCCGCTACTATTTCCAAGCTCGCCGGTCTGTTCCAGGCTAACTTCAAGGAGTACGCTGATCAGGCCACTGCGATATCATTGCCGCTGGTCCTCAGTTCTAATTTCTAATTTCATTTTCCTTCCTTGTCTTTTTTTATGTTGTCATACCAATTATAAATGTGTATTTTTTCATCTCTTAATTATTTTTCTTACATCGGGCTGAAAAACGCGGTTGATTTTGATGATGCTGCTGCTGCTCGGAAGGATATTGTACTCGCGTGAGTAGGGAAATTTTCACCATTACCGCTGGAAGCAGAAGCGGCAGCAGAATTACTGTGTTCATTGTCTGATACTGTGTCGGAAAGACCACCAAACTAGGATAGAAAAATACAATTTGAAATCAAACACAATCGCAAACACGGATTTTCACTATTTTGTTTATTTTTGTAATATTGGTGAAGTGAAGGGGTAGTGGATATCTGAATGTTACAAAAAAGGATAAACAAACAAGAACTTACTCGGAACAAATTGGTTAAATTGATCGCGGGCACAATCGGACTTGGTACTTTCGGATCCTGCATAGTAGTAGTGGTGGTTGTTTGTGGTCCGCCATTGGTCCAATGCGATTGCTGAAAATGCTGCATTTTATCCAGCATTGCTTCCAAATTATATATAGCATGGTCACTAAACATATACATTAGAATTTAGTTTGTACGAGATCAGTAAAGATTGGAGATATAATAATTGATGTGTGTATGTGTGTTTTTTTACTTACAAGTTGTTTGCAGGTGCGTGATATGGCAATGAATCATCTAAAGATAAAGTTTCACTTGGTTCAGCGTACTCTTCGCTCAACCTACTTTATAATTGTGACACAATTTAAATGTAAAAGACAAAAAAACAAGAACGACTTTTTTTCGTAAATACATTATTTGTTTTATTTGTACAAGCCCAAACCACAGGGTTAGACTTACTTGAGCATGATTTGGTTAATGCGATCAACATGACTATCTAAACAAGTCTCGAGTCTTTTAATTCTTCGTTCTAAACTTGATTCTTTTTTATGTCGCGCCGCTCTTTTTTGATGGCTGAGTGTGGCAGCATACCACCGTGCATTGAATGTTGTTGATTTGGTGCGGTAGTAGTTTTGCAAGGCGCGTAGTGGGGTCGGATCAATGCTGGCAAAGGAGATGGAAGAAATGCTGCTGCTGCTATGTGTTGACATGTTGGATTTTGGGGTTATAAACGATGAAATGAAAAATAGAAACGACAAGCGACAAAAAATAAAAGGAAAAGGAAAAGGAAAAAAGGTCCATTCGGATGGTAATGTTTACACCGACCATAACTAAAATAATAGTAGCATTCAATCGATGCTAACCAAGCCAACCAACGCTCTCAAAATAAATTACGTCCGAATTTCAGTTCAATATTAGTTTCTTATCGCATCCAATATACGATCTACACAAAAAAATAGATGAAACTCCTTGACATAGCGCGCTCAAGCACCAGGCACGTGCGTTCTCCAGCAAAAAGAGCAACAGCGGTCCTCGTACCGCTACATGGAGCGACAAATCCGCGACCCCTTCGTCAAACAAGCGCAGAACGAGCAATTTCGCTCCCGCAGCAGCTTCAAACTAATCACTCTCCTCGACACCCACCGGCTCCTCCCAGCCTCCCCCCACGCCTGCATCCTCGACTGCGGCGCATCCCCAGGCGGCTGGAGCCAAGTGATCTCCCGGCGGATCTCTGCGGCCAAAGCATCCGCCCAGTCAACAGCCCCACCATTGCCACGCATTATTTCGCTCGACTCCTCCCCATGCGACCCATCCCTGGGGTTCACTTTATCCAGGGTGATTTTTTCGAAAGCCCGGTGAAGCGTGAGATCGAACAGGTGCTGGGCAGCCGGAGGGTCGGCCTGTTGTTGTCGGATATGGCGCCGTCATTCACGGGTAATCGCGGCACGGACGCTGATCGCACGATGAATTTGTGCGAGGATGTGCTGGCGTTCTCAGAGGATGTGCTGGCGTTTGGCGGCAATATGGTTGTCAAGTTTTTCATGGGCGGCGCTGAGCCGGAGTTTAGGGCGCGGCTGCGGGAGAGATTCGAAAGAGTCGTGGTTGAGAAACCAGAGGCGTCGAGGAAGCAGTCGGCTGAACAATATTTTGTGTGCATTGGCAAGCGGGAAACCCCAAAGGATCTGTGAACTAACAATGGTCGAATTGAAATCCCAAGTGGAAGGGAATGGAGGGAGGAGAGGGGAAGCATGTGACTGTGGATTCACGCCCACCCCACTAATCGCCATCCCATTCGCTATAGTGTTCTTAATTAGTGTGCTCTCTGTATGCGTGTTATGCGTGTATGTGTGAGGTGCTGATGAGGGCAGCAATCGATTGTTTTTTGCTTCCTCCTTTTATAACCACTAAAATTTTACATTTTTCATTGCTTCTAATTTAAATTCGCTTAATTTAACCCACTCACACATAGCATGCCGCGCTTTCTCAGTCGTGCTGGCACGCACATTGATGACCTCGAGCGGCAGCTTGCTCGCGTGGGCTCGGCCGACGACGACGACGACGACAACGACAACAACAACACCAACGACGATGCCGCTGGCTCCTCAACCAAAAAACACGCAGATACGGGCGAAACGACGCCCTTGCTGAAGGCCAACCACGCATCGCAGTCAATGGTCCAGCTGAGCGTAGACCAGACGACGGTATATCCCTACAACGCATTGTCACCTGTCTTAGACAACACACGGCCAGACCAATGCCATATAAGCACACGGACTTGCCGCCGCCAATACCATTGTTAACACCAGTAGCACCAGAACAGGCGGCGCCGCGCAAGCTGGGCACTTGGGACGGCGTTTTCCTACCAGTCATGCTGAGCATCTGGGGAATCCTAGTGTACGTGCGCATGGGGTATTTTCTAGGCCAAATCGGGGTCATCGGCACCATTGGCAGTTTTGTTTGCGGCTACCTAGTGACTACAATGACCACGCTGTCGATCTCAGCCATCTCGACCAACGGCACAGTCAAGGGCGGCGGGCCCTACTACATGCTATCGAGGTCCCTGGGACCAGAGTTTGGCGGCAGTATCGGCCTGATGTTCTACGCGGGCACACTTCTCTCAGGTGCACTCAATGCCGTTGCATTCGTCGAGCCACTGATGTTCAATTTCGGCCAACGCGGCGGCGACATTTCGCAGACATTCCCCGAGGGTCCGTACTGGGACATCCTGTACAGCTCGCTGATGCTGACTTTCTGCACAGTCGTGTGCTTGATTGGCGCGAGGGCGTTTGCCAAGGCGTCGACCGTGTTGTCAACGCTGATTGTTGCGTCGACGGCGATGATTCTGGCGTCATTTGCGCTGCGGAGCCCGTTTGTCGATGAGGAGAGATCCGTTTATTACACCGGGTGGAGCGCAGACACGCTGCGCGAGAACCTGTGGCCGGAGCTGACGCCGATTTCTCCCGGACAGCCGCCAGAGACTTTCGGCGCAGTGCTGGGCGTGCTCTTCCCAGCGTGCATCGGCATCATGGCCGGCGCCTCCATGTCAGCTTCCCTGCGCAAGCCCAGCAAATCGATCCCAAAGGGCACTCTGTGGGCAATCCTCATTACGTTCTGCCTATACATGCTCATCATTGTCAGTCTGGGGGCGACCACACGGCGGGTGACGCTGCGCGAGAACTTTAATGTGCTTCAGGAGATTAACATTTTCCCTGTCATTGTGCCCATTGGAGCCATTACAACAAGCGTAACGAGTACACTGAGCGGAGTCTTGTCGGCTGCCAGCGTGCTGCAGGCTATTGCCAAGGATGATTTATTCGGGTGTCTGCGGCCATTTAAGCGCCTTGGCCGCGGCGATAGCCCCGTGCGGGCGATCGTTGCCACGTACGCGTTGTCGCAGCTGGCGTTTTTTGTGGGCGGCACGAATGCCGTTGCGCCCTACGCGACAGTGTTTAACCTCATCATGTTTGCATTTGTCAACTTGGCGTGCCTGGTGCTGAAACTGGCTGCGTCTGTGAATTTCCGTCCGACATTCCACTACTTCAAGGCGTGGACGGCGTTTTTGGGCGTCACCGGGTGCTTTGCTATCATGGTTTTCGTCAATATGGTCTCGTCTCTGGTGTCCACAGCCTTTGTGCTTGTGCTGTTCCTCTACGTGCACTACACTTGTCCGCCAAAGCCCTGGGGCGACGTCACGCAAAGCCTGATCTACCACCAGTGTCGCAAATTCATGCTGCGTCTGGATGTGCGCAAAGATCATGTAAAGTTTTGGCGCCCGCAGATTCTGCTCCTGGTGCATGACCGCGCAGCTCGATTTCGCTCATTCGGTTCTGCAATGCGCTGAAGAAGGGCGGGCTGTATGTTATCGGGCATGTTATTAAGGGTCGGTTTGGTGATTTGCTTCCAGAGTTCAAGCGGCAGGAGGGCGCGTGGATGCGGCTTATTGATGTTCTGCGTGTCAAGGCATTTTTGAATCTGGTGGTTGATGAGGAGGACGATAGGGGCGCGAGGAGTATTGTTTTTGGCGCTGGATTGGGCGGTATGCGGCCCAATATTGTTGTTATGGGATTTTTCGATCTCGCGCATAGGGGTAGGGAGGAGCAAGGGCAAGAGTCGGAAACAAGGCATGACTGTGATGACGACGGCTTGCCGACGGACGGTATTCGGCTGAACTCGCCCATTTCGCCCGCCGCTTACGTGCGCATTATTGAGGATGTGCTGACCATGGGCAAAGCTGTCGGTATAGCCCACGGCTTCTCCAAACTCCCTCGACGTCCTTTTCGGCAACGAACCAGCCCTGGCTCCCACATCTTGCTTCAGCAGCAGATGTATTGCTACCAGGCCACTACACAATTGCAACCAAAAACGGTACATTGATCTGTGGCCGATCCAAATCGGCTCCACTGCGTCTGTTGTTGGCAACAGCAATGGTGGTGAGCATGCGCGTATTTGACTAATTTTGATTCGTATGTCATGGTCTTGCAGCTGGGGACCGTCCTGCACTCGTGCCACATTGGCATAAACACTATGTTTTGCGTGTAATGTGCTTTGTCGAGGATCTCAGGGATGTTGATGAGGAGTACCGAAGGGTGGATAAGCTTCTGCGCGATCTGCGCGTGGTTGCAGAGCTGCACGTGCATTGTTTGAGAGGGGCTGGAATTTTTGCGTACGATAACGCGGTTAGTGCCTCCAGTGCCGCTGCCGCTGCCGCCGCCGATGCTTCTTCTGATTCTGCTGTTGCTGATACCACCGATTTGGGGGCTGGGTTTAGTATGAGGGTTAATTTGCCCATGCCCTTGCGGTATGAGGCTACGAGGAAGGATCGCAGGAGGAGTTCTAGTAGCAGCAGCAGTGGGAGCTCTAGTAGCGAGGATGAAGACGACGATGGGGATCAGGACAGTCTGTTGCCGGATACGTTGTTGCTTCGAAAGTTTGCCACCGTAGCTGTGGGCGAGTCAACTATAAATGGCGGTTCTTCTCTTTTCCAGCGTTTGCGAAAATCCAGCGCTGACCACCAGCACCACCAGCATAACCCTCTGTCCCGGTTACCTGTCAACTGGAAACCCCGCCGCCGATCGGACGGATCCATGGTGCTGAGCGATTTCTACTCCCAAGCACTCATGGCATCAACTACATCTGCATCTGCACCTGTGGCCAATCCAACCAACTGTATTGATCAGTCGGGTAATCCACCTACTTCTGTTGCTGCTGTTCCGGAGCCCATCAAGGGTGTTGCGGACTCGGAGTTCAACGATATGCCATCCAACACGCAAAACCTCATACTTAACGAGCTGATGCGGAGGGAGAGCAAGCAGGGAACGGCGCTTATTTTTACTACTTTGCAGGCGCCTGAGCTAGGAACTTGGGAGAAAGACAATAGGGCAATGGAGTATTTGCAGGACATTGATACTCTAGCCCATGATCTACCGCCTGTGTTCTTGGTTCATGCGACATCATTGACTGTCACTACATCTTTGTAAACAAAAGAAAATAGCAGACATATTTTTCAAATGTAATTTATAGAATATATATGCTTGATTAAAGATTGTGGAAAAAGAAAATATGAAAAAATGCGATGTGAAAGTAAAATGTAAAAAAAAAAATGAAAAAAAATTCAAACGGACCTTGTGCTTGTGTGTAGTTTTTGTTGATAATGTTGTTGAGGGATTATACAGCTTCGAAAATGGCCTTTCGGTTGTCCAAAATAAACTTGACCAACTTTGCAGACCGTCTTATATCCAATGCAGCGTTCGTCGGATCATTGACAGTCGGAAAGATAGTTGGGCCGAAAACAATACTCAGATTCTCCGAATTCATCATATTGAACTCCTGGAAGCCTGCACTTTATCCAAGTGCGTGAACAGAAATGCCAGCGTGGTTTTGTAAGCCTGTGGCAACGACCTAATAGCATCCGCCAGCCCACTGATCTTCTGCGCCAGCTCCAGATCTTCATCTCTACTGTAATTCGCCTGCGTATTGTGTCCGTCGTCCAACTCATCCGAGGGGAAATACTCCAGCATCGCGCTGCGCTGCGCTGGAGGAATAAGTCCACCGGGAAGCTCGCGCAGGTACATCTTGAGTACGCTGGCAGCGTTGTTAATGTCCGAGGCGCACGAGCCAGAGCACAGATCGACCTGCTCGGCGTCCAGGTCAAACTCGTTGCGCAGCTTGGTCACCTGCGAGCTCTGCCCGGACTGCCTGTAGATGCCCTCGTTCTGCAGGCCAAACGACTCGACGGCCTCAGCGCACTTGGTCAGGATCGTCGGCACCTCACGCTGGTCGCGCTCAAGCTGGACGTCGAGGGGAACACCAAATATGTGCTTGGGGTTAGCGTACATGCGCGCCACCGACGACATCTCGTACTCTCTGTATGGGATGCTCGCGCGGTTAATGCGGCCGCCGGACTTGGCTGTCGCCTGCAAGTACGCGTCCAGATCAGCCTTGGAGTCGATATCACCAACCATCTCGACCATGCCGACGCCACTACCGTCCATGGGCTTGAGCGTAATGGCATCTGCCAGCACCGCCGACTCGTACGTGTACGCGTACTTTCCCAGGCTAAACTTGAGGAACTGGTCGACCTCCTCAATGAGCCCCATGACGCTGGCCAAAATTTTGGGCAGCTGCGCATCGTAGAAATCCCTTCGCATCGCGTTGGTCTGGTGCAAGAGCCGCTTGTACGCCTCGTTGGCCATCTTGGCCTTAACCCCGGCCTCCTGCCCCATTCGCTCAAGAGACTCTGGTGTCGTCCCCTTGTGCTTGCTGAAAATGCCCGAAACTGCATTGCCCACGTTTTTGGTCTTTGACAGTGCCGACGATGGCCCCCCTCCCCCGCCTCCGCCGGGAGCATCGTTTTTGCTGCTTCTGACCAAAAGCTTCTCCCACTCCACGCATTGCATCTCGTATTTCACGCGCGCCTTCTCCAGCAGCACCTCCGTGTCCTCGATGGCCTTCTGGTACTTTTGCTCGGTCTCCTTCAAGCGCCGGCGCACGCCCTCTTTGGTCTTGACGTAGTTGCCCAGGTAGTCGGACATCTCGGAAAGGGTTATTGAAAACTTCATGCGGTTCGACGCAAGTGTTTCGTGTACTTCCACCAGGCGCTGCCAGGCCGCGTACTGCGTGCTTTGCCCGGCTCCTGAGCGGTCCATCATCTTTAGTGTGTGCTGCGCGACCTTTTGTAGGCTTCGTCCGTAATCCTCCTCGACCTTGGACCGATTCTTCAGGAAAGAAACCGTTTCCTAAGACAAGACAAGATAAAAATAAGTGCAATTCAGTGGGAATGGGTGTTGGATTTTTAATAGATTACACAGCACGAGCGCAACACATGGGGTACAAAAAGGAGGAGGTTGTGAAAAGAAGCAAGTGGGGGTGCGCAGCGTTGAGTGGACAGAAATTCAGCAGAACGAAAAAGAAGGCGGGGGGATTGGAATTGGAGTTGGGATTGAAAGTTGTTCTTGTTCTTGTTCTTGTTCTTGTTCTTACCTTGCAAGAGTTTAGGCTCTGCCGAGACCGTTCCAACAGCATTGCCAGACCACCCTATATCCAAAACAGAAGAAAAGGGTTTAGTAATGGCAACAAATAAATGAAAAATACACACACACGCAACATACAAAGAAAAATACTTTAGTCTCTAGTGTTCAGCCCAGTTTCTCACCACTCTTCAATAAAAAACGTACATCAATCTCTGTGAGGTCCACTTGCGTCGATGACAGCTGCATCGACGAGGCCGCAAAGGACAGCTGCGACGGATGGTGGGCTTGTGTTTCGTAGCTATGTCCGCCATCTATCGTCGCCCCTGTGTTCGCCGTATGCACCGATGCTACACCGGCTGTGTCTGACCTGTACACCGTGTTAGCAGCCATATTGCCCGAATTCACGCTGGCTTGGACCTGTGCGTCTGTGTATTCGCCGTTCGTCGTCATTTGTCACTCTCTTTGTGTCGACTAGTGAAGCTGGGCAAGAGGGAATGTGTGGGTGAGAAAGAATTGGGATAAAATGTAGAGATGAATTGAATAAAGTAAAAAGAAGGAAAAAAACAAAAACAAATCGTGAGCGGAGTAAAAATAAATATATTGAAGAAAAACAGGAAATGTAAGGAGAGAAAGAAAGGGGGTGGGGGTAAAGAAAAAAGGAGAGAAATTCAAACCTTGAAGAGAGGAGACTTGTGGAGTTTTATGCACCTTTAATTTTTGTGAGACTTTAGAATGTTGTTATTATTCTTGCTGTTGTTGGAGGTTAATAATAATAATAATAATAGCAGCGAGAATGAAAGGTGTTGTCAAAATATTTATACACAAAGAAATAATTGTTCAATGGGGACAGAATATTTTAAAAGTATACCTCACAGAGAAAAACGACAGTCGCAAAAAAATAAGAGTGCGTCATTTTCAATACAATTGTTTTGCCATGGGCTGCATGAAGCATATGCGCGTTGGAAAAAAAGGTAAAAATGGTTGAGCGGATACAGGGGAGGATGGCCAAAAAAGACCAAGCGCAGTAAAAAACTAATAATAAAAAACATCTGCATTACAAGTCATCATCACCCACTCGCTTCAGCCGCTGATTACTCAAACCTTTAATCGAGAATGGGTTCAGAGACACTTGTGAGAATAAGTGGGCATTAACACCACTGGAATATGAAATAATATATGGGAAATAAAGAATTGGCTATCTCAATCCTGCGCTGCTTGGGCTCTTGCTCGTCTTTTGCCACTGATTGCGTGAACCGAGCAGCAATCCTCGGTCCCTCGCTGAAGCAGTTGGAGATGATGCGCATGTTTAGGCCTGCTGCAATGACTCTGTTCCAAAAGCTCCATCTGATTCCAGGCGCTGTTTCTTTAAGCGAGGAAGCTGCATCATCTAAAAGAGAGCAGCGTTAATAGACATTGATTTGCGTGCATAATCAGGCAGAGGGAGGGTACAGAAGGAGGAACGAAGAAACGAAGAAAGTGATCCCCCACCTGGTTAATAAATATAATAGAAAAAGAGGGTGCACTCTCTAATATCATATCCATGTTACTTGTCAATTCGACATAGCAAATGCAATACTACATGTTGAAAATATTACAATTTCATGTTCTTTCAATTCAATTTTTTTTGTCGGATATGTTTGGCGGCTGGACTGATATTGGACCGATGCCCACCGCCATCAAGTTTCCAATTTTAATCCAAGCCTGAAATCCGTCGAGCAAAAGCACTCGTGGCCAATGATTTAATTTCTTAAAAGAATCGCGATCTTGTTTGAGATAAAGAATTTTTGCCAGCAGCCAGTGTATATTGTGACAACTTTTCCTAAATAGCTTATGACCGTTTTCAACAAGCACAAAATGGAAAAGATTTGCAAATGAATCGGGCGACAACAACAAAAAACCCCGTCAATGGTTGAAAGACGGTCGAAAACTGTGATGATTTTTTACTTCAAACGCGGATCCCATTCTAAATATGTAAAGTACATGAGAAATATCCAAAAATGTTAATTTGCAAATTGTTTTTATTTTTGAGCCAATCAGCTAAATACTGATCTCGCGATCCGGTGGTACCATTCCCATTTTGAAAAGCGGAGAGGACGGAAAAAAGGAGTGCGGCGAATTTTTCTTCCTATAGGCCACATTGTTATATAACTCGAGCCTTTGTATATACAGGCATTGATTGGTTAAATGTCATTCAAATATATAAAAATGGCACCATTTAAAACACAATGCTATCGTCCAATAATACCAGGAGCACGCGCAACAGCCAAAGTATTCCCAGTCTGAATTTAGCATATTGTAGATCGGTCCGATCCATTCGGTCCGATCCATTCGGTCGCTCAAAATTGAAGATACGGATGAAGATGGACACGGAAGAAAGAATTAGCGAGGGAAATCATTTTCAAAGATCAGGTATGCCGGTTTAAAATCAACAAAACATCAAGAAAGACAAAATATGGACGGGCAGCTGGTGATTGTCAAAATAAAAATAAAAATTTGCGTGGGAAAAAAATTGTGTAGGTATCAACCTAAAATTGATGATTGGTGGTGGGCGGCGATGGTAGCGGCAGAGAGACGAGCTTATGATGTAAATCCGACAAATATTTCCATTAAACTTTTGTCGGCTTGAACAAACAAATATATTTCTTCCGTTTGTGTTAACATGGGTGATGATGGAGATAGGTGTAAAAGCACGTGCTATTGCTCATTTTAACGTCGATATAGTGCAGATCACATTGCCGTCTGTTGACAAGACAAGACAAGACGAGACAAGGCAGGATGGGACAGGACAAGGCAATATCCGTATGTTTCCGTTTGCATCAGGTGAAAATAATTTGTTTTAGATGTCCTGTGCCAAAATAAGGCCTCATTGGCAGTGTCAATAGTGCACAATTATTTTCTTTACATCGTCAATCTTTTATTTGCTCGTCATTAAATCAAAAGTCTTGTCTAAAAATGTTATATTTCAAAACCGTTGCTTATAGAGCCACGAAAAATATTAAATTTTAGAATTGTGCATTCGAACCTTCTTTTATAAAAAGCGGGTATTCATTCATACTCGGACAACTTTAAAGCACCATTCTGTTGTGATCTTTCCCACATATTTGTCAAAGCAGAGATTATGCATTCATAGTGGTATCTTTTAGGGGGAGGCCACTCATCCATGCATTTGCCACGACTGGCAATATCCTTGTTTTAGGATAATCGGATTTTACAACGTAACTGAGACATTTTATAAAACTTTTGTCTTCTCAGATGCAGGCAAAAGTGAGGTGAATATTGCTCTTTTTATTTCGATTTTGTCTTGGGAATAAGAATATCAATTAATTTGTTTATTTGTGTACTTGGCTGGAGATAAGAGCGAGCTTTAAGGTTTTGGTAACAATCACCATATAAGCTCGGCTGAGCCGAGAGCTCGGGGGCTAAGTCAATTCCAAGCGCCCATTGATGCAGTAGCAGCCGAGATGGCATTCAGTCATTGTAGCTGCCTATACAATGGCAGAATGGGAAGACTCAATAGGAGGTTGCCCGAGTTTTGTTTTAATAAAGATTTATTAGACTCATTAATTCTGACTTTTACCACATAAGCAATGAATACAATATCGAGGAGTACAATAATACAAACATTCACGCGTCTTTTCAAAATGCAATAATAAAATATACTCCCCCCATACTTTTATCTTTCTTTTATATAAACTTGTTTTTACTCACTTCATATATGCACAAAATGCATTTATATGCATATTGTTGGCCAGAAAACGGCGTCAAGCGACAAGCTAATTTCTTCCCCTCCCCAAATTAAAATAAAATTCAAAAAAATTCAAAATAGCCACCCGTCCATCAATCCTGATTTTTTATTTGAACTTGGGTATGGTATATGTATGCAGAAAAGCAAACATCCGCAAATCATCACTTTACCGGCCATTCGAGTCTGTGCTCTACGTGGTGATTTACTTTATTCTGCTGCACTTTACCGTATAAAAAACCCTTGTGCTCTATTTTTTATTATCTTGTTAAATTATAGCAATCGTCAGCAGGGCCAATGTGCATACGACGTGCTTGATAAGCGTTAAAATTTATCTTGTGAGCGGGCGATATGTGAGCAGTTTTTTTATCCATTGTGACAATCATCTGTTTGCTGGGCATGGGATCAAGATATTTATATTTAGCTGCAAGTCCAAAGTTTGTCACGCCTTAGGGAAATGTCTTGTGCTGCAGTTGATAAAGGTTTCCTGCTTGTAATAGCATGCAAGTGGTGCCTTATTCTTTCCACATGTAACATTAGCCGAAATCCATGACACTTATAGATGTGACTTGGTCATTATGCCGATTGGAGCTTTGTGTGCGCAATTCAGAAAATTGCCACATTTTACTCCGTCTCCCCAAATGCAGATAGCCCGTTAAAAAAACATGTCTTTCCAGCTGAATCCAAAGCTGCCTCACGAGCGTTATTCTTGGCGCCCCCCTCTCACACCACCTGATAATACTCATTAATTTAGATTTCAACAGTTAAAGACGCATCATTAACATGTGCACGGGTTCCGAAAAATAGGGCCACACTACGCTTGTCCGAAAAATAAAATAAGGCAATTCATGCGAGGTTTTGTTTTTTATTTTACCCCAAGGATAAACAAATAGGTGAAGCAGCACAATCAATTTTTTGTTGCGCTTTTACATTTGTCCACCTTAATCTGCCCACAAAGACAGAAAGAAAAATATAACAAAATACAGGTTCGAGAGATGCAAAAAAATGCACAAGGATGCTTCCAGTTTTGGTTCTAAACAAACAAACACCCCCTTTACCCCCCGTCCCTTCAGCCCAGTTGACACCAGAAACAGCAGGAAAAAGAACCTAAACTTGCACTATTGCGTTCCTTTATGAGGCCTGGCGCTTTTTTCGACGCTGAAATGCATAGTTTTTTTCCCCTTCCAGCTGCCGTTTTTGTGCATGCCCAGTCGGACTCACCTTCTTCAATGCCGGCAAAAAAAGCCCGGGTTCTTTGTTTATTTACACTCTGCATGTGTATAATTGCAATACATTTACAGTGAGTGAGTCTGGGCAAAACAAGTACGTGCGTGCGCATGTATACAGTCACATTTCTATATATATATTTTACAACAAAGTATTTATTGCAGCAACCCGGGCCAAAGCGCAATTTTATAACACTCAAATATCTGTCGGAAAAAGTAAACCAATTTGAATCTCATCAGACCCACTGTTATTGGCAGACAGAAAAAAGAACAGGTTTTTTTTGCTTATTCGCTGTTCAGGATTGGCGAGTAAATTGAGATACATATCTGCGAAAGTCCATTGTTGCTTGGACCTCCCACTTAAAAAACCGGACCGCTCTTCAAAATACATTGTGGCCGAGTGACAAGTGAAATGAAAAGATGGGCAATTGGAATGAAGATGGCCCGCCCACCTCACTGAACCTCTCGATTACAAGCATCAAGGGAGCGTTTTATTTTCATTTTTTGTGCGACCCATCTATCTGGCTGCTCGTTCAGCGAGCAGAGAGCAAGGAGAGCAGCAAGAAGGCAAGATTTTAGGCCCATCATTTTCCGATCGCCCGCTCTAACGCAAGGCAGCAGGGAAGGGGGGTCCTGCCACCAAGCCTCTTTTTACATTTCTTTGCTGCGATGAATAATCCCATTGATCATTGCCCAGGTATCTGGGCATGTCTTAGAGGGAGAGGGAGATTGCTGTGGCTCCTCCAAGGATACTCCCCTCTACTTTTTTATAGCCACCTGACGCTTGAATGGCCTTAATAAAAGTGAAAAGCAGTCCCTTCCCCCACGCTTCCCTCTGCTCTGGTGCTATATAACAGAAAGGAGGGAGGGATAATTCCAGCAGACAGTCATCGGCTGTTATATTTTCCCTTCCTCGTTTCGAAGTGCAAACAAAGCACTATGAGAACCAAAAATATTGCTCATTTGTTTCTTGATTGCTACTGGCCCCCCACGGGAACCCTCACAGCGTTTGGCCTTCCCCTCTCCCTCTTTCTCTTGTCAAAAAAGCCAACTCAGTCCAAGAAAGGAAAGGGCCTCTTTCGGCTGATGGTGTTGACATTTTATTTCGTCGGGCAAGGTATCCACGCTCCTGTGTGGTTCCGTCGTGTTGCGGAGGAAATGTCCAAACAAAGAGGCACAATTAAATGAGGCATCAAGCGTGCTTTCGATAGGACCAGTCAGAAATAAAAATGCAAAACGAGATGTACAAATCTGCTTTAAAAACCCCATCCACACCCCCTCCTGGTATAGAACCCAATGCTTTTGTCGCTCTTCCCGCGCTATGAATCCCAAATCGCCTTCTTTCCCCCGCCTATTTTTGTCCCTCACTATCAAGAAGAGGAACAAAAACAATCACACTGGAAATGCAAACTTTTTTTGAGCAGTTTATCCTTTGTAGCTTCCTTTGGCACGGATATATTGGAAAATTGTTCGGCATACCCGCTTTTTTATTTCAGTGTGCACGCTTGTCCCTCCCTCCTCTCTCCGCGCATCGGCAGGAGATACAGGTTTTGTGTTGCTTTGTCTCGTCCAATACCAGTTAAAGAGCAAAAAAATTAGCGGACGAATAGAGGGGGGTGTACAAAGCCCAATTACAAGAACCTTCATCTGTACCCCCCCTCTCACTCTCTCTTGTCTGTCTGCTCGTGCTCTACATAAAAAAATAAGCAGGCCTATCTGCCACTTTTTTTTGCAAATCGTTCGAGTCATTTTTTGTCCTTCGATTCTATCTGCTTGTGCCTTATAAACGCTTGTTTTTCCCTCTGCCTTGTTATTCATATTTTGACACACCAACTCTTGTTCTCAAGTCTCTATTTCTTTTCTTATAACTCGCTTTTTGTACTCAACAACTATAATCTATCATCTATCTTACAGTTTTCTTCTTGTACGCTGAATAAGGCTTACTTTTTTGATTTTTATTTATCTCAACGCCGGAATCTTTGTTTCTCTTATCTTTCAAGCGTATACAACCACCATATCTCTTTGTCGTTCGTTTGTTCAGTGTCGATATAGAATTGGTTTAGTTTGTTCGCTTTTTTATTATATACAACTACACTCTACAGGTAAGGCTAAGCAAAAAATACAAATACAAAAAACATGTAATATTATCGGCAATTAGGGAAAAAAAACAATAAGGGTTTATGCCTTTTTTCAATTGCCTTGCTTCGTAGATCCTGTGAGAATCAAGGCTATCTGAGAGTAACACTTTTTTTGTTTGTTCGAATAAAATAAAAAAGTTGGGGGTGGCAATTACAGGGTGCGTTGATTATATTTTTTAAAAAGCACAAGTCCGCAGGCCTTGGGAGAGGAGAGAGATTGCAGCGTGTGGACTTTAAAAAAAGCTCGTGTTTTTTGCCTTTCTTCTCGATTGTTCTGCTTTCTCATATTCCCCCGGCCAGTTCGTCTCTATCTCCAACAGGATCCAACTCACTTTGGACCCTTTTCTTTCCTCTTCCTTTTCCCTCTTTTTTGCCCAATTGTCTGTTGATTTTCTGTTTTGCTGTTGCGTATGTATATCTGCACCTGTTGTCTTTTTTAATCCCGGACTGAAGCCGCATTCGTTGTGACGATGCTGCAATTACAACCAAACGCATATCCCCAATGGCATATATTGCATTGGGCGGCTTTGTGTGTCTGTGTGCATGTTTGAGAATTTTTTCTCTGGACTGCAATATTAAATTTCATCAATTACCATCCCACTTTTTCTTTCTTGACCCCTTGCATTCACACTGTATTGTTTTGTTCTTTTTTTCCTAATTGCCGCAATATTTTGGTTCTACATGTTGCATCATTCTACCAACAGCAACAACAGCTTTTGTCCCGCTTAGTTTCTTAAAGCAGAGCTTTCTATTTTGAAAAGAAGCCGAGTTAAGCTTTGTGTTGCCCAACATCTTTATTGTCATAATTTTATTTATCCTTGTTTGATACTAAACAACGCAATAAAAATCCTATATCGCTTTTCTTTTCTTTTTCATGTAGGTTGCTTTCTTTAAAGTTATTTTAAAAGGGGCGCCTTTAATTTTTTACTGCCTCGTCTATTCATCAACAACACACAAAAAACAAGACTCCGGGAGTTTTCCTATTATTTTTTCACATGGCATCATCAATTGCCGAAAACGCAGCAATCTCGGTTCACATGCAGCAGCACGGTGTGGGCGTTGATCACTCGCAAAAGACTAACGTTTATTATCACGATGGCGGCGCTGCCGCTGCCGCAGCGGCAGCGGCGGCAGCGACTGGTGTGATCAACCACTGGTCTGGAGATTCGCACCAGTACCAGCAGCAACAGCATCACCGAGGCAGCAACACCACAGACACCGCTTGCAGCAGCCCATTGGACACTCCACTAGTCAAAGTCATGCAGCAGCAGCAACAGCAACAGCAGAACGGTGGATCCGTGGCAGTCGGGCTCAGCAAAGACTCGGCAAACGGAATGCCGGCACAGCCGACGCCACCGCAATCCGCGTCTTCCCATGGGTTTGTCCAGGGCGGAGCTGACGCATGGCGCACATACAGCCACTCTTATCACCAGGGCATGCCGATGTCCGCGCCGTACTCCACTGCATCATTTGCTTCTCCCAATTCGTCGGGCATGTCGATTGGGCTTGAGAGTAGCTCGTTTGACCACAATACGGCGGCCACAGATTATTACTACAACAGCAGCCAACAGAGCAACCACCATCAACACAGCAGCAGCAGAACAACCAGCACCCGCTCCACTACCACGCAGCGGCAGCGCAAAATCAGCAGTTCCAGCACCCGAACTCGCAGCAGCAGCAACACAGCCAGCACCCGCAACATCATCAGCACAACCAGCAGAACCAGCAGCAGCACACCAGTTCCAGCATAACGGTCTTCACCAAGATCCGGGAGCGTCGCAGTTTGATCCTGCTCAGCTGCCGCCGCCAATGGCGGATCTTACATGGGCGACTTTAGCCACAACATGTACGCTGGCGCGCCCGAGATTGTCTCTGCGCCGGCGACTGTAACGCACTTGCCGCCCATTGACTCGGCAGGCACCCTGGCCCGCCACAGCTCGTACTTTGGCATGGCCTCTGTGCCGGCGCAGGGCACCTTTGACTCCATGTCGGCTGCCGCTGCGGCTGCTGGCACCGGCCATTACTTGGCTGCCGCTGCCGCGCGTGGTCAACAGCCGTACCCGTCTCCTATGGTTGTCGGCAGATTTAACTTGGGCATGCCGTCGGCCGGAACCCCCGGTGTCATCCCAACCCCGCCTCCAGCATCACAGATGCAGGGGCCGCCGCCTCTGTCGGCCATGGGTCCCGGCAGCATGTCTGTCCCTTCGACACCCATCCGGTCCATCGGCATGCCGCGTATTAATGGCCACGCGCAGTCGTCGACGTCGCAGCGTAAGCGGTATCTGTGCACGGTGTGCCAAAAGATGTTTGCTCGGCCTTCGACCCTGGCAACTCACATGCACTCGCATACCGGCGAGAAACCCTATGAGTGCACATGGGATAGCTGCGGTAAGCGGTTTTCGGTCATGAGCAATCTGCGTCGCCATCAGCGTATCCATGAGCGGCAGAGAGCCAAGTTTGCTAATATGCAACAGCAGCAGCAGCAGCAAGTTCAACAGCAGGTGCAGCAGCAGCAGGTCTATCATAATGATAGCGATAGCTCGAGTGGATCGACCACGCCACTGGCTTCGCAGATGTTGCATAATGTGGGCACTGTCGGTTCGCCGATCTCGCAGCTTGGGCATCATATGCTGCCTCCGCCTCCTCATTTTGTCCAGCAGTCCGGTATGGCCGGCAATCCTGGATCTGCAATGGCGCAGCATCACCACATGATGTCGCATCCCGGCCAGCAGCAGCACAGCCACTACCAGCAACATCAGCACAACACCAGCACAACACCACCAGCAGCAGCAACACCACCACCAGCACCAGCAACAGCAGCAGCTCCCACACCTTCATCAACAGCTCTCGCATCACCAACACAGCAGCAACATCAGCAGCAGCAGCAGCACCACCAGCACATGTCACTGCATACCATAGGGTCAAATGGAATGCACGATGAGCTTCCCGACGTCGCATCTCTGTCGGTCACCAATGCTGCCGCTGCCGCTGCTGCAATGTCTGATCCCGGTATGCTTCCTGGCATCAGTACTTCGTCCTCGACTATAACTCATCCACCACCCAAAACAGCCTCAAGGAATAAAACCATTTAATTTTTAACATTCCCTTTTTTTCCTCTTCCCTTTTCCCTTTCACGACTATTTTCATCTTTAATACCTCTTCATTCCTCTTTTCCTTTTTTACATTATACATACATATATTTAGACATACATATATTTTTATTTACACATAATATAATATAAAGTTTGTCGATTGAGATTGGCAAGGCGGTTAAACGAATGAAAAAAGGTGGGTGAAAAACTGTTTTTAAGGGCGCCATCCGTGGCTCATAATAACCTCGTCGCCATCCGTGTTAACTTGAACTTGGAACCACAGTATCTTATTGCCACTGGCATCATTACCATCATATGCCAGATAGAAATGCGGCTGACCAGCACTATCCGCATTATCATTATTTCCAAGCACAATGCCGGGCATCTGATTTGCAAAATCCGGGTCGTCTCTTCTAATGAGGTGGTCTAGGGAACTGCCCATGTATGTGGGCGGGCCAAACACTTCTCCAATATTTTCTACTGGCGAAAGAGGGGAAAACTTGGATAGATTGGCATTGTAGACAGCAGAAATATTGCTGCTCGGGATATTAGTCGAAGACATAGTGAGTTTTGAAAAAAAAGAATAAAAAGAATGAATAAATGTAAAGCTTTGGAAATAAAGAGAGAGAGAAAGAGAGGAAAGAATAAGAAAAAAAGGATGCTCAAAAAGTGTTATGCTTTTTTATTTATTTTATTATTTGGATGTCTGGGCCATTCTTTTTTTATATTATTCCTACTTGGCCAGCCCTACCCGTCACAATCTTTTTTCTTTACTCCACACTCTCCACTCGTATGAGAGCTTGAAAAAAAGTGATGCATGATATGAAGTATGACGTTTTGTGCGCACTTGTGATATGTGTGACCAAACCACCCTCTTCCCTCTTATTTTTTTCACCTTTACTTTTCTGGGATAAGGGTGTGAGGTAGATGAGGTGAGGTGTGTAATCAAAACAAAACAAAATATTAAAATAATAAATAATCCTGATCTTTTTTCCCCCCAAATTTTTTTATTTAATTAATCATGCCAAGAATGAAGAAAAGCAAAAATAATGAAAAGCGTACAAAAGTCAGTCAGTTACAATCCAACAATATACACATAACATACTAACCAACTTTTTTTTTTACAGCAGGAGAGTAAGAGGGTTCTCAAGGTATCCCTTGAAGGCCTTGAGGAACTGAGCACCCGTGGCACCATCAACAACCCGGTGATCCGCCGACAACTGCACCGACATAATATCAACCGACTTGAATCCCTTCTCCGAAGCCTCATCCAACACCAAGCGGGGCTCCGTCGTACCCACGCTCAGAATGGCCGAATGGGGAGGGTTAATGATAGCCGAGAAGGACGTAATACCGTACATGCCCAAGTTGGAAATAGTGAAACTACCGCCCTGGAACTCCTCGGGCTTCAGCTTATTGGCACGAGCGCGGGTAACCAAATCACGAACATCGGACGAAATAGCCCGCAGTCCCTTGGCATCGCAAGTCTTCACAATGGGAGTGATAAGACCGGCGGGTGTGGCGGCGGCCACGGCGATATCCGCGTGGTGGTGCTGGCGGATGAACTCTCCCTGCCACGAGCTGTTGACATCGGGAACGTCGCGCAGAGCGCTGGCCGCGGCCTTGATGACAAAGTCGTTGACTGACAGCTTATAGGCACCGTTGGCCGCCGTGTTGAGAGACTTGCGCAGCTTGTTCACATTATCCATCGTGATGTTCTGCGTCAGGTAGTAATGAGGGATCGTCGATTTGGCCTCGGTCAGACGCGTGGCAATGACCTTGCGCATGTTTGTCAGAGGGATATCCGTGAAACCAGCCGAAGTAGCAACAGCAGCAGGGGCGGCCTTGGCAGCCTTGGGAGTGGCAGGCGCAGCAGCAGCAGCAACAGGGGCAGAGGCAGGGGTGGAAGCAGCAGCGGGAGCGGCCTTGCTGGCGCCCGAGGCAACAAAGCTCTCAATGTCAGCCTTGATGATGCGGCCGCGGGGACCAGTGCCAGAGACCTGGGCAAGGTCAATGTTCTTTTCCTTGGCCAGGGTCTTGGCCAGAGGGCTCGCGAAAATGCGCGATCCATCGGCAGCCGGAGCTGAGGTCGAAGCAGCAGACTCCTGGGCCTTGGCAGCAGCAGCCGGGGCAGCAGCAGTCTCCTTGGTGGGCTCGGCAGCGGTAGCACCACCAGACTGGGCCTGATCCAGCGAGTAATCAGCAAATGCAGCGACATCCGACTCGTTCTCAACAATAATGGCAACAGGCGACTCGACGCTCAGATCCTTGGTGCCGGTGGGCGCCAGGATCTTGGCCAATAACCATCCTCCTGGAACTCAAAGTCCATCTGGGCCTTGTCAGTCTCGATCTCAACGAGAACATCTCCGGGCTCGATCTTGTCGCCGATGCTCTTCTGCCACTGGCCAACGTTGCCCTGTGTCATGGTGGGTGAGAGTGCGGGCATGCCGACGATCTGGTGAGTGGGGTAGCCTAGCCAAGAATTTAAATATTAAACAGAGATCCACAAGCAAGGTTGAATGCGCATTAGTCAGTATACGATGCTTGGAGAAACAGGGGAAAGAGGTGGGTGTCGCCTTGTACATTACGCGCTTTATTGTGGTTGGTTGTCCCTACTTACTCTTCGAGCTGTACTGACGAGCAAGGCCGCTGGCAGGAGCAGCAATGGCACTGTTGATGCGAAGGTTGAACGCCGACTGAGCAACGATGCTACAAAAGAAAACATTTGTAAAAATTGAAGAGTTAACTAAAAATGAAAAGAATATATTATATATACATGCGATTCACTATTCGCTAAAAAAGGCGGGTGAGGTATGTGCCACTATACACTTGACCATGTAAAAATTTTCTTTGGTGGTGACACACACACGACAGTAAGGGGAAACTTGACACAGCAAGAATATAGAGAAATTCAAAGTGACCATTCAGATTGTTGCCATTTCTGTTTTAAAGAATCGCAATTGAATTCACAGAGAACAAGAGCGGTGGTTGCAACTGACTCGTTCAAAATAGAAAGAAAATGTAGAAAGCTTACCGAGACGTGCTGATGTGGCGGCAGAGGCACGTACAACCATACGGGCGGTTGCGGGAGCGGCGAGCTTGGCCGAGCGCGACAAGAGGCGGGCCAACTGGGAAGACTTTGAGGCAGCGACAGCAGACATTATTGATTATTATTTTTCTTTTAAAAAAGAGGCAAATTTATGTAAGAACAGAAAAAATATCGTAAGAAAAAAAGAAGAGGTGAAGGAAAGAAAGAAAAAAGGTTATAAAAAATACAGTGTGCACTCTCGCTCTCCACTCAAGCTCGAATGGATGAATGGATGGGGAGACTGATGTTCGGGCCTTACGGCACAATTGATGGTTTTCAAGCTGTGGGTAAAACCGGAACCCAAACCCCAACCCCAAACCCGACCTGGGCTGCAAAAAAGGCATTGCTAGTGCTTCGCAGCGCTGAGAGTAACCTGGTGGTGCTCTTTTTTTCCTATTACCCGTGCCGACACAAAAGCCAAATAAAAAACCGAATAAGGATATTTAAGCAGCTAATCCAGCGCTCACTTCTATATTTTTTCCCGTCAAATATCACGCACGATAAAGAAAAACCTTGTGCGCGATGCTCGGTCAGTGGCTATAAAATATCCGCTCTCTCAAAAGCAGACCACAAGCTGCTGATCACCGGTAATCACAATCCATTGGCGCTGTCGAGCCCAGTCCAAGCCCTGGGTCTGACGAACACAGCACAAGAAAGTAAAAAAAGAGATACTGCATAAAAAAGTATTGCCTATTTGTTGGAAATCGTCCAGTTGCCCAGCATGTAGTTCAGGCGCACAGCAAGCAAGTCCAGCGCCATCTGGATCGAATCACGAACGATGGACATTTTGCTGCCAGCAACTTCGTGCCAATTAACAGGCACCTCGACAACGGGGATGCCCTGGTACCGCGCAAGCAAAAGAATCTCAATATCAAAGATAAACCTCTCCACATGCATATTGGGAAACACCAATCGAGCAGCCTTGCGACTGAATAGCTTAAATCCACACTGCGTATCGCGAACCCCACGCACGCCCAAGATAGTCACATAGGTGTGGAACCCCCACTGCAGAAACGCCCGGATATGGCTGCGCTCGACAACCGTTCCGGACAATGCCTGGTTGTTGCGCGATCCAATGGCAATCGCCAACCCATCACGCTCGCTCTTCTGCGCGCAATCCAATAGAGCATCAATGTCGCTGAAGCGCGTGGCCCCGTCAGCATCGCAGAAAATAAGGTAGCGCCCCTGCGCGCACAGCATGCCCTGGGTCACCGCCCCGCCCTTACCCCGATTAATAACGTGCTTGACTGCCTTGAGCTCCTTGATACCGTGCGTGCGCGCAAACTCCATAGCCATATCCAGTGTTTTGTCCTTGCTGCCGTCATCCATGATTATCAGTTCATAGGAGAACCCAAAGCTCTTCTCTCGCCGCTTTGCCACGTAGTTGCGGACGTCGTTCAGAAGCACCGGCAGCCGTTCTTCCTCATTGTACGCAGGCACGATTATCGACAAGTCCACTGTTGCGCTGCTGTCCAGATTGCCGAGTCGCTGCCGTTCGTGCTTCTCGTCGATGCAGATGAAATAATTTTCGCTGTCTTTGCGCGGGCGCGGCTTGGGGCTTTTGAACCGCACGACCAGGGCCTACAATTTGTGTCGGTTGTGTGAAAGGATAAAAAAGATAAACGAAAAAAGACATGCAAAATAGGCCTTAGTGGGGAATGTGGGAGTTGTGCGTGAGGTTACCCGTCACTTGGAGAGCCCAGTTGCAGTAAATGCTGGGTGGTTGGTGCGGTTGTTTGGGTTCAACTTACAGCGCACACGGCGACGGCTGATACACAGACAGCAAGCACACACCCCGCGAATTGTAGCGAGTGCATTGCGGCGAATGAATTCAAATATAAAGTACAGAAAAAGAAATGGAAATGGAATTTAAAAAATAATAATTGACAAGAGAAATGAGAGACAGTACAGGGGGGGAAATGGAATTCAAAAGCAGAAATGAAATTCGAAAACACGAGTGTCCAGACTGCTGTGTTTTTAAACCAGCGGTCTGTCTCTTTCTTAAAAGAGAGAGAGATAAAAGGGAACAGCTTTTTCTTCCACTCGAGTGGACGATGAGGTGTCGAGTCAACAACAAAAGGAACAACCACAAAGGGAAAACAAAGGCTTGGTTGATAAAGATAAAAAGCCACCGCATGCATTGCGCATTTGCCTACTTCATCATTTCCCTCTTCCTATTTTTGCATGAGCGTGGTGGGCCGCTAAACGCTCCAAATGGCTGTTGGCCACACCGCATATACCGTGTTCAAAATAAAACATGCTCTCCATCGCTCCGAAAGTGTTCAAAAGCAAATATCAGTTTTGAAGAAAGTAAGTACTCCGGCGAGAGTTTATATCAGGCGGGTGTGAGCTGCCGCCCCGATTCATCATAATCCGTTCGTCACAGCCACAACACAGCCACAAAAGCTTCAAAATATTAAATCAACAGATCAACGATCAACAAGCACCACAACAGGTTTTTCTCATTGGCTGTGTTTGTACAGCATGTTGCGCATTTCAAGGCGCACTTTCTGCCTCCAAAGAAAAATAAATTGGCTTGAAATACTGGAGAGCCGCAAGTGCGTGCGTCAATTTTTAAAATTAACGTGTTGAAAAGCAGCAGCCTCCCCATCTTGCTATTAGCAAAAATAGCCTGGCGCCTAAAGATGACTTGGACCTCTCTCTTTTCGCCTGAGGTCTTCTCCAAATCAATACTCTTGAGTAGAATATTTTTACATAACCTCTGAATATTCATCATGGTAAATATCAGACAGAATAAAGGCGAAACTCCGTTAGCCACAGGACGGCTGAACTTGCATCCAACAGCGATGAATATAATGGATGCGATATGATCCAGGATGGATGCGGCAAACAGCAGGCAGGCATATTGTTGGGTTGGCACGACGAGTCATTTTTTGATGGATACGGGGCAAGGATAATTAGAGAGAGGGGCCGCGAATTCAGAGATTCACATTTGAATCTCAAACATTTTTGAATGAGAATCGCGTTATAGCAATCGCTTTGAGGAGACTAGCAGCGGGAGAGTGGGGGATTTCTTGTATGAACGAGCGGTTTTTTGGCTGGAGCGAACAAAGGCCCTGGTTGTGTGCAAATACATAAACCGGGGACCCTGCTTGAGCGGAGCATTAGTGAAGTAATTCCTGGATGCTAAACTCTGATTCGAAGCTAGCCAGCTGCGACTTTTTACATTGGAATCGCCTTGCTCTGTTGCTCTGGTTTTTGCTTTCCTTAGCAACGGACCATTGGGCACAACGCCAACCCAGAGCAAAATCCCCCATTGCGCTTTGCTTGTGTTTACGCACTGGCGCGGCATATGGCGGCTATCCTTGCAGTGCCTAAGCTTGGGCTTGTGGCAGCTGGCCGACAGACAGAGCCAGGCTGCGCTGTTTTTTTGCTTTTGAGTCTCTTGATTTGAGGCACTAGAGCGCGCGCTCATGTGCACACACGCGTATTTACAGACAGGCTCACCTATCGATTTATGGACATAAATATGCCGGCGTCGTTGGGCCAACATCTGTTCCTGCTTGCTCGCACTCACGCGTGCACTTCCATTGCCGACTACTGCGGCAAGCGCTTTGCAAAACTACAAACTTTCCCAAAAGTAACTGATTTACTAACTCAACTCTATGCGCACTACCCGCTCTTTTACACCCATTTCTCACCTTGTTAGGCTCGCGGACCCAAGAAGCATATGAAGCGTCTTAACGCTCCCAAGCACTGGATGCTGGACAAGCTTACCGGCACCTACGCCCCTAAGCCCTCTGCCGGTCCCCACAAGCAGCGCGAGTGCCTGCCTCTGATCATCTTCCTGCGTAACCGTCTGAAGTACGCTCTGAACGGCCGCGAGGTCCGCAGCATTCTCATGCAGCGCCTGGTTAAGGTTGACGGTAAGGTCCGCACTGACTCGACCTACCCCGCCGGTTTCCTGGACGTCATCTCCCTCGAGAAGACCGACGAGCACTTCCGTCTTGTCTACGACGTCAAGGGCCGCTTCACCGTCCACCGCATCAACGCCGAGGAGGCCAAGTTCAAGCTTGGCAAGGTCCGCCGCTGCCAGCTGGGCGCCGGTGCCGTTCCCTTCATTGTCACCCACGATGGTCGCACCATCCGTTACCCCGATCCCCTGATCAAGGTTGACGACTCCGTCAAGATCGATCTTGAGACCGGCAAGGTTGTTGGCTTCATCAAGTTCGAGGTCGGCAACGTCGCCATGATCACCGGTGGCCGTAACATGGGTCGCGTTGGTATCATTACCCACCGCGAGCGTCACCTCGGTGGCTTCGACATTGTCCACGTTAAGGACACCAAGGAGCGCTCGTTCGCCACCCGCCAGTCCAACGTCTTCGTTATTGGCGATGGCAACAAGCCCTGGGTGTCTCTGCCCAAGGACAAGGGAATCAAGCTCACCATTGCTGAGGAGCGTGATGCCCGCCGGGAGAAGGCTGCCGCTGAGGCCTCTGCCTAAAGCTCGTATACTATCGGAGAGGAGGGTTTAAAAGAGGGCGCGGCTTTCGTCTTTTTTTGCCTCTAGATGTCGTTCTCGCTCTTTTTTCCCCTTTGAATTGATTTTAAAAAGCAATTTAATCGCATAAAATAAGGCACTTTTGCTGTGTATATGTTTGTGCTGTTGATTCTTGTGCTGCTATGCTTATTGAGTGGATGATTAAGCAGAGGATCACCTCGACAGGCATGATCTGCTTTTGTGTGTTGCTATTATTATTATTGTTGTTGGTTGGATCCGTAGCCCGAAATAGACGCGCATTTGGACGCAAGAAACATGGCAGAATAAAGCCAGGAGCTGATATGCATATTGTATGCGCGCAAAAGAGGGTTCATGTTATGTTGTTTAAGCCCTTTGCTTCCCCCCCCGCTCTTGTGGAGTTTATCCACAGCTTCAGCCCCTCACCCGCGCCCCTTGTGCACATCAATCGATGGATATATGCGAGGCTCTATGCTTTCAGCGCTCCTTCAATTTCCTTTAATTCCTTCACTTTTTTCTTTTCTTTTTCACTCATTTGTTACTCTTTCAATTTACACACATTACACATTTATTAGCAACAACCAATGAGCTCGGACGACAGAATTGCAAAGGCCGCTAGCTTTCTGCTGCACAGCCCGCCAGGCGAGGTCGACGATGTATTCAATGGTAAGCCAGATGCCCGCAAATTTGCAACCGACTTTTTTGCTGCGCTCCTCATTCAAAAAGCAAATTTTCAACGCAACGCAACACACACACAACACACCTCATTACACGGACCAGAGACCATGAGCTAACACCATTTTCATTTTTTCCATAGACATTCGCGGAATTGTGAACGACGATGACGCACTCCAGGCACAAATTGAGCCTGTTTTGGCGAAAGCAACATGCAGCAGTTCCTGGTGGTCGAGGTCCCCGGACAGCAGAGCACTGTTCTGCTAACACCGTACAACCAGGTATCTGAGAGCCGGTACCTAGATCCCAATACTGGCACAGTATTCACCTTTGACCATCTTCGGCGTATAGCTTCAGACCCCGAGTCCTACGACAATTCTGCGGATGAGAACGAGGAGCTGCGGGCGCCCTGCAAACGCACCTGGATCAATACGTGGCCAACCACTACACTAACGGATCCGTTTCTGTGTTTGCACATGAGGGCGCTGTAGTGAGCTGCATTGTGAGCAACAAGTTTTCGCCAGGCAATTTCTGGAATGGGTCGTGGAGGGCCGTTTGGTCGTTCAATCCGGCCATGGCGCAGCTCAATGGAAGCGCCAAAGTGCGCGTGCATTACTTTGAGGACGGTAATGTGCAGTTAGACACGCAGTCGGACTTTGCTGGTGATATCGAGGCGGGTAGGGATGTGGCGAAGAAGGTGGCCAAGATGATTGGCCAATTTGAGGCTGATTTCCAGCAGGGGATTAATGATGGGTATAGGCAGTTGGCTGAAAGAACCTTTAAGGGACTGCGTCGCACGTTGCCGGTCACCAGGAATAAGATTGACTGGGAGAAAATTGCGAACTATAAGATTGGCGGAGAGCTAGCGCACGCTGAGAACTGAAGGATTGAAAGAATATATCCATTACACATATGATGAGAGAGATCTGATTGAAAGTGGGAGGTGTGGCCATTTTGCCATAATTAAGCCATCGACGAGATGTAGACAGCTGATGTCGGGGGGGCATCCGGACGAGGTCAATTGTTGCAAATCGATTAATTTTTGGGTTCTTTATTTTTCATTTTTAATATTGATACAATACCAACACTATTTTATTATACCTTGGACTTTAATTACTTTCAAACTACATTTATTTTTTATTAATGCACGCTATCGACAAGGACACTGTGCACCGCTTGTGCTCGGGCCAGGTCATCGTGGATCTAGCGACTGCAGTAAAAGAGCTTCTGGAAAACGGGCTGGACGCAGGCGCCACGTTAGTCGACATCAAGATGAAGGACAGCGGCCTGGCATCCATCTCTGTCTCAGACAACGGGCAGGGCATTAAAGAAGAGGACCGCATCTCTCTGTGCCGCAAACACTGGACATCCAAAATCAGCAGCTTCGAGGACCTGGAGGGCGTCGACACATTTGGGTTCCGCGGCGAAGCCCTAAGCTCACTCTGCGCCGTATCCAAAGTAACCGTGACTACAGCGACCGAAGAAACAGCGCCCATGGGCGTTCAGCTAGAGTACGACGGCAACGGCGAGCTTGCGGAGACGACCACAGTAGCTCGAGAGAGAGGCACCACGGTTACCCTGACAGGGTTGTTTACTAGGTGGCCGGTGCGCCTGCAGGACCTGAAGAAGAATATCCGGAGAGAGTACTTGCGCCTTGTCGGCTTGGTCGAGCAGTACGCTATTATTAGTGATCAGGCGCGGATCACCATGTCGAATCAGACCAAGAGCGGGATTACCGTGGCTGTACGCACGCCGCCGCAGGCTGACCGCATGGCTCGGTTGGTCGCGGTTCTGGGTGCCCAGGTTCGCCCGCATATGACGCAGATAGGGTACCGGCCCGCAGATTCTGCAGTTGCCGACGACGACGACGGGCTGGAGCTGCTGATTGAAGGTAATATATCCAAGCCAATACCGGAGGCCGGCCGCAGCGGCTCAGACAAGCAATACTTCTTTGTCAACGGCCGCCCATGCGATTTCCCCAAGGCCAAGAAACTAGTCAATGAGTCATTCCGCAGCCACTGTCCGACAAAATACCCGGTATTTGCCATATCCATATCCATCAACGCCACAACCATTGATGTCAACTTGACACCGGACAAGCGCACTATTCTAATTCGCCACGAGACTCAGTTGCTGGCGGCACTGAAGGAGGCGTTGGCGAATGTGCTTGAGCCCCAAGAGTCTATGTTCAGCGTTATCGAGTACAAACGCAGTTGATCGCTGAGCCCGCGCCCAGAGATAATCATGATAGGCGCAATGTTGTTTCTGTGAAGACATCGGTGCCCGGAGTTGTTATGTGTTATGTAGAGGACCCGAAGTCCAAAGTTGCTGGCAGGTCAATTAACAACAAGAGGCCGAGTGGCCATGATGCGGATTTCAACCCGCCTCCCTCGGCAGCATCGAGGCAGAGGCTCGTCGAGCACATGGGGGGTGTTATTTCCAGACCCCAGCCAACTTCTGTATCTCGCCCAGTTGATCCCAAGCCGACATCCAAGAAGCTGCCCAGCATTGTCATTGGCACTTGCCGCAACCGCATGCAAAACGACGAGCATGACTGGCAGGGATTGGCGCTCGGCTGCGAGAAAAACAAGAACGGCGAACAGGGTACTCGAAGAAAGCCAGCAGGGGCAAGTACTGCCGACGAGTATGCTGCATTGACACAGCTGTGGCGAAGGCGGAATATCAGAAACCAACCCGAAGACGCCTCTCGGCGCTATCCCAGCTAATACACAAGACTGATTTTGCGCGTATGTCAGTCATTGGCCAGTTCAATCGCGGCTTTATTATAGCGCGCCTCGACCAAGATCTGTACATTATCGACCAGCATGCATCGGACGAAAAGTATAACTTTGAGCAACTGCAGCAGCGCGCGGTCATTTCCTCTCAACCGCTTATTCGCCCGGCACAGTTAGAGCTAAGCATTGTCGACGAAGGCGTAGCCATTGAGCACAAGGAGACGCTGATGCGCAATGGATTCCACGTACGAGTTGATGATACGGAGGCGCCGGGAAGAAAAGTCAGTCTGTTGAGCCAGCCGTTTATCGACCAGACATTGTTCAATCAGCAGGACCTGCTGGAGCTTGTTGGAAAGCTGTGCATTAATCCCGAGTCCATGCCTCGGTGCGAAAGGGCACGTAAGATGTTTGCATCTAGGGCTTGCAGGCGGTCAACAATGTCGGGGACTCGCTGAGCTTGACGCAGATGAAGGCCATCGTGCGCCATTTAAGCGACCTGGACCACCCGTGGAATTGTCCGCATGGTCGCCCGACAATGCGCCACCTGCACCGACTAAAGGATTAAAATATGTATCCATATTAAATTTATATGAGGTTAAAGCAAATGGCAATTAAAACAAAAACAATAATATATCAAATTTACAAAGTAGTTGGACAAAATTATATTTTATGCCAGGTGTCTGTACATCAATATCATTATATGTACTCATTTATTTATTTACCTAGATTATACCTTTGGATGCATTAACATATTCTAGGAGAATAATTTTACGACAATAGTTATAATCGTATATGTTGCTACAAACTAAACTACTTAGATTTCATTTTGCATTTACAACCATGCGTAATTTCAAATGCAAGACAATGTATGAAATTATTTAAATAAATCGCCAAACCTGCTAAATGAAAACTCAGTAATCCTGTGATACATCAAAAAAATCGATATCACTCAAATGAGGATACTCGGACCGTACTTTTCCTTCAAAAGCCCAAAGCATTCACCAAAGTCGGGATCTACAAATAAAAAGGTCAGGGAAGGCACGCGCAAAATGAGTTGCACGACTCCGTCTTCCATTGATCCACAAATATAATCACCTCCATTATACGTAAGTTTGATACTTCTCACCGAAGTGGATAGTGGCGCTGTAGTGGACAAACTGGCGAGATCGGGGGGTGTAGACTGGTCAAGAGCGTCGGTATTATTCGTGTCCTCGCTGTGTACTAAATCACAAGCTTTCAGGTTAGTCAGTGAGGGTAGGCGAGGAAGGAGCGCTGAAATCGTCTCAATATTAATATCACCTCTAATGGTCAAGAAAGTAAGATTGGTCCAGTTGATCCTGTCTGCGTCAAGTTTTGGAGAATCGAAAATAAGATCCAACGCTGCTTGACCATCAATGCGCAGGCGGTTGAAAAATCTGTCGGCCATCTCGTAGAAATTTCCATGTCTGTCGCATGCAACATCCTATCGAATCTTGAAGTTTCCAAATCCGCTGGATTTGTGCCAGAAAAACGACTTGATCGCTTGAATTGATCCCAAAACGTGAATATTGGGAATGTACGCGGGAAACAGAGCAGTGCTGATTTCTTAATATCAGAGTGCCAATTATCAAGACGCAGGTACTCAAGAGCAGGAAAGCTCATCTGGAGATTATGACTGAGCTCAGAAGTGTAATGTGATAAATAAATATCTAGCTTTTCAGTTGGGCAAGTTGATGCTGCTAGGGTTTGGCTGTTGGCAAAACTGGCCATGAATAGTCAGAAGGATAATCACGCAACTTCAGAGTTTTGAGTGTATCGGCGTTTACCCTTGGGAGGTTCTCCACAGCCCAGGGGCTCATTATAAGAGAAAGATGGGCGAGTGTGTCCGAAAACGCAGGCACATAAATCGGATAGAAAAGATTATGTTTGAAGCTTGTCACAGTTACTGCAAACCTATCGACAAGGTACCCGACCAATGCACTAACATCGATATTGGACTTGCGGCTTTAGTATTAAGCTCGAGTACATTTGGAAAGCTGTCGGCCAGATCTGCAGCAAGATTTAAAAGGCCGTCGCTCGCTTTTTTGCTAAGAACAATGGGTAAATAGTCGTGAACAACCACTGAATGCTCGTGAAACCTGAAGTGCAGGGCTTTAACGCCAGTCCACGCAACGCTGGTATGCTGCAGCTCGCTAACAATAGCTTCCAGGAAATCCAAAAAGTGTTTGCCAGCTTCAAATTCAAACAATACAGACCTGATGTAGCTCTGTCCACCAAGCATTATAATTTCAGGGATATCTGATTCTAGGGCTGGTACCAAACTTGGATTGTTGGGATCCCGATTCGAAACAAATGCACCGAATTCCTGCGCTCGAGCAGATGATCGGCACCGCCAGCCTTCTCCACTGCTGGCACACGCCTGCCAGTACTGAAAATTCACGTGGCAGGTGCTTCGTGGCAGGCTTGGCGACTACACAGTTCAGGATCATCAATACGATGTTGTTGGGCAAGTGGAAGTTGGCCATTTTAGTAAGAAAAACAGTTGGCAACAAAAGGATAAAATATAAGATAAACAGTGGTGGAGATTGAGCAGTTTCACTAAATGGCCTCAAAGTATTTAAAAAGTTGGGATGTAGACAAATAGGAAGAAGAAAGAAAAACAAAAGAAACAAGAGATGAAGATATTTTATATAATAATGGTCGAGCCAAAAAAACTAGCGATTCTGTCGCTCATTATTTGCTTCCTCAAAACAGAATTTCAACAACAATCAAGTTACCTAATCCTTAAACAATCAATTTAATATAAATAAAGCTGCAATTATATATATATATATTTTAGAATGAAACTGTTTTTATTTACGTAAAAGTCTTAAAAAAGTGAGCATTCACAATGTTGAGAATCCCACGGGTGGCTCGCGACCTGGGACAGTGACCCAGGCGGAGACCCGTCGGTGCGTACAGAAGCACCAGATAGATGTGGGATGTCAACCAATGTCCTGGTCACATCACATCAATTGCAAAGCCGCATGGTGTTTATGATTAAACCTGTTTTAGTTAGAGAATGACAGCAGCAGATATTGACGCAAATTTGAGGCACATCAAGATAGTATTTGTTTTGCCAGTTGTCTACATGTGAGCGGCGCTGTAGCCGCCGCGCACATGTTATAATTCGTTTCTGATATATACTGAGGCGTTCCCGTCATGAGGACAGGATATCCTCAGTTTTCTAATATAGCTTTATTTTATTTTTTAAGAGTATCCCTTGTGACTAATTATTTAGTTATTATTAATCCCCCTGTGGCCACATTTAAAAAAGAAACTAAAAGCGCTAGGTTTCTCAAATGTGATACATTTCAGATAATGATACACATCTCCATATTCTTCAACAAAATTAATATAGTCAATACCTTTTTGTTAGAACAACTGGGATACTAAAACGTTCTATTAGCGTGTAGGCAAACTATTATTATAAAAAATGTATTTAATAAATAAGTGCTATGCACTGTTGGCAGTAAAGAAGAAAAACATATTGCTTTGGTCACTGTATGACTTATTGCTTGTGTGGTTAAACAGCCAAGAATGGTTAATCAGTTGATTGCCATTAACCAATATAAAGTTTTGTTGAAGTTTTCAAAGCATTAATATTCGGAACATCATCAAATTACAAATTCATTTGGCGCAAATTGGAAAAAGACAATATTATTTTCATTAGTTCCTGCGAGCATTTTCCATGAGAACTTGTCGGCAATATTTCTCAATGTTACTTTTTGCAACTGCTGGCAACAAGCCTTTGCAATGTATTCAACATCATGTAAATTTAAATTTAAATTAAGTACGATCAGCCTTTTGAATTGAACTGATTCATTGAAGTAATGTGTTGATTTGCTTACAAAATGCTGTAGGTTTTGTGAGTACATTTTACTCAACATTACAAAAAAAAACATCTGCATAGCCATTTTTATCATTATAATTAAATCCAATTTAACAATATTTGGCATGTGCTTGACAAGCAGCTTGACAAAACGCATGGCATTCTCTTCAAAGCCGATTTGAAGTGTGTGTATATTTTTATAATAATATATGCTGTCAATAATCTCAATTTCTATAACACTGGTCCAGTCATATTTGTTAAATGCGAGAAATATTGTTTGCGTTGCCGACCAGTGCGCGACAGTACGGAGAATAAATTATTTCCACAGACAGCACGTTTACTAAATGCGAGTATCCATTGACGTTTATTAGCTCGATATTTGAGTTTTTGAAATTTATAATTTCAGCGCCTTTTGAATCCTTAGCAGAACGAGTCTTACACCTTTTATGGCCACATAGTGTGGCATTGTTGTAAACTAAAGGTAATGCTTTTTTTCTCCACTTGTGACAAACGCTGAACAACAGCAGATATTTTGCCTATGTATTAACTTCACTTTTGCTGGTATTGGTAAACTCGCGGAGAATTTGGTCGAGAACGACAAATGGAAGCTGGCTGAAGCAAAACATGGCTGAAAAGACAATAAAAATGTTGGATTTTTAAAAAGTTGTAATGTTAAAGTAGTAATATTTGATAATGAGGTAAATAATTAAGAGTAGAGAAAAGAAAAAAGTATAGGGTATGCTGCCTCCAACATATATACTTAAAAATAATTTTGATAATGTAAGAAAAAACTGTGTCTGCGAATTTAAATTTGTTTCTAAAATGAATGAACAATTTGCTTGGTATTCTATGGAACTGTAAAGCAATAATGTACAATTTTATCATAAGAAAATTGGACATGTTGAGTTTGAAACCTTACCAAAAATAAATTAGCTGACAAAATGCGTCCCAAGCAACTAATTAAATTAAATTAAACCATTGCGACCATATATTTACAAACATAGCCCAAATTGCTAAGAATTGGCAATGGTTCATTTGAATTTTTCAAAGCTACTGGCAGGCATGGCACCCAATAAATAATCGATATATGACAAAGTTTATTTCAGAAAGTGGCATGTTGAATTCGGAAATTATGTAACATTTTGTCTTGACAATATTAAGGGTTATGATGAACTAGAGTTTACATTGAAAATGGGTTTGAATGGTGGTACTAAAGTCATGTGCGCTTTACACGTGCCTTAAACCAAAACACTATATTAAGCGGTGTAAAATATTATATTATTTTTTAGCCCCCTTTTTTAGTTTAACGTCATTTTTAGTCTTCAACTCGCACGTATTAACCCGTTTACAAAAATTATTTTTCATTTACACAGTGTAATCAATTATGTCAGAATTACCCAGTATTCAACAAACAGTAGTATCGGCGCTAGTATCTCACGATGAGTCACTCCACGATGCAGAGCCAGCAGCAAATTTCCCAATCACGATCACCAACACAATAGTAGCGACAAAGCCCTTCGAGGACGGCGCAAACATGGACGAATGCCCCGAAGACCTCTACCCACCCGAGAACTTTGCCATGGTCTGCCCCTACATATACCGCAGCGGGATGCCAAAAAAACGGCACTTTCCCTTTCTCCAAAAGCTCAAGCTCAAGAGCATCCTGACATTGATTCTCGAAGAGTACCCGGAGCAGAGCCAGAAATTCCTCAATCAAAACGGCATCAAACTGTTTCAATTCGGTGTTGCAGGGAATAAGGAGCCATTTGCGGATATTCCAGAGGCGGTTATGTGCGAGGCTTTGGCGGTTTTGATGGATCGGAGGAATCATCCAATTTTAATTCATTGTAATAAGGGGAAGCACCGGACGGGGTGTTTGGTTGGGTGTTTGAGGAAGGTGCAGGAGTGGAGCCATACAAGTATTTTCGATGAGTATCGGAGGTATTCAGCGCCTAAATCGAGGTCGATGGATCAACAGTTTATTGAGTTGTTCGATGTGAGACCAGTGCTAGAGAAGATTGATTTGGCCTGCTTGCCCGATTGGCCCATGGTTTCTGCACGAGTTTCATTTTCGCAGTAAGACAAAGTTAATGATGAGTAAACGACAACAATTTAAAAAAATAAACTTCGATGAGAATGACTAACCAAAAGGGAGAGAGTTCCCTGTTTTTTTTGTAAATGAAAGGAGTGCGTAGTGCTCCGATGTACAGTAACTTGGAAGTTGTTGTTTTTATTCGACAACAATGTCACTTGCACGCAACATTTCACATAGATAAGAAGTAAACTCTAGGAGCACAGGGGACCAATAATAATAATAATCAGTCCATTTTTAATTTTTAATTTTTAATTTTTGTTTTTACTCTTTAACGATAAACGTTGGGAACAAGCTCATAGTGCATGCAATCGGTGACTATTCTGAACAACGTTGTTTTTTCAAAGGAGTTAAAAAGAAGAGGTGGGAAAAACCTCTTCCAATTTGACAGTAACATAATTAAATATCCATAACAATAACAATAATACTTGGAATTTTACGCACTCCCACGCTGAAAATAACAAAAAAGATTATAAAAGACCCCACGTATTCCACCCCCCTCAAAAACTTTTATTTTCAAATTCCGATTTCCTGAATAACCCAAGCTTACGCACACACACACAGACGCACACAAAACTTCAACCGCCCTTTCTACCCTTTTTCCAAACATAAAAAACAATAACCATGAAGTTCAATTCCATCCTCGCCATCATCACCACCACGGTTCTCAGCACCAAGGTCCATGCCGCCGCCGATAAGGAAGCGACCGCATCTTGCGCCAAAGCCTGTGAAGTAGCCGCCGAAGTTCAACGTCAGGACTGTAATACTGTTTGTCTTAAATTTGCCGAACAAGGTATTCCTTTCCTCCCCGCCATAGCCACTCCGGTAGTCACCGCCGTGGTCACTGTTTCGGCTAATACTGTTACGGCCACAGTCAAGTCTGGTTCCTCTGCTTCTCCCGCTGCTTCTTCGGCAGCAGCAGCAGCTGCTGCTGCATCGAAGAGCTTGGATGCTCAAAGTCAGCTGGAGAATAAGGGTAAGGCCCAGGATGAGAATAATAGTGAGGATCGTGCAAAGAACGCAAGTGCTTCGGCGTCGGATGATATGTCCAGTGGTGCGGATAAGACGGTTGTTGGAATGGGCGTGGTAGCTATTGTTGCACTGGGATATCTTTTCTAAATCTTTTTAAAAAAATTTCTTACAATCATAATATAAATTCGGTAATAATTTATCTCCATACACATTTCAACCGGAGGGGGGGGTGGGAGGAAAACCCCCACCTAACCATCTATTTGTAGAACAAAAAACATGTGTGTATGGAATGTTATATTAAAAATACAGCATATTTAGAAAAAAATATTATGAAAATTTTTTGACACATTAATCGTGTTTATAAAATGTTTAGAGAGAGGGAGAGAAGAAAAATGCAAATATTAAAAAGAGAAAAGAAAAGAAAAGAAAAGGTTGTATTTATCCAATACTCATAGCATTCCGTTCACCACGATACAAAGCTAACGGTACATCATCATCCTCATCACTTCCACCACCACCGTTTGTTTTTCCAACAGATCCCGCAGACTGCGACCTCAAATACTGCTGCTGCTGATTTTGGTTTTGGTTCTTATTCTGGTAGTTCTGATGATGCTGTGACGAAGGCGACGGTGGTTGCGCAACATACTGCGAACCGCCACCACCAGCACCAGCAGAGGCACCAGCACTCAAATAAATCTGCTGTTGCTGTCTCTCATACTGCGGTGACATCATCACTCTCTCTACAGCCTGTGGTCCCCCAGATTTTCTCCTATTCCCCCCATTGGTGCTGCTGCCGTTACCGCCATTACCTCCAATACCACTCCCACCATTGTTATTGTTGCTGGATTTGTGGCCTCCGTTTGTGCGTTTACCATTACTGCGTGGGGATTTTTACCGTCCTGGGGTTTCTTGTTAGATGACGAAGACTGTGGCTGTGCGTTTGATCGATGTGGGCCAGGAGAACTAGACCGATTAGCCGGTTGATCCACCCTTTGATGCTGCTGCTGTTGTTGTAGCTGAGGCTGCTGCTGTAACGGTGGTGTCAGCGGAGCCGTTTGCGCTTGCGCTTGCTGTTGATGCTGCTGCTGCTGCTGAGACCGCGGATTGATGAGTTCCAAGTACCAAAACATCATATTGGACAACAACACTTGCTGCAACAAGGGTCTGCGCGGATTCGCCAGTTTAATCGATGCCAAGCGATAAATAGCCCGCTCAATATGTATCGGCAACCTATTATTGCCCAACCCCAACCTCGTTGTAGGCGGAGGCCTAACTGGAGTAATTATACTCGGGATATGTTGCTGCTTGGGTCTCTGACTCTCATTATCACTCGACACATCACTGTCTGTATCCGCCCTCTGCTGCTGCTGCTGCTGTTGCTGAGACTGCGGCTGCTTCTGGACTGTCCTGATGATGGTGTTTGTCTACTGAAAACTGATTGCTGGAATCCACTGATTTGGAGTTATCCGGCTGGTATTGTTGCTGGTGTTGTTGTTGTTGGGGTACTGGCGGAGTGGTCTGTACCTGATGCTCATCAGTTAATCTCCGCTCCTTCTTGCTCTTCCGATTAAAGCGTAGGAACGAAATCGGCGACGGAAGCTTATTCTTAGACAAAGACAGTGGCGGTGATGATCCACAACAGCAGCCGGTGACGGCACCACAGCGGGTACAGGCGGCACAGGTGGCGCCGGTGACTCTGACATGCGTCCCCTGGACAGCGACATTGGCAAACCTTGCTGCTGCTGCTGCTGCTGCTGCTGTGGTGGTGTTGATTTTCCAGAATCCCCTCCCTCCCCCGAGCCTTCATCCCTGCCACCCCACTGCCACCAAGAAGCAGATTTTTTGTGTGAAATGGTTTTGCGCTCCGCCGGATCCGACGATGAAGCCGACGACGCCACCGCAGATGACGCAGCAGCGGGTGCTGGCACGGGTGCTGGCGGTGTCATAGGAGTAGGTGGTGGAGGCGCAGTGGGCACTTGGGCCAATGCCAGGGTATTTCCCATTGGCTCGGCCTCACAAATATCAAAATCGTCAAAACCGAAATCATCGACGGCTGCCGTCACCTGCTTGAGGATCTCCGCAGTCGAAAGACGCTTGACCTTGGCGCCAGCAAGAACACCGACAGGGACTGGTGAAGGAGTCAGATCCAATTCCGCACCATAAGCATCGGCTGAATCGGCAGTGGCAGCGCCAGCCGCCAGGCTGCTCTCAGGTCTGGATGCCGGCACAGGCACGGGCGCAGGCACATCGACAAACTCGTCGTCGGAGCCGCGCTTCGGCGACGTCTCCTGGTCCATCGGAGCGACCAGCGGCGACGACACACCAGGCGCCGATCCTCCGGCACCCACCCTCCCGCCCCTCCCCCTCCTTCCCAGCCCAGTACTCGCCGTCGAGTCCCTCCTCTTATTCGCCAGCTTGCTTCGCTTCAGCGATGATCTCTGGACACTCTGGACCAAAAACGGCGCCTCCACGCCAAACTCCCCATCCCCAGCAACATCCTCCTCGACGCGCTCAACAAACGACTTGCGCCTGACAAGCCCCGTGGTATTCCGCCGCCTCACCGCCCCGGACCCAAAATCACGCCGAGCATCCGCCACCAGGGGCTCCTCAACACTCTTGTATGAGTAGCTAAGGATGGATTTGCGCCGATTAACCGTGTCTTCCATTTTGCTCAGTTGGCTGCCATGCTTTGACAGCCACTCTTGGAACTCGCCGGGTGCGATCTCCGGGTGCAGACGCGCTGGCAGCCAGACGTTGGGCGCGTCCAGCGGGTCAATGCTGAATTCCTCAGGAAACTGCGCTGCGATGGCCCCGCGTTTGAGCTCGCCCACGGCCTCCAGCTCCTCATTCAGCCAGTGGTCAGAGGTGGCTGTGGCTGTGGTTGTGGCGATGCTGGAAGAGGAAGAGGCCGAGGGGGCGGTCGCCATTGCCATTGCCATTGCCGCAGGTGCTGGTGCTGGTGCTGCCAATTGCTTCAGATCGCCGACGGAGCGCCGACGTCCGGGAATGGCGGTGGGCTGATTGTCTGGGGCATTGCCGGGGAGCATTTTTTCTATAAAGGAAGAAAGAAGGAAGCGGAATGATTTAGACAGTTTGAAATTTTTAAATGGAAATTATAATGTAGTATTTATGAAGAAAATGGTAAATAATAAATGCGATTTCTTTTCAGGTGATTCGCAGAAAAGAAAAAATAATGAAAGAGTGAGGGAAAAAACACACGCTTTTCCTGCACGCGGACACACGAAACAAGCAGCAGTGCTGGGCTGCATTGAAACCCGCACTCTTGCCACCAGCCAAAATAAATAAATAGGAACAATAAAATAAAACAAGAAGCCCATTGGCTGGGCGAGGGAAATACTCTTCTTTTTCCTTTGTGCGTCTGCGAGTGTCCCCACTTTTCTCTTCCTTTCGCCCAAGGGAAGAATGCGGCGCCCAGCCCGAGCCGCGCCCAGCCCGACCCGCGCTCAGCCCGACCCGCGCTCAAACAGGCACAGGCAGTCGTATATGTTGGCGCCGGCGGCATCGGCGGCCATCTGGTTCTTGAACACAGCCAGCTTGAGCGAGTCGCACGTGAAGCGCGCGCGGTAGTTGGAGTGGATGGCGCGGCCCATGCCGACGATGACCACCAGATCCACGCCCGCGCACAGCGCGACCAGCCGCTCGTCCAGCTTGCGCAGGTCCAGGCACGGCCCGCCGCTGCCCGTGCCGGCGACCACCAGCCGCCCAGCCGCCACGCACTCGGCCAGCGCCGCGTCGGCCGCCGCGGCGCGCCCAACAATGTCCTGCAGCTCGGGCGCCGTGACGTCGTTCAGCGCCGGCAGCGAGTTGGCCGCCAGCACCACGTGCGTGCCGCGCCGCGCCAGGAACCGCGCAAACGGCAGCACGCCCAGACACACGTCGGCGCCGCTGTTGTCGACAAACACCACGGCGCGCGCGTACGCGTGGGCCTGCGCGTGGCGCGCGAACGCGTGCGAGTCGTCCAGCCGGTCGACCCACGTGATGCGGGCCCTGGCGCGCGCAAAGTCCAGCTGGCCGCGCGCCAGCTCGTCGCGCAGCGCCGACGCGCCCCAGTCGTACATGTTGCCGGCCAGCACGTTGCGCACCAGCAGCAGCAGCGCGTCGGCGTCGTCGAGCGCGTCGGACGCGCGCAAGAACGCCGGCAGCTGCGCCAGCGCCGCGTCGGTCTCCTGGCGCTTGACGTGCGCGAAGATGTCGTCCAGGCCAACCTCGTGCAGGCACTGCTCGCGCAGGCCCAGGAGCGCGCGCACGGACATGGCGCCGTAGGCCAGCGGCTGTTCGCGCAGCCGCCGCAGGTGCCGCAGGTACAGCGTGCCGAACGCCTGCATGCGCCGCGGGTCGCCGGCCACCAGCATGCCGTCGTCGGCTAGCGCCAGCATCCCGCGCGTGTTGCGCTCCATGGCAGCGATCCAGTACTCCTGCTGGCGCGCGTCGCCGGCCAGGTCGACGGTGTCGGGCGAGTAGCCGTGCGGTGGCCGGTCAACCAGCTGCGGCAGCGGCTCCAGCTTGGCTGGCTGGTAGTCCAGCGACCCCAGCGCGCCCACGGCCTCGGCCCCGGCAATCGACTCGGCCACCGAGAAGTTCTCCGTGACCGAGCATGCCCGCGACCGCACCGACCGGTCCTGCTTGGCGAAGAATGCGCCGCTGCGCCAAGGAAGCCCTCGTGGCGCAGGAACAGCGCGCGCATCTGGCCCTTGGACCAGAAGTCAATGGCGTACGACAGCGTGTGCATTGTGGGCGGGTGCCCGCGGATGAAGTAGCCGCCAAAGTAGATGCGCCGGATGCCGTGCAGCTGCGCGTTGAGGTACGCGATCTGCCCAATGTTGTTGCTGACCATGTACAGCAGCGACCGCGCAATGTCGGCCTCCTCGTACTGCTTGCCCAGCGACTTGCGGTAGACGCCAGCCATGGTCGCCGCGATATTGGTGGCCTTGAGCCCAATCTTGTCGTAGTCCGTGCCGTAAATGTCGCCGACCATCATGTCGACGCGCGTGTTGTCGCCGCGCTGTGTCATCTCCAGCATCTCGTCGAAGCTCTGCGCGCCCGTCAGCAGGTGCAGCAGCCCCCACAGCGTGCCGCCGCCCAGCGACGTGCCGCTGATGCGCTCGTACTGGCCCTCGCCCGTCACCTTGATGATGCTGACGCCCGACCCGATGTTGACCAGCATGTAGGGGAACGCCGCCTCGCCGCCGTCGACGAACTGCATTGGCTTGTCCTGCTCATACGTAAACACCTCGTCGGCGACCTCGCGGATAAAAAAGTTCAGCCCCGTCGTTAGGCTGCGCATCTCGTCCTCGACGCAGATCTCGACGCCGAGCGCCGAGCGCAGAAGGTCGCCGAACCGGTGTGCGCCGCCGCCCGTCGCCATGATTGTGGGCGCTGTGTCCCCGCCATCCTCCAGGAGTGTCTTGATGAACCCCAGGCAGCGGTCGACGTTGTCTGTCTCGAACGCCTTGAAGTGCAGCCGCCCGCCGCTCTCATCTGACGTGGTCGTCAGGTAGACTACTTTGGCTAGTGACCCACCGATATCCACCGCAACCTTTTGCACGCGCCCTGTGTGGTTCGGCAGCAGGATATCGCTGGCCGCTGAGGTTGTGTGCTCAACCTCGTCTATGCTCGCGCCTGACGAGTTTATGCTTCCAAATATCATGGATGTAGATGCAAAAAAATAAGTTGTGTGTGTCTATGAGAGAAAATATAAAAGCAGAACGGAAAAAGCAAGGTAAAAAAGGCAACCGAGATGAGCAAGAAGTATAGCAGCAGCAGTAGCAGTGATCGACCTGCCCGCCCGCCCGTCTTGCTCACTTTACTTCCCATTTAAGCACAGCGAGCATTTACTGAACGCTATTATTGTGACAAGCATGAATGCGCATAAAGCGATCGATATCAGTTGATTTGATCGCCGGTCTTCTAATTACACACAGAGCGAGACTCGGCCAAATCCGCATTTGGGCTTTGATACACCACGTGCTCAAAATAAAAAATAAAATCCAAAAACCAAAGCGTAAATTGCATCACCCACCACCACCCCCAACCTATTTATTTTTCTGCTCTCTAAAAAAAATTACTTTTTAAATTTCTAATTCCCAATTTAGTTCGTCTCAATTACATTTTTCTATCTGAACAGTTGTTTTTATTATTATTTCACAATGGGCGTTGTTCTCGGCTGCATCTCTTCGCAATTTCTTTCATGTCTGGCCTCCCTCGGCTGCTCGTGCGCATGTGCCGCCTGCCGCTCACTCTCCCCCTCGAAGCTCTCCGGCTCCATTGGCACACGCATCAACTACGCGCTTCTTTTCCTATTAAACTCCAGCATAGCCTATGCTATGACGACCAAATGGGGCATTGACTTGGTCAAGCGAATATCATGGGGCTTCATATCGTTAAAATGTCCTGAAGGCTGTGCTACGGCACGCTGGCCGTGCACCGAATGTGCTTCTCGCTGAGTCTCTGGCATCTCGTCCTGGGCCTTTTAACCATGGGCGTGCAGGATAGTAGGCACCCGAGAGCCAAGTTGCAGAACGGACTGTGGGCGGTCAAGTTGGTTGCGTGGGCAGCGTTGGTTTGCCTGAGCTTTGTTATTCCCAGTGGCTTTTTCGAGTTTTATAGTCGCTATGTGGCGATGATTGGTGCGGTGTATTTTTGGTCATTCAGCTGGTCCTCTTGGTTGATTTTGCGTACAACTTGGCTGAGGGGTGCATTGAGAGATGGGAGGATACGGGCAGGCCGCTTTGGCGCAACCTCCTTGTAGGCGGCACCCTGGCCATGTACCTGGCATTCGCCGTTATGACCATTGTGAATTACGTGTTTTTGCCTCGAAGGGCTGCGGGAGGAACCAATTTTTCATCACTGCCAATATGCTCGTCTGCATCTTGGTTTCGGTCGCATCGGTGCATCCGCGAGTGCAGGAGGCTAATTTGAAGTCGGGGCTGGCGCAGGCTGGGATGGTCACCGCGTACGCTTCGTATTTGGTCACCAGTGCGCTGGCCGGGTCGCCGCCCGAAAAGGACGAGGGCGCCGCTGTGTGCAATCCGCTGGCTGGAGAGGCCAGCGCCAGGGCAACAATGGCAGTTGTGGGTGCGTTTTTCACCATCGGGGCGATCTGCTACAGCACTACTAACGCGGCAGTAAAGGGAAATTCAATCATTCGCAGCGGTGCTAGCAGCATGTACGAACCATTGGCTGGGTCCGAGGAGGAGGCCTCTGGGGTGCGGATGACCAACGCACAGCTGCGGCAGAGTGCGCTAAGAGACGCAGTGGCTAATGGCTCGCTGCCGCAGTCTGCGCTTAATGAGGACGGGGAGGATGGAGGTGAAGCGATGATGAGGCGTTTGGAGTGCAGTATAGCTACACGTTCTTCCACTTTATCTTCTGCGTCGCTTCCATGTATGCTGCGATGCTGCTGACGAATTGGAACAGCATTAATTCTGAGGATCATGTTATTATTATTGGGCGCAGCGTCGCTGCGGTTTGGGTCAAGGTCGTTACAAGCTGGCTTTCGTTGTTGCTTTATTCGTGGACGCTGCTCGGCCCGCTGGTTCTGCCTGACCGCGAGTGGCTGTAATTTTTCTTTTTTTTTTTATTTATTTTAAATGCTTATGTACGGATTAGGCTTTTGTTTTGTTTGCCTCACACCAGAAACTGACTTGAAACAAGCAACAAAATCGCTATTTTTTTGGATTGACTATTTAAGAAAGAATTTATGTTGCAAAACATTTGTGCTCACTTATTTTTTCCGCAGCAACGCTTGCCCATCCATTTGCCCATTATTAATAAAATATTTATCTTTTTTCTTTTTTCTCTTTTTCTTCTATTTGTCTACATCCCAACTTTTTAAATACTTTGAAGCCATTTAGTGAAACTGTTCAATCTCCACCACTTTTATCTTATTTTTATCTTTTGTTGCCGACTGTTTTTCTTACAAAATGGACAACTTCCACTTGCCCAACGACATCGTATTGATGATCCTGAACTGTGTAGTCGCCAAGCCTGCCACGAAGCACCTGCCACGTGAATTTTCAGTACTGGCAGGCGTGTGCCAGCATGGAGAAGGCTGGCCTGCCGATATCTGCTCGAGCGCAGGAATTCGGTGCATTTGTTTCGAATCGGGATCCCAACAATCCAAGTTTGGTACCAGCCTAGAATCAGATATCCCTGAAATTATAATGCTTGGTGGTCAGAGCTACATCAGTCTGTATTTTTGAATTTGAAGCTGGCAAACACTTTTTGGATTTCCTGGAAGCTATTGTTAGCGAGCTGCAGCATACCAGCGTTGCGTGGACTGGCGTTAAAGCCCTGCATTTCAGGTTTCGCAGACATTTAGTGGCTTTCACGGCTATTTACCCATTGTTCTTAACAAAAAATCGAGCGACGGCGTTTTAAAGCTTGCTGCGGATCTGGTCGACAGGTTTCCAAATGTCTCGAGCTTCATACTAAAACCTCAATTCCAATGTCGCTATTAGTGCATTGTCAGACCTTGTCGATAGGTTTGCAGTAACTGTGACAAGCTTCAAACATAATCTTTTCTATCCGATTTATGTGCCTGCGTTTTCAGACACACTCGCCCATCTTTCTCTTATAATGAGCCCCTGGACGTGGAAAGCCTCCCAAGGGTAAACCCGATACACTCAAAGCTCTGAAGTTGCGTGATTATCCTTCTGACTATTCATGGGCCAGTTTTGCCAGCATCTAAACCTCTGCAGCATCAATTTTGCCCAACTGAAAAGCTGAGTATTGTTTCTTTAATTCTCAACATGCGAGACGACGCTGGGGTTCGAGCTCTGCCGTAGTTTCCAGATGAGCTTTCCTGCTCTTGAGTACCTGCGTCTTGATAATTGGCACTCTGATATTAAGGAAATCAGCACTGCGCTGTTTCCCGCGTACATTCCCAATATTCACGTTTTGGGATCAATTCAAGCGATCAAGTCGTTTTTCTGGCACAAATTCAGCGGATTTGGAAACTTCAAGATTGGTATAAGATGTTGTGATGCGACGGACGTGGATACTTTCTACGAGATGACCAACAGATTTTTCAACCGCCTGCGCATTGATGGTCAAGCAGCGTTGGATCTTATTTTCGATTCTCCAAAACTTGACGCAGACAGGATCAACTGGACCAATCTTACTTTCTTGACCATTACAGGTGATATTGAGATTGAGACGATTTCAGCGCTCCTTCCACGCCTACCCTCACTGGCTAACCTGGAGGCTTGTGATTTGGTACACAGCGAGGACACATATGATTCCGTCTCTTTTAACCAGTTCACGCTCCCCGATCTTGCCAGTTTGTCCACTGCGGAGCCACTATCCACTTCGGTGAAAAGTATTATAATTACGTGCCATGTCTATTATCAAGACTATAAAAGATCAAAGGACTTATTCTTGGAACTCGTTTTGCGCGTGCCTTCCCTGACCTTTTTATTTGTAGAGCCCGACTTTGGTGAATGCTTTGGGCTTTTAAAGGAAGAATATGGCGCCGAGTATCCCCATTTGAGTGAAATCATTTGTGTGACACCTTAGAGGATTACTGAGTTTTCATTTAGCAGCTTTGACGATTTATTTAAATAATTTCATACATTGTCTTGCATTTGAAATTACGCATAGTTGTAAATGCAAAATAAAATCTAAATAGTTTAACTTGTGGCAATAGAGCCAGGGAACAATTGTTACACCAATAATTTGTGGTATTATGAATAAAAGAGTAGATCTATTGAGCGGGATAATAAACAAGTAATATATTCTAACTAAAGTAAATGATTAAGACCAATTGTCTACCGCGCCATTTTGCCCATCATAGGCTCTATTGAAGACCTAGCTACATGCCCCTATAACAAAGCTATTCTAAGAAAAGAGTAGTCGGGGGTTACCTAGACCTGGGTCTAATTTTCTGGCGGTGGAAATTGTCCGCCAAAGCGCAAAACCAACGGCACAAGTCAATCAGTCTTGTTGCCCATAAGCACCAAAAAGATAATGCAGCTCACACTACTCCCATCTCCACTCCCTTTTTACGTTATTAATTGACATTTGCAAAAATTACAAATAGTATTTCATTTATCAAACAAACCATATCGACATTATAATAGGAATAGTAGTAATAAACAATTTCAAATGGACTCTACCGCATTGCCGCACACAACCACGCTCCGCGTGCCCTTCCCCAGTGCCCACCAGGCAACCATCGCGATGAATGCGCTCCAAGTCGACCGCGACATTTCGGGCGACAAAATCCACCGCACAATCCAAACCGAAGACTCAGCCCTTCTTGTAACCTTTCGCTCAAGCAACCTACGCACGCTCCGCGTAACTATCAATGGTTTCATGGATTCGCTCATCCTGGTGAGCAAAACCCTAGAGGCATTTTCCAATTAACGTAAAATAAACATCACATCAGAAACATCAACCGAATGGCACGTGTTGAGCTCCAAATCAATTGCATAACAGACCACGAGGGACTCGACGGTGCAAGAAAGCATGTGGGTCACTAGCTGCAATAGGGCAAATGGCATAGTACTGCCCGCTAGGGCAACGAGCGCAGAGTGCGTGGACTTTTGACCAATGGCATGCACGCCCAGCGTGTAGCCTGTGAGCACAGAGAGCAAAAGCGCAAGGCATGTCATGGATGACTTGACCAGGGAGACAACAGGTGAATGCAGCAAGTTGTGCTTTCCCAGCAGCGTTCTGACAAACCTTGATGACTCAAAAAACCCCTTGCCACTGAATCCTGCATATACCACAGCATAGTTACCCAGTGCATCGGCCAAGTGCATTGGGCGGCCCAAAAGCATCGACACTAATGACAGCGGCACAATACGAAGTAAGCTGACCATCCACCGCAAGCATAGCTCTAGGAGGTGAATTAACTTGGCCGCAAAAGGAGTGATGCAGACAGGACCACGGTACCCAGTTGCCTGGTCAGTGCCGCCATTGCCGCCGCCTGCAGCGTATGCAAAACAAGTGGTTCGCCGGGATCGTGGCGGTGGAAGTACCACTGGCTGACCACGCACGACACGACAGATCTAAGGAACTGCACAAACACCGCCGATATCCACGCAAACGACACCGCCATGTACGCCGGCACACCCCACGTGTGCCACTGCAGGGAAAGCGAGAGAAGAGGCAGCCGCGAGGCAAAAATAGCTGACACAACGGCAAACGCACAATACAGTGCGAGCAAAAGGACGGAAAACCCGTAAAGCGCTTTGTTCTGCAAAACAACATCGCACGCTAGAGAGATCACTCCGACGCTGCGCTCAATCTGCACGCGCTGGTGCGAGATGGTCCAGCCAAACCGCACAGCCAGGATCACGGCTGTACCGACAACCAGGCAGCTCCGCACACGGTACCCGACCAGCTCCTCAACTCCCGGGATGCGGAACACCTGCGTGGTGGCCCACAGTGCCGTGGCCGTGCTGACCACCGGGATGCCCAGTGTCGTTAGCCAAACAACCTTGCGCGTCTGTCGCCGCAGCAGCTGCACCCACGCTAAGCTCGCAATGGCCGATGCTACGGAGACCGCCGCCACCTGCGCAATACCGCGCAGCAAATCGCCGTAGTCCCGCCCAGCTGGTGACTTTGCAGGCGGCACCGCTGTGGTCGCCAGCAGGTACACGCCCAGAGCGAGATATGTCACTGTGTTGAGCAAAAAGACATATGCCGCTGCGCTGTCCGGCCCCGACAGCCCTATTGACGTTGCCTCGGGGCCAAACTCTGCCAGCTCCTGGCTGAACCGCGACACATACGAGTCCGTCGACGTCGTGCTCCCTGCATCATCCATGTCTTCGGTCATGCGGAACCCAATCAGCGAGCCGCGCGGCTCGCTGCTTCCCGAGTCCGTTGACGCAATGCTTCCTATTGACTCCCTGTCCACACTGGACGCAATGCACAGCAGCGCTGGCTGCTGCTGATTTTCAGAAATCAAGAGTCGCGACTCGGAAGCCAGCGGCTGCTGGTTGGAGACAGACGAGTGCGCGGACTGGAATGGCTGAAATGACGTGCGTACGCTGGTAAAGCTATCGTGCGACGTATCATTAGACGTACTGGCCTCCATCGGCCCGCCCCTCCTACTTGCTCCCATTATCTGGCCTGCACTCACCCGGCTCACCTCACTGATGCTCAAATCCAAATCCACAACTACACTTCTCTCCTCTTCCATACCCCAAACGGCATCCACACCGCTCCTCAGCTCGCTTCGGGTGTCTTCGTCCAACTCGTCGTACAGGCAACTTGCGCCATTGCACTCGCTCAGCAGTGTCACTGAAACAACAAGTACAACGAGCCGCCATAGGTCGTCGAATGGCACGGTCGCCAGACTGTTTACTCCGGGCACGCACTCGCGCACCATTTGCCTACCCATCGTGCCGTGCTCAAAGTACCGCAGGAGGAGCCGCGCTAGCTGGGCGAGTCCGTCGAGGTTTGGCTCGCCTGCGTTACTGCTGAGCACAAGCGATGCTGTGGCAAAGTGCTCCGGGTCGGCCTCAGTTGTGATGTCTATCAATATGCGCGCGTCAACCAGGTCATCTGTGCTTGCTATGGGTTCGCCAGAGAGCTGGGAAATCTACAAGGAAAATGGAGAGAGAACTAAAAACCAAATTAGTGTGCAATGCACGAGCTGAATAGCGGGCGAGGTGTAAAATGAATTTGGTTCGCGTGTGTACCCAGGTCAGACACGCCTGCCGGAATTTGGCGCTCCTAAACGACATTGTGTGTTGGTGTTGTGCACAGAAATAAAAAGAACGGAAATTTACAAGGAGGTCGTAATAAATACAAAAACAATTAATAAAGCTGTAATTTTCATTGCAAGAAAGCAAGGATGGTGATGACGCCAACGCGTGGCCTGCTGCTTGCCAATGCACATAAAAATTAATAAAAGGGGAAATTTGCATATTGTCACGTGCAGGTACTTTTTGAGCCGTCACGCAATTAATTGGCGCATGTGGCAAAGTCCTGCGAGAAACTTGTTAATCATGGGCAGCCCTTTTATTTTTGTTACTTTGTCCGAGACATGTGTTTAAAAAGCAAGACTCAATGCAAAAGCCGCGATCTGATCTGCAACTCATCATTTATTTTTTATTATCAGACTTGAGCAGCGGGATTTCACGTATTTTCCTATTTCTTGGAACCGAATGATTAGACTAAGGATTTTGTCTCCTCTTTCATTTTTTTATCTCTTCATTTTTATTTGTAGAAATCTCAATTCTCTTTTTTCATTTTTCTTTTTCATTTTTTATTTCACAGTGTGCATTAAAGGCGTCGGCAAACATACACACATACACATAAACCGAGCACACTAATATGCGCGACGACATTCGTATTGTTCTGGTCGGCGATGGTATGATTCAACAACCTTGAGAAAAAATTTTGGCACTTTCATTAAAGGACCCTTCAAATTGAAACTCGCTTAAAAAAATTTAAAAACCAACACTTCCTTTCTTTTTTGTTTAACACTCACAATCTAGATGGCGTTGGCAAAAGCACATTGGTCACTGCTCTAATTAAAGAGACTTTTATATTAAATGTAAGTTTGCATTTCTCATTTCCCATTTCCAAATCCCCAAGCATCCTTACTACCACCCTTTATATTTTCTACTTTGCTGCCTTTCAATTGCATTACCAAATTCAAAATAGCATAAAACGGATAAAGACATACTTTTTTTTTACTTTTTTCTCTATCTAGGTTCAGGCGGTCGTGCCCGAGGTCACCATACCGCCCGAAGTCACGCCGGAGAACGTCACGACGCACATAATAGATACATCGTCGGCGAGCGAGTCGCACGAGATCCTCGAGACAGAGCTGCGAAAAGCCAACGTGGTCTGCATTGCCTACGCCGTCGATGATCGCAGCAGCTTCCAGCGCGTTCACGAATACTGGCTTCCACTCTTGCGACTACAGGGGATTAACCTGCCAGTGATCCTAGTGGGCAACAAGGTCGACTTACGCGACGAAGACACTGGGCACAGCACTGTGCTGGAGGACGAGGTTGTCCCCATAATGAACGAGTACCGGGAGATTGAAATCTGCGTCGAGTGCTCGGCCAAGGCCCTGCTCAACGTATCAGAGCTGTTTTATTTTGCGCAAAAGGCCGTTTTGCACCCCACACGGCCGCTGTATGATGCCCGCGATCACGTTATGAAGCAAAGGTGCTCGGACGCCCTGGTGCGCATTTTCCGCCTGTGTGACATGGACGGCGACGGAATTCTGAACGACGCCGAGCTGAATGATTTCCAGCGCAAGTGCTTTAATACGCCGTTGCAACAGCGTGAGCTCGAGGGGGTCAAGGAGATTGTCAAGGCCAGTCGGCCTGACGGCGTGGTTTCCGGCGGCCTGAATGTCGAGGGCTTCCTTTACCTCCACCTGCTGTTTATTCAACGAGGCCGCGTGGAAACCACATGGATGGTGCTGCGGCGGTTTGGTTACGGCGACGATCTCAGTTTACGCGAGGACTTTTTGTGTCCTGAGTTCGACGTGCCCTCTGACTGCTGCGTGGAGCTCAGTCCGCACGGCTACTCCTTCCTTACAGAGATCTTCAAGCGCTATGACGCGGACGGCGACAGCGCTTTTGTGCTGACGAGCTCGAGCAAATATTCAGCTGTCACCGGCATTCCGTGGAAGCACAATAAATTCCCCGACTCCACTGTCACCAATGCCGCGGGCTTTGTCACTCTGGAGGGGTGGTTGGCACAGTGGAGCATGACGACGCTTTTGGATCACAAGCAGACCTTGGCGTACCTCGCGTACTTTGGTTATCCTGGAGATATCCGCGATGGCATTCGTTTGGTTGGGCGTCAGGGCGGGCTCGGCCATGGTGCGCTTCGTCGGCGCAAGAAGGGCAAGCTGCCGCGCAGTGTGTTTCTGTGCTACGTCGTGGGTGCATCTGGGTCAGGCAAGTCGTCGCTCATCAGGGCGTTTGCCAAGAAACCATTCTCTGAAGACTACGCGCCCACGACACGGTCAACCACCACAGTTAACTCGGTGGATGTCAAGGGTCGGAGAAATACCTTGTGATGCAGGAGTTTGGACCCTACGATACCAGCGTGCTGCAGAGTCGGCGGCAGCTGGAGGCCTGCGACCTTTTGGTAATGGTTTATGACTCGAGCGACCCTAATTCGTTCTCGTACTTGACGAACTTGCGCAAGAATTATTCGTTGGATAATGTTCCGGTCATATTTGTTGCTACAAGAGTGACTTGGATTATGTGGAGCAGAGAGGCGACCAGCCGCCGGACATTTACTGTCGTGAGCTTAAGCTTACTGCGCCCGTCTATGTCTCTGTGCGTGACGGGCAGATTGCCAGTGTGTTCCAGAGGATGGCGGCTATAACCAGAAGCCCTCAGTCGGCTACGCCTCTTTGTTGCTGTCAAGGCCGCATGTTTGGTCTGCTGCGAGGATCCTAGGTATCACTGCGTTGGCTGGTGTTGGGTTGGTTTCTACGTTTGTCGCGTATCACGCTATCAAGTATTGGTGGACGAATATCCTTTATTCAAGATCGTCGTTCTCGACGTCCACCGCCTAAGAGAAATGAATTGTAGTTTTTCTTTTTTTAATGATGAATGCATTTTTGTTTCAGTTATTTTTATGGTTATATTAAGCGAGGCACGCAAAAAATGGATGCTCATGTATTTATCTGCAACTGCTGAGTCTATTTTTTTAAAAAAAATGAAAATACACCCTAAACGGCCTAATATTAATTTATCTGAACCACATTTGTTGCCAATTGTTGGTATTTATCCACTGTTACGCAGCCTGAGGATATGGAGGTAGACCTGAGGGCAAGAATCACGAGACAGATTCCTGCCAGCTTGCTGATGGATCTGATATTGACCAAATTACAGGGGACTAAATCAGACGCCACTACTGCATCCAGACATACTAAGAAATAATAAAATAAAAAAAAAAAAAAAAAATATATCAAATTGCCGACATAAAAATAAACATATACGGTCTGCCTGCACGTGACTCGCCATCTGATGACACATACTGTCTGTCTCGAAATAGATGCGCTGAGCGCACGTATACAGATACGCCAATAATTCCATATCAGAGACCCGGTTACTTTCATAAGGACCAGTTCTCGCAAACGGAGCACACAACTCCAGTGTGTCCACAAAGACATTGAGACATATATAAGATGAGGTCGACGATAATAGCACTTTAGAAACATTAATAATAAAACTTTATAATTTAACACTATCCTTTAACATTATTATAATAGTGCTCCCCACACCTCCCCTTTTACATAACACTACATACTGTAAATTATAGTTCTTATATGTCAAAATGATTTGATATATGTAATTTAAAAGCAAATACTTCATGAAGTTATCTGCCAATCCATCCACATCGGCAGTTTCACTATACAAAAAATTCACAAAACAATTGGTTAACCAGTCTTTGTCCTGTGTGGCTAAAACGAAAAAGTAATTGTGTATTTTGGCAAGACAACCAATTGCAGTTTAATTTTTCTATCTGGTATTTATATGGTCAATAGTACTTTTTATTAAATACACATTTATACATAACAATCAGCTCTTTACAATGCAAAACATTCACTCAGTTCCAGGGCTACATTAACAGCATAGAACCAATTTTTGCATTTACAACTATGCGTAATTTAAATGCAAGACTGAAATTAATTAAATAAATCGCAAACCTGCTAAATGAAAACTCAGTAATCCTGTGATACATCAAAAAAATCGATGTCGCCAAATGAGGATACTCGGGACCGTACTTTTCCTTCAAAAGCCCAAAGCATTCACCAAAGTCGGGATCTACAAATAAAAAGGTCAGGGAAGGCACGCGCAAAATGAGTTGCACGCTCCGTCTTCCATTGATCCACAAATATAATCACCTCCATTATACGTAAGTTTGATACTTTTCACCGAAGTGGATAGTGGCCCGCAGTGGACAAACTGGCGAGATCGGGGGTAAACTGGTCAAGAGCGTCGGTATATGTGTCCTCGCTGTATAAAATCACAAGCCTCCAGGTTAGCCAGTGAGGGTAGGCGAGGAAGGAGCGCTGAAATCGTCTCAATCTCAATATCACCTCTAATGGCAAGAAAGTAAGATTGGCCAGTTGATCCTGTCTGCGTCAAGTTTTGGAGAATCGAAAATAAGATCCAACGCTGCTTGACCATCAATGCGCAGGCGGTTGAAAAATCTGTTGGTCATCTCGTAGAAAGTATCCACGTCCGTCGCATTGCAACATCTTATACCAATCTTGAAGTTCCAAATCCGCTGATTTGTGCCAGAAAAACGACTTGATCGCTTGAATTGATCCCAAAACGTGAATATTGGGAATGTACCGGGAAACAGCGCAGTGCTGATTTCCTTAATATCAGAGTGCCAATTATCAAGACGCAGGTACTCAAGAGCAGGAAAGCTCATCTGGAATATGACTGAGCTCAGAAGTGTAATGTGATAAATAAATATCTAGCTTTTCAGTTGGGCAAAGTTGATGCTGCCAGAGGTTTGGCCGTGGCAAAACTGGCCCATGAATAGTAGCAGGATAATCGGCAACTTCAGAGTTTGAGCGCATCGGATTTACCCTTGGGAGGGTTTCCACGGTTGGGGCTCATGATAAGAGAAAGATGGGCGAGTGTGTCGAAAGCGCAAGCACAGAAATCGGATAGAAAAGATTATGTTTGAAGCTTGTCACAGTTACTGCAAACCTATCGACAAGGTACTCACAATGCACTAACATCGATATTGGAATTGGAGTTTTAGTATTAAGCTCGAGTACATTTGGAAAGCTGTCGGCCAGATCCGCAGCAAGCTTTAAAACGCCGTCGCTCGATTTTTTGTTAAGAACAATGGGTAATAGCCGTGAAACCACTAAATGTCTGCGAAACCTGAAGCAGGCTTTAACGCCAGTCCACGCAACGCTGGTATGCTGCAGCTCGCTAACAATAGCTTCCAGGAAATCCAAAAAGTGTTTGCCAGCTTCAAATTCAAAAAATACAGACCTGACGTAGCTCTGTCACCAAGCATTATAATTCAGGGATATCTGATTCTAGGGCTGGTACCAAACTTGGATGTTGGGATCCGATTCGAAACAGAAATGCACCGAATTCCTGCGCTCGAGCAGATGATCGGCAGGCCAGCCTTCTCCACTGCTGGCACACGCCTGCCAGTACTGAAATTCACGTGGCAGGTGCTTCGTGGCAGGCTTGGCGACTACACAGTTCAGGATCATCAATACGATGTTGTTGGGCAAGTGGAAGTTGGCCATTTTGGTAAGAAAAACAGTTGGCAACAAAAGGATAAAATATAAGATAAACAGTGGTGGAGATTGAGCAGTTTCACTAAATGGCTTCAAAGTATTTAAAAAGTTGGGATGTAGACAAATAGGAAGAAGAAAGAGAAACAAGAGAAACAAGAGATGAATATATTTTATGTAATAATGGGCAAATGGATGGTGGCAAGCGTTGCTGTGGAAAAAAATAAGTGAGCACAAATGTTTTGCAACATAAATTCATTTTTAAATGGTTGTGCAAGATAGTAAATTTTGTGACCGAAATCATTACTATACTGGTTCCTCAAAAATATTTACAGGTTAGAAGCGCCATGTATGCAAGAGTCTCGTAAGGTTTTAGTACTAAAATTACACCTCTATTTTTGTATACTAACCCACTCAAGCCATGTCCCTTTAACCCCTAAACTTTTATGCAAACAAATATCCAAAAATATATTTTTCATTCTCATTTTTCAGTTTTCCAGTCGCTTTTTCTTCTCTCTTTTCTTTCCATTCACCCTTCTATCTTGTTGGGCTCCAAGCTCACCACAGGCTATCTTAAATAAAGAATCTCATTAAACCAAAGTCAATCGAATGGTTTTGATGCTCTTTATTGTTGAAGTTTAGTTTTTGGGGAAATAAATATAGCTTATCAGGCGTGAAACCCCGCGCAATTACTAACCCCATTTCCAACCCCACTACCAACATCAGAGCACTGGTACAATGGCACACCGCCAAATAATGAAAACCAAGATAACCAAGATAACATAAACACAGAGATACAGCTGATCATATAAATTATGGCTACCCACCATCCGCCAACATACAAAATATACAAAACAATTTCCACGCAATCATTTCGCTCCCTCTCTTTATGCGCACCAAGCTTTATTATGTGTGCATTGTGCAGCAACAGCTTGTGCCTGAAATATGCTCTGTTTTTCAGTTGGTTATTGCAATTACATGTCTGCTCAAAGTGTCTCAAAATCAAAATTTTATATGTAGAACAATGTAGCATTCGAATTTATTATTTATATGTTCATATGTACTAGAACAAATAACGTTAAATTACCTTTTTGTGATGGCTAAGAAATCAAATTCAAGAAATGGCTTAATTGAATATAGACACAGCCAAAACCACACTAATATTATTTTGCTGATAATATTTTGTAAACACTTGGCCTTTAATGATTAAAACTTTGAATTTGAAAAATGATTACTCATCAAAATCGCTGGTGCGAACAACGTCAGCAAAAAGTCTGCCCTTCAACAAAGCTTGAGGAGCACCAGTCTCGACAATCTCGCCACCCTCCATGACAATGATGTGGTCGCTGTTCATCATTATCTCCAAGCGATGGGCTATAATGAGCACAATGCAGTCGCCAAAATCCTTTTTTATCAGCTTTGCATGTTCCCGTCGGTTTCCAGGTCTACGTTGGCTGTGGCCTCGTCAAGAACAAGGATTTTGCGCCTGCGCATAAGCATGCGGCACAGACTAAACAGTTGCTTCTGGCCGCCGCCCAGTCTGATGTTGCTGTCGCTGGCTATCTTGTTCGGCGGGTGTGTTTTGATAAACCTTGGCTTTATTTCCAGCTGCAGCTATTTGTCAAATTTCAGTCTGACAAAGCGCATTAGCCAGTCTGAGTTATTCCAGGGCTTTTCCTAGTATCTCAAATCCTGAATTTGCCTGTCGCTGGCGTCGGAATTTTGAATTTCATAACTTATGTCATCATCAGCACCATCTGCTTTCTTTTATGGCTGAACAATACCTGTCATGCTGCACTTTTCCAGCGCCAGCCACATATTTTTCTTGGTAAACTCCATGGGTGGGTTTAAGTTTTCAGCAAAAGTGCCGCTGAACATGATCGATTCCTGTGGGATGATGCCTAGCGCTGGACGCAGATCACCGACACCAATAGCTGCAATATCCTGTCCATTAATTACTATCAAGCCACTGTTGTAAAGTTCCACTTCAGGCTTGTGCACGGTAACAAGTGTAGACTTGGTTGCACCTGTATGGCCAACAATGCCAATTTTTTTACTGGCTTAATGGTCAAATTAATATTTTCAGTGCTGGCTCCAGATCACTGCGGCACTTCATGCTGAAATTGTAAAATTCAATTTAACCATTTTCCAGCCACGCTTCCTTGAGCCAACTATCTTGAACAATGTATGGTGCCTCGGGCTCCATGCCTGCGTACTTTATAAACATGTTGGCCCGTGTAGACAATTGTTATAATTTAGCAGGAATATCAGTCAAATGATATGAATGAGTAGTTACTTTTTTAATGATTCTTTTGAAAAGTACCATGTCTGAAAATGCTATCTTGGTTTTGAAAATTTGGGATTGCAAAATTACATAAGTTGTTTGAAATGATATAAAAATGGATAACTAATTTATCGGCTGCATAATTTAAGCCCTTGTACGATTCTGTAGCTATATCAATGCGTGTGCTTGTTTTTTAATATAAAGCATAGTGAAATGCGGCTCTACCCCAAACAAGCGAATCATTTGCTTGCCGTCTGCTAAGGAGTCTTCTACTTTTGTCAGTCCTACACATGAACTCATGTACATTTTTTTGATAAATTCATTGATATAATCTACAAATGAATGAGTTTTCATCTTCGTCCACAAAAGCAACAGAATTGTCAAAAACAGCTGCGGTGCAGTAATGAGCACTCGGTATAATGCCAGCAGTATCTTTACCACATGCAGCACACTCTTTTCGAAAAATGCTATGGTAATCCAACCAACGCCCAATGATACACTGTTGTATTCAAATTCGACTTTTTGTCTGGTGTTACTATCGAAAAATGATAATGGTGCGTAAATCAATCCATGAATAAAGCTATGCTTGACTTTGGCATTGCTATAGTCTTTAAATAGCACATTATTTATCAAGTTAATTTTGCCAAGTGCAAATACTAACAACTTGCATATAATACTTCTTTTTAGATAAGAGATAATTGCGTCATGGACAGCGGTACTGGTCAAACTGCTAGACATGTACAAAATAGTATTATGTTTGCAGCAATTGGTTTGCAGCTTAATATGTTAAACTCTTAATACCACTACGTTAATTAAAAATAAAATGCCCTATAGTTTTGCAATATACTTTGCATTATTAATATAAAACCAAGTTATCAAAGAGGCTGAGCTAGAATTTTTTTGTTTTTTGCCAATTGTAGTTTATTTTCCGGTTTGTAATACGCACTGTTGCTGAGTGTTGTCATCAGTGTTGCTTTTGGTGTCGCCATTGTTGGAACCACCATTTGCACCATTGCACAAATTTGCGCATTCAATTGCTGACAGCACCTCTGACAGAGAAATAGTATATATACGGGGTATTTGGAGGCTGACAATGGCCTTTCCATTATACATACTAATAATCTGGTTGGAATATGGAAACAAGTACTCTGAGGTTGTAGAAACAACGCGAAGCTTGCCGGCCAAATACCCCTGCTAAGCAAAATGTTGTCAATGATGTTGTTGGAATATAGGATGTCCTATGAATGTGTAGATAAAGTATAATCCTATAAAGTATATTTAATAACTAGAAGTGCTATGCACTGTGAAAGGTAAAGGAAGAGAGCATATTGCTCTGGTCACTGTGTGACTTATTGTTTGTGTGGCTAAACAGCCAAGACTGGTTAATCAGTTGATCGCCATCAACCAATAGATGTGTTGCTTGATGTGAGCATCAACTGCAGACAGTGGGTCGTCCAAAATGTAGACATCTGCGCACGAATAGATTGTTCTAGCTAGTGCCAACTGGGGATGCTGATCTCCCAATATTTTTATCCTGCGTTTGCGAATTATTATCAAGTCGCTTTTAGGACACGTCTTTAACTCCTCTGTAAGCGCGCACGCGTAAATAACCCCCAATAAAGCTGCTCGTCAAAAGTGCGGCCAAATATAATGTTTGCGCCCATGGTGTTGTTCATAATCCATGGCGACTGTTCGAGGTAGCTGATGGTCCCAACCATTTGGCCTGATCCTTGGGTCATTTCCGCCTCACTGCACATGGATAAAAGTAGAGATTTTCCAGAGCCAGTTTTGCCAACCACAGCTACAAGCTTTGTATCATTGACTTTGAGTGGTATATCCGCCAGCATATTTTTGGTTCTCCATGCAAAGTAGCAGCCATTCATTTCAACAGTTGACTCTAGTTTAGTAGTAGTTGTGCAAGGCAGTGTGCTGATATAATCTCATACCAGCTGATTTTCTGCATTTTAAATATTGTTAATATTCTGTAAATTTGTGGGAAAACATTATCTAGTCTGCCAATCAACACATCAATGTACTTCAAATAATTTTCAAGCTGGAAGGATAATGCGCCGCTGATTATAAACCCAATAGTACGGAACTCCTCCGTAAAAGCATATATACAGTCAGGTATAAGTTAACGTCATCTATAGTATTATCAATAGCGCCAACAATAAACCATACAAACAAAATCAATGATCTTTACAAAGCAAACTCGAATGTATTGTTTTGCTATCCTGAAGCTTGGTATCCAACCAAAATTTGCACTCTCATTTAAACATCTTTATTGATCTTATTCTCAAAAAATAATTTGCTCATTTTTTCAAGACGTTTATACCGCTCATATTGTTTTTGTTACTGTTCCAATACGTTTTTGACCCAAGGTATTTCTTATTAGCCATTCAAGAGAATAATATATTATTCTGATAGCAAACAGGGTCAACGCCAGCAATCCAATTTGATTCAGTACGATTCCTGACCTAATTGCAAAACTAAATATCTTTGCGCTGGAATTATGCAATGACAGTATATCTTTTAGAATATTAGTGCCCAAAAATTTATTATTACTGTGGGTTTTACCCAAGCCATCTCCGGTAAGAGGGGGTCAAAATATTTCCAATTTCAATGCGCTGGTTACTTTTTTGTTTTAAACTTTACGTAATATTGAGAGGTGTAATTATGCTTTGGGGCAGTGGCTTTAAGGTTATGAGCAATAATGTTGCATAGCCATTGTGCCAGCTGAATTGAAAGGATGAGTCAAAAAAAACATGATCTTGTCATTTAGCACAATCTGGAGGGCATCCAGCATTTAAAATATAAACTCGACAATAAACTGGAGCAGCATAGAGCGCCAGATGAAATGAATAATAGCATTCAAAAAAAAGCATGCACTCGTTGGTGTCAAATATAAAATCCCTGTGAATGTTTTCCAAAAGAAATCTGTTAGGAAGCTGCTTTGTATTATTGATGGTAACGTTGTCCACTTTCTTTTGTGTGATTTTGTTAAACTCATGCACATGATAAACTTAAAGCTTGGATAATCACATTCAAATAGCTTTGAGTTTCCGGTCCAAAGATAAACACGACAATGGTTGTATATAGCAGAATCTCGGCGCACTAGTAAAATATGCTATACTTGTCACACGCATATTCTCTGTATATGTTAGCCGCACTTACAGTGTAAAGGACCGTTCGGAGGAGCCCGGGTACATAGCCAGCACGGGTAGGACAAGTATGCCGAGAAATTAAAAAATCCCGCACCACGCATAAATACCAGCGCAGCCAGGACAAGGCACACGCACTGGGCTTTAACGCTTTTGAAAAGAGCAAAAGACAATTTCTTGCTTTTGGTTAGATGGTAGCAAGATCGTTATTGCATCTGCCAAATAAAAAGAAAGGCTGCTGATATCTGGAATTCCCCTCATTGTTGCAATAAAATGATGCTGTTGCTGTTGCTGTTATTTATAATAATAATGGATTCAAGTGGCAAGTAGAGTAAAAGATAGTGTAATCTTGTATATATAGAAAATAAACAAATAATTTGTAAAAAAAGCAGCTAAATAAATGTTTTCCATCTCCTACCACTTACATGAACAAATGACTTGGCACACAGTAAAGCAAGTAAAGAAAAAATTTACACAAAAATGTAAAGAAAATATAATAAGAATATGTATTATTTGTCGCTCAGTAAAGTCTCACTTTCAACACAAAGCAATAAACAAAACAAAACGCTCTATGTTATTTTGTATTAACAAGAATAATTTTAGTTGGTACAGGGGCGCGCACCCAGAGGAAGAAATGCAGTGGTGCCCTTGAGACTGCCGGCAGCTAAAGACCCATAGGCACATGCTGGTCTGCAAGCGCGGGTCCACGGTCCTTCCACCATTGATGCTGGAGCTCAAAAGAGATAGGGTTACAACTTGCAGAGGGTTATGTGTGCCCATACATTTACATTAGCACTGTCTATTCTGCTCTTGGAGGAGCGGGCGCTGGACATCAAGGAGGCCATGTTCAAGGGCATTAAGTTTTGCCACATTGACCAGTTTAGATACAAGGAGTTCACAGGACTAGCGACAATCGAGACCAGCACCCAGAGACAGATCGCAGAAAGAATCGGGTTTATATACAACTGCTGGAAGAAGAAAATGGCCAGCAGATCCTCTAGGAAGAATAGTCAGGGATTACGCCCAAGAAGAGGTGGCAGCGGATGCAACAGCCACAGACAACAGATTGCAGCAGAGATGCGAGTACAGCAACCATGCCCCACATAGCATGACAGTGGATAGATGACCACCTAGAATTCGGACTGGTGGCACATTCCACCATGGCTCTGGAGCTAAGGAATATTACCAGTGGTTGCCTTCAATCTCGCCCACCTCTGGTGATTTAACCTTACTGTTAGGGGCAGGGCAAGCAGACGGGAAAGAAGCAGCCACAATGCAACACTGGACCCATCATTTGCATTGCCGGGCGAGATATTTTCATAAATCATCCAGTCTGAGAGAGAAATAGATCTATTGAGCGTGATGCAAAATAAATGAAAACAAAAACTAAAGTTAACGATTTAGACTGATTTTCTACTGTGTCACCTTACCCAAGATGGGCCCTATTGCAAAACCTGACTACATGCCCCTATAACAAAGTTCTCCAGACCTGGGTCTAATTGCCTGGTGGTGGAAGTTTCTGCCGAGATTTTAATAAAGCTAAATCCGAGCACTCTATCTGCCAGTTGTAGAATCAGGTATGGCCAGATAGTTGCTGTGCACACCTGCTGTTCTCATTGCTATCGTCTGCGGCCACATTTACAGGCCGTCGTCTTTGTCTTGTCGCAGATTTGGTATTTAAATGTTTGTTGAAATTGGAGTTTTCATCAACAATCGGCGTTTTTCAGGCACCAAGGGTCTCTTCATCTCCCATTCAATCTGTAGGTTATATTACCCCTTGTACCAGTCGTGCTGTTTGTATATAATCTTATTTACAAACACTGTTGCTTGTTTTTGCACACTTCCTTTGGAGGTTCTTGACCAGCCTTGTGCACCTGTCTTCGGTCAACTCCTGCCAACTGCGTCTCATATTTAGGTTTTAGATTCTTTGTCCTGGTAATGGGCACCCACATACTTCTTGGGTTTCTCCAATATTTTATCCATCAGTGCTGGATACATTTGGAGTCGGAGCTTATATCTAAAATATCAGGTGATTAAACTCGACCCATATAATAATAGATGGCATTGTGATATTAATAAATAAATAAAATAATTTCCGCAATCTTTATTTTAATTACATAGCGTTTCTCCAGCCTTTACCAAAACCAAAAACCAAAATTTAATTTTTTCCTTGTTATTTTATTTACTTTTCAACATGTCTTGCCGCATAAAAGTGACGAATATTTCCAAACACGTGGACAAGGAAATCCTGTCCAAGCTCTTTTCCTTCCTCGGACAAGTGGTCACGCTCACCATCCGACCGAGTGTAATCAACCCTGAAGTGCAAGAGGCGTCGGTGGATTTCCATGACGCAGCCAGCGCCAAAGCCGCTCTCTTCCTTTCCGGAACTGAGCTAGCCGACCGTGCGCTCATAGTGGCATCCGAGGACCCACCAATGATTACTGCCCCCATAACGTTTGCACATCCGCCGGTGCAGCACCCAATACACCCTGTTATTCTCTCAACACATGCGGCTGGGACAGCGCACGCGATGCCGTTGGCTAATCCCGCGGTGGTAGCGCAGATGGCCGGCCGGCCGCGCAACCTGAATGCGATTCCGCCCTTGGTCCAAGCACTCATTCACCCGTCCATCCTGCAGTTTGACCCGCTCAAGGCCGAGGAGATTTCGCGCACAGTTTATGTCGGTAACATTGCCGCCGGCGTCAATGAACAGCAACTGATGGATTTCTTCTCCGCATGTGGTCCTGTGGCTTACGTTAAAATGGCCGGCGACGGCATGCAGCCGACGCGCTTTGCTTTTGTGGAGTTTTCTGAAATGGCTACGGCGCAGGCAGCACTGCAGATGAACGGGATGATGATGGCTGATCGGCCGTTGAAGGTTAATCATTCGAAGAATGCCATTAATAAGCCACAGAGGTCGCTGGGTGCCGGGCTGCCTGGGGTGCCTACGTTGGCGGCTACTGCGTCGCTGCCGAGCTCGGTTGACCCAGCGGCTATGCTGGCTGGCTCTGCTCCCTCGTCTGCTAGCGGTGGTGGCTTGGCATGGCCGGTGCTGGGCACGACTAACCCGGTGGCGGCTGACCCGGTAGGTGACCGCATTCGTGAGCTGCAGAGGCGCATGGAGGAGAAGTACGCGGACCGCATAGGGCTGGAGAGCAAGCATAGGTCACCGAGCCGCGAGTCGCGCGGTACCAGGCGGCTGCGGTCGCCGTCGCCGTCGCAGGACAGGAGCCGCAGCCGCAGCCGCAGTCGCCGGCGAAGCAGCCGAAGGGACCCCTCAGAGGACCGCTATGGACGGAGCCGCCGCCGCGACGACGACTATAGGCGGTCCAGACGTGACGACGCGTATGGCCGCCGCAGTACTGCGCGCGACTACCGGTCAAGAACCCCTGAGCGCCAGCACCGCAGCAGCCGCAGATAAAACTTGACCCAGTATGGCAGGGGGGATGCTTTTTTTCTTTTTTCTTCTTTAGTGTCGAATTTCTTTACAGAAAACAAAGTAAAAAATCAACAATTATTTTTTTACAGCTTACTTGGGTGTCTATTTTTAAAATAAAAAAGATAAAAAAACGCTTCCTTTTCTCTAAAGTTTTGAATACTCTTTTATATTCATTGTTGCATTTTCAAATTTAAATAATTTTCACATTCAAATGACTTTAATACCCATCTTGGCCGCCTGCGCCAACGTCGCCATGTCCGCCAGCCAGTTATCTGTCATCACAGCGCTTCGGCGAGCACAGAACACAAAAACCACTGTTCCAATGCTCCAGTTCACGCTGTCGTTCCTCAGGTACACAACTAAAACTAAAGTAAAAAAAATACAATTTCAAAAGGTATATTTTTTTCAACATTTTAATAATAAAAAACCAATTTGCTTTTATTTTATTTTATTGTAGCTCGGTACTTTGGCTCAAATATGGTCTTATCCATCAAGACCATACAATCGCCAGCGTAAACTTTATCGGAATGTTCATCTCCATATACATCCTCTGGTGTTTCTGGTGCCTATCCATAATACGCACCCACGTGGAGAACTGCTTTCTCTTTACAACACTGACCGGCGTCCTGACCGTTGGTTACATTGACCATTCGGAGAGCCCCGTGGCACTGGAGGTATTCAGTACTGTCTGCTGCCTAATGCCCTTGGCTGTGTTGGCTTCGCCACTTAGCCAGGTTGGTAATGTTATTAGGCTGAGGGACGCCTCTGTGCTGCTGCCTTCCTTGGCTATACTGGCGTTTTTTAACAACGTTTTGTGGGCTACTTACGGGTATTTGCACAATAATCCGTTTATGCTGGTGCCGAATATTATTGGCGCTGCGTTTTGCACCTTGCAGCTAGCACTGATTGCCTATTATGGAAGGGCTGCGGCGCAGATGCCTGCCGCCGCCGCCGCCACTGCAATCACTAGTGGCGTTGCCATGACCGAGATAGTTCCAAGACCAGTTCAGGATTAAGGGAAATAAAAATAAACAATTCCATATCATTTTTATTTTTTACTGGCTATCATTTCAAAAATGTATTAAAATTTTTATTTTTTCACTGGCTGGGTTCCTTGATGACATGCAGGTACGCGGCAATAGTGCAGGCACCGTCCTCAATATACGGCCTGACGCCCGGCACCTGCGCTGTTCTCAGATCAGCCAGCTTCATAAACCGCGTGAACCCCCAATTCGGGTTATTCTTGTGGAAGCAATGATACGCCGCCCCGTGGGTATTATGCTCAGGCTCCTCGGGATTCGCCACAGCAAGGACAAAGCGGCACGTGCACCGCCAATCCTCGCTCGAATCCACCGCACCCAAGCACTCCAAAAACAGAGACAAAACGCCCTTATGCGAACTGCCAAAGGGTCGCAGGAGGATTCGCCACATGTGTCCGCCGCATCGGAACATTTCACTGGTCGCGCGGCGCTCCAACTTATCCCAGTTTTCAATCTTCCAGAAAAACGCCTTGCTTTCAAAAACTATGTCTTCCATGTGCGCGTTGGCAAAGCCTTCGGCATCGTAGATGCTGATTTCGCCTGTGCTCTGCAATGATGTGGTTTCGAGCTTACTGGCGGACGCTGTGGCGGTGGCCTGTGGCGGTGGCGTTGGTCCAACTGGGGCCGCACTGCTAACGGGCGTGGCTGGCTGCGTCGGCTGCTCTTGCTGCTGCTGTTTGGCTGCTGGTGGCCTGACAGCCACCGGAACCTGTGTCACCACTGGCTGAGCCTGCACCTGCGGCTGCTGGCTGATATGCAGCTGCTGGAGCATCTGCTGCACCTGCGCCTGCCCAAAAGTAGGAAACTTAATCTCAATATACTGCCCATCACGATCCAACCCAAATCCGCCCATCGGCACCCCAGCCTCATTAACTATCGGCGTCCGAGTCCGGGTCAAATCCACCTCCCCACGTTCACTTGCCGCTGCCTGCGAAACCGCCACATTGCCAGAAGCTGTTAAGCCGGCAGAAGAGGCTGGCATAGGCGTAGGTGCAGCCAAAGACACTGCGCTTGCATTGGGCATTTGCATAGCTGCCATACCGTATGCCGACGGAAAATACATAGCCTGGTGCTGGTGCTGGTGAGGGTGGTGATGCTGTGTGTGTTGGGCATAAAATGCCGGCTGTCCAAATGCCCCAACCCCGGCCATCTGTGGTGGCCCCTGTGGCCCTGGTCCTGGCGGTGGCGACATGGTCATATAAGGGTTATATGCCATCATACCCATTGATGTCGGGTACATTGGCTGCGGCTGCGGCTGATGCTGGGCTGTCTGATACCCTGGTATTCCTGTCTGCATTGGTGCGGTTGGCGGCGGACTGAGGTAGAATCGGTAAACGGGCTCTGGATTACTCGATAGCATTTCGGTGCCGCTGACATTGTTGGAACTATCGTTAGGGGGGTGTGCGTCCATTGGTGTTTCTGTTCCTGCCAATGACATGATGCAATACAAATGAAAAATAATGAAAAAAGGTTTGAGCTTTTTTTGTTTTTTGTTTGTTTTTTATTTGGGTGTTTATGCTTGATGAAAAAAGATTAAAAAATGCAATGATGAGGGAGGAAAGGAACTAAATAAAAAAAACAAAAGAAAGGAGTGAAAAGAGATTGAAGAAGGGAAGAGGGAGAGGTAAAAAAAAAGTTAGGCGGATGTACTAAAATGAATAAATGAATAGAATTTGTGACGCAGGTTGTATCGGTTCTCCCTTTCGGGAAGAGGAAGGGGAGGAGGATTTGGGTTCTTTTTTTTCTTTTTGAAGTACCCAAGAACGGAAAGAAAGAAATTAAATCCTGTTTTTTATTTCGTTCAATATATAGATTGGGGCTTCCAAGCCTTTCTTTTTTCTTTGGTCGTTCAAAAGTGTCTATATCAAACCCACATTTTTTCCTTCTCCGACTGCACACTCTACATACAATCCGACACAAAACAACATTAAAAAAGGTTGGGATTTCTTCATTTACAAAATTTTCATTTTTTCAACGACAGTACATTTTTTACAGTTGTAGTGTCATGCACTTTTATTTTGCTCATATCACCAGCAAAAATTTTAAAAAAAGTTCGAGTTAACCAACCTGGGTGACATTTTTTTAGCATTCACGTGCGTGCGGTTATTGACACAATCCCAAAAAACAATTCACTTAATTTTTTGGACGAACAATGAAGCGTGTGATAATAATCGTTGTTCTTGTTTCGCCATTTCTGGAAAACCAAAAAACGTTTGTGTTTGGTGTGTGTGTGTTTTTTATTGTTGTTGTTTTTCATTTCCTGAGTATTGATTGCGTTATCAAGCAACGCAAGACAAACGACACAAAAACAATGCGAAAAAGGGGAAAGAGCTATGTTTTATTGATCTCTGAATCTACTGCTTAATTTTTTAAAGAAAAAATAAAAACTACACCCCTCCCCCAAACCGCCAATTGTTAAGCTCTTTTGTTTTAGTTCTCGGCTATGGCACTTGGTAAACAAAATACAACTACTGTTTTCTGGAGCCGAACAGCTTCTACCGCCAGGCAGTTATACCCACGTCTGAAAAGCTCTCGACCACACTGCCCCTAAAATAGTTTATGATAGGAGCATGTATCCAGGTCTGCAATTGATCTGTGGCGGGCAAGGTGGCGCGATGGACATTAAATTCTATTCAACTTTAGTCTGTTTTTGTACTTTTTTATATTTTGCCTAACGGAACCATTGTATCTTGGCATTACCATATGTTAAATAATTTATAGATGTGATTTTTGCTATAATGGTTTTGTTGGCAAATACGGAGCTGTTTATCTTCATCTGAAAAGTATTACATTTAAGTGACCTAGTGCATTTATTTTGCGAATATTCTCTTATTATAGCATTTAAGTAATAAAAACTGACATTTACAAGGTATATATAGTGGCAGCGCTTTTCCTAGGTACTTGATTGTTGTTGAAATTCTGTTTTGGGGAAGCAAATAAAGCGTGACAAAATAGCTTGTTTTTTGGATCGACCATTTAAAATGAATTTATGTTGCAAAACATTTATGATCACTTATTTTTTTCCGTAACAACGCTTGCCACCATCCATCTGCCCATTAATATATAAAATATCTTCATCTCTCTTCTCTTCTTTCTCTTTTTGTTGCCAACTATTTTTTTATTACCAAAATGGCTAAATTCCATTTGCTCGACGACATTGTCTTGATGATCCTGAATTATGTAGTCGCCACGCAGCACCTGCGACGCGAATTCGCAGCACTGGCAGGCGTGTGCCAGCAGTGGAGAAGGCTGGCACTGCCGATTATTTGCTCGAGCGCATCAATTCGCTATATTTTTGTTCCGAATCAGAAACTCAACGAGTTGAGTTGGGATCTAGTCGTAGAATCAGATATCCCTGGAATCATGTTGCTTGGCAGTCAGAGCCATGTCAGGTCTGTATTTTTTGAAGTCAATACTCGCGAAAGCCCTTTGAAATTGCTGAAAGCCATTGTTAGCGAGCTGCAGCATACCGGTGTTGAGTGGACAGGGTTAAAGCCCTGCGCTTCAGTTTTTACGGATTGCCAATAGACTCTCGCGGCTATGTACCCGATAATTTTGACGGAGATGAGAGCGACAGCGTTTTGAAGCTTGCTGCAGATTTGGCCGGCAGGTTCCCAAATGTACTCCAACTCAATATCGAACCTCCCAATTATAATGTTGCAGGTGGTGCATTTGTCAGACACCTTGTCGATCAGTTTGCAGCAACTGTGACAAGCCTCAACCATAATCTTTTCTATCCGATTTCTGTGCCTGCGTTTTCAGACACACTCGCCCATCTTTCTCTTAACATGAGCCCCACAACCGTGGAAAGTCTGCCAAGGGTAAACGCCGATGCGCTCAAAACTCTGAATTTGCGCGATTATCCTTCTGACTATTCATGGACCAGTTTTGCCAGCAGCCAAACCTCTGGCAGCATCAATTTTGCCCAACTGAAAAAGCTGAGTATTGGCTTTCTTGTTAATTCTCAGCATGCGAGGACGGACGCTGGGGGTTCCGAGCTCTGCCATAGTTTCCAGATCAGCTTTCCTGCTCTTGAGTACCTGCGTCTTGATAATTGGAATTCCGATATTAAGGAAATCAGCACTGCTCTGTTTCCCGCGTACATTCCCAATATTCACGTTTTGGGATCAACTCAAGCGATCAAGTCGTTTTTCTGGCATAAATTCAGCGGATTTGGAAACTTCAAGATTGGTATAAGATGTTGCGATGCGACGGACGTGGATACTTTCTACGAGATGACCAACATATTTTTCAACCGCCTGCGCATTGATGGTCAAGCAGCGTTGGATCTTATTTTCGATTCTCCAAAACTTGACGCAGACAGGATCAACTGGACCAATCTTACTTTCTTGACCATTACAGGTGATATTGAGATTGAGACGATTTCAGCGCTCCTTCCACGCCTACCCTCACTGGCTAACCTGGAGGCTTATAATTTAGTATACAGCGAGGACACATATGATTCCGTCTCTTTTAACCAGTTCACGCTCCCCGATCTCGCCAGTTTGTCCACTGCGGAGCCACTATCCACTTCGGTGAAAAGTATTATAATTACGTGCCATGTCTATTATCAAGACTATAAAAGGTCAAAGGACTTATTCTTGGAACTCGTTTTGCGCGTGCCTTCCCTGACCTTTTTATTTGTAGAGCCCGACTTTGGTGAATGCTTTGGGCTTTTAAAGGAAGAATACGGCGCCGAGTATCCCCATTTGTGTGAAATCATTTGTGTGACACCTTAGAGGATTACTGAGTTTTCATTTAGCAGCTTTGACGATTTATTTAATTAATTTTATACATTGTCTTGCATTTAAAATCACAAATAGTTGTGAATACAAAAGTGGGTTCTATGTTGTTAATGTAGCCCTGGAACTAGGTGAATGTTTTGCGATTGTAAAGAGTTGATTGTTACGTATAAATGCATATTTAATGAAAAGTACTATTGACCATATAAATACCAGATAGAAAAATTAAACTGCAATTGGGTGTCTTGCCAAAATACACAATTACTTTGTCGTGTTCGCTGTGTCGCTAAAACTAAAAAGACTGGTTAATAAATATTAATGGTGTATAAACATGTAGGGGTTGTATATATTTATTGCTTTTTTATTTTTTCCTTTCATTTACATTTCACATCCGTATTTTGTACAGTCTCCAAAATAACATGATTTGCCTCTAATTTATCACCACTTACCTTTTGGACAAATCAGAAGAGGCCTCGTCATGAAGTTTTCCGACCTTTGTAACCAATATTTATTCATTGTTTTTTACGCAGTCACCTGCCTCATATTTTTTACTCATCTTCCATTTCACCTTGCGTTTTTTTGTAATACTTTTTTTTTCTCTCCGCTTGCTTTATTATTATTATTATTATTATTATTATCAAAAAACTAAATACAAATGGACGCACACGATTTCTTTGACTGTTTCACGCGCACCTCCACTCTCAGCCGCGCAACACAACGAGAGCTACTCCTTGTCTACACGACGCTCATCACGACGCTTCTCAGCGGTATCTCCGGTATCTATTCTGCATACCGCCTAAATATTTACGAAGCCTTCCCACTGCTTATTCCAATTACCTTACTCCTCCTTACCTTTGCCATGTGCCTGGTGCCGGCGACCAAGCAGAATGTCGGCAAGCGACAGACCATGCTTCTTTGCTTGGGTTGGGTCACCGGTGTATTCATAATGCCATTCATCAGTAGAATGGAGTACCGCACCGGGAGCATGGATGTTGTCGTGGGTGCGGCAGGCCTAAGTGTTTTGATGTTTGTGGCGTTTGCATTGGCCACAGTGTGTTTTGAGCGCAGCCAAGTGGTGTATACTATGGGAGCGGTGTGGACGGCGCTGGGGTCGCTTGCGTGGGTCGGATTTGCTGGGTGGATGTGGGGGTCGTATGGGTATTTCTTGGACTTACATTTGTTGGTCGGCTTAGCCACCGCGTGTGCTTATGTGGTCAAGCATACGAATGACTTGGTGGATTTGGCGCAGGGAGGACAGTGGCTGGATCCTGTGAGCCATGCTCTTGGGTTCTTCAATGACTTTGTCAGGATTTTTATGCACTTGGCTGTGATTCTTGCACGGAATAAGGAGAAAGGGACCCACAGGACAGGAAAAATAAGAAGAAAAGGCAGGCTCGGGCCCAGGCTCAAAAATGGGCTCAGCAGTGTTACTGATGCGCACAGGCAGGGTGATAAAGGGGTGCAAGTACTGGATTTTTTTCTTTTTTTTCCTTCCACATTTTTCACATTCCTTTCCCTTTTTTTCCTTTTTTTTATTTTTATTCTTCCCTTTCATAATAAATTCGGAATTTATCATTCATATTATCCTCTTTTTCATTTAATTTTTTCTTCTTGTTTTCAAATGGCAGATTACAGCAAAGCGTACACCTGCACTTCGCGCAATTCCTGCGTTCCCTGCGACACCTCGGAGCTCAACCTGGCATACTGCGCGAGCGGCAAAGGGTACAAACAGGAGGTAGCTTGCGAGTGGAACGGGGGAGTACCCAAGGAATACCAGGACACACACTCGTTGCCTGAGTACATTGCGTGTACAAGTTTGGTGGATGTAGACCGAACCAGGTTCTTCCACTACTTGATGATGTTTGTTGCCTTGGGTGTACTGGCATTTGCAATGTATGGGTGGCGGAGAAAGAGGGTTTTGGCGCAGTACTCTAATTTGTAAATTTCGAGTTTTTCTTTTTCTTTTCTTGTTTGATTATTGCAAAAACACATACATTTTTTAAAAAAGAGAAGAGAAATGAGAAAAAAAGAAAGTTGGAAAAAAAGAGAGAGAAAGAAAAAAGTAAAGAAAAAAATCCAAAAAGGGATTTAATAAGGTGACGGCGGAGACGGTGGTGGTGACGTGATTGAGGACCGGCCTTGGACCATATGCTGCTTGAGTTTACTTCCTCTAGGCGGGGTGCCGTGAAGGATGCTCTCCGAGTCAAACTCCTTGATCCCACCCATCGTGCGGCCAATCCCATCGAGCGCGCTGTTCTGGCTGCTGTCCTCTTCATCATCGTCGTCGTCCTCGTCATCGTCGTCGTCCGTCATCGTGCTGACTAGCTCTAATTTGTTGACGATCCGCGGATGCACTGCCTTTGCCGGCTTGCTGTTGGTGACGGCATCCGACGAGACGGCGGCCTCAGATGACTGTCTCCGCCGCTCGATGCCGCCCATAGGGGGTTTAGCGGCATTCGCAGCCATGGCGTGGTGGATTTGGTGCGGCTGGGGTGCACCATCCGTCCCAGCACCTCCTTGTCTTCTTCTTCCTCTTCTTCATCGTCGCCGCCGTGGCCGATCGCAGCCGATGGCTTGGTGGGCGCCTGGTTGTTAACACCCGAAGCAGCGGCGGCGGCAGCAGCAGCCGAGGCAGAGGCAGCAGCAGTAGCAGCCTCCTCGGAAGCTATCTCGATCTGCTCCTGCAGTTCCTGCTGCTTAATCATCATCTGCTGCTGCTCGAGCTCCTTCTTGGCCTGCGCAGCAATGGCCTCGTTCATAATGGCCTCGACCTGCTGGCGCCTCGACCAAAAGTTCGCCTCCACCCTGGCCATGCATGTCTGCAGGTTCTCGGTCAGTGGCTTGAGAATCTCAAACGAGCACAGCAGCTCCTCATTGACATTCATGACAGCGCCCGAATTATCAAACTCGCCGCAGTAGTTTGGCGCCGAAAACACGGTTACCAGCTGGCGGCCGTGGAAGAACTCGTACCCGTCCTCGACGACCATGTGGGCGCGGCAGATGAGATCAAAGTCCATGCGGCGCAGGAAATCCGTGATGATGGCTTTGCCGAAGCAATACGAGACGCCGCGCTCGTTCTCCTCCCAGTCGGACGCGCTCTCAGACGGGTCGGACCACAGCAGTCGTTGAGAATGCCGTGGTCCGGCACATCGCACGGGCGGCTGAGCTGCTGCACCTGGTCCATGCTGATCAGATCCGGCGACAGCCCCCCGTGCACGCAGAAGATCTTTCCGGCGACCACAGCGGCCACCGGCAGCGAGTTGAAGGTGTTCATGAAGGCCTTCCAGATTTTGACATTGCACCGGCGCTTGCACTCATCGTAGAAGCCGTAGACGCGCGTGACGTTGGCGCACTCGTGGTTGCCGCGCAGCAAAAAGAAGTTGTCGGGGAACTTGATCTTGAAGCACATCAGCAGCAGGATGGTCTCGAGCGACTGCTTGCCGCGATCGACGTAGTCGCCGAGAAACAGGTAGTTGCAGTGAGGCGGGTATCCGCATTTGTCGAACATGCGCAGCAGGTCGGTGTACTGGCCGTGGATGTCGCCGGTGATCTTGACTGGCGCCGCCAGCTGCAGCAGCGTTGGCTGCGCGAGAAACACCTCGCGTGCGGCGTGGCAGACGGCGACGATCTCCGAATTGCGCAGGCAGACGTTCTTGGTGACCTTGCCGCTAAAGCCAGCGTCAAGCAGCCGGAAGATCATGTCGTCGACGCTGAACTGCTTTGGCTTCTCTGCGTGCTTGATGATGGCGAACTCGGCGCCGTTCGCCGTCGACACATACTCGGTCAGCGCCACGCTCTGGTCCTCGCGCAGAGGCGGCAGCCGCTCGCCCGCGTTGGCTGCGCCGCCCGTCAAGATAGACACGCCAGGGAGGTCACAGTACGACCGCGGCGTGCCGCCGGTGGTCGACGAGCGCGCAGACTCGTCGGTTTCAAGTGCTGACGACCGCTTCTTGCGACCCCGCATGCGCCCGCCGAGCGACATGCGCGAGTCGCGCGTGTTGGTGACCTGCAGCGGAAAGTAGTCGTTGCGGCTGGTGGCCACCGAGCTGGGTGTGTAGGGCGTGGATGGCTGACTGGAGCCATTGGTACCTGGAAGAGCGTTGAGTGTACCGAGGAGCCCGTTGAGCGGCGTGTTGCTGGTAATATTGCTGTTTGTGCTGCTGGTGGCCGACTGTTGTTTGGCCATGGTTAGTGGTGACGTGGGCATGCGGCCCTCGAGACTTGGACGCTGCACCCTATCCTTGCTTAGCCGCGGCTGCTGCTGATTTTGTTGTTGTAATGACTGCTGCTGTGGTTGTTGTTGCTGTTGCTGCTGTTGAGAGTCTATGGAGGCTATTTCCGACTCTGCATTGTCGGGGAAGTCGGTGGATAGTCTAATTGACCTGCGCGTCTTGTTGGGCTTTGAGGGTGTGTTTCCCATCGTGAGTAAATGTGCAAGGGGAAAGGAGGAAAAAGGGGGGGGGAGAAGCGAAAAGTGAAAAAAGAGAGGAAATGGAAATACTAAATAAAGATTATGAAAGGAAAAGAAAGAATTAAAAATAAAAACCTATTTTTTTGACAATGACAACAACAGCAGTAAAAAGGGAAAAGGAAAACTAATAATAATGAATAAAATAAAAAGAAACAGACACAAAAAAAGAGAGAGATTGCGTGTATGCGTGTGAGAAAGTGTAAATGTGAGTAAATGTGTGGAATTAAATGTATGAGTTTGAGTGCTAGAAAAAAAATAAAAAATAGTGAAAAAACAAGCATACGTTTACAAGTTTGGGAAGAAAAAAAGAAAAGAAAAAATATTGGGATGAGGGCATATAGACGATTGTTTTGGAGGTTTTTTTTCTTTCATTTTTTTTTCGTCTTTCATAAGACACTTTATTTTTTATTTTTCCCATTTTTATTTTACTTCCTGTGAATAAATTTTTTTTAAATGTAAATTGTTTGTTTGGGTGGGGTTTTCCATTTTTTTATTCCCCTCTCTCAATGCCTTTATACACAGATGTTAGATAATAGGATAGAAAAGTAACACGAGGATGATGGAATAATTGGTGCTCTTTTTTCTCAATTTCTAAAAAGAAAAAATTACAAGGTTGCTTGTAGATGGTGGGCTGTCAAGCAAACAGTGAATGTATTTTTCACTATTGTGTCGATCCACCTTATGAAATTATTATTTTTTTTAGCTCGGAGACGAACTAATGAAAAGAGATTGGATCGAGCAAAGTATTTATTCTTCAACATTTACTAAAATATGAAATATTGAACTTGCTTATATATACCTCGATATTTTTTTACATATGAAGATATGAAAGAGCACGAGATCATATAAGGCAGTGCAGAAAAGTAGTATATTTTGTATTATTTCGAACGCGTAAGAACATGTCCCAACATATGATTTTTTTTGTTGTCGGGTTTTTTTTTTGCAGACCACCCCCAATATAAATATCAGAAGAAAATAAACAGGATTAAAAAATAAAAACATCTGTGTTACAAGTCATTATCACCTACCTGCTTTGCTCGCTGATTGCTCAGATAGCTAATCGAGAATAAGTGAGGGGTTAACACCACTGGAATATGGAAATATATATATGGGAAATAAAGAATTGGCTATCTCAATCCTGCGCTGCTTGGGCTCTTGCTCGTCTTTTGCCACTGATTGCGTGAACCGAGCAGCAATCCTCGGTCCCTCGTTGAAGCAGTTGGAGATGATGCGCATGTTTAGGCCTGCTGCAATGACTCTGTTCCAAAAGCTCCATCTGATTCCAGGCGCTGTTTCTTTAAGCGAGGAAGCTGCATCATCTAAAAGAAAGCAGCATTAATAGACATTGATTTGCGTGCATAATCAGGCAGAGAGGAGGGTACAGAAGGAGGAACGAAGAAACGAAGAAAGTGATCCCCCACCTGGTTAATAAATATAATAGAAAGATAAAATCAAATAACACTCATATGTATGAAAAAATAAATAATCCCATGTATTTTATTTTTTTAATTTTTTTGATTATATTTTAATCAACGCCGCCACGACGAAGCGGGAGCGGAAGCAGCAGCATCATCACCACCTTCACGCTTGAAGAAGCTGCCGCCAGTATTGTTGTTGCGGCGATCGGTCGTTGTGCGTGGTGGTCTGGCGGCGTCGCCAGAGCCAGCACTGCTTCTGGGCTCTCTAGTCCGTGGCGAATCATTGGCGGCTCTGTTGGTGCGACGCACTGGGGCCGAGGGTTTCTCAACCTGGCTCCACCCCTCCTCCTCCTCAGCCTTGGGCTCGCAGCCTTAACAGCCTCGGGGGTCTTCTCCTCAGCAACAGCATCAGCAGCAGCAGGGGCAGCAGCAGCAGCAGAAGCGGCAGCCTCGGGCTTGGTCGGCTCCGGCGACCGTGCAACTCGCCACGACGACTCCGCCACAGGCTCGCGTGGCTCACGCGGCTTCCGCTGAACACGCGGCTCGCGGCTCTCCGACCGCTCACGTGCCGGCTGGTAATCACGCGGCATCGTCGGCTTATCCTTCCTCCAATCACCAGCCTCCTCACCCTGCACAGCAGCAGCATCGGCACCATCATCGGCAGCAGCAGGCAGTAGCTCCGGCGGGGAATCTCTCCTGACCCTGCCAGTCCGGGTCGCGCTGGGCGAGCGATCATTGCCAAAGACCGTGCGGATATCTGCGGGCTCCGGGCGGTTCACACGCCAGTCGCCGGCATCGGCCGCCGACGGCTCGCGGCTCGCGCGGCTCCGTCCTCTGAATTCGCGGCGCTCGCGTACCTGCGGCGGCGGCGCAGCGGCGTACGCGGTGGCGGAGGGCTCCGGACGGTTCACGCGCCAGTCGCCAGCATCGGCCGCCGAGGCCTCAGCCGGTTCGCGCGGCTCACGCGGCTCTCTGAATTCGCGGCGCTCGCGTACCTGCAGCGGCGGCGCAGCAGCGTACGTGGTGGCGGAGGGCTCCGGGCGGTTCGAGCGCCAGTCACCCGAGTCGGCAGCAGACGACGCCGCAGCAAAGTCTCTCTGCGGCCGGCCAAAGCCCGAGCTGCTGCGGGAGGCAAACGGGCTGGTGGCAGTGTCCTCGCCGGCAGGCCTTCTCCAGGGGCCGGTGGGGGCGGACTCACGTGCATTGTCCTGGCGCTGCTCCGACACGTTGATGCGCACCGGGCGGCCGCCCAGGTCACGGCCATCCATGCCGACGGCGACCTTGAGCGACTCGAGGTCGGCGAACTGCACGTAGCCGTAGCCCTTGGGCTTGTCGTTCTCGCGGTCGCGGATCAGCCGCACGGAGTCGACCGGAAGGCCGGCAAAGAAGTCGCGCAGGGTTGCCTCGTCGGCGTTGAACGACAGGTTGCCGACAAACGATGTGTACGGAGGCGAGGTGGGGAAGTCGACGGCAGCGCGGCCCGACTGGATGCCGCTGCTGCCGCCGTAGTCGCGGCGCGCATAGCTCGAGGAGTCTGCTGCTGACGTGCCGGCCGACGCCATGGGCGCCGAGGGCAGGTAGATCTCGTCGTCCGCCCAGGACGTCGTCGAGGGGCCCTCGCCGAGGAAGTCAACGAGGCTCATTTTCTGGCCCTTGTTTCCGCCCTTCTTTTTGGCTACACAAAACGAATAAACATATTTATTTAGCAAGAATAGATAAACGTGCCTTCCAATTCATGCAAAAAAACAAGGGCCACGGGTACAGCCCCCTAATTCACCGAAGATAAGTCGTACGCACCAACCATGGTATAAAGTCCTGCTGCTGTTGTTTGTCTTTTTCTTTTGTGTGGTGTGCTTTGCTCGCTATGCTGCCGGCAAAGTGTATGCTCGAAAAATAATAAAAAAGAAAGGTATTCGTAAGAAATGATTTCTTTTGTCTTAAAATAATAGAGCAGCCCAAAAATATAAAGATTTGAATTAATATTAACACAAAAATGAAAAGTAACAAGAAAACCAAACCTTGAAGCCACCGCTACTTATTCAACCATAAAGTCACGTCTTTTCGGTGTTTTTTTACGCATAGCGAAAATACTTGAGCCTTTTTTTCCTTTGGCTCTCCTTTGCTCTAAGGCAACAGAAGAGCAAAAGGAGAGCGAAAAGAGAAGAAAAAAAAGCTCTGCTGATTTTGCCTGCTCCTCGTGATCGATCATCGTCTTCTACTCTTCCAGCAATTGGGGGAGCGAAGCGTAATGCTGCGCTCATGTGATTTGGGCAATACCCTTTGTTTTCCTCCCCATACGTGTGACCACAGCCTATCTGCATCAAGCACTAAAGCAGCGCTGTTCGCTTTTTTGCGCTGCGCTTTCTAAAGGACAACGGCAGCCGCCCCCCCCCACATCCCCTTTTTTACATTCTAGTTAGCAGCAAGAAAAACCAATGCACTCGCTGTTTCGTCCTTGCATCGACCTGCACAACGGCCAGGTCAAGCAGATTGTCGGCGGGACGCTGCACGACACCAACGCATCCACGCTGCAGACAAACTTTGTCTCAGACCAGCCGGCCTCCTACTACGCACAGCTCTACCGGCAGCACGGCCTGCAAGGCGGCCACGTCATCATGCTGGGGCCAGGAAACATCCCGGCAGCGTCCGAGGCACTGGCCGCATGGCCGGCGCGCTGCAGGTGGGCGGCGGCATAACGCTCGAGAACGCGCGCGAGTGGATCGACCGCGGCGCGTCCAAAGTGATTGTCACCAGCTGGCTGTTCCCCGACGGGCGGTTCAGCGAGGAGCGGCTCCGCCAGCTCGCAAGCGAAGTCGGTAGGGAGCGGCTCGTGGTGGATCTGAGCTGCCGCCGGGTGGGCGACGGCTGGGTGGTGGCGATGGATCGGTGGCAGACGCTGACGGACATGCGTGTGGATGCTGCAGCGTTGCTGAGCCTGGCAGCGTTCTGCTCGGAGTTTCTGGTGCATGCGGCCGACGTCGAGGGGCTGTGCGGCGGCATTGACGTGGAGCTTGTGAGGTGTCTAGGGGAGTGGTCGCCCGTGCCGGTGACGTATGCGGGCGGCGCCGCGAGCATTGGCGACTTGGGCCTGGTCAGCCGCGTCTCGCAAGCCCGCGTGGATCTGACGATTGGCAGCGCACTGGACATCTTCGGCGGCGATAAGATTAGATTTGATCAGTGCGTGGCGTGGAACAAGACCGGGCGTCTTGACTGATGAGCCGGGCGGTGGCTAAAGCAACTGCAGGTGGCTCGACTCGCTCTGGGAGGGGAGAATGCCGCCCGCAGGGAGAGGGGCCAGCCAGTGCCTGCTTGTTACTATGCTTTTTCTTTTCTTTTTCTACTCGCTTGGCTTGTGATAAAAAATCCTTGATAATATGTATGTGCTGTTTTTGCTACTTGCATTTTCAGGCGGGCCGCCAGATGTGATGGATGCTGACGGTCCGCGCCATTCGGGCTCCCCGTCCCCCCATTCCAGCTGAGAGAGAAATGCATTGCATTTTCTTCGCCAAGTCGTGATTTTTCCATTTGGCTGGCATTAATTGAACATTGTGATTTTTCTCCGCTCGGCCCGTCAACCTCATCTCTCTTCTCTTTCTTCGAATTCGCTTCAATATTCCCTCTTCTTTTTCTTCTTCTTCTTGTCGCCCTATAACGTGTATTCCCCTCTCAAGCTCTTTTCTTTTTCCTTTTCTTTTCCGTCTGTCCTCTTTAAATGACGACGACAGAAATGGACGCTTCCGCTGCCCGCCGCCGACCCGAGGGCCACGGCACGAAGAACGCAGACAGCAGCACCAATTACAACAGCAAAGACGACGTTCAAATAGTTACTCACAACACTGCAGCATCGATCAGCGCAGCACCATGGTCATTCACACCGACTGATTTCCTGACCCTTCTCGGCATCACTCTCATGGCCATTCTCGTGCGGTGCTACAAGCTGTCTTCTCCGGGGGAAGTGGTCTTTGACGAAGTGCATTTCGGCAAGTTCGCAGGCAAATACCTCAACGGCACGTACTTTTACGATCTGCATCCGCCGCTGGCCAAAATGATGTTTGCAGCGGCAGGGAAACTGGCTGGGTACGACGGTGTGTTTGATTTCAAGTCGATTGGGCTGAACTACGCTGCCGCGGGCGTGCCCTACGTGGGCATGCGGCTTATGCCTGCGCTTTTGGGTGCGTTAACTGTGCCTGCCACCTATGTTACAGCGAGGGCGTGCGGGTATGCGGTGGATACGGGGGTGTTGGCTGCGCTCCTGGTGTGCTTTGAGAACGGGCTGGTGACGCAGTCGCGGCTGATTCTTTTGGACTCGCCGCTTGTTTTCTTTACGGTATTGACGCTGACTGCGTGGGCAGTGTTCTGGACCAAGCAGCGGGAGCCGTTCTCATGCACTTGGTGGTTCTGGCTCACGGCCACGGGCGCCATGATGGGCTGCGCCGCCAGCTGCAAGTGGGTCGGCCTGTTCCTTTTCCCGATCATCGGGCTTTCGACGGTTTCGGATCTCTGGGCCAAGATCGCCGACCGCTCCTTGTCGCCTGCCCGCTGGGCATGCCATTTCTTGGCGCGCGCCGTGGGTCTGCTCTTGTGCCCCTGGCCGTTACGTATTCTGGTTCCAGATTCACTTTGCGCTCCTGAACAAGACCGGCTCGGCCGCGGAATGATGACGCCTGAGTTCCAGACCACCTTGGCCGGCGGGCTCAACGTCTCGACCGATCGCGATGTGTTTTACGGCTCGGAGATCCGCCTGAGGACGACGAATGCGCGCAGCGGGTATTTGCACTCCCACGCGCACCTGTGGCAGCACAGCAAGGGCAGTGGCCAGCAGCAGGTGACGATCTACGGCCACGCTGATGCCAATAACCTGTGGGTGGTCGAGCCGTCGTTCAACCGGACCGTTGACGAGTCCAAAGGGCCTGTACCGGTGCGCGGCGGAGAGACGATCAGGCTGAAGCACAAGATCACCGGGAAGTACCTGCATTCGCACGATAAGCGGCCGGCGATGACCAGCTCAGACACAAAGTTCGAGCTCAGCGGATATGGGTTCAAGGACTTTGCCGGCGACTCGAACGACGACTTTACACTGGAGATTCTGGCCGGAGACAGCCGCCACCCGGGGTCCGAGGAGCAGCTCCAGGCCATCTACTCGCGCTTCAGGCTGATTCACCGCAACCTGCAGTGCGCCGTGTACAACTCGCGGAAGAAGCTGCCCAAATGGGCCTTTGAGCAGATCGAGGTCAACTGCATGCGCAACTGCATGCCGCGCATGTCCACATGGCACGTTGAGTTTGCCCAGCTTCCGGAGCTGGTTCTGGTGCTGGTGCTGCTGGCTGCTGCTGGTGCTGCTGCTACCGCAGACCAGGAGGACGTGCCCAAGGCCGCATATGTGCCGCTGGGGCTGTGGGGCAAAGTGCTCGAGTACAACCGGCTGATGGCCGACAGCAACGCGGGTCTGACTGGCGACCATCCGTTTGCCGCCCGCCCGCAGCATTGGGCGTGGCTGCGTCGCGGCACAGCGTACTGGGGCGGCCGCGGCTCGTTCATCTATCAGCTGGGCAACCCCCTCATCTGGTGGGGATCCCTGGCTCCGTTATTCTCTTCATGGCCGTGCGCGCCTCGCTCTTTGTCCTTGATAAGCGGCGGATCAGCCCTGGGTTGGGCGGCCAGCGCGCAAAGTACTTTGCATCCGCAGGGTTCTTCACCGTCGCGTGGATCTGCCATTACGCGCCGTTCTTCTTTATGGGCAGAGAGCTGTTCATTCACCATATGTTCCCGGCTCTGTGGATGAGCATCCTTGTTCTAGCTTTTACCTTGGACCTGTTCACTGCGCGCGTGCCGGCAGTGGTGAGGATGTCGGTGTATGTTGCTGTGGCGGCGGCAGTGCTGTATGCATTCCAGACGTTCAGCTATATTACGTATGCGAGGACCTGGACCAAGGACGCGTGCGTTAAGGCCAAGTGGCTCAGCACCTGGGACTTTGACTGCGAGCATGCCATTGGTGGTGTCAGATCCACTGAACCGCCACTGGCGCCAGTGGCGCCTGTCGACCGGGAGGTCAAGGCAGTTCCCGTCGACGCAATGAATGCTGACGATGATGTTGCTGCTGAGGCAGAGGCGGATGTTGATGTTGGTGATATTGATGCTATTGTTGAGCTTGTCGAGGAGGCTGCTGTTGATGTTGACGACGGTGTGGTGGCGCCTGAAATCGGAGAGCCATATGCTGTTGTTGTTGAGCCTGTCGAGCAGGAAACTGTCGAGTCGGTCTATGTTGAGCCCATGTATGAGAACCCGACTGTCATCAAACCCCCTGTGGCTTCGGTCGCTAAGGGTCCCGAGTCGGTGGTCGCTAATCTCGGCCAGCAGAATTCCAACCAGATGTCTACTGGATCTGAGAATCCTGGGGAGGGGCACGCGGAGCTGTAGGATTGCTACTGCTGTTTGTTTTTCCTATTACATTTATTGACTTTCTGAAATGTTATGAAGTTAAAGTTGATAAATGCATTTGCCATTGGCATTGTCATTGTCACTGCATTGGCATTGTCATTGTCATTATTATTGTTATTGTTATTGTTATTATTTTTTAAAAGTCGGACTATCGCTGATGCAAATATCTTGTTAAGGCGACCTCATGTATGTTATTTGATAATGCGTGTTTTGCAAAATGTCCTTTTCCATTGTTTTTTTGTGAAAGCTGATTGTTTATTTTTTATTTTTATTTGTCAACTTTCATGTAATTGATAATTTCAAGTTTGTTTGTTTTTGGCCGGAAAAAAAAAGTATAAAAAATATTTTTATTTATTTTACCTACAAAGAAAACTTTTTTCAAATTGATGCATGGATTTCAACTCAGATCCGCGTTTGATATATAAAAAAGTGGGGAGAAAATAAAACTCAATGTCGCAACCATCGTATTGGGGAGGGGAGGGGAGGGGGAGGGAGGGGAGGGGGGGAGGGGGGGAGCTCAGTCAATATAATTGAATTAGTAATCACAACTGTTGGACCCAAACCACTGAAAAAATATATATATATAATATACAAGAGGTGGGCAAAAAAAATTATAATACCATACCATACCATATTCTTTTTTTTCTTCAGTACTCATCAGTTTATTTATTTCTTCTCTTAGTTTTTCTTCCCCCCCCTTATACAACCACTAAATACAACAATGTCCACCCGCAACATCAACGTTGTCGTCGTCGGCGTCTCCGTTGCTGGGCTTAAAGTCGCCAAGGCCATCGCCGCGCTTTCCAAGCAAGGATTCCCTAACCTCAGCGTCACAGCAATCGACAAAAACGAATACTTCTACCACGCCATCGCCGCACCCCGCGCCACCGTCGACCTAGAATTCGGCAAGAAGCTGTTCTTCCCCCTCGCCGATATCCTCCAGGAATTCGAGCTTAACCCAGCAGAGCCCAAGCACAAGTTCATCCAAACTACCCTGACCTCCATCAACAATGCCCAAAAGACTATTCAGCTGAGTAATGGACAGACTGTGGCCTTTGATTATTTGGTTTTAGCCACTGGTGCGAAAAACAAGAGCCCGGCGCATTATGAAGGAGCGACTGTGACGGAGGCACATAGGAATATGGAGGAGACCTTTGGGAGCATTAAGAAGGCCAAGGATATTCTTATTATTGGTGGCGGCGCTGTCGGTATTGAGATTGCGGGAGAAATCGCCGCTGCATATAAGGACAAGAAAATCACCTTGGTGCACTCTGCCGAGCGCCTGCTGCCATTGAACTTTAAGCATGGAATTAGTAACGGTGCCGTGGATAAGCTGCAGAGGTTGGGCGTTGAGGTTGTGCTTAATGAGAAGATCAAGATCCCCGAGGACGTGCCCTTTAACTGCAGGGTGCGGCCTCTGACTTTGACCGGTACGTCCGGAAGGGAGTACGCTTCGGATCTGCAGATTCTGGCTACCGGAACTACCGTGCATACGGAGTACATGGAGTCACTGGAGGGCGAATTGGGCGAGCATTTGCGCAATGATTGGGGCGGAATTAAAGTGCGCAAGACCCTGCAGGCGAACTCGAAAAGCCTGCCTAATATATTTGTCCCCGGTGACTGTAATGCTTTGCCGGCTGGTTACAAGTTTGCCTACTTGGTTGGCGCCATGAGCACTGTGGTGGCTACTAACATTATTGCCATGATTAATGCTGGATTCGATGAGGATTCGACCAAGAAACCGACTTTGGTCGAGTACACTGGTGGCCCGATGAATATTATGTTTGTGCCTATTGGCCCCAACTTGGGCGTGGCTCAGATCATGGGTATTGCCTTTGGAAAGTCTTTCATGGGCAACGTTTTGGCTGGTTTCAAGTCCAAGGACTACTTTTACGCAAGATTGCTGCAGAGGTTACTGACGCAGTTAAATAATTATTATCATTTTATTTTTCAGTTATGTTATTCAAATATTTAAATATTATACCTTCTAAATCCAAATATAAATTACAACTCTAGCAATAAGATACAATATAAGGGGTTTTAACTTTGAACAGATTTTCTCGGAATATTGAATGGATCATTCAAATATTCCTCAACTGCGGCGAATTGACCGCAGTGGCTGGCAATGACGGTGGGATATCGAATGGATCACCTAGATCCACGCCCAAACGTTCGCCGCAACTCTCGCCTCAACCACTTGCTGCTGATGCTGCTGCTGCTGCTGGATTCGTCTAGGAAACACCGCCGACGGTGGTCTCACGCTTATCCTATTAGGTGCAAACATGCCTCCATGTTTTTTAATCGACACCATCCGCGAAACCCCACCACCCACTGCCCCACTGTTGTTCCTCGCATACCAGGCATCATTATCGTCCGATCATTCGCAAAGAACATATCATCCTGGGATTCAAATGATCTCTGCAGCTCACAAAGAGTATCAGACAAATCGTATTCATTCTGCAACCCATCTTCGCGCAACTTTACCGCCCATTTATCTAAATACCGCCGGCGATTGAAGAGACAGTTACCCAGCGGAACTCCCATTATTGCCCACCACACGAGTTCGTCCCTATATGGTCCATTGCTGTCGATAGGATGCGGAATTTTTGGCTAAACACGTACGTGGGCTTTGACAGGTGCAGGGCGGTGGAAAACGTGAGAATGACAAAAACCACAAAACAAGAGAATGCCATTTCGCGGCTTTCGTTGAATGAGCTTTTGATATTACGGATTTTCCAATTCACCAGAGCGACAAACATCCAGGTTACCCAGATGTACCCGTAAAGCGCAGCACGGAACGGCGTCGGACAGTAGCAAATATCCAATGATTGAATGTACTCTACAGTGACAGAAGGGCTGAGGACCTGTGCGATAATTCCGTAGACCAGTGTGCACACGCAGTATATAAAGAACGGCATATAGAGTCCCCAGCCACGGTATGGTCGGTTTTGTCTGAATACGCGGTAGAGTCCGTAGGATCTCAGAGCTATCAAGGAACTTACCGTGCATACGCCCAGGAGCACTCTGACCCAGATACCAATGCCTTTGCAGTTTGTCAAAATGGCGTTGCTGGCTAAATGTACGTGGCCGTTGATTTGTATATCTCCGATAAACCAGAATACGCAGGAAAGTTGGGCAAAGGCCATGAGAATAGGGGACTTAGATTTTATTGGCGGGTAGTGTCGGTTGTAGAGCATAAATATAACTGAGAGGAGGTTTAGACTGTAGATTACAGAGAGGGTGTGATTAGAATCAGGTCTTTGTGGCGATTGCGTCTAGGTGGTACCGAGGAGTGCAGCATTGCCAATGCGGTTCTGCTCAGTTTCTGTAAGTAAAATAACATAATGTGAGTTTATTTGCGTATTAATAAAAGTGTAAGATATTATAAGAAATGTGCAGACAAATTTTAAATATAAGATAGAGGAAGATTTGTTTAGTAACCATCTCTTGTTCAAAAAGCATAAGGTCTTGTTCAAAATTTTTATTTCCTATGAGCAAAAACAGGGGGCAGTGTTTTTATTGGGGAGGAAGAGAGGCAGCAAGACATCAACGCATTACCTCACATGTTCAACGCAATGATGAACAAAGGTGCGATTATCCGGCAACTAAAAAACAGGTAATAAAAATGCAGGTATATAATCCTTTTTTCAACGTCTCTACAAGCAGAGTAGAAAAAATCAATAAAAATATGTGCGTGTGGGAAATCCCAAATACAAAAAAAGTAAGAGATAGGGATAGAGATAGAGATAGAATACTGCGTATTCATAAATAATTGTTCAAGTATAGTGTGTGTGCCCAATAAAAAAACAATGAATCTACTCAGATACATAGCAAAATTTTTTCTTGTGTATACACATTAGTATTGTATTTTTTGTCGATATATGTATGGAGATGGACATGAAATAATGTATTTACATGAGAAAGCAATCCATGGACTGTATTAGGCCTAGCTCAATTAGTTATGTTTATTGTTTTTTGGAATAAAATGTCTCTGCGTTCAGCTAACCAAAAACGGTGAAAGGAAATCTGTATTTGCGCGCCATGCGTACATTTATTTTTATATAATTGTTGAACTATGCACCCAATGGATCCAATGCACCCAGTGCATGCACTGGAGTGCACGGCGTTTTTGACATGTAATTGTCTTTTTTTGTTTTTGTTTACTGGTGGACTAATGCGCAATGGTGTAAATATTTTTTGTTGAAGCGTTTGCTGATGGAATTCTGAATCCACAATAATGCGTGGTATATGCTGGTTCATTCTTTATTTAATCCAGCACAGAACAGACCAACCCCCCCCCCCCCCCCCAAAAAAAAAATCATTATATGACGTTTTCATTACATTTAATTGCAACTTCACTATAAGCCATTATATTGTCTTGCAATCATCCGGTGGTGAAAAGTCCTCAATGTGTCGCTGGCCGTCAAAGGCAGCGTTCGGACCCATTCCGCGCTTAGCAAATCCACGCCACAATGCGCACCTGTTTTTTCCCGCCGAGAAATTTTGCTCCGCCTGCAGCAGAGCATCGCGCGCCTGGAGGAAGCTTGGGTTGCACGGCTGCAGCTTCATTGCATCCAGAATTATCTGCAGCCCAGCGCAATTGCCCTTTGTCAGGTCGTGCGAGAAAATATCCGGTGAAATGCCCATAATGTCCATCAGGTTCCACAGGATATCGTAGAGAGTCACGGCCCAGATTTCGCCAATGCCGTGTACGCCCTTGAACTGCGGTTCGTCGAGCATCCTGTATGTCAACGGGTTGATGGTATGTTAGTTGCGTATGGGTACTTGCGGATGCCCTTGCCGTACGAGTACTCGCCCATGGCCAACCCAAGGCGCGTGTGTGGGCGGGCGTGATGCGCAGGATGTTTGCCACAGTGTCGCTCCAGCCCTCGCCCATGCCGCCGGGCTCGCCCCGTTGAGGCAGTCAACATTGGCAGCGCCGCCCGTTAGGCGGTTGGACACACCGTGGGTGAACTCGTGCGCGACAATGTCCTGGTCCAGGCTGGAGTCGCGGTTTGGCGTGTTGGTGTTCCAGATAAACATGCACATGACGCCTTTTTGGCCGTCTGGTGGAGTGAAGAAAAGAGCGTTGTTGATGGATCGGCCGTCCTGTGCGTATGCAATAATGGAGTCATTGGCAGCGCCAAGCCCAGAGTAGTTGATGTCCTGGAAGTTGCCCGCCGCCTCGTCAAAGCCGTAGATGAAGGTCAGATCGTGCATGATGTTGATTGTGTAAAACAGCTGCGTGATGACAAAGTCCATGTATGCGGTGGGCTGTTGCGAGAGATCCAGCGGGAAATCGAAGACTGCGGCCCGCGGGCTATCCAATACTCTAGCCAGCGGGCGGTAGTTTTGGATGTACTCGTTGTGGCCCGATGGGTTGGACTGCGCCCACACGTTGTTTCCCACTGTAGTGTTTGCCGTGACCCAGCCATGCGGGCTGCCACGCGGGTCAGCGGGATTAAGCACAATCTGCGGCTGCCCATCAAGGGGCGACAGCATGGACCTAGGAAACACGCGGTAGCTCTCATCCAAGCCATTGCCCCAGTCATTGAGTGACTCGATTCTATTTTCTTTGACACCAACATGAGCGCTCCACCAATGGCTGGGCTGGCGTAGAGTGATGTGCCAGACAGGAACCACCTTTCCATCGCCCCTGTGGATCAGCGCCTTTGTAGCCGTGCATGAATCGCCAATGGAGTATCCAAAGCCGGACGCTGCAGCCTCGATTTGGCGTAGGGTCAGCGAATCAATTTGCGATCTGGTGTGGGTAACTAGCAGATCCAGCGCGGCCTTCAGCGACGCTGTGTCGCTGGCTCGCGTGCTCAGCGAGCTGTTATCCGCCCAGATATTATTCTGCGGCAGTGCCTCGGCAGGCGCAAACGAATGGCTGAGGAGATCACCTGGCCCTGGGCATTGATGTTGATGTTGGCGACGCCATTGGCGACCGATATGGTGCCGTGTTGCTGGCAGGCGTACACATGAGTAACCCCCGATGTCTTGTCCGTGTATGCGTTGGTGATGCGGATGTTAAATTCAGGGATGTGGTGGTTGTGGGTCAGATAATCGATGGCAATTTTTGTTTTTTCCTTGAGGCTCAGCTGCACAGTGACCACATCTCTGTCTGGCAGCGTGCTGTAGATGTTAAACTTGGGTTCGGTTCGAAAGACCGGTCTGAATTTGGCGACTGGACTGTCCTCATGCGACACCACAGACACAAGCAGGACAGAAAGGCAAAGTAAAAAGGCGAAAGCCATTGTTGAAACAATTAGTTTGCAAAAAATTTAAAAAAGGTAAACTGGCAGAAAATAAAATAATAAAAATAAGCGCAAATGCCATTTATAGGCCTTTTTAAAGCCACACTTGAACAGGCTGCATTTATAGAATAAACGCTATGAGAATCAATCATTGCTGCTTTAAAGAGAGGAAAAAGAGAGCGCAGGTGGGTTTATATGCAATTAAAATATTTGGCTTTTGAATAAAGACCGAAGCACGTATTAATCGAGCCCATCTGGTAACTGCAAGGATGGAGAGGCAATGGTTAGTTGCGTTCGGTTGCATTTTATTTTGCGGGGATGAGCAAAGAAAATATATGTGCACGCAATTGGGACATTCTCCGCAAAAAAACTTTTTATACGCATTAGCTGGCCGGCATATGCATTAGTCAACGCATTGTAAAATATAACCTCCATATCAGATTTTTGCTCGCACAATTTTAGTCTATTCATGCTGTGGATACGATATTTAATAAGTGCGACTTTGTATTATTTGCCGTGGTCAATTGGGATTTATGTTGTCTTTGTCATAAAATCGAGAAAACTTCGCATGCATATCCAGCTGTCTGGTATTTGGCCATTGGTGTTGGTCAGAATTAAGCAAATGCTTCAAGTAGCCAATTGTAATTAATTGAAATATATTTAATATGCTAATGTTTCTCTCCATATTCTTTGCCCTAAACAGAGCCCATGATGACCAAGATGCCACAGTAGACATTTGGTCTTATTCATTTACTTTAGTTAGAATGTATTATTGTTTTTTTGTTTTATTCATAATACCATGTGTTATTAGTGTAATAATTGTTTTTTTGACTTTGTTGCCACAAGTTAAACTACTTAGATTTTATTTTGTATCCACAGCCATGCATAATTTTAAATGAAAGACAATGTATAAAATTATTTAAATAACGCCAAACCTGCTAAATGAAACTCAGTAATCCTGTGATACATCAAAAAAATCGATGTCGCCCAAATGGGATACTCGGTACCATACTTTTCCTTTAAGAATATAAATCTTGGATCAAAGTTGGGCTGTATAAACAAAAAGATCAAGGAAGGCACGCGCAAAATGAGTTGCACGACTCCGTCTTCCATTGATCCACAAATATAATCACCTCCATTATACGTAAGTTTGATACTTTTCACCGAAGTGGATAGTGGCGCTGCAGTGGATAAACTGGCGAGATCGAAGGGCGTAGACTGATCAAGAGCATCGGATTATATGTGTACTCGGAGTATACTAAATCACAAGCCCCAGGTTAGTTAGTGAGGCTAGGCGAGGAAGAAGCGCTGAAATGTCTCAAATTAATATAACTGAAATGGTTAAGAAAGTAAGATTGGTCCAATTGATCCTGTTTGGGTCAAGCTCATAACAATCAAAAACAAGATCCAACGCTGCTTGGCCATCAATGCGCAGGAGGTTGAAAAATATGTTGGTCGTCTCGTAAAAGGTATCAATGTCCGTCGCATCACAACATTCTATGCCAATCTTGAAGTTGCCAAATCCACTGAATTTGTGCCAGAAAAACGATTTGATCGCTTGAATTGATCCCGAAACGTGAATATTGGGAATGTACGCGGGAAACAGAGCAGTGCTGATTTCCTTAATATCAGAGGTCCAATTATCAAGGCGCAGGTACTCAAGAGCAGGAAAGCTCATCTGGAAACTATGGCCGAGCTCAGAACCCCCATTGTCCGTTTCTGTATGCTGAGAATTAACAAGAAAGCCAATACTCAGCTTTTTCAGTTGAGCAAAGCTGGTGCTGCCAGAGGTTTGGCCGTTGGCAAAACTGGTCCATGAATAATCAGCAAGCCAACTGCGTAACTTCAGAGTTTTGAGCGCATCGGCGTTTACCCTTGGGAGGCTTCCCACGGTCCAGGGGCTCATTATAAGAGAAAGATGGGCGAGTGTGTCTGAAAACGCAGGCACAGAAATCGGATAGAAAAGATTATGGTTGAGGCTTGTCACAGTTACTGCAAACTTATCGACAAGGTGTCTGACTAATGCACTAATAGCGACATTGGAATTGAGGCTTTCAGTATGAAGCTCAAGGACATTTGGAAACCTGTCGACCAGATCCGCAGCAAGCTTCAAAATGTCGTCGCTCGCATTTTTATTAAAAACAATGGGTACATAGCCGCGAATGGCCACTGAATGTTTGCAAAACCTGAAGTGCAGGGCTTTAACGCCTGTCCACGCAACGCCGGTATGCTGTAGGTCGCGAACCAAAGCTCCCAGCAATTTCAAAGGGCTTTCGCGAGTATTGACTTCAAAAAATACAGACTTGACATGGCTCTGACCACCAAACATTACAATCCCAGGGATGTCTGATCCTACGATTGGATCCCAACTCAACTTGTTGCGTTTCTGATTGGAACAAAAATGTAGCGAATTTCTGCGCTCGAGCAGATAACCGGCACCGCCAGCCTTCTCCACTGCTGGCACACGCCTGCCAGTACTGCAAATTCACGTGGCAGGTGCTTTGTGGCAGGCTTGGCGACTACACAGTTCAGGATCATCAATACGATGTCGTTGGGCAAGTGGAAGTTGTCCATTTTAGTAAGAAAAACAGTCGGCAACAAAAGGATAAAATATAAGATAAAAAGTGGTGGAGATTGAGCAGTTTCACTAAATGGCTTAAAGGTATTTAAAAAGTTGGAATATAGAAAAATAAGAAGAAGAGAAGAAAAGAGAGATGAAGATATTTTATATAATGATAGGCAAATGGATGGTGGCAAGCGTTGCTGCGGAAAAAATAAGTGAGCACAAATGTTTTGCAACATAAATTCTTTTTTTAAATGATCGATCCAAAAGTGATTTTGTTACTCTTTATTTGCTTCCCCAAAACATAATTTTAATAACAATCAAGTACCTAGTCCTTACATAAATCATTTAAAATCCGAAAAGCGTCGCCACTATATATACCTTATAAATGCCATTGTTTTTATTCACTTAAATGCCATAATAAGAGAGCATTCACAAATTAAAAGCAAATAGATTGCTTAAATAAAATGATTTTCAGATGAGGATAAACATCTGTGATAGAAATAGAATCTAATAAAATCTAATAAAATCTATTCTATTAATAATCCACTATAAGGGAGTCAAAGATGCTCACCTTATCAATCGAAAACCTAAAGTAGTAAAATACAATCGCGAGCATCACGTGACATCGTTGCAATTGATGTCACATCTGCCCTGAGTTGCACACGCAGTATATATGGTGTGTTTCTCTCTGTCGAGACTGCCAGTGCTGTTGGGCATGGTGACAGACCCATGGTCATGGATGGTTTATAAGTGCTGTCCTTCTTCCTGGCGTATTCTTTGATGGCAGCATAGTACTTACCTTGAATGGAGAGCTGCATGGGACTGAGCACAGTGAGGCCATCCACTGCAACCCCCAGGTCTATTTGCTAACCTAGGCTCATGAATTTTTTAGATATAGCAAGGATCCACTTGATTCTGTAGGCAACCATTCCTGTGGCTTGACTACTTGATTCATCAAAGGTGATTCCATAGTTGTACTCAGAGGAGAGTGTCTCATTTTTGACGTTGGTCTTGAGCATGCCTGAAATCTGGAGATAACTGAGGTAGGTCTCTAAACCAGATGGGTACTCAGTCTAGAGCTTGATACAAATAATAATTTTCTTTGCTGCAACAAAGTGGTTATTATGCTTCTCAATAGTTGCTGGGTACATTTTCTCGATAATGTCCTTGCTGCCAGAATCAGACTCTGGCTCACCAGCCTCTTTAATGGCCATACACATATCCTTTCCAGTGCATCCAGCAGCAGGTTTACATAGAGAGCTTGTATGGTACTACCACTTTTGGATTGCAAGACTTCAAGGTGCTCAAGGATTGTGACGAGTTCAGAATGGAGTTGATGGACATTATTGGAAAACATAAGTGCTGATAACTTGGTTTTATAGGAGACTTTTTATTGGTTGATGGCGATCAACTGATTAAACAGTCTTGGCTGTTTAGCCACACAAACAATAAGACACAGTGACCAAAGCAATATGCTTTCTACTCTTTATCTTTCATAGTGCGTAGCACTTATTATTAAATACACTTTATATCACTATAGTTTATCTATACGCTCATAGAACATTCCTATATTACAACACTTTTGTGTAAAAAAAAAGGTAAATTCAATTACAGATTTGGGCTATTTAAAAAAATGTAGACCTCTAATTGATAGTACTTTTTAGCTTTTTGGATAAAAAAATATTATTTGGGCTTAATGTCAGGCATACCCACTAGCATGAGGGTGGCCGATTGATAGTTGGGGGCTATATTTGTGATTTAATCACGACATAACTTTTTTTTGGCAAACACATTTCAAGAAAGCTCACCAAAATCACCTTCAATGTTTATATTCTCCGTAATTGAGGAACCAATACAAGGAAACGCCAGCTTTCTTGTCTTTTAAACAATTAAACTCAAATTCCTGATCTTTGGCGAGAATCTATTAGCTTCAATTACAAAATAAAAAAGCTGTTGCATTTGAATGCCCTCAGCTAGTGCGCGTATCTATTGAATAGAATACTACAACATTTTTTCAGACTTGCATTATCACCCCGTTGATGCTTTTACAAATAATACGGTTATATAGGTCAGCCTGTCAATTAGGTATTTGACAAACTAGGGATATGCTTTGCAGATTTTCGTTGCAGTCAATCTTTTCAAGTATTTAATTGTTTGTAATACATTCAACACCATATTCATTTATCGCACTCTAGATTATTTAGTATTACCACAGCAAATTATTCTCTGGAATATGTTGATTTGTGCCCTTTTCAATACTATTCTGGTTAGCCCTGGATACAAAATCTTGTCCCGTTCAATATTTGTCTGCTGGTAATATAATTCTGGTCCATATCATCCTAGTACTAATTTTTCACTTCTTCCAAATTCTGGAAAAATTATAGTTTTGGATTTCGTCTCAGCTGGAAACATGCTTCTAGGCAAAAGTTAATTCGAAATTATCAGCCCAATAGATATCAATCTATTCCAAAAGACACCTTGTCTGGTAGTGATTGCGATCGAGTTCGAATTTATTAGTAAAGGTCAACGTGGCCCGCGGTAATCGTACGACTGATGCGGTGGGCGTCTGCTCCTGGACGGCGACCTCGACCTCGACCTCGACCTTGACCCCCTGCGTCTCTCCCTAAACCTGCTCTGCGGCTGCTGCTGCTGTTGCGGCGATCGGTTATACCGATAGTCATCATCTCTATGGCCCCACGACCACGATGTTCCCGCCGCGACATGCCCTCATCCGGCCTCTGCTGTTGCAGCTGTTGCCGTGGTGAAGCCCCCCGGTCCCAATACGACGACGCGCGGTACCGCGACCGACTAGGTGAGCGCTGAAGTGGCCGATAATGGTCGCGCGCAGACACAGGGTGACGCGAATGGGCGCTGTCGGGGCCAATGGGGGTGTGGGTGGTGGGCGGACGGGCTGCGCCGGGGTCAGCTTGTACTCGCCCTCTTCTTCCTCGCCATTGCCGCCGGCGTCAATCTCGCCCTCTTCGTCGGAGGACGACTGCTTGGGCGGGGAAGGTACAGGTGCAGGTACAGAGGCAGGGAGAGGGAGAGATACAGGTACAGGTGCAGGACAGGGACAGGAACAGGTACATGTACGGGTGCTGGGTGTGGTGGTGGGCACGAGGACGCACTCTTATTGCGTGTTGGCTCAAGCTTTGGTAGATCCTGAGGTACAGCGGCGGCAGAAATAGTTGACGCGGGCTCTGATTCAAGCTTGGGTTGGGCCTTGTGTTCGAGCCTGTCGGATGCTCAGTGACTCATGTGCTTGTGCTCCGGCTCCGGGTCCGGCGAGCTGGCCAAATCCATGTCGGAGCTCTGGGTCGGCTCCGGGTCCTTGGCGGCCAAGGCCTCAGCAGCGGCTCCGTAGGCATCAGCATCGGGGGCATCTGGCGGTACCTTACCTTGCGACCATGCTTTCCCAGCGCTGGCTCTGCTCTCTGGGCCAAAACCCCGTAAACGACGGCACAAGCTTGGCCTGCACCTCAACCATGCCGCCAGCGGGTCCCTCCGCCCGGCGCCTTTCCTCGCTTTTCCTCCGCAGAAAGCCCACGCGGCCGGCAGCAAACACCTCATCGTAGTAGACGTGTGCCAGCTCGCCTGAGTCGTACCGCACGGCAAGCGAAATCGGCCCGACACAGGCGACACGCGCAGGGAAAAACTCAGTTGTCACCTGTGTATGCGCAGCAGAGTCGTCGCGGTAGAGCGCGTAGACCTGGTCGCCCACACGGTACGTGTACTCATACGGCCGCTTGAGCGTCATCAGCTGGTCCCAGTGCGTCACCCACATGCTCTGCCACGCACCGTCAGCGTCTGCATCCCGCACAGTGTACGCGTTTCGCTGGGCGTCGCACGCGGCAATCTCGGCCAGCAGGCAGATATACGATGCGTCGTGGCACAGCGGATCGCAGGTGGCAACAAATGCCGCTACGGCGTCGCCACGCCGGTAGAAACTATGGGACCGCGGCGGCTGGCCTGCGCCCTGCGAGGGGATCCGTGGCGGGTCGATCTCCAGTGGCCTGGAGACCACCGTTGGTGGCATGGGCAAGGACGGCTCGGGCTGGGCAAAGGCCTGCTTGATTTTGGCTTGTAGCCGCGGGTGCCGCTCGGCTGTGAGCCAGAATGTGCGCGCGTCAGTGCCGAGCCGCTCCAGAGTGCCGTGCTGCTCCAGCTGCTCAAGGAGCCGCCGCTCGAGGTACTGTGTTTTGTCGCTGGTGCGCGTGTACCCGCGCTCGTCGCTCGTCCATTGCAGCATGTCGCGCGCTTTGCTGACAAACTCCTGTCCGCGTGTGCTGTTGCTGAACGCGTGCTGGAGCTCTTGCCGCAGCGCATCAAATGTGCCATTCTCTTTAAGCCGATAGAGCGCTTGTTCGGCTGACAGACGCGCCATTTCGTCTGTTTGTTGTATTTTAGAAGGGAAATTAGGCGTGTGAAGGCCCGTGGGCTGGAAGAAAAAATTAATAATGTACAAAATGCCTAAAGTGGAAGCGAAAGCTGAATTGAATATGAACGCGCTCGCATGAGTTTACTCTTTTTCTGGCAACAGAATTTCCGGCTGGCAGATATTGACTCGGCTCTACATTCGCCAATAAGCATGAGCCGAGTCGAGTATTTTAACACTATACGCTTGTATTTTATCAGACTATCTTTGAACCATTTCCAGGGCAATCGAGTGAGCACGTCAATTGTAATTATATTTGGTATTGTTGTATCACGGGGCCAGCGGCCAACAACAGTAAAATGTATGTAAGCGACGACGAGCACGAGGCTGGCACATTCACGATCGACGTCCATGGTCGATTGCGAACGCCGCGCACTTACAAAGACACAATGGGTTGCGACAGCATTCGGTATTGATACAATACGAATTGTCTTCCCAGCTGCAACTGTTGTCACAAACTATGTTTATGCCGAAAGGAATAAATAAATGCCAAGAGGGCGTTTTCTTCATAGTAACGCAAATAAATGTACATTTTCAATAGCTTTATAATATCTTTTAAAAGGGAACAGCCGCCAAGTCCGGCAAAGTTATCCTTACTAATAAATCACCTTTTGATTTTTATACTGTTATATTAGGTATTTTGCCACAAAACCCAGCAGTATAGTATTGCAGAATATATTAAAAATTAGCTAACAGAGTTTGAACGCAGCTGTTGTGGTGAATTGTTTTTTAATGCCAGGCATAGAACCAACCATTGCACCCTTGATATATAAAACGCATTGTCTTTATCTTGTCGCGGATTTGGTTAATGGAATGTACGTCAGGTCAGCAGGATCACTAGAATCTTGGGCCGGGTTTGGGTTTGAATGTACTTTTGCCATGATTTTGAAGACAACTGCTGTGGTGTTCAAGTTTATTTTGCGTACTGTTTTGTCAAGCGATGTGAAACTAGATTAAATGGGCCAATAATTAAAATATATTTAAAATAAGTAATGTGCAAAAAATGGTAACTGTAAATCGAATACCAGCATATTTATCTTATTATATATCAATTGGCAAACACTAATGGTATTGCTCACAGTTGATCTGTTGGAATTACAAGTACTGGCGTTGATGTATGATTTTGTTGAACTGAAACATAGCCAATACATACAGCGCTGGCACAATAGCTCAATAGCTCAATAACCTTATTGTGCTATTGAAAAGTAACTAACCACATCAATGCGCTTATTATGACAATACACACCTGTGGATGGTAATTCTTCGCCGCATTGTTTATATTTTGTGAGCGGCCTTTTAAAATTAAGAATAAATGATAATATATTACAGTGAAAAAGAATCATCAGCACTCAATTTAATTTAATTTAAATGTTTTTTTACGTGTCGGCTTATTATTCTCATCCCCGTCCTCATAATTTTTATTTTCATCCTCTACTGTAAAAGTGCTTTATCGACATAAGCAATAATATATATAAAATGTTAATTCCAAGTCAGCTCTTTAGCTAACCCAATGATTGCAGTTAACGCTGTTGTCACGCAATAATATTTTAACTGTAAATTCTCCCAACCACTCTATTTTCTATCACAAATTATTTGTATTTGTAAAAAATGAGGAATAGATCATCTCTTAGCAATAAAACAAAATCACATTGCTGCTTTGACATGTGATAATTATTTCACGGGGAAAGGAAGGAAAGGGAAAGGGGAAGGGAAAGGGAAGGGAAAGGGAAAAGGAAAAAAAGAAAAAAGGAGTAGGGAAGGAGGGGAGTCCAGTGAATTAATGGTCATTTGTTCACATTATTTGTTTGGTTTGGAATGAGTAAACAATTAAAGAAATTTTAAAAGAATTTGCCAAGAAATAACACTGTTTTAAATGATTATTTTAAATAAATGATTCACATTTTTTACAATTTTCATTCCGACAACACCCAATTTAAAACTTTTTAGTTTGTTTATAATTTTACGCCTCCATTTTTTATCAAATTTCCAACATGTAGCCAAAATATCTACTAATTGTCAACTCTTGGCACACCAGAGACCACATGGCTGACTTGAAAAGCCCATATCAAGTGACATTTAGAAAGAGCCAAATTTGTTTTCTATTCGATTGGACTGGGAATAAATTGGTTTGCTTTGGGTTGGTTTTATGTAAAAAAGGTAGGGGGTAGTAAATGTATGCTTTATTTACTATTAGTAGAAAAATAGTACTCAAACAATATGTATCAACTACCTTGCTTAAGCTCACTCCGTGGACACATTGACATGATGCCCCTGTTTCTATATAAAAGGTTGGGTATTTCTCTGCATTTTGTTTTATTTATCAATATCATTATCAGCAGCAGCAGCAACGGCAGCAATTACTATCTTAACAGCAACTTTTACAAATTAACAGCAATAACTTTAACATTTCAATACACTGTAAATTTAACTTACTGCCAATTTATCATGTCACTATTTAATCCAGATAAAAATTCTCCCACTTCAGGAAAGATAATGTTCTGGTATCAAATAGCAAAAACTAGTCCTAATAGTTGGGTATCTCAACAGTACAAATTATCTGATAAAATTGAAATTTTAGTTAAATGGGTAATAGTGAAACCACAGATTGGATTACTTTAAACTCTAAACCGATTAACCAAGTGAATGGTTGACAAATAAATCTAGTATAAAGCTCGGTGAAATTAAAGAGATTGAATTCAACAAATATATAGGAGTTAATAAAAAAAATAATATATTAAAAAAACTGAAGATAAATTAGATGAACGTACTATTGGATTTCATTCTGCTTTGTCCGATGAAACAAATGTAAAACATATAATTTTGAACATTACTCGTAAGAAATAATAACATTTACTAAAATGTTAAACAATATGCTATTAATTACGCAAAGACCATTTATAAGTTTTTTTGGCACCTATTATTGGTTGATGGCGATCAACTGATTAACCAGTCTTGGCTGTTTAGCCACACAAACAATGTCACACAGCTACCAGAGCAATATGCTCTCTTCTCTTTACCTTTTGTAGTACATAGCACTTATTATTAAATATACTTTATAGCATTATAGTTTATCTACACGTCATAGAACGTTCAATATTCCAACACCTATACAACTTTATAAGTAATGCATATTAAGTTTAAGGTTATTTTATATTATTTTTTGTAGTTTATATCTACAATTAAATATATTTATTCACCACATTTTATATAACATTTGTTGAAAACCTCACAGAGAGCTCGCGACCCCGGCTGGTGACCCAGGCTGAGGCCCGTAGGCGCACACAAATAAATTTTTAAAATTCAGAACTTCAGCCTACGCCTGACCCAACTACATCAATTGCAAAGCTAGGTAGTTTACAATTAAACTTGTTTTTACGGGATGTTGAAGATGTCGTGCTCTATAAAAATGTGGGTCTAAATTAATATATTTGAAATCTCAAAAATTACTTAAGGAATTGAAAAAAGGGGCAGCGCTGTGTGGGCAGCGCTGTAAACATCATGGTGTTCCTTGATGTCCGCCAGAAATAACAGGAATGTGTATATCGGCCATGAGGTAATCTTTATTCTTGAAAGGAAAGATACTGGCTTGAATGTGTGTTGGGCACCACAGATGAGGGCGGAAATAAATGCAATTTTAAGTGCATCGAAAATAGCATCTGTTTTGCTGTTATCCATTCACTATTATTTGTTTATAATGTACAGCATAGAATGTACCGCGCGCTTGTTATAGTTTGTTTTTGAAATATACTAAGAAACTTCAGCCATGAGGACAAAATATTTCTATATTATGTGGCAACTTTTACTTGTAATCGGCTGGTTTTTGATGTCCCTTATTTGGTTGTTTATTAAATGTTTGCATAATAAACAAATAAATTATTGAAGCTATCGCTAATTTCGATAACTGAATTATTTTATTAAACTACTTGGACGAGGTTTTAAAAGTAAAAACCCCTTATTATTTTAGTTCTTATATATTTGTTTTATTATAAACACTACAATGGCTTTCAGAAACCCACAGGGTATGCGTATTCTGCGGCCGCGTCGAGTGAATTGAGTTTTTTAAGGCGCTGTGCTTGCAAACATGTCTGTTGCAGCTTGTTAGCAAAATCTGCACTTGCTGACGCTGGTCCCACATTCTGCGGCCCCTGGTCAAAGTGTTTGGCCGCATACTTGTCGGCAGCTTGGCTTGTCCCAATGTCCGCACTGTGGCACAAATACGTGCAAATACAAGCCCCAATGGGTGTCTCTTAGCCATTTCCAAATGATCATCGATGCAATCCATTGCTTCTGCCCACGGCTTGGTTCCGCCACACCAGTCAGCTGAAAATATGCATTCCACACTGACCAAAATCAGCCGGCCATATTTGTCCAGCACAACTGACGATGGTAGCACAGGTGCCTTGATTAGTCCCCCTTTTTGCATGGTAGATATACTGGCAACAAGGTCCCGAGTGTCCATATTAGTGCACGAGATGTTCCCGCCCAACGCTCGCTCGAGCGAACACCAGTATCGAGCAACAGCAACACCAATAATAAACCCATTTTCAATAACGCACCCAAGATAAGCGCTCACAGCAGGAAGCTCCATTTGCGCGAGCCTCTGCCGCGCCACAATCTCCTTGTAGTACTCTGCACGCACATTGGGAACCCAGCCGACATATGCCAGGTTAAACAGTCTGATGTCCACATGGCGCGGATCCGCCGGGCCACTAAATATTTGATTGGACCTAGGGAGCTTTTCCCTTGGGCGCTGGCGTAATCAATGGGTGCGCTTGGGAATATGTTGTTTTTGTATATGCGCTGTTTTTGCCAGTTCCAGTTGTGGTGGTTTGATTCGGTCAGGCATCGGTGGTACCAGTGGCCGTCGACTTCGACTGTGTTTACACGCACTTCATATGCTACTGAGCAGTATTTTGTTTGCTCGCAGTAGCTGTTGGTCTTGACTGCGCGCTCGATGCACGATAGGACGTGGCCGTGGCTAAGAAGGTCGCTCAGTGACTCGCTGAATTCAGGCGAAAAGTGGTCGTGGTTTATGCAATTCAAATAGTCCATTGCGGTTTAATAAGTAAAAATAATGTAATAATAATGTGGTTTTTGATGTGTGGTTTGTTAATGACAATGGAAATGGAAATGCTTGACAAAGGGAAAAGCTCACACAAAAAATATTATCGAATGCTTGTGAGCCACGAACAGGCGGAATTGCGCAAATGAAGGTAAAAATCACGCATTATCAGGAATGCATAATTTGACTCTAGATCTGTGTTGATCATGCACGGGTTGCCGAATTTGCAAGAGCAAGGATGCACGCAACATCTCATGACGACGACATCATGCGCGAGCTTATGTTTTCTCAGTAACTGCACGTGTTGCAGTATTATGTTGTTTAGGTGACATCAATAATGTACCTGTTCAGCAGCTGATGTGTCAAGGACATAAAAAAATATTAGTCCTCATACATGAGCTAAAGTAAAAACCAATACCTTTAATCTCCAGCATAATAACCATGACTTGACAAAAATTGCTGAATACTATTGCAGAGTCTGCACACTTTGTGTCGAATTGAGTTAAGCTTTAAATGTAATGTAAATAACTGCCACTTGTCAGTCCAATATATTAAAGGATAACTTTTTTGTTAATCCACAAGAAGTTGTAAAGAAATGGCTTCCTTGAATGGGATGAAAACCCCAAGCCAATCCCGTTTGTGCGGTCTATTCCGCTATACATTTTTAGAACCGCACATATAAAAACTGGTATGTTTTTGTTGAAAAGCATTCATTGTTTTGAATTCGGCCAATTTATATATGCACGTTGAAAATGAAATGATAGTCGCATTAGCCAGGCAAAAAATATTATCATCCACTTGCGCCACAGCTCTTCTTTCTCTTTACTCCTCTTGTTGGCCTTGTCATCTACTCCCCCGTAAAAGCCATCATTGACTGGAATAGCCCGTGCACACACGATATTATTGAGAATAATGGGCTAAATTTTCCCTTGACCACGAATAACTGGCTTCACGCAATCAACTACAGAGTCAGCGGAGAAGACTATGAAAATCTTGTCCACATTCTTGGTCCTGATCTTTTTCCCTTACACGATCGATTACGATATGCTGTATATTATTGTTGACGTTCTTGAAGCCAAGCGATGTATGAGCATTTTAGTGATTTTATGTATGCTTACATGAACGAGTTTGGTTGCAACGCCTTTCTGACAATAAAGACAACGACATAACAGCTCTCCAAGAAATATGGACACCAAAACTAGCACTGAGGTGAATACTGACATCAAAACTAGGTCTGAGCCAGACCAATCCACCGAAACCGAAACTGCAAAGAAAACAGATACAGATAAAGCTGAAGTTTTCACTGACATTACCGAGAATTATTTGCCAGTAGCAACGCATCTGCTCCGGTGCACAATGCTCAAGCCCATTACCTTAACTATAACCAGAGTCCGCGTCCGCCCAACTTACTTATAAACCAGTTTTAATAGGAAATAAATAATAAATTGCTTCCATCTATAGCTGTTGAAGCAGAGCTTGAAAACGCCAAAATTCGACAAAGATATTTGCCAATGAGTGAGTCCGTTATTTTTCTCTTTATAAAATGTATGTATTGATTTTATAAAGAAAGTAAAATGCGCGTCAGCAGATACAACTTGGTTTTATTTTTCTATTGTGTTTCAGTTGTGCAAATTGCAAGTAAATATGCACTGTCACGCATTACGTTGCTTTTGGAATGAACAGCATAAATAAAAAAGTGAACGTGCACCTTTAATTGTATTGTATTGTATTGTATTTATATCCACATTATTATTAATCCTAATTATTAACGAATATTTCAACATACAATGGAACTTATTACTCTTTTATTAATCAATACCGCCGTGTTTTATTCTAGCGCACGGTCGGCGGCTGTTCGTGGTATAGGAACTCCCACGCTGCATGTCTTTGGCGACTCACTATCTGATGTGGGGACGCTACATCAACTGACATTGGGGGTTTTTCCGCCAAGGCCCTATTGGGAGGGTCGCTTTTCGTCAGGACCCGTATGGAACGAGTACTTGGCCAAGCTTCTGGGCTACGAGTTGTACAGCAAGGCCATTGGCGGCAGTACATCAGACAACAACCAAACTTCATTATTTGGTAGGTTGAACATAAATATCCCTAGCATCCAGACTCAGATAAACTATTTCAAATTTACCCGTCCATTATATATGTTGTCGCCCACCCGCAGCATGGATATAGCAGTTATTGAGCTCGGCTCAAACGACTATTTTGCCGAGCTGCCCAACCTTACTAGCGGCTTGCTGCCAGTTTCCAGTTTTGTCGATACACTTATAAGCACACTTATCGGTCAGCTGGAGCAGCTGCGCGAGCTGGGATTTAAAAACATAATTGTGATCAACCTGCCCGCCGTCCAGTTTACACCAATGATCACGCAAGAGAACTTTCAAAATATATCGGCAACCGCAGTCACTCACTACAATAACAAGCTATTTGTCAAGGTCAACGAGTGGCTCAAAATGCCTCTGGCATAAAATATCTTGCTATGGGCAATCTCGGCGAATTCGTCGACCTGACAGTCAACTCGCCAGCAATATCTGCAGCCCTCAACATAACAGATGTGACTCAGGCGTGTATCAAAAGCATGGACACATTTCGCTTTTTGAAATGATAATGGGCGCTTTAGACAGCAACGATATGTGCTCAGACCCAGTTCCAAGTATTTTTTTGATGGCGTACATCCTTCGGAACGCGTGCATCGCTTGTACGGATACTATTGCTGGCAATTGGTTATTGCTGCGTCAAATGGAAAAACTTCAGCTTAGTGAGGCCAGCTATTGTCGCTAATTGACGAATACAACTTGGGATCTGCTGTTCTTAAGCCTGTCAGTGTGATAGAAATAATCTTTCAATTACCAACAATAATGTATTTAAATAACGTGTATACATGCGGTGGACAGAATTATACGGGGGTTAGTCAGTCGGCTAGCATGCATTTTAAATTGAGGCCGGCACTGGTACGAGAAAAAGGTGTGTTGCGCTGATTGTGCGTTGTTTTTAGTGGCGCATTGGTGACTGCCAAAATTATGTGACAACGAATACCGGCATATGTTCAATTTTATCTAATGGTGTTTGCAAATGCGCATCGCGTGGTCATATTATTTATTATATGGATTGCATTTGCTAGACAAATAGAACATGCACTAGTAATTAACAACTGGTTAATTGGCTGGGCTGTCTTTTGTTGCTGTCACAACCTATTACCAGGGGTTTCTTTTTAGTATTATAAACATAATAACCAAGTCATGAATGCACTACACAGTCAAAATTATTTTGGCAGTAATTATTTATATGCAAGGGTATTTCCGACTATTTCAGCATTTGTATTGTTATGTGGCAACACTTTTTGAGGAACCCAAAACGGGGAGGGTAACAAATTTTTTCTGTGGCTTAGTTTGGAGTGATGAATTTTGAAGTATAATAAAACAATGGCATTTTAAGAATAGAACCAAAACGGAAAACATGGCCCGCAATATCAGAAACAGCAGCAGCGGCAACAGCAGCAGCAACAGCGACGGCAACAACAATAACAACAGGCAACAGCAGCACATTGGCTAGCATTTTCCTTTTTCCTTTTTTTTCTTCACTTTCTCATTATTAAGTATTGCATTTTTCATACTCCTTCATTTTACAACCCCCAATACTCATTTTTATCATGTTGCCGATACATTGGCCAGCGCCAACTTATATCTGGACTATGCAGATGAATGGGTCCACTCCGTTTTTGACCCAATGCACCTGTCGGGCATTGGTAACTACTGGCGAGTGACGGCCGTAGCGCTGATTGTACAGTAGTGTACTACAAGTCGTCCCAGTACTGTCCATGTTGCTGCTGCCCAAAGTGTACGGGCGCATGACAAAAAGCGAGAAGCAATCGTGGACATTGGGTTTATCAGCCTCCCACACACGATTTTTGACAGCTGGCTGATCATTTCCCACTTTAACAGCCCGGGCTTAATGAAATCGGATGGACGGGTACGACACGCATTTCGAGCATTCTTGCCGTGGGTGTTGGGCTACTATATCTGGGACATGTTTATTTGCCTGACAACCTGAGGAGCTACGGGTTCACATACTTGATCCATGCCTTTTTGGGTGTCTTTGGCATTTTGGTGTTGACATCGCGGCAGCTGCAGTTTTATGCGATTCCGTTTTTGCTTCCTGAGTGAGCTCCGTGTTTCTCAATATTCGCCATATTATGAAGTCAGCCAGGCTCTCGGATTCGCTGGTGTACAAGGCCAACTTTGTACTGTTTTTAATTACCTACGTTGGGATTCGCATTGGGTATGAGATGTACCAGTCGTTTGGTTGGCGGTTGCAGTTTATCGCGGCGAAATCGGCAATGTGTATTATCCGTTTGCAGTTTACTTTGCAGTGCTTGGGATTACCTGACGGTGCTTAATTTATCTGGCTGAAGCAGATTATCAATGCTGCCCATACATGTTGTTCGGAAATCGAAGGACAGCAAAAAGACCGAGTGATACAACCTTACATTTTTCTATGGGCTCGGAATTTCGCTTGCTCGGTTGTTCAAATAAACAAAATATATTTGACGTTTAAAGTCAGTAAATCATTTTATTTTTGGTCAGAAAGCCAGGCTGTAAAGGCTGCAATTAAACACAAGATAGTGAAAACTATGGCAGCATTGAACAAAGAAAACTCATAAATACATGTGCCCTTTATTTAAATGGAAAACACAGGGTAATTTATCTCTTTCTTTTAAACAATGTTAACGCCAAATTGATGGATGGAATAAAAACAAAACATCGAGACGTACATACAATTTTTTCCTTCCAGTTTTTTCCTTTCCTTTTACCTCTCCATTAACATTTTTATTACATCCATCTTTTCAATTGTTGCTAGTTTATTTATCAATTCAGCTATTTGCATTATCCTAACCTAACAATGAAGTTTAACCCGACTGTACTGGTTGCAGTCTTTTCAGCTATTTTAGTTTCTTCTGCCGTTAACGGCGCCTGCATATCCAAGAGTAAAACCAATGCTACAGCTAGTAGCATAGCCAAGAGCAGCAGCGAAATCCCTGAGCCAACCTCTAGCGCTATCGAAGGGTCAACTGACTCCGGCAAGGATACCACAACTCCACTGAGAGCGGGCTAATCACCATCGAGCACTGGACAAGGCCAACCCCGATGCTTCCGAGGCCAGTTTCTGCACCTCCGCCAGTGCTGACGAATGCATGGTCAACGCAGATGCAGTCGCGTATCTGAACAAGGCTGTTGAGAAGTACAAGTTCACCAGGCGTGGTGAAACCGTCGCTGTCATCAGTAACATGCTGTTTGAGTCTGGCGGATGGATGTATAACATCAACCATTCAGCAAACACTCCGGGTCAGGGAACTCGTTGCATGATGATGTGGAATTTTATCAGCGAGTATGCCAAGGAGCTGCACCCGGATGAGTATGCCAATCTGATGGGAAGCAGTGCTAGTAGTGCGGACAGTGCTTCGGATACGGTTAGGAATGATGTTCGTGAACTTGTGCTTAACCCTGAAGATTCGTTTGCGTCTGGGTTCTGGTTCCTTGTGAACAAAGCGGCTGGCTTCCACGATGACGATATGAAGCTGCGCGACGGCAACTTGGAGGACTTTAAGGCGTACGTTGAGACAGGAATTTACACCTCATGGGATTCCAACCGCGAGAAGTGGTGGCAGCTGGTCAACGATAATATCATGATCTGAGCGGTTTGGGTACTTTTTTTTATAAATGCTTTCATATATCCTTTTACACACATTCTCGTATAAATTGGCACTTAAATACACTTTAAAGCTACAAGCGCGGCGCCAGAATCTTGAGAGAGAAAAACAGGTAAATTTGGCAAAGCCTGTGGATTGACGGATACGTGCGAGCTTGATTGACATTGGCTCGGAATTAATAAAAAAAGACCAAGGTTGGAGCGGTGGCCACCAAGGAGGGGGGAAATGAGCACGCGCACAGGCAAGCAAAGCCAAGCTGTGCATGAACGAATTGGCGGTTTGGCCCGCCTTTTTATTTATTTTCCGTTTTTCACGTTCTTCGAATTTAACAACAATAGTCAATTGGCTCTCTTTAGCTAATGTGTAAATTGTTTTATAATTCATACTCTTTTATTCCATTTTTAATTCAACGCTCTTTTTCTTCTTAAACAGAAGCCTCCCTTTTTCTTTTCGCCCCAAATTACCCCTGTCATATTGAATATCGGCGCTCGTGCGTCATACCATTTACACTTGTGAGTCATTCGCCGCCCCATCGATAGCAGCGAACAACGCAGACAGAGTAGACTCTCAAACACTACAGACCAAATATCTTTTCGTTATTTGCCTTGTCGACAACATTTTCTTCTTTCTTTCTTTGAGAGTGCCACGTAAATGCTGGAGGAATGGACGAAACAACGCAGGAAATACAACAAAATGAACTCGCGGCGCTCAGAGCCATATTCATGGTAAGGCACTCGACAAGGACCACATTGCATTGCATTGCATTGCATTAAAGAGCATTACGCAGCCGCTTCTCCAGAATCCCTTAAACACACGCTTATATTAACAACCACACAAAACTCACAACACCATATTGATAGGAGGACTTTCAGGATGTCGAGACAAAAACAGCGTGGAACGTAAAGCCCGACATGGCGGAGTTTGTCATCACAGTGCGGCCGACAGAGGATGTGATCAAGGCCAGCGTGTCGGTCGGCCTGCGGGTGCGGCTGCCGCGGACGTATCCGCGCACAGCACCGCAGATCCAGCTTTCGGAGGGCGTCGGGCTCAGCGCAGCGCAGGTGCAGGGCGCGCAGGACATGGCGCGGCAGCAGGCGGCAGCGCTGGTTGGCTGCGAGATGGTCTACGAGCTGGCTGTGTCGCTGAGCGACTACATTACGATCAACAACTCGGCCGCGCAGGCGGCGCGGCCGTCGTTTCACCAGCAGATGGTCGAGCGCGAGTACGCGGACCGACGTGCCGATCTTGAGCGCGAGGAGGAATTCAAACGCCATGAGCAGGCTATGTACGCAGAGGAGCAGGAGGATCTGCACCGGCGCATTGTCGAAGAGCTGGAGCGCAAGCACCAGCAGGTGGTGTCGGACCAGCAACGCCAGCAGCAGCACCTCAGCGACATTGCCGACGCCGTCCACAGCGTAGCCGGGCGGTGGGCCGAGGGCATCCAGCTCCTCAAGTTCGACTCGCTGATCTACGTCGACCCGCAGCAGCCGATGGCGCGCGATGGGCGGTTCTCGACAGTTGCGTTGGAAGAGTCAGTGGTCGTGGATCCTCTGTGCACAGTGTTCGACGCGTACCCACCGACCTGCTGGGCGCCAGCATCCACCTGTCGGACCGGTTCACAGTACAGTGCTTCACGGTAACGGCGCTGCACTACCTGACGGACCACGGGCGGCGGCAACTAGACAAGGTGCGCGCGCGCGTGTGCGACCTGGCTCAGATCCGGCACCCGAACCTGGTAGCCATCTACGGATGCCACATGGAGGCGCTGGAGGAGCGCAGCCAGAATCCAGGCGTGCGGCTCTGGGTGCTTGGCGACACGCTGTCGACGCACGACGGGTCAACCCTGGAGGACGTGCTTGAGTCATGCGGGTCGATTGCCACAGCGCAGACGCGGACATACCTGCGGCACATTTTGCTGGCGCTTGTCAGTTTGCACGCCGCTGGCTTTATCCACCGCGGCGTCGCACCGGCCAATATTTTGCTGACCAAGGAGGCGCGCGGACGGTTCGTGGCCAAGCTCTTCAACACGAGCTATCGCGAGGAGCTGATTGAGCTGCACCGCATGACGCCACTGTCGAACGCCATTGGCGACTCTGTGGGCAACGACATCCGCGTTGCTCCTGAAGTGCTGGACCGTCCTGACATGCTTGGCCGCAAGAACGACATTTGGTGCGCCGGCATCGTTGGAATGCAGATGGCGCTGGGCGTCGACGTGATGCGCAACGTGCCCATTGGTCGCGAGCCGCACGTGCTGCACGAGCGCCGCGATGACATCGCGCCGCCGCTGTTCCGCGTACTGGCTATGCTGCTGACTGCAGATCACCGCCAGCGGCCGACTGCCATGGAGGCCCTGAGCGACGCCTTTTTCAGTGAGGGTATGGGTGGCGAGCCGTCGGTGCAGCGACAGGCGTTGGACAGCGCGTCGCGCGGCTTGACTTTTGAAATGCAGCGCTCGGCTGCGCGCCTGGCTGACGATGTCGGAGACGAAAGCGCGGCTGCTGATGCGGCTCCGGCGCGGCGATTCTTCTCGGTCGCACAGAAAAACATTGCTGAAGCAGAGCTGCCGCAGCAGCAAACAAAGGAAATTGCCGTTGCTGATGCGCTGATCCGCCAGCCGATCCCCAAGCGCCACCCCGCCGCGTACAAACACCTGTCACTGCGGCTGTCGAGCACTTCATCCAGCCGCAGGCGTCCGGTACAGCGCGGATTTCGAGGAGATTGAGTTTCTGGGCAAGGGCGGCTTTGGCTCGGTCGTCAAGGCGCGCAACCGCATTGATGGCCGCTACTACGCCATCAAGAAGATTCGCCTGGATGCGCGCGACACTGAGGGCAACAAGAAGATATTCCGCGAGGTCACCACGCTATCACGCCTGCACCACGAGAACGTCGTGCGGTACTACACGACATGGGTTGAGGACTGGGATGGGCTCAAGGACGGCTATGCGGAGGGGCTGCCGATGACGATACTAGTGACTTTAGCTCTACTGGCTTACAGACATCTGATGACTCTATGGCTATGGCTATGGGTCTCGCTGCCGCTGCCAATTCGGTTTCGTCGTGGTCAACTGAGGATTATAGTGGCGATATGAGCGATTCAGATAGTGACAGCGAGTCGTCGTCGCTGTCTTCGTCATCTGGCAGTGATAGTGACTCTGAATCCGACTCGGACTCTGATTCGGATGACAGCGATATCAGTGATAGCTCGGGCATGGGTGCTGCCAGCTTGGGTAACATTAGCGAGCCATCGAGCGCTTTGAACACGCGCTCGTGCGATGAAGACAATGGAGACGGCCGTCCGGGCGCTGTGTTTTCGGCTATACGCTTTGGCACTATGGGCGCGTTAAGCGAGGCTGAGGGCGCTGGCACGGATAAGGGCAGTGTTGGCGGCAACTGTGGTGGTGGTGGCGGTGGTGGTGGCGGCGGCGGTAGTAGCGGGCAGCGGTCGCGGGCAGTGTCTGCGACAGCTTTGGCAGCCATTAACCGACCAGTGCGTGAGTTTGTCGTTGAATTCACCGACACGCAGACTGATGATGCACTGCGGACCAGTGATGCCGACTCGTTTTCTGATAGCAGCAGCAGCAACAGCAGCGGCGCGCGGCTGAGCGAGGCACTTTTACGCGAGCAAAAAAACCCGCACCCTAAGTCAAAGTCAAAATCAAAGTCAGGGTCAAGGTCAGGGTCAAAATCCAAGTCTCAGACCAAGCCCAAGTCAGAAACAGAGGTCAAGGCCAAATCCAAATCCAAGGCCAAGGGCAAGGCAAAGCAGCCCCACCAGCAGCTCAGGCGGATTAAGGCCAGTGGGACTGCGAGCCAAAAGCAAAAGAAGATCCTGTACATCCAGATGGAGTACTGCGAAAACAAGACGCTGAACGATTTGATACGAGAGGGTCTGGACGAGAAAGAGACCTGGCGTATGTTTGGCCAGATCCTTGAGGGCCTGAACCACATCCACCAAAGCGGTGTGATCCACCGGGATCTCAAGCCAGTCAATGCGTTTTTGGACGGCGCCGGCGATATCAAGATCGGCGACTTTGGCCTGGCAACGTCGAGCTTTGCGCCCATTGACGCCACGGCGTCGCGCCACATGAGCCTGGACCGCAGCATCAATGGCGCGGCTGGCGAGGACGGCATGACGGCAGACATTGGCACGTCGTCGTATGTGGCGCCCGAGGTCACGGCAAAAAGCAGTAATGGCGCGACGCGGTACAACCAAAAGGTTGACATGTACTCGCTGGGTATCATTTTCTTTGAGATGTGCTACCCGCTGCTGACCGGCATGGAGCGCGCTACGGTGCTGCACAACCTGCGCAAGCCCGAGATCGAGTTTCCGGACGACTTTCAGACGGACAAGATGCAGCTGCAGTACCAGATCATCAAGCGCTTGCTCAACCACAACCCACGCCTGCGGCCCTCCAGCGCAGAGCTTCTCGAGAGCGATCTGCTGCCACCCAAGATGGAGGACGAGTACATTCGCGAGACCATCCGCACCATTGCCAACCCGTCGCAGCCGTACTTTACCAAGCTGATGGACTCTCTGTTTGCGCACCAGACGGACAAGCTTATCGATGCGACCTTTGACTATCGCTCGAATGACATGCAGACGGAGCAGCTCAATGCAGTTTTCCTCGACCGCATCCGCGAGCTGATGACACGTGTGTTCCGCATTCACGCGGCCGTCGAGCTGTCGACCCCGGCGCTGACACCACGCACTGAGTTGCTGGACATGTACCAGAAGCCGGCGTTGTACCTCGACCCGAAGGGAAACGTGGTGCAGCTCCCGTACGATCAAACCGTGCCGTTTGCTAGGTATGTTGCACGCACCAAGATGACCGAGATTAAGCGCTACTGTTTCGATCGGTACTTTGTGGCCAACGCTGCGGGCGGCCAGCCTGTCAGCCACAGCGCTGCATCCTTTGATGCCGTCACTAACCGCAGCGCGCATGCTGTGGCCGCGGCCGAGGTCATATCAGTGGCCTGCGAGGTGTTCGACGAGCTACCGGCGTTCCGCGGCGTGCCCACAGTGCTGATGCTCAACCATATGAGCATCCTGGATGCCATTCTGACATACTGTGGCATCCTGCACCCTGAGTGGACTGCTGCCGTCGACCGCAAGCAGGGCGCGGTCAGTCCTGGTGATGACGATGGCAGCGGAGTGAGAGTGGAGGACAAGCAGAGACATGTGCAGTTTGTGCGCAACGTGTGCTTCTGTCTGGGCGGCCTGTACAAGGACAAGCCGCACACTATCAGGCAGCGCATCCAGGTGATGAGCCTGACGACCGGCATGAGGCTGCACTCGCAGGCGCTGGATCGGCTGCAGATATTCATGGAGGTGCGCGGTGACCTGAACTCTGTGCAGCGCGAAGTGCTCGCGAGAATCGGCAGCGAGTGCGGCATGTCGGGGACGGCGTATGCAGCCAAAGGAGCTGAGTACGTGCAGGCTGTCATCAGGGCGTTCAACGAGCTGCGGTACGTTGAGGCGTCGGTGAGGCACTTTGGCGTGGCGATCCCGTTTGTCTATGCGCCGCTGTACAACCACCACTATGCGTACTACGAGGGCGGGTATGCGTTCCAGATAATGACCGATCGCTCGCCTGGCAAGGGGCGCACCCCACAGGTGCTGGCGGTGGGCGGCCGCTACGACGGGCTGCTCAAGCGGTTTCGACACTTGGCCGGCAACTATACGTTAGAGGATGACGGCTCTAAGATTGCCAGCGATCAGAAAATTAACACTATGGCTGCGGCGGCTGCGCGCGGCAAGCAGCGGGGGGCGACCACGACAAAGTTTGTTGGCAAGCCGCCGTTGACCAAGCTGGGGTCTGACAAGGCCGGTGGTGGGCCCGAAAAGTCGTCCATGGCGTTTGCTCGTCGTACGGGATCGGTCCACTCGACAGATGTATGGAAGAAAATGTACGACAAGGCCGCAGGCGGCAGCAGTACCGGTAGCGGCGGTTGGGATCCATCGCCGGGATCCGTGTCCATTGGCACCAATCTGTCGACTGGCAGCGCCGTTCTGGGTACGGCTCGCGACGTGGTGTGCATTGGCGTGCAGATCCAACTCGATTTGGTCATCCAGGAGATGGCTTGGTACCAGCAGCAGGTTCTGCAGTCAACTGAAGGCTCTTCGATGCCAACTTTGGTCTGTGGACGCGCAAGCGCTGCGATGTTGTTGTAGCGTCCTTTGGCACTCGGCCCATGCTCCGCGAGCGCATTGCTTTGGCGCGCGAGCTGTGGAGACATGGGCTGCGCACCGATTTCTTGTTCAATGACGATCCCGAGATGACCATGGAGAGATTGGTTGAGATTTGTCGCGACCAGGCATGAACTGGATTGTCACACTTAACGTAAGCCCGCTGCTGCTGGCAGTGGTGGAGGCGGTGGCGGTGCTTCTCCATCTGTTGGAAGTGGGGGCGCAATGGCAGTGGGGTAACTGATGCCAGAAGATTGCCAACGAGCGCGCCTCGACTGGGCATCCGGTGGGTAAGTACGTCTACAAGGTCAAGAATATTTTGAGGAGAGTTGAGTGTGAGGTGTCGCGTGCAAACCTATGCGAATGGCTGCAGACGGATATTAGCGAGCATTGCGTGCGGACCTCAAGACTCACGAGAGTAGGGGTGGCGCTTTTATGGGGAGCATCGGCGAAAACAGCGGGCCGCTGATGATGCCCAAGGATGCGGCTGGTGCGGTCGGGATTGGTTCCAGTGGCATGGGTGCGGGTGGTTCTGGGCTGGGCATTGGCATTGGCGTTGGCGGTGGAAACAGCGGCAGCGTTGGCAGCAGCTTAGGGATTGGTGGTCAACAGCAAGCCTCGGGCGCGGGAATGCAGCAGCAGTTTTCCAACATCAACATTGCCGCCATCAACCACCCTAACCCACCAGTGCCCAGCAACAGCAGCGGCAACGGGCGCCTCGAGCTGGTCTTGGTCAACCCGCAGCAAACATCGACAAAGAATCTGAATCGGTCTAAACATAAGCAGAAAATGGCCCTCACTGACCGTGCAATGTCCAGTGTTGGCAGGATCATGGGGGAAGTGAAGGGCGCACCGGTGTTGGTTTTGGATTTGGGACCGGAGCTGGTAAAAAGGTTGGCTGGAGAGCAGAGCATCTTGACAGATTCCGGGTATAAACGCGTCATGGAGCTGTGCTCAGCTCATCAACGTGCGTATGTTGTCGAGCTGAGGTCTGTCATGGAGAGGTACCGTCGGAAGGGTGCTCGTATGTGTGGATTTTGCGGTCAAGGACGATAGTGCCATCACTTATAAACTTTAGCATGGTTTTTCTTTACATAAGTTTTCTTCTGTATTTTATGTTTGGTGTACTTTAATTGCAAATGGGGTTTTTTTTGCGTAAGTATTTATTTATACTATTGTTGTGGTCGTTAAAAAATATTTGTGAAATACAAATGCAAATAAATTAATATGAAAAAGTAAGGCTTGACAGAAAGAGCTTTGAACAGCAAATTTTACGTTTCGTCGAGAGAAAAAGGCTTTTACTGTGTTGTTGAACTGCAGTGCAAACGATTTCATTTTACCAACAACTCTCCCGATAGTCGAAATATTTTCATGTATTATTGTCAATTAATCAATCAATTCATTATTCATTTTTTTATACATTTACATGTGACTAACCTGCAATTGCATATACGTGCTTCGGCAGAGGTATTTTCAGCAGTTTTGTTCATGGTTAATGGCGTATGCGTGTGATAATTGCAGATTCTTGTAGATGTGGCCTATTTAGAAGTCGATATAGCAGAAGAGGCTAAAGAGATTGATGCAGTTGTAGATTCTGATGTAGTTGATGCGGTTGACGAGGTGAGTGCAGTTGTGCCAGAACATTTGGAGAGGGTGATGATCCTCTTTATATATGAAAATAGTTGACAGCATTGGCTATACAGTTTTTATAATATTAAATTATCATACGGTGAACGTGTCGAGAAACATGGTCACAAAAAATTGAGGGGCAGCTTGGCACTACATCAGCTGACGATGCATTACTTCAACCACTGTCAGCAGCACAAGTAGTAACATTCTATGGAATTATCCCCTGTATTCTTTATATAAATATTTTATTAATAGTATTTGTGGCTAATAATTATCATAGGAGGGGACATTGGCTTTCCAAGTCAACAAGTGCGCATTATAAAAAAATAGCGAATGAATAAATTAAAATGCTGTGAGCTAAAGCTGCCAAGTTCACGTAGTGGGTGGTGTACATGCGTTTGAAAATTAAAAATGAGGTTTGTTTTACAGTAGCATATTCCTTTTCTTTTTAAAATTCCGCATTAATTAAATATAATGGAAAAGCAAGTGCACAAGTGAATAAATAAAGAAATTTATTGTTAAAACAGCGACGTACTGTGGCCCATTGTACTCCTTTGACGCCGAGCAAAGTCGGGAAAATCCCTCTCAATTTTTAAACGCAGAATGCTCATTATTTTTACACTTTAATCATTTTTGTTAGGTCTGCGACTTGTGGTGCCAACAAGATTTCAGCCACTGTCTTCCTTTTTCAAGAATCAAGATCACCCTCATGGCCACTATACACATTTTGTTATTGCTGGCTAACATCAAGGAACACCATGATGTTTACAGTGCTGCCCCCTTTTGTAGTTCTTAAGTAATTTTTGAAATATAAAAATATATTAGTTTAGACCCACATTTTTCTAGAGCGTTACACGACTGACCTCTCACAAGCCTTTTTAATGCGCTGTCTTGATGAAAATTTATTATACTCTCTAATAGCTGGTTGATGGAAACCCTTTTCTAATTTGTTTAGTATATAAAAAAGACAAAGTGGTGGTTTTTGCTCCACGTATAAAAGTAAAGACATTCATCCCTAACCAGAAATTACACATTTATCCTCCATCATCTTCAACATAAATTGTCAGTTTAAACACCTTACAAGTTTATTATTCAAACGCCACATATAACCGACGTGTCCAGAAAACCCGATTATGACAATATTACGCCTTTAAACACTAAAAACATGCCTCCCCTCGTACGCCAAAACCAATAGTCCATATGTATTATTCTCTAGTATGGTTAAATACACTCGTACAGTAAGTTTTTTAATTTGAAAACTGCAAGCTAAAATTTTAAGTATAAATGTCGTTCCAAGAATCTTTAAACTGTGGAGTCCTTACCACATGGCTGCCCCAAATCCTGAGATGATTGCCATAAGTTTGCTTTTAATATTGCCCCAGTAGCTTTTAAGAGCAATAATGACATTAAAAATGGATTGGAAATAGGAGCAATCCGCTAGAGTTGCCTCGGTGCGCGTTCCTCCCTTTTTCCACTTTGTTAATTTTGTAAACCTTTTTGAGTATTAAAAACAATATTATTTTATAGGCCCACAGCCAAGCACAATAGTAATGTTTAAAAATAAACGTTGGCACTTCTGATTAAATTAGCTTTGTTTATTTGCCAGGTTAGCAGATACAGCCGGTGATTTGGATTTCAAAATGTTTTATAATACAATGTCATACGCATTACAGTTATGCGTACTTTATGACCGTATAATTATTTTTAATAATAAATCATTTAAAAATTATAAAGTAAAAATAAGTAAACTCTAGAAACAAATGGCGCCCATGCTTAATGTAATTTAATTTAATTTAAATATATGGACAACATGCCTTGGCTAGTCTTTGTTAAAAATACACAGGCCTTTCTATTTATTCTTAATTTATATAACCCCAAAAATGCTTTTATTATATAGATGCTTTTAACGCGTGGCCGCAGTGCTTTATAGCATAAATTGCAGAATTTTTTAGTCGGAACTTTTGGAGCAGGTCTTTTTATTGGTTGGTGGCAATCAACTAATTAGCCAGCCTTTGCTATTCCAGCCAAAGGCACAATCATCAATAAGTCACACAATGACCAAGCAATAATGTTCTTTTTTACCTTTTCCAGTGCATAGCACTTATATATTCAATACACCTTAATACGTAGTACTTTATTTCTATATGTTAATAGAACGGTTTTCCCAGAGTTTAATAGTATTGGTTGATGGCGATCAACTGATTAACCAGTCTTGGCTGTTTAGCAACACAAACAATAAGTCACACAGTGACCAAAGCAATATGCTTTCTACTATTTACCTTTCACAGTGCATAGCACTTATTATTAAATATACTTTATATCATTATAGTTTATCTACACGTTCATAGAAGTTCCTATATTCCAACAATAGTCTCAAAAAACGTGCAAGTTACCTTGACTTTTTGGCAAAAACAAGGATAATATGATTTCGGGTGCGTTAGATTCTGGATGAGAACCTAGGGGCCTGATTCGCGAATGTGGCAACTGCTGTCTATTTCTGTAAAGCATTTAGGTGTTTCTGTTTGCCCAAGAATGCATTTGCCAAGAGCCGGTTACAAGAGAGCAAATCCAAGGGGGGGAGGTTTGTATTTGCGTTTTTGCCTTTGGTTGGTCGCTGTAACCCAAAAATATACCTGCAGGCTAGCCCGGGCGTTTGAAGGCTTTAAGGAAAAATACGGTGGCAAATACCCACACATAGATAAGTCGTGGTGCACGATCACACACGTTCGTAGGTGCTGTAATAGTGTGGTTTTTTAGCAACAATATATAAATTTTATTTATTTATTAACCAAAAAAACATCACAGATACTTTGCGGCAATCACGTCAAACTCCTTATCCTTACGATCAAGCTCCACGACAAATTGGTGTTCTGGATTAGCCTTTCTCAGCAAACCCAAATATGATCTTTAGTCTCCAAAGGCAAAGCCAAAATATTCGCACAAACTACCAAATTAGCCAACACATCCGCATCTCCCTGGTCCCTCTCCAATGCATCCTGCAACATAGCCATAGCCTCAGTGACCAAGCCAAGATGCATTTTGCATACAGCCAATGCACAAACGACTCTCGCGGTGGATACGGCAGCGGCCTGTGCAAGCTCTTCAAAGATATACAAGGCTTCAGTGTATTTCTGACCACCCACATGCAGAGCAGTCCAGGCTTCGGCTAATTGCGCCAGGGGTGCGTCCTCAGCCCAGGCGCGAGTGCGTGCAACAGTTTTTTGCGCCAAATCCACGCGGTCAATGGACAAAAGGATGGCGGTGGTCATCAGGGAGCATTCGAGGTTCTTCGAGTGCATCGCCAGGATACTCAGCGCCTCATCATGCCGCTGCGCTAGTGCAGTACCTGTGCAGCAATGGCCACAAAGGTGCCACTGAGCAAGTTCTCCGGAACACTAACGAGTTCGGTAATGGCGGCGGTGGCGGCGTCGCGTTGGTCACCTGCAGTGTATTTAAAGGCAGTGAGGTGGCGAAGTGCCTGTAGCGTGGCGGGCGTGCTGGGTGTCGTGGGTATTTCGTCGAGAACCTGCTGGTGTTTGCCTTGGCCGAGGTATGAACGGTACTGGAGTGACTTTTTTTCAACATCGAATTCCCAGGCAGCGGTGTTGCTCCGGAGATGGGTGAGATTGCTTAGGGCTTGCGGGTAGGCGCCGAGGTAGAGCAGATTGCGCGCAGTGTAAAAGTCATCAACCACAGCCTCGCTCATTTTAGATGGAAAAAGGGAAGGTTGAATTTGGATTGAGAAAAGGATTGCGAATGTAAGAAAAAAAGAGCGAAGAGAGAAGTTTAACTCTGTGACGCGTTACAAAAATCCATTCTTTATTTTGTTTTTACATAGCGTCAGTGTATATGCATGGGCTTGTAAATGTTGGTGCGCTGATTAAATCAGTGTTGATCTTGGTCAGACCGACCGACTAGGTGACGTCTTGTTTGGCAATATGGCAATATTGAAATAACTGCCATTCGAGTTGATATACGTTTATCACAAAATAATTGACGTTCTTACTGCCGTTGAACAAAAAAGGGTATTTAAACGTTTTTCCTCATGCAACAACAGACCAAAATGAAGTATTTTTCCTCCTTTTTTGCCATTTATTTCAGTATTATATTACATATAAAAAACCACGGATGCGCTCGTTAAATCCACTAATAATTGCCTGCCTCTTTTTTTTTGGCACAGGTGCTTTGGCACTGAACCTCACTGGCGAAACAGCGCTGCTTGATGCCGCGCCCACAACGACCAACCGGCGACACGCCACGGCCGTGACGTTCGGCGAACTAGGCGTCTTCGATTTCCGCGGCAACGGCCACGCCCGCGTCGCGCTCTCTCTCGGCGCCTTCTCCTCCGAAAAAAAGGACACCCCCGCGGACAAGCGCCTACGCTCTGCGCTTTCCACAGGAAGCACAGAAAACACAAGCAACTCAGCATTGGCCAGCCGCCAGGCAGCTCAGGGGCAGAGTCCGGTGCGCACCACAGAGTCGGTGGAGCTGGACCACGTGTATTTGATATTTGCCAAAGCACGTGCAGTGAATAACTTTGTCGCTCGACTGCATACTGCCCATAAAAGGGAGAATGGTCAGAGAGTGGTGGGGCAGAGGGGGGCGGATGACGAGACGGCAGCGCTGATGTTGTGCTCGGATGTCGGAAGCTGGCTGGAGAGCGAGTTTGTCGCGCCCATATCGGCGCTACGCCGGCCTGCAAAAAAGACAAAAGAGGCAAGTGATGCAAATGAGGCAAAGGAGGCGGCGGCTGTGGAGGAAGAGGACAGGCCGAAGATCTCGTTCATTGCTGCGGCCACCGGACATCCGACGCTGGTGGCGGACGGGCTGCCAAGGGTAACCAAAGTCACGGGCATGCAGAGGCGTGGCGCGACACCGACCCCGGAATCAACAAGCAATTCAGAATCAGCAACAACAGCAAGACCCCGGCCCAGCGCCGATGCGCCGCCGCTGCTGCTGGGCGCTGATTCCACAGCCAACGACGTTTTCCTGGTCGAGTACGAGTGGGAGTGGCTGGTGCAGCACGGCGGCGAGTACGCGGTGGTGATAGCCAACTGCGCAGCAACAACAATGCAGTTCAAGTACAATCTGATCATGGCCAACCGCGGGCTCGACGGGCAATGGACGAACCTGCCAGCGGGGTGGATTCCCGTCCAGCGCGTTCTCCCGGCAGTCAGCCACACGCTCTGGGCACTATCGCTTGCATTATGGGCTGTGGCCGCCGTGCACGCGCATGTGCGGCGGCGGGTGCGGCCGGTGTTAGCAGCGGTGGTGGGGTTTGTGCCGGTGCTGCGGCTGCTCAGCAGCCTGGCGGACCAGAGCCGGATGCGCGTGTGGGGCGCCGGCGCGTACGAGGTGACAATGGTGGCGGTGTCCACCAGTCTGGTGGACGCATTGGCTGACGGCACGCAGCTGCTGGCGCTTCTGGCGCTGTCGAAGGGCTGGGGCGTAGTGCGCGCAAGGCTGGCTGGCACGGAGAAGCGGCTGGTGCCTGGGCTGGTGGTTTTCGTTGGCGTCGCTACGCTGTATGACGGCGCAACAAGGGGCGGCGGCGTACTGGCCGTTGGTGTGCTGCAGATGGCTGCTGCGTGGTATGCATGTGCGAGCATGGCGCATACGCGGCGCGCACACGCGGTGCAGACTCTGAGGCTGGTCAGCCGCAATGAGACGGCGCTGGCGCGGTGGTGGGCGACGCAGGCCCAGGCGCAGCAGGGCAGCGGCAGTGGCAGTGCAGCCAGCAACCAGGCGCAGCAGCTGGGCTGGGCGCCGGCCGTGGCGCTGCAGCGGCTGGCGGCATGCAGCTGGGCGTGCGTAGCAGCGGAGTCAGCCTCGGCCGAGCGCAGTCGCTTAGCGCTGGTATGGAGCGCTGTGCGCAAGGAGCGGCTGCTTCGGCGGGTGCACCGGGTGGCGCTGCCGCTGCAGTGCGTAGATGTCGGTGTTTTGCTGGCAAGCAGCTTCGCTGTGCCACCGCATCGCGCGTTTGTTGGGCTGCTGTTGGTGCAGGCGGCGCACTGGGCGGCCTTTATGGCAGTGTTTCTGGTGCTGGCGCTGGATGGGCTGGAGCTGCCTGATGTGCTGTTGCCGCCGCTGCCGGCGATTGCTGCGCGCAGGTCCATTCCGCTGCCCCCGACTCAGACGCGTGCGGCGGCTGCTGTGTCGCATCGCCCGATGCCGCCGCTGGGCCACCTGCGCCTGCTCCGGAGCGCAACGCCGTTTGCCGCCACCGGCTAGCTGTTGATCAAAAGGACCATTGATTGTTAAAAGCTGATTGGCGGCCAAAGTGGGCTCTGAGCTTGGCTGAGCTTGGCCGAGTTTGGCTGGATCTTCCGATCACTTTTTCGTTTTGCACCAATCAGGTTGCTTATCTGGTGCTAATTAAATTTTCACGTGCCATCTCTAAAAAAAATAGCTCGCTTGTGTTCAGGATATCTAATCCCCCTATCCGGGCTAAAAAAAAAACATTATTTCTTTTTTCCTCTTTGATACAAAAATTCACATTTCGAAATTTCACACTTTACCATTTTATTATTATGAATTTTGGCTTTTATGCTTCAGGGTTCTCACCAGGAAACACCACTGACGATCCTCCCGGTCATTCGGCAACACCAGGCGGCCGAGCCCCACACCCAGTTGCACACTTGTCTTCACTTCCTCAGCCATATCAATTCGCCACTCAGTCTATCACATCAGCCGGCCACTATGCAGACTCCCCCTTGCGAACAGCAGAGCCTGGACAACCGAAAGACACCACGGGCGGCAGCAGCAGGCCCATCGGCATGGCGTGCAGGGCGTGTCGGCAGCGCAAAATCCGGTGCGGCGGTGAGCGGCCGCGGTGCATGTACTGTGTCAAAAAGGGCTATGAGTGTTTATTGACTCCGCACAAGAAACGCGGCAGACCGAGGAAGAACACCGATGATCAGGGCGGAAAGCTGTTGTCTGGTACCAGGGATGACATTGGCAGTGAAGAAACGCCTTATGTGGACGAAGATATGGATGAGGGGGAGGGGGCCAGTTTTAATGACAATGGTGCTCCAGTGGATTTGGGGAAGGGGTTTGCTGACGGGATGCTGGATTTGCGCCAGCTGTGGATGGAATTAACTGGCGGACATGCCTCGGAGCTGCCCCTGGAGCTGTCGGCTTTGGCGGCCAATTCTGCCACGCAGATGGATGAGTTGCTTGGGAGAATCCCCAGTATTGGGCCTAGCTTTAACCTTGGAGGCACAGTACCAGGACCAGGCACAGGCCAAGACAGCAGTGGTGGCGACTTGAATATACTGGCTGCGAACTACGCCTTCCCGCCATTTGATCCGATGACGCCTGTGGATCAGCTTTCCGCTGGGCTAACTGCCAGGACTGAGCGGTTGGCCAGCGGTTATGTTGCTGCGGATGCTGGGATTTCGCAGCAGCAGCTTCAGAATATGCATCAGATCCAAATGCCCTTTGCGATGCCATCGGCGCAAAACCAAAATCAGAACCAGAACCAGAATTTGGAGCAGAGCACAAGGCAGAATCAGAGGATGAGCCAGAGGCGAGGGGCAAGTGTGGGCTCGTCCACGCACCTGTCATTTGGCACCGAGAGTATAGCCGAGTCGGCCAAGGAGTCTGCTGTACTGGGGATCGGTGAATCCAAGCGAATTCCAGTCGGCAGTGCCTCGCAGAATCAAAATAATCACCAGAATCAACACAATCAGATACATGCGTCCGTGGTGGTTGCGCACACTATCGATGAGGGAATCCGGCAGTACTTTTCCTGTGTGCACCCATGGATGCCGATCCTCCACCGCCCGACTTTTGAAAAACAAGTGCTCTGTGGACAGGTCGACCCAATCCTGTACTACGCGGTGCAGGCCATTTCGGCGCGCTTCTGCCAGCATCAGAATCAAAACCAGAACCAGAACCAGCACAGCTCGCCGTTGCAATCGCCATCAACCTCAGCCTCAGTCTCACCCAGGCGGCCTTATAAGCGCGGCCACCGGTTTGCACGGGCCGCTCAGTCACTGCTTCCCGAGTCCTTAAAGTGCACCAAGCTGTCAACCCTGCAAGCGATTACCATCCTGGCTCTATACATGTCCGTGTCGGGCCACTGGCAGGAGGGAGCGGCGCACGAGAAGCTGGCTGTGCAGCTGGCGTTCACAGGCCAGTACCATCTTCTGGACGAGGAGTTTCTGATCCCGCCAGTGACCAACAACATGGGATTGTTCGAGAGTGGATGGTCGGAGCGGACCAATCCGTCGCGGCTCGAGGCGCTGAGCCGGCCAGGCGGCATTCTGGAGCACGAGCAGAGGCGGCGACTATGGTGGGCGATCTTCCACCTGGAGCGGTTCAACGGACTGGCAATGGGACGACCAGCGATCATCAAGCCTGGGTGGCACTGGGTATGGCTGCCGTGCAGCGATGAGCTGTGGGCGTCGGACCAGCCCAGTGGCACGCTCTCGTGGGAGCTTGGACTGACCGCGGTGGAGCGCCGCCCATCCCAGGCTGTGTCCAACTACCGCGTCGACCTTGTCTTGGCTCTTATTATGGGACAGCTGGTGGAGCAGCGCACGGAGATGTTCCGCCTGTTTTTCCCGCGCATTGACCGCGGCACCCTGTTCTATGATAACCTGCCGACCCATTCCTTGCAGTGGTCCCAGCGGCTGCGCAGCCTGGCTGAAGTTGTCCATGGCTTGGAGCGACGTATCCGCCAGTGGCGGTTGGATCTCGATCAGTACGCGGATGCATTTTCGACCCGGCGTCATGCGAATTTCGAAATCATCGGCGCCTCCTGTCTTGTTCATTTGTACGCCTGCGTGTTGCAGATTAGAGAGCACCTTTTTGAGGACATGCTTGTGCATGAGGAGGCGCAGCAGGGCAGTGGCGGTGGCGGCGAGGCGATGGATGATTTGAATATGGCTGGTGTTGGTGTGTTTTCGCAAAGCTCGTCGGCGGAGTGTATGCCACCGATGCCGCCGCCACCCTTGTTTGAGGGACTCGAGGGTGTCAGTAATGGCTGTGCCAATAGCTGGCGATCGACATATCAGCGTGGATACGTGGCCAGGGCAAAGAGACCTAAATTGACATTGCAGTTTGTCGGTGATCTGGATTCTCTGGCGCAGCGGTGCTGGGACAGATCGGTGGCTGCGGCCGATGAGACTGCAGGGCTCCTGCATGCCCATTGGCTGAAGCCCCTTGACCACCAGGCGGGAGTTGGTGTTTCTGAGAAGGCGGATATGCGAGACGATCATCTGGAGAGCTTTGTGTCTGGTAGCTTTACACATCCCAGAGCAGCAGATTCCAAGTGGACACTCGGTGCCAGTCAGCCCAAGCTCGCAGCGCACAGCAAGGGTCCACCAGTTGCCACTGCCACTGCTTCTGCCTCTGCTTCTGCCTCTGCGGGCCCTGCGTACATGCAGGGCCTGGACGCGCGGATCGCAGACCGGTTCAAGCTGATGAGCCCGCAGACGCCCTATCATCTGTTCATCGCAGGCAAAGTGCAGGCAGCCAGGCTCAAGCAGGCCATCAGTTTCCAGGCATCGGCACCCGGGCACAGTTCAGCAGCAGCAGCAGCAGCAGTGGTTGAGGATGAGGGGGAGAATGGCGGTGCGAAGTCGGAGGAGCGTGAGGCTGTAGTGGAAGCCATTCGCCGCGTCAACCAAATCTGGGACGCTCACGGTGCAGGCATAGATGCCCAGGCGGTGGAGGCTCGGCTGGATCTTATTGTGGTTGCGCTGGAGTATTGCCAGCTGTACTGGTACTCGCTGAACTTTGCTTCGCATTTGAAGTACTTGAAAAGAGAGGCGATGAAAGCTGGGGACTAAGTCTTTTTTTATTCTGTAGATCGCGCAATATTGTTTTTAGCTCAGCCCCCTCCCCCCCCCGCTTTGAGCCTTAAGCCTGGGGTCGTTTTGTTTTGTTTTTGTTTTGTTTGCGCACCATCGTCATCGCCACTCGCTCATTTTTCTTTCTTTTAGATTTGTACTTTTAAAATTTCATTTATTTCATTTCCACACCTGAATTTATTTCTTAAAGTCCATTATTACGCTTGCACAGAGCTACATTCAACCCAATTCAATGACGCTCATTCTGGTTCTCGGAGACATTCACATTCCGCAGCGCGCCGCTGACATTCCGGCGAAATTCCGCAAACTCCTTGTGCCAGGCAAAATTGACCAAATCCTCTGCACCGGCAATCTCTGCGACCGCGCCACCTACGAGTACCTCCGCAGCATAACACCAGACTTGCATATAGTTCGCGGGGAATTCGACGACAAGACGCAATACCCTTTGTCAATTAAAGTAGCCCAGGATGAATTGACCCTAGGCCTAGTGAACGGTCATTATATGGTGCCGTCTAACGGTGATGTGGATACCTTGGCGGCTACCGCGCGGCAGATGGATGTTGATGTGCTTGTGACTGGGAATACCCATAGGTTTGAGGCGTATGAGGAGCAGGGGAGGTTTTTCATTAACCCGGGAAGTGTCACTGGGAGCTTTAGTCCGTTGGAGGTTGCGCCGATTCCGTCGTTTGTCCTGATGGAGGTCAAGATGAGGATGGTTGTGGTTTATGTTTACCAGCTGGTTAATGATGAGGTTGTCGTTGACCGCATCGAATATGTGAAGAATGACGACTAAATAAAAAAATAGAATAAAAACTTTGTTTATTTGAAAAGTAATAATAATGCAGCAAGAGGCGTTTTAGCCGTTGGCTTATAAAATAAGAAAAGCGAGACGAACCAAAACAGTGTTTGGTTTTATTTTTTTTGTATACTTTCAGCATTTGGGAATACACGAGAAGAATGATGGCATCGAGCAACCATTACCATCACTGTCATCGCTATCGTCGTTGCTGCCACTAATGCCTCTAATAGATTCTTTGTTCACCCTATATTCGCTGTCGTCGTCGCCATCGTAACCGCGGTCATGTTCATTGTAAGTGTCAGTGTCAATGCAAGTGTAAACGCTACCGGTATCACCATCGTATCCGCTTTCGCCACCTTTGTTTTCTATAACTGCTTCATTCTCGTTATATTTGTTTTCTGTTTGCTTGGTACTGCTTGAGTCTGGTGCCGTGCTATATGCTGCCATGATTTTGGAATGGTTAATGAATGAATAAAAGTGTACAAGTAGCAAAAAAAAGCCAAAAAAATTGTTAGCAAAAGAGTGAAGAAAATATTATTTTCTAAAACTTGTGGACTTAAATAGCCAGTCTTGAATAAACAAAACGTTGGTTGGGGGTTTTAAACAAACAATTCGTATAATTAGCTTAAGCCAGAAAGTATATAGAAAAATGCGAGTATAAAAAAAAATAGTTTCAGTCTATGAAAAATATTTTTTTAGGCCTTTAAGTCAGCACATGTGCGTGATCAGCAAAAGCAATGACTTTCACACTAAAAAAGCAAGCTTTAAAAAGAATAGGTTCAAAACATGAATAAAGTGAGCTTTTACATGTTAATTATTTTGCACTAATAAAAATTAGAGCTCCACGTGCGAATTTGTCAATTGTGACGTTATGTTTTGTATTAATATTCAAAAGTAAATGCACCCCCACCCCTTCAATTGAATATTTACAACTACAGTATTGGTGCACAAGCACTATTATTTTTTAGTTTCTATTTCATATATAAACCCTATTTCTCTCTACAAATGTATTGTCTAAAGCGCGTTTTAATTACACTTCACCTTTATCTACAATAGTATTATACTTAATTCTGCCATCTACCTATTCAGCCAACATTAACGCATACAACCATGTCCAAGTGTTCTTCCATCGACAGTAAATTAACCACTTGCTACATTGACAGCCTACCTCCTCTAGAGAGGCAAAACCAAGCGAGATCGTCTAAAAGTAGCAGCAGCATCAGCACCAAAAGAAAAGACGGCAAAGGCAAAGGCAAAGGTAAAACCTGCGTAATTCTTTAAAAACAGGGATTTTTCTATTTCTCTGTAATAAAGCAAATAACTCGCATTTTCAACACTTTTTGTTAAATTTTATAAATAAATGTGGAGGTTGTCGCAGTAATCCAAAGCTCGTAGAGTTAAATAAATAAATAAATAACATCATGTCGAGTATTAAATTTAACCATTAAATTCCCGCTATAAATAAAAAATGTAATACTTACTATGAAAGGCCAAGGCCAAAGGCAAACATTGAAGCACAAATTGTTTAGGATGTTAAAAAAACTTATTGTGCAAGCGAGACTACCCCTTTACTCATTTGCCAAAAATAAAATGCTCAGAAGTAAAGAATAGAGTCAACATATTTTTTTTATTCAAATAGTTCAACTTTTGCGCATAAGTTGTTCAAGTTTAACACTGCGGCGTTTCTGCGAACTTTCCGTAAACAGACACAAAATGCGTGTACAATTTTGCATATAAAAGAAAAACTAAATGCCAAGTTCATTTTGGGTTATTTTATTTTGGTTTTATGTTTATTTCTTATTCACCCAATGCTCTACATACTACAAAATATTCAAAAAATTTAGCACATACATATTAATTACTCAGTCATGGCAGCCAACACCAGTGCATACGAGTCCCACAGCAACGACAGCAAATTATACAATTGCACAAATGACAAGAGCTCAACCCCCGATAACTACATTTACTACGCTTTTTGAATATTTGAAACTGAAGAGCCAGGAGAACTCGATGTCACTGATTGTAAATATTGCATTCTGTGGACGCTGATCTGCCAACAGTGTGGCAGTTATTTAAAATAAAAACAGTTTGGTGAAGATACATTACGTATAGTTATAATATGTATATTTGGAAACACAAGTGACATTGTTCCTTTGACCATTCAATCCTAATTTTGACGTTTATTTTTGAAGAAACGCCATTTATACGTAAAAGAAACGGGAGGAAATAATAATAATTTTAAAGAAAACAATATTTAGTAGTTTTATTTCTCACATGAAAAAATTAATTTCATTCTGTTTTGCCATTCTTGCGGTCCTGGATAAACTTGTGCAACATAATGAGTATGAGCAAAACAGGCAAATGAGCCAAGCTGCTGAAAAACAAGCGACGCGATTTTTTCGCGTCCGGTTGGCGCCAAAATTCATAAGCACAGTACGCCATAAACGCGTTAATCGCCGATGAATCCAGTAAAAACCACATATCAGTCAATCCCAATGCAGGCAACATGGCGCAAAGTGGGAACATAAGCAGTGAGTACCGTAGGGACACGCGAGCATTCAATCGCGGGTGAGTGACGGACATCATCCGGTATCCGGCCTTCGAATAATCTGCGCGCAGTGTATACGCCAACGAGTTGAAGTGCGGGAACTGCCAGGCAAACATAATGCCGCCAAGAACCCACGCGCCAGGACCTAGAGACCCGGTAGCTGCAGCCCATCCCATAAGCGGCGGAATGGCGCCGACCAGGGACCCGACCCATGTATTTACTATCGTCATGCGCTTCATCGCTGTGTACACACCGGCGTACAAAATTATATTGGCCAGGCCGAGCGACGCTGTCAATGGATTGACAAAAAACCACAAGGCAGTGACGCCGCCTACCCCCGAGGATACAGCAAAGGCCAGGGCGTGCAGGGGCGCGAGCGCGTGCCGAGCCAGCGGCCGGTTGCGCGTCCGGCTCATCTGCGCATCATATGGCACTTCAATCCACTGGTTGAAGCTGTTGGCGCTAGCCGCACACAACGTGGTGCCCAGTGTCGTCCACAGCAGTGTGCCTACTTGTGCAGCGCCCGGCGCTATCGCGTAGCCAGCCATTGCAGTCAGAACAACAAAGCCTGTGAGCTTGTCCTTTGATAGGTCGCTGTAGACCTTGCCGATATTGCTCAGTGGTGTCTGCGACTGGATCCGCCACTTTATAACCGATTCATCTTGTAAGTTGCGCTGTGTCGTTAGCCGCGCATCCGGCTGCTGCTGTTGCTGGTGCTGGTGCTGCTGGGGCGATGTTGTGTCTTTGGATAGTTTTCGTGACTCTGTGGTAGTGCTGCTGCTGCTGGACTGCATGTACCGGCTATGAGCAGGAAATGTAAACGAGAGAGCATGCCTATTGCTGTCTTTGAGCTTGGCAAGCACGTGCAAGTGGCTGTGTTTGGGTTTCAATGACAGAAGCAGAGTCGGGCTCGCACAGGCAGCGACTCGCGGACAGCTTTTCCACAGCGGCCGAATACAGAGCATGATTTGAAACTGTATGAATATAAAAGGATTGAAAAAAAGAATTAAATTGAATTGAATTTAAAGCTTGTTTTTGCTTCTGGCAAGAGGAGATAACCCCCTTTTTTCTTTTCTCATCAGTGCAAGTGCGATCAAGACCCGCCCGCATGGACGGTCTTGTTATTTTTTCTTTGTAGTTGGACAAAAATCCAAGGGAAAAGCTGGCTGCTAATCTGATGAGGGAGGGAGGTTTGCTTTGATATCTCACGGCTTGATTCGCAGATAATGAAAATCAAGCTAAGCTCAAATTTAAAAAAGCGCATGTCTCAATATTGCTGTAATATGCAAATGTAAGTAGATTTTGCAATTTCCAGGTATTTATAGGGAAAGTCCAGATTTTTAAGCGGGAGGTTTTCAAAACCCGTTTTTCATGCAAAAAGACACCGTCAGAGTCGGCTGAACCCGAGTCTACAGCAAGGTCCGAGACTTTGCTCAAGCCAAAGTCTAAGACTAAGCGTGTACGCAAGAATCCATCTGCCCCTGCTTCTCTTCAAAAGAAGCAGCGAGCTGATTAATGTCGTCAGCCATAGTTGGTCTATTGTCACCAGCTTCTAAACACCTAGCAGGTTGCTATGCAATCTGTGGGAAGGATGTCGATTTGCAAGATACTTGTAGTCTCATTATTTTCTTTTAATGTATGTAAATGGATAAAATAATTTGGAAAATATTGAACATTAATTAGAGAAAAAAGAGAAACAAAAGAAAAGGAAAAAAGAGGAAATTAATTAGTTGCGGGTGCGTCGTTGCCGCCGAGGTGCTTGCAGCCGCGACACAGGCAGTGGGATAGCCGAGGCAGAAGCCTCCATCACCGCATCCGCCTGCACGTCCTCCCCATCAACACTCAGCGCCGATCCCGAATGGCGCGAGCTCAACGTGCGCGGCCTCCTCGTCGGTGGCTGCTGCATTTCCGAGTCGGTCATCGGCGACGCAATATTCTCCGACGGTCTCTTGAGCATAGATTTGGTGGTGGACTCAGGCGACACAAGGGTCTGCACGCTTATCGCAGACACTGGTGTGCTGGTATCGCCGCCAGCCATCTGCATGTCGTCCGAATCCTCAGAGCCAATGTCCATGGGCGCCAAAGAAATAGGCGCTCCAGGGGCAACCGTGATACCCGTCCAGCCAAGCTGCTCTCTCGGCTGCTGATCAATTTGATCAATTTGATCAATTTGGTCACTTCTTTCGAGCTCAGTGAGCTTCGCCAGAATGTAGTCATGGTCCCTAGTGACGTTCCACTGGTTGACGCTTTCGTACTTGCGTCTCGGCGGCGTTGAGCCTCCGCACACAGTGGGCGCGATTCCTGCAGATGATTCATGCGACACGACGTCGGCAATGGCCGTGATGCCGCGACCGAGCTCAGTAGCGACATCCTGAAGCTCCAAGGACTGCGTTTGTGCCAAGCCGTCCAGCTCCGTGCGGGCAGTGCGCCAGGAACCAAGCGCGCCGCCTGTGACGTCCGAGACACGCTGCACGGCCACAGTAGACACTTGGGTGCCCTGGCCAATAGAGCTGCTGGCCAGCTCGTACATGCCAGCAAGCCCCTTGCGAATATCTGCGACAAGCGCAGCAGAGTCCGACTGCACATTAGAAACGCTGGCCATGGTGGCATCGACAGTCATCTGCATGCCATCAGCGTGCGTGGCCGCGAGGGAGCCGAGACTCGCCGAGCGAGCGGCAGAGTCACTTAAGGCGGCGTCCATACTAGCACCGATATCGCCATGGATCTGTGAGATACGCGTAGTGAGCGAACCAGCCAACTGCCCAGCCTGCCGGCTAATCCCAGTCGACTGCTCGAGCATGGCATTGGCACCGGTGGTGTTCTCTTCAGCCTGCGCCTTGGCCGTCTGCAGCATCTCCGCCATGGCCTCGGCCTCGCGCTCCCTGCGCTCCACAAGCATCGCCTGAATGCTCTGCACCAGCCGAGCATCCGCGTCCTGCGCCTGCCCGGCCAGCGCAGATACCTTAGTCTGCAGCGCACCGACCTCAGCCGCATGCTTCTGCGTCAGCGCCGCAGCGTGCCGCGTGAGCTCCTCGATGATCTGCGCAGCCAGAGACTGTGACTCCTGCTGTTTAGCAGCGGCCTCGTCACGGCCAGCCTCAACAAGCTGCAGTACTGAGGCTGACATAACTGCCATTGCCTGATCCTGCTGCTTGAGAGTGGAGCCAACAGAGGCCATGTACTCAGCACAAGCTGTGGCGCACTTTGCCGACGCCTCATGCGTGCCCTCGGCGAGCGATCCAACCAGCGAGCCGAAGGCAACCAGGGTCTTCTCGCACGCCTCCGCGATCTGACTGCCCTGAGATTCGGCGCCGCCGGCAATCGTCGCAAGCTCAGCATTGAGCGCATCCACGTGCTGGCGCACAGTCTCGGCCACCGAAGCCTCAAACTCATCGCCAACACGCGACCGCAAGGTATCCAACAGCTGCGCAGTCTGCTCGCCGGCGCGCTCCGAGTGTCCCTTGACGGCAGCCAGTGCGCGCGTGGTTTCGTCTCTGACTTTTTGCTCGATATTCTTGGCAGCGCGCAGGTTGCGCCTTTCGCGATCAGCCATGCGGGAGATTTTCTCCTGCAGTTGCTGCGCGTCAGTATCCGCAGCAGCCAGCGTGTTGTAGAGCTCGCGCGCGGCAGTATCCAGAGAGTTTTCGTGGAGGGCATGTGCGCGTGTCAGGACCCTTTGGTCATCGAGTTGCTTCTGGGCCACTGCGAAAGCAACCCTGGCCCTGTCGAGCATCTGCTCCGAGTCAGCCAGTGCAATCTTGGTTGCCTTGTGGTGTTGCTCGAGCTCCGCGTGTTCTCTGCCGACTTTCTCTATTTGCTCCTCAAGAATGTCGACGCGCAGCTTCCAGTCGTTGGATTTCTCGCGCGAGGTTTTGACTTCAAGCATGAGTTCGTCGTACGAGTCCTTGGCCATAAAGAACCCGGTGCTGTCACGCGCCGCCTCCAGATCCTTCTTGAGCTGATCAATCTGGTGCTGCATGTCGTGGACAATCTCAGATTTGGACACTCTCTTGTTGGCCACTGGCCGATTGCGGATGCCCTTGGCCTGGCTTGCATACTGCAGTGTTTTGATGGTCTCCTCGATATTCGTCACTGTGTCGCTGATCGTCGCAATCATGCAGGTCCTTGTGCGACCGCCCAGGGCGTCCTTTATGATATACGTCAGCTTGCTGTCCCGATAAGGAACATATGAGTTGCGCTCGACCAAGGCATTGATGACTCGGCCCAACACAAGCAGCGACTTGTTAATGTTTCCAGCCTCCCTTGCGCGCATATCCTGGGCACCGCTGCGGCCGATATTCTCGCTACCTGCGAGATCCACCAAGTTGAGCTTGCCTATCTTGACAATGTCCTCGCCCTCGGCCGTCACGGCGCGCTCGTGAATAAACACGCTGATTGTGAAAATAGCGTGCGAGCGCGAGCTCGAGTCGTTGCACCTGGTTGCAGCGACTTTGCGCCGGATGGACCCGCTCTGCATAAACCCCATGGCCTCCTTGGCGCTGCCAACGATCTTCTCTTCAAGGCCCTGGATAATGACTCCTTTCTCGGCGCCCGAGTCGTACACCTTCAGGTGTCCATTGGAAGACTCAAAGCCGCCGCCAAACACCCTGCCCTGGGCATTATCCGCCGCGGGGTTATTGGCCAGAAGGTCACGCAGCTCCTCGTTGTACAGCTCAACATACGACACGCGAACATAGTACTCTGCAGACTGCTTGTCCAGGGCGTAGAACAGATTATACAGTGTGCGCGGAATAATTCCGGCCTTAGATGATATCCGCGCGCTATTAGTCCCCAAAGCTGCCGCCGCCGCTGCTGTAGCGAACATCGGAGGCTGCGTGCGAGAGGTCATTGGCGTGCTGATCATTGGCGCATTACCGGATGATCCGGAGTCCAGGTCACCCTCCATCGTGTATGTTTTGCCTGTTCCTGTTTGGCCGTAGGCGAAGATCGTGCAGTTGTATCCTAGGAGTACTTCGTTGAGGATGGGACTGACGATCTTGTCGTAGATGTGCTCCTGCGTGGCTTTGGGGCCGAATACCCCGTCATACTGGTAGGATCGCGCAATGGACGATGGCCCATCGATTTTGACGTCCTGACCGAAAACCGGATGAACGACTATCGATGAGCTGCTTGTTGTGGTTCTCAGAGGCGACTCCCTAAAAGAGTTGTAAAAAAACAGTGCAAGCGTTTGAGGGATGGCGGAAAATTAGTGCGAATTGTCAATTAGGTAAAAAAAATAATAATATACAAACCACATTATTTTCAACATAATATCATCATCGTTGTTGTTGTTGTTGTTGGTATTATTGCTACTGTTTACCTGCACCGAACGACAACTTGGATATTTGTGTCCTTTTCTTGGGTTGCAGAGCCATTGCTCTTGGTCATACTCTTGGACATTCTTTTATTTATCCTCTTTTTTTAAAAAAAAAAATAATTAGCACTCGAAAACGCAATAAATAATAAGAGAAATAGAAAAATTACTGAGTTGGTGAAATTGAAGAAAAAAGAAAGAAAAGAAAGTGTGTGTGTGTGGAAATTGTTAAAAAAATATTATAAATAATGAATAAAAATAAGAACAATGGTTACAAGCAAGGAAACAAGAACGATATACTAAAGAAAGAAGAGAAGAGAAGGAAGTTAATCCAGCTGTCTGTTGCTGCTGCTGCTTTGGATTTTCGCTGTTTGCTCTAATCTCTCAAGTCTTGTTCATGTGGGGATAAGACCAAGGGAGAGGGAAGAAGAAAAAAAACCCGATTTTGCCACTTCTAACGGTAAACAGTAAATTTTTTTTATTTTTCAAAAACTGACAAATGATTGTTTACACTTTGGGTCAAGTATCCAATCACGCGTTCTAATTTTCGATTAGCTTAATTACCGACCCCATCCCATCCCAAAAAAAAATTAAATAAGAATAGAACTTCACCAGCAAGACGCAGTGTGGCCATCGGATTTCATCGCATGCCTGATACTCAGCACTGTGCTAAGTACCATGACAGTGAGGCCAAAGCAAATACACAACCAATGCGGCAGTGTTTTCTTCGACACCACCATCTCTCGTGAAGTCAGCTTGATAAAGCAAGCCGAAGGCATAATAAAAGCCAAAAACGACGCCGACATGCCTCCAGTCAACTCAAGCAAGAGGCCCAAATTGCACACAGTCTCGCCAACAACCAGCCCAATACCGCACAGCAAAGTGGTAATCAAAACATGCCTTCTCAATGAAAACTCGCATCCGCTGCCGAACCAGAGAGACTCCAGCACTTCACGCGCAACCAGGGTTTCCATCGGGAAAGTAGTGATCATGTTGAGGGCGAAGAGAAACGTGCAATGTTGATAAGCAAGTTATCCTGGGGGAAATTATTCAAGACGTTGCCTTGTGTGATGTCGCGGAAGTAGAGGTAGCCGAAAACGGCAATAACCAGGCTGGCGACGGTCGCTATAGCCGTGGATAAGTGCACGACGCCAAAGTACCGGTCCAGCGTTGGTTTCCTTAGCGACCCGTGGATCATAAAGCTGTTGTGGTGGCAGACAAAGGCAAATGTGATGACGCCAACGGCCTGGAAGACACCACTGTTAACCAGCACCACGGGAGCCTCGGGCCCAGCCCGCCAGCTCGCATCGATCCTCGGGCCCTCCACAACCACAGACACGATGATCGTGCACATGGCCACCACCGCAAACGCGCTGGTCTTGCCCAGCTTCCCAATGTCCCGGTACAGCGACAGCGGGTACGCGAGGAAAATGACAAAAAAGGCAACAACAAAGCGGCGCGAAAAAAACACCCGGCCAACCGAACCCGCCGCAACCGACGGAAACAGCGAGCCAAGGACATGCGGCAGTGTGTCGCCGACAATGACAATAAAAGATGCCATGCCGCCGCCAGCCATTGCGCCCTGGAAAAACGAGTTTGCCAACAGCCCCCAGCGCCCAAAACAATAGTCGACGAGGTCCTGGTATGACTGTCGCCCGGACATTTTTGCATTCAATGCAAGTATCCTTAGCGTCCAGTCAACCAGCCAAGCCAGCACGAGGATCATCACAATTCCCAGCAGCAGCCCTGTTTGCTGCATCGCATAAGGCAGTCCGATGACGCCGGCTCCGACAATGGCGTTGGTCAGGTTGAAGAAACTCGACAGCATTGAGGCGCCCGCCCTCTGGTCCAGACCGAGCGCGGCTGTGGCGTTGTTAGGTGTGTCTCTTAGTTCGTTTAGTGAGTGCCCTCGCTCGGCGTAGACTGTGCCGCTTGTGCTCATGCGCACGTCTGACCATCCGAGCTCGCCGAGCCGCGAGTCTGCGTAGTCTGTGAATGATGGGGGCAGAGAGCCGCTGGAGTCGCTGTCCAGGGACAGCCTGTCGGCCTCTGCGCCGCTGGTCGGCAGTCGCTGGTGCTGTGCCTGCGTTGGCTTGAACATGGCGTAAATTTTGTGAGGTTGAAGAGAAAATAAAAAAGTGAATTCGAATTGAACTGGGTAGAAAATATAGAATAAAAAGACAGTAGACCTAAAATAAAAGGGGTTTTTTGCACAATAAGCGTTCCGCTGCCACACGTCACTATTAGCAAGAAATCCCGGTTTAAAAAGGGTGGGCCTTTCTAGTGGCCTGAGTGAGAACGTGTGTGTGATCGGCAAACCAATCTTGGCATTGTTTTTTATGGATGCTATTTCAAAATTGAAAAAGGAGGCTTGAACACAATCAATTGCATTTGATTGAGGAAGCTGTTCGATGATACTGCGTCGCCCCACCCAGCCCGACAAGAGTAACCCGAGAGCACAAGCCAAACACCAAAGTTACGTCCTGCAGCTGCAGCCCGCGTCAAATCCACCCTTTCGGCCCAGCCACCATCGACCCAGCCCAAGCGTAACCCGGGCACAAGCCAAATACCAAAGCTACAACATCTGGCAGCTGCAGCTCGCGCTAGATCAACACTTTCAGTTCCACCCACCATCGACCCAGCCTGAATCATCCAAGCCATAAAACCCATGAAAACATCATCACCGCCCCCCCCCCTCCCACGTACGATCATTGAGGCAAAAAAAAAGATAATGATTATAGTCATCCCTCCAAAAAAAAAATTCCTTCTTTTCCCTATAATATCTCCACCCGCATTATCACTATATATCTTGTACAAAAATAAGAAGAAAAATGACTGACCGCCCCCGTTCAAAAACTGACCGCGACCAACAAACCCGCGAGAAGCGTCTATTTCTCTCCATCGCCGGCCTCGGCTTCGCGGCCTCTCTCCTCGCGCCGTCGCTCTCGGCCACCGGCGCGCACACAAAGCAGCCCTCCTTTCCGGCGAATCGATCCAAACAAACCACGTCAACTCCGCCATTAAGGCCTTCGGCTTGGGGACCCTATACGCCCTTGGGTTTGTCGGATGCGGCGTGGCAGGCACAAACTACTATTTGCAGACAAAGGGCGTTGGATCCATGGCCGAGGCTGCACAGAGTATGCGAAAAAGGGTCGCCGAGAAAACAGGCGGGTCGTTGATGGAGCGGCTGGGGATCAGTCCGGAGGAGGATGAGCGCAGCTTGCGGAGGGTGGATGAGCTGGTTGGTGAGGAGGACGGGGATGGGAAGAGGAAAATCAGATTTGCAAGGATCAAGGGCCTTGTGGCTGGCAGCGGCGGCGGCGGCGCAATGGATGGTGGAGGCGACGAGCAGAAGACGGCGGCTGGGCACGGCGCTTTGTCGATTGGCGCACGGATGCGCCGCATGTTTGGGTTTGCCAAGCGCAAGGACACAGACAGCGACTGACTACCTAGACTGTTCGTTATAAGAAACAATAATACTATGTAAATGTTTCTATTATTGGATTGCAAAGTCCTCGTACTCCTCAGGGCAGCACACCCAGCCGGCGAACGCGCCAGACGACAGCAGACACTGCTTTGCTCCTGGTACTCTGCCGCTGCGCGCTTTGCCATCCGGTACGTTGTCCCCTCAGCCATCGTGACGCCGGGCAGAGCACTGAACCGCCGGAAGAGCGCCCGCTTGCAGATCCCGGGCCACACCTTTTCCCTCTGGCACTCGCCCGGCACAACCTTAGCGCCCTGCCTCCTGCCGCCGACCAATGCCACCGACATGCCAGCGCCCAACGCCCAGTACAGCGAAGCGTCCGCCGTGATAACCTCCCTGCCACCCAGCGCCCCCTGCGCCCTCTCAAACACAACCGAAGTGCCCAGCACGCTGCAGCAGTTGGCGCGAAACCCAGCGGCGGACACGGCGATCCCGGCTGTGCGGCTGTTGAGGGCGCGGTCAATGGAGCCGTGGTTGTACAGGTCGCCGACCGTGATGCTGGAAATGTACACAGGCTGCGTTATGCTGGAGAGGAGCGCGCCTTGGACGCCGAGGACGTTCCAGCGCGCGATCTTGTCGCTGCACGACATGGACAGTGTCGGGATCGAGTCGCCGCGCCCTGGCTTGAGCCGCAACGAGCACAATGCGCTGAACCGCTGGTGGCCCCTGATAGCCTCGCTGGCGCCGCCGCCGCCGCCGCCGCCGCCGACCTTGCGCCGCTTGGCCACGCGGTCCTGATCACCTTGATCATCTTGATTGTCTTGGTTGTCTCTATTGTCTTGATCACCCTGATTGTCCTTTTCCTTCTGATCATCCGCATCGTTGATTTCACCAACTTCATCAGCCGCGGTCCGCAATGAACCAACCGTGGCGTCGCCGCACGGGCACTGCGACGTGTACAGGTGCAGCCTTACGCCTCTTTAACCCGAAGCTCCCCCTTCTCTCCAAGACAGCGCTCATATATAGAGTCGCCGCTATCAATACAATTCTGGACCTGGTCCATTAGGTAGATGAGCAGGGCGCGGCGCGCAATGATTTCCGCGTGGCTGTCGTGGACGGAGTCGCCGAATTTGCTCAGCTGCCTGGAGTGCAAACACTTGAGCCCAGTTCCCAGGGCAACGCAGCGGTATGTGCAAGCTTGCTCGGTGACGAATCCGGCAAGCACCGTCCACTCCTCCTTGCCGCCCTTGGACGCGGGCTTTCCGCGCTTGGGCAGGGCGCGGTACTGGTCGATGACGCACTGTGCGATGCGGCCGCCAACAACTGACATGGTGAACAAGGAAAGAAAGACAAAGCGCCGATAGCGAAAAAGCGATGATGCTTAATTATGTTTAATTTCAAATTACGAACGAAAGGAAAAAGTATTTGAAAAGCAATGACGATGGACGATGACGATGGACGATGGACGATGGACGATGACGATGGACGATGACGATGGACGATGACGATGACGATGGACGATGGCGATGGATGACGATGAGGAAGGGAAACGACTAGTGAACGCCCTCCCCTATTGAAGTTGTGGGAAAAACATGAGAAAAACATTGCTCATTATTATCACCCTTCCATCCCTCCCTCTCTCCCTCTCTCTTCAGAGAATATGCTGTTCAGCCAGCTCTTTGCGCGTCGGCCTGTTTTCCAGCTTCTTCTCCAGATTATCCTCGAGCAGATTCCACTCCAGCTCAACTTGCTTGGCCTGCAGCGCCGGAGCCACCGAGGACCTCTTCAAAATATTGTGGTCCTCGAGCTCCTCTCGCCCCGGCCTCTGCTCCAGCTTCTTCTCCAAGTTGTCTTCCAAAAGACTGCGCTCCAGCTCCAGCTGCTTGGCCTGCAGTGCCGGGGCGACCGTGGTCTTCTTCAGCACATTGTGCTCCTCAAGCTCCTCTCGCGTGGGGCGCCGCTCCAGCTTGTGCTGGACAAGATCGAGGATCTCTTGAGGAAGCGAGTTTTGCTCGGCGGTGGTGTCCATATTGGTAGCTTTTCGTGTAGTTGCAATGTAAAGCAGACAATGTGGTGCTGTAAGTAAATTTAAATGTAGTATTAGTAATAGTAATAGTAAAACGCGCGTCTACGAGAAAAAAGAGACAAAAGTGGGTGGGCAGGCTGGGTGCCAGCTTTAAAGCATTTATTTTTGTTTTGCGCACTGCATTTCCGTACCGCCCCGTCCCAGTCAGCGGAGTGTATGCTGGCCGCAATTGCGCGTGATCTACGCTTCCTCCCTCCCTCCTCCCATTCCTGCGGCCAGAGGAGCACAAGCGCACAGGCGCACAGGCGCACAGGCGCACAAGCCCAGGAGGAACCCAAGAAAGCCAAGCCTCACGTTGCCAATGCGGAAAAGGCAACGTCACCGCTCGCGTGCCTGCCCACCCCGCCCCCTCATCTTGCTCTTGTGATTTTTAAATCCAGAACAAAGTCAGCTGAGCGTTGCCATCATCGCCGAAAAAGAAGGGAAAAGCATGAAGGCCGAGACTTGGCACGTGCGCATGCTATATTTCTATAATCAATTATTTTTGCCAATCGATCAGAATTTGACTTTGCTCGTTTTCCTCTTCTTTTTTCTCTGCCCGCTTTCAAAAGCTGCATTCCAAAATTCAATTTCCCACTTGACAATGCTCCGACCAGTTTTCTGCTGCAGCGGCGGCCAATTCCGCCGCTCTTCGCCCTGCGAGCGCTCAAACCCAAAGCCACTTCCACGCACCAGCCCTCGGCCACGCACAGCTGCTTTCTCAGCAGAGGCACTACTCCAGCAGAACACCCTTTGGCAGGCCGTCGCCCTTCCGGTGGATCAGGCCGCTGGCATATACGGCCGGCGGCATAGCCTTGGTTGCTGTGGGCTGGCCCGTTTTGCGCTACGTTTTTGCCGGCGGGCTCGCATACGGAGCCATGCGTCTGGTCCGCCTATGGGTGCTTGTCCGCAAACTCGACAAGACCATTGGCGCAGCCCAAGCCTCATTCCCTGGCGGCAGCGGCGCCCTTGGAGGCCAAAGCCCCCTTGGCGCGCTGCTGAAAAACATGCTTGCTTTGTTTGGCGGATTCCCTAGCATGCGTGGGGCAGGCGCAGCGGTGTCGCCCTTATGTGTGGGTTCCATGCGGAGCGTTGCTGAAACCAGCTTTCGCGCGTCCTGTGTTTCCGATAGTAAAGTCGCTGCTATGATCCACGAGGCGCTTGGCTACGTTGGCCTTGCCGATGGGTTTGCGCTGGGCGAGCCGATGGATGTGCAGTCATCGACAGTTATGATGAATGGCCAGAGCAAGAGCCGCCTGGAGGCTGTTTTCCCTGTGTTTGTTGATGGCGCGGCGACGAATTTGTTTGTTCAGGCACTGGCCAACGTTATGACGGATGCGGGCGCGGTTGATGTCGATGGGGTGCGTGTCTGGGCGCGTATGGCTTCGGGCGAGGTTGCTGAGGCCAGCATTGGCGTTGTGCATGAGGGCGAAGAAGATGAAGGTGACGACACGGATGACCAGAAGAGGGACGCCGCAAAGTGCAGGACGCTGAGTACAAAGATCTGTAAGAGGCTGAAAAAAGGACTAGTTTTTTTTTGCTTGTATAATAAATATATTTTCTTTCCTTTTGCCTTCAAGCTGCTGTTATAATTTGGACACAATCACTGCCCCTCACCAGCGGATGCTGGGTGCTGCGCCTCAGCTGGTGATTATGATTTAATCCCCCCGTTTCGCCATCACACCTACGAGCTTTGTTGAAATAAAGTATAAATAGCATAGGCGAATAAAGGAAGTTAGAGCAAAGAAATCTATTTCTATTAATGCAATTGAACAATGACAATGGGTACGTAGCATCTACCAACTTGAGGTACATACAAAAGTACATGTATTGCCACCGCTATTTTGGGTGTGTATTTTTGAAATACGCCTTTACTTGAAATTTTTTGATGGGGTGCTGGGTGAGTAGATGCTGCACTTGCCTTCCGCAAAAAATAATTATAGTTGATTTATTATTGTGCACACATACATTAACAAAATAATGTATATTTTTCGCATCAAACGACTATAAAAGCTGCTCCAAATTCCAATAAATATATTGTGTTTTTACATATCAATCTAAACAGCATTTTATTTTCTTATTCCAAACAATTTCAATTGACCATGCCGGCCTTTACTAACAATAACAACAACGCAATAAAGCATTGCAACAACGCCAGTAGCGACCCTAACGATGATTACGGCACTGCTGAGTGTGAGAGTACGCTCAGCATGCTATTATGTTGCTTTCTTCCTTGCTGCCCAAAATAATTGGCAAATTCCAGCATAATTATTTTGGTACATTTTACATGTATTTGAAATATTTGCATAGCGTAGCCTAAAAATATGTGCCGCATTGTTATTCACAATTAAGGCAAGTGCTCTACGCATTATGAACATTACTAATTAGAACGCTACAACAAATACATTGATATTCAGTTTACTTGATACGTTGTTCCCCAGTAGCATTACCATTACGTGTGTCTAACCATGACATACCCCCCTCGAGGGTTTGAAGGTGGTGTAAACAATTTTTTGGCTTTAAATACTTTTTTTTGCAGTTTTAAGTTTTCCTTTTTTTGTTCAAGAATACATTTTGCTAAATAAATATTTTAAAACATTGACAAATGCCACCGTAAACGTGAAAATCCATTAAGTCCAAATGTGCTTCATCTTTCTCATTGGATTGTCATTTATAAGTTTGCAACCCTTAAAAACTGTTGGTTTTATTTACTTTCTTGCTACTTACTGCATTTGTATTATTGCGCTATTTTTCAATCATAAAATATTTCTATTTGCGCTTTTTTATTTTAATAAAACATATGTTCAGCTTTCAGTCAAACCTTTTCAACTTTCCAACTTACTCCAACTTACTCCAACTTACTCCATTTTAAATGGGAATTAAAGATAATATTTTTTGTTTAGAAATACTTCTTTCTGTGATTCTAGAGCTGCTACTTACTTTATTCCCCAATTCCATTGTATTTTGGAGTTGTAAATATTTACCTGTATGTTTTAGTATAAAATAAAATTGCATGAACAAAATTAATTTTCTGTTTGTTGCACAGACATCTATAAAGGAAAAGCAACATACCCTTTAACAATTTATTGTATTTTATTATTTATCATTCTCATCACTATTAAGCTTGACAAACCAACAACTACAACAATACTATTATTTACTCATGGCAGCCTTCAATAGCACAATTGAATCAATCAATAATGATAACAAAATGGTTGACCAACACAATAATATAAATAATGCACATAATGATGACGATGGCGATGAATTCGATTGCATAGGATGCATATATTCGTGTTTTTTACCCCGTTTATGCGGCAAATAGTAAATAAATAGTGCAACATATTTAAAGTATTAAGCCAGGTTTCTCAGCGTCGTTGGAGGTGTGGTGCCCAACACACATTTCAAGCCACTATCTTCCCTTTTCAAGAATCAAGATCGCCCTCATGGCCACTATACACATTTCTGTTATTGCTGGCTGACATCAAGGAACACCATGATGTTTACAGCGCTGCCCCCTTTTGTAGTTCCTTAAGTAATTTTTAAGACTTGAATATATCGATTTAGACCCACGTTTTTATAGAGCACAACAGAAGGGAGAGGTTGCATATTCGAAAATCCAGGAGAGCAAAAAGTGTTGAATTCCGGGAGAGACGTTCGGTAAACGTGTAGAGATAAAATATTATTGTTGCAGTCCAAGGGTATGGAAGTGGATGTCGAGGTTGTGAATCGTGAAACAAGTATCCATCAACATGCTGATTGATGGGGCACAGATGGGACCATGGTGGATAAAATTAGGGGACACAATAATGACACCCAGATATGCTCCCTGTTTTATAACATACACGCACAAGCGCGCATATGTGAAGACCACGACATTGACATGCCGATATACCGATCTGCTCACAAAAGAACCAGTTCTCGCCAATGGAGTGCACAATTGGCAAAGTACACAACAAAGACAACAAGATACATATATAAGATGGGGCCGGCCCTAGTTCTACTTTTGATTCCTTTGATAATAAAAACTATAACAAAACCCAAATTTATTTTTAACACTAGGTGACTAGTGCTCCACTCAAATCACGCGACACCTTTAACACTAGACGACTAGTACTCTCCACAAATCACAAGCCACTGCTGATTTTGTCAGCCAATGTACCCAGACTGTCCTTTCGTCAGTTAGGGAACCCATTATGCTGGGGAAAAAAGATATATTTCTAAAAGTTCGTATTTAAAATAAGCTCATTTCTGTCATTATCCTTTCAAACAAAATTTAAAAAGTAAATATACTAATGCAAGTTAGAATGGGCGCCTTTTGTGCTCAAAACATACGCCCATAAACACGATATATTTGTGCGTTTGTGTCCAATAGTATAAAATTGATATTTATGCAATAAAAATATATTATTTTGGAGCTTCGACCAGCTAACATATATAATATTTACTCAATGTCTGATTGCAAATTGGACACGTATTCCAACTCAATCCACAAGATTGGCGACCAATTGCGGCGCGAGGCACGCAGCACGTACAATCGACTGCGGTCAATTGACGACGACGCCGGGTTTGTGCGCAATGTTTCTGAACTGCTTCCATCATACCCAGTGATAGCCAACGAGCGGTGCGGGTTATGGTATGTTGATCCATCGGTGGCTCACGCGCAGACAGTATACTTCAAGTCCACGGACGGGCACAACGGCAATTGGAAATTTAGTCTGCGTAGGGCCAACACGCAACTGTTTAATGTGTTGCGACAATACTCGGGATGCCTCATTGTTGACTCGACAAGGCAGGGCAAGCGCATGCCGGATTCGTTTTCGCGGACAATACCGATTTGGTGCGCCGTCTGGAACATGGCCAGATCACTGGTCGAGGGTCTCCAACCTGAGACAGGTGTCACGGAGGTGCATGTGCCGCCCAGCATTGTGTCACCTTCGGAGAGAAGCCAGATCAACAAGCTGGTTCCGGGATTTGCAAAGTCGCTGGTTGAGTCGGGAATCGATGTGCAAGGCTTATTGCAGGGTATATCCAAGCCGCTGCGTCCGATTTGGATAACCCAGGATCACAGCTTATTTATGCCTCCTGATTTCACCGATGCCAACTTTATCCCGATCGTCTGTGTCTGCGCATCGGCGGTGCTATTCAATGATCAGCGCGTGGAGGCGTCCTTCGGCCGCAGTGCATACTTGTACGTGCAGGGCTCTGCCGACGACCATGAGCTGTGGGCGCAGGGCCTGACTGCGCGGCTATTCTGGAAGCACCGGAGGCAACTCTTGGAAAACAAGGACACTTGCTTGGATGTTGCGCAGAGCATTGTTCTTCGGGAGAGGCAGTCCGAGGGAGACGACGATTTGGGTGCCTGTGGCAAATTTAACTTTGTCGCGCATACCAATATTGCAGTTGGAGGGCGTGTTGGTGGCCGTCCACCCGAGTGCTGGTCGCAATTTGACGCTGTCATTAATTGCGGATCTCCCGAGTACGAACCAAACAAGGATAGGGCGCTGGAGTCGCAGTATTTGTTTTTGTCCATTCCCGAGGGCAAGCGGGGCCAGGTGGAGCTCGGCCGCTCGATTCCACAAGCGCTCGAGTTTGTGCGGTCCTTTGTTGGCGATCCGCAAAAGCGCATATTGGTGCACTGCAGCCAGGGTGTGGACCGCTCTGTAGGCATCACTTTGTCAATTCTGGCCAAATACTACGACGGCAAAGGTAAGAGCAGACACAGTGTGTTTTATGAGAATCTAAATTTGTTCTTTTGTGGGGTGTTATACTGACTTTTAATTTGTGGATGTGTACATTTTGTAGGGCACTATTGCGAGAACACTTCAAAAGGCAAGTTCGCTGTATATGCAGCTCTCAAATGTTTTCTGAGTAGACTTGATATACGGCCATTTAGCAAAAGCATAGCAAATCTCAGCGCAACTAAACATGGTAACATTTATACATTTTCTAATTGCACGTTGTAGACATTACCAAGGATTCAATTAAAACTCGACTTTTGTGGATCACGACTTCTCGCACAAAGGTAACAGTGAATTTTTTGCCAATAAATTTGTTAGACTAAATGACTATATAATTCCCGTATCAACTGACCAACGAACTAATTCGTTTGCATTTTTCGTTCTTAAACGTTAGGCCAATCCGTCGCGGGCAACACTCAAGCAGGTTAATCGGTTCTTCCTGGACATTGTCTGATGTTGGCATTCAAATGTTTTCTTTATTATTTGTTAGATAAATTGGTCTTAACAAAGAATTAAAGTGCATAAATATTCGTATACACGTGATGAAATGTTGTATTTCTTATTTCCATCACACGATTGGCGTGTGCGCTCGTGCAAGAAAATAAATAAAAAAGTACAAATGAAATGGTGCAGGTGACGATTCAATTATTTTTTTTAGTCAGACTGCAGCGTGAAATAATTTTTGTCACTCTGGTCGCATTTTTCTCTTTCGAATAAAATCGGGTTTGCTATTTTTCTTTTATAATTGTTTTTCTTTTGGTTTATACACACACACACACACACACACACACACACACATACACATACGCGTAATAGTAATAGTAATTTACTAAAGACCGCAATTTCAGCATTTCCTAAGACGGGCATTTGTACAAATTGGCAATGGCCAGCAACCAAGCTCACAACCCTTTGGTAAGGCGTCAAACTTGGAAAATTATAGGATGGCGCGTGTTTTAAACCGCGGGTTCTGTACATTGTATCTCCCCGTTCTTATACTTTTCATTGTCAGAGTTTTAACCAAACAAACAAACAAGTGAAAAATCATACACTAAGCAAGTTCAATCTCAGTGTTGCCATTAAAAAACATGAACGAAATTTTTTGTGTAGTTGGGCCAAGCAACAAACAGCGCAGTAGCACTCGACAGAGCCCTGGGGACGATAAAGAGCGAGTGGCGGCGATTCGAACTGGAGCGTGCAGAATGGGACATCGAGCGAGTTCGGCTCAAGGTGCAGCTCAGGGCGTCCGAAAAGCGCATCGACTTGTTGACGTCCCAGTACCAGGCATCGCAAAGACAGCTTAACATTCTAGAGTCGATTTTGTCTGAAAATAAACGCAAGTCTGATGAAAGGCCGTTGTCCATGGCCCTATCCGAGCTCAGCGCCAGTAATAATGGTGGTGCTAACGGTGGTGTCAGCGGCAGCGGCAGTGCCGGTACTGTGTCGGATTTGGTTGATGCTTCGGCTACTAACAGAGACCGCAGCAAAGATCTGCTAAGAAGGTGCTTGGGCGAAATCGATATTCTGCTGGGGAAGCCATCATCTGCATTTCCAGCAGATGTATTAGCGTCGGCAGCTACATTTGCAAAGTCTGCAGTGCAGGGTGGGTCGGCGGACATAAACGTGCCGAGCAGTATCATTGAGAGTGAGATCACCAACCCAGCGCCATTGTGGCAGATGCCCGCCCTGGTGTCCACCGCCTCTTCTGTTGCTGCAGTCGCCCTGGGCAGGAATGTGAGACCTCAGCTGGCAGAGAGCACGGTGGCTGGCAAACGGAGGCGCACATCGAAAGTCCTTCTGCAGGATCAATCAGAGACTGTCATTGCAGCAGTAGCAGCAAAACCAGCAGAAGACAGCGGGAGAATAGGCGCGAGCAGCTCTGCATACAGCGATAGTGGCGCGGACACCCAGCTTGTCGGAGCAGACAATTCACCGGCGCCTTCGTCCCCGTTGATTGCACAGCCAGAACAATCGGAACAGCCGTTCAAACCGGATAATTTTAATGTGGACAAGGCTGCAACCGATGCTGCGACTGGCTCAAATGAAACCAGAAGGGCCCACGATGACACGAGCGAGATGGTCGACTGCATGGTTAACATTAAAATCAGCGACGAAGAGGAGCATGTAGTCGACAATGCCACGCACAATGCCATGGTGCAAAGACTCACTGTGGATGAGATTGACATCGGTGACAGCACAGTCAAGCGAGTGGATTCAAGCGATTGGCAGATGCACAAGACGTTTGTTGGGCACCTGGACACCGTGCGGTCGATCAGCGTGCGGGCAGACCACAGCAGCAACGGTCCCGATGGCGGCCCACTGCCGCAGCTGCTCAGTGGGTCAGACGACGGGCTGGTGATACTCTGGGATATTGAGCGCTCGAGCCGGCGCAAATCACGAAGGCGACAGGCGCACGACGTGCTGCCGGGCCATATATACCGCGGACACCTGGCAGCTGTTACCAGCGTTGTGTTTGCCGGGTCGCACGGTTTTGCGTACTCGGGCTCGCTGGACAGCTCGATAAAGGTGTGGCAGCTGCCTGACGATCTGCACAAGTCCGAGGGCGGGGACCCCGAGGCCAGCTTTCCTGCAGGCCAGTTCATTGGGCATACAGATGCTGTTTGGGACCTGGCGCTGTCGACGACCGCTGGGCTGCTGGCGTCGGTGTCGGCAGACGGCACATGCAAGGTCTGGAGCATCGACCCGAAGCACTCTGGCGCGCCGCTGCGCAAGTCGCTAGTGGCGCGGTGGCGGACATCCGAGATAATCGTGCCGACATCGACGTGCTTTGCCACGGCGGACGGCACCAGGTTGGCTGTGGGCTACACGAACGGCCAAATTGAAATTCACGACCTGAGCTCGGGCAGCAGCTTGCTGACCATAGCTGATTCCAGCGAGCGGATACCCAGGATCACCAAGATTGCGTGCCGTGCCGGCCCGGCCGAGAACATTGTCGCGGCGGCTTGCGTCGACGGGTCGGTGCACCTGTTTGACATGCGCAGCGGCAGGCCTGCCGTCGCCTTTGGCCGGCCTATTGGCGGCAGCCACGCGTCGCTTGGGGCGGCAGCCACAATGGCCGTCGACCTGGTGCCCGACAGCGTGTCTGCCCTGGTTACCGGCGGGTCCGAAGGCGTCGTCAAGTGGTGGGACTGGCGGAGCGCGCAAACCAGCGTTGCCGAGATCGCCCAGCATCGCGTCAAGGGCGGCGAGGGCGTGTGCTGCGTACAAGTTGTCGGCTCAGTGTCCTCTCGCGCGCAAGTGGCCAGTGCAGGCGCCGACGGCCTGGTATATTTACACAACAAAAGTTAAATAAAGAAAATTGTTCGAATGAACAATATAAATGTCCCTACGAGCGAGACGTTATCTGGTCGATCATCAGCGCGACGTCATGTTGCAGCGTGGGGTCTCTCGCTGCCGAGCGGACTTGCCTCAGCGTGTCCACGTCCTTGGACGCAGCCGCAGCCTGTGCGGCCTCGTGGTAGAAGCCAATCTTGAGATACAGAGTTGCTCGTTCGGACGGCGGCTCGCACCGCGTAATGTACTTGGCGGCTTCCTGGTACTGCAGTGCCTGGATGCACTCGTCGACAAAGGGGCGGTAGCCGATGGGCGACTTTTTGGCGTTGGCCAGGCGCGCCAGCTCGGCCCAATCCCTGCGCACGACAAGCGCGTGCAGCTTGATCCAGTAGTAGCGGCGTTCAGGGACCTTGTATTCGTTACGCAGCTTGGATGCCCGCGAGTAGTTGCCCAGCGTCAAGCACAGTGCCAGGGTCTGGTTCAGCGGCAGCCCAACAAAAATATGGCCTGGCGTGTCTTGCTCAAGCTGGTGCTGTGTCTGGAGCAGCTTGATCTGTGTGTCCATCGCATGTGTCTCGAGCGCCGCAGTCTTGTCGTTGTGCAGCATCTTGAGCGCAACTTTAAGGTTGGCAACCAACTTGGCGACGTCCCGCTCGCCAAGGTTCTCAATGAGGATGAGGCGCGCTGATTTGGCAAAGGCGTCGTCCTGAAAGTAGTAGTCCTCGAGAACGGGCGCGTCCTGGTCGATGCAGTACTTTTCGAACAACTGGCCGGCGACTTTTGTGCGGCCAATGACCTGGAAAAAGTCTGCCAGCGGCATGGCCTTGAACAAGTGGAAGATGACAAAGTAGACCAGGTCCGAGTCGCCGCTGCGGATGGCCTCGGCCATGGCAGCCTCCTCCTGGCCCATTGAGATCAGCAGCGGCACCTGGTTGGCGGCGCGCGGCTCGTGCTGCAGCAGTTTGATGGCCAGCCGCTGGTACCCGCAGGTATTGGCAACCTCGGCAATGTCGACATACGAAGAGATGCCAGCTGGCTGCAGGTGGTCGAGCCGCTCGCGCAGCACGCGGTACAGCGCGTCATCATCCAGGGTCGAGGACGCGCGGATCTTGGCGCACGCCCAGTGGATGTACACCTGGTCTGACGGCTCCTCCATGTACCGACATACGTGCAGCGCCAGCTGATGCTTGTTGCGGTTGAGCAGGCGCTGCACCCACTCCTCAAAAGGCAGACTCTGGAACTGCATCAGTGTTGCCGGGATTCCGACATCGTACGACGCCAGGCAGTTTATAACGCGCAGGCTGCGGCACATGTCGACCAGCTTGTCGCCGTTGTACATGGCCAAGAATGACTTGCCCAGGGAGGCCGCGCGCAGCAGCGACTGCTGATACTCGACAATCGGTTCGGCACCAGCCGCGGCTATACAAGTGTCGACTGCGGCCGGCATCTCGTCGCGGATGCTGCGTACAATCTCGTCGGCCCTCGACGAGTGCTGGCGCATACTCTCAAGCGCGTCGTAGAGCAGCGCTGACGGCGAGGTGGATCCAATCTGGAAGACACTTTTGGACTCGGCACCAACCTTGCACAGGAACGAGTGCTCCAGGGCACCGAATATGCGCACTCCGTCAGGCTCCTGCACCAGGTGCGCGGGCGTGTCGTGCGGAAAGGACAACGTCTCACCAAATGGCCCAACAAGAAGCACTTGTGAGCTAAAGTTAACCACGGCGGCGTCGCTACCGCACCAGGCAATTTCGACGGGCACATCACCCGGCTGCTCGTGGTGGTATTCGGAGAACGAGCGCTGAAAGTCCATTGACACGACCTGCACGCAGTTCCTGTCCGAGCACAGCGACACGAGGCGGCCGTTAGGCGAGACCGATATGCAGGCGTAGGGGCCCTGGTCAAGCAGCTGGTCCTGCACGCCAGCAGCATCTATTGACAGAATAGTTGCGCCGACCGACACCAGTACCTCGACGTGGTGGCTCAGCGTCAGATGCGGAGGCACAATGGTCCACGAGTGCGGCATCTCCGTGATATGCGCGTTTGCCAGCATCTTGGGCTTGGGCTCGCCAATGTCGTTGACGTAGACAAAGCGGTAGTCGCCTGTCAGCGCAACCAGACCCTGATCCCAGAAGCGCACGTCAATGATGCCCTTCTCCTTGGCCTCAGGCCCGAGCGAGAACGACGCCTGATGCGAGTCGTCAAGCGAGAACACGCGCACGTTGCCGTCCTCCTGCACGCACAGCAGCTGCTCGCGCGCGTTCCAGCTGAATGCTGCAATGTGCAGGCCGTCGTACTCGATTTTGCCTATGAGATTACCGCTGGCCGAGTACACGCGGATGGCCGAGTCCAGCAGCGGGCCAGATCCGGCCTCAAGCAGCTGCCTGTCGTCGCGAAACAGTGCAATGGGCCCGCCAAAGGACGACGCAGCAACGCGGAATTTTGACAAGTCGAGCTCGGCCCACTGCATTTGGTAGATGCGGTGTTTGCGGTAGAATGTGTCGTGCATGGCCAGCCACTCGTTGGCCGGATGTATTGAGTTCATGAGGTATGCGTGTGAGAGTTGAAATATAAGCGAATTATTTGGAAATGGAAATAAACACGAATTTGAATTTGAATTTGAATTTGAATTTAGTTTGTGAAAAGGGTTGAGGAGCGCCTAGAAACACCAAGCGACCATGAGAGCACCCAAGGCGCTCGAGTGCGGGTGACGCAGCATATGCAGGATTGTAAAAGTCATATCACGTGACTGCAATCACCCGATCTAATCACGAGCTTGAAATCAATCAGTCAACCTTTGAAAAAAAGATAAGATGTGGGCGTTCAGCATTCGGTGAATGCTAAAATGCGCTGCAGAAGATGCGATGCGATGCGTTGCGTTGCGATATTTTGATCGGGCAAAAGATTTCAGTATTTTTCCCGAGGTTTGTTGCACACTCTAATTCAATTTTTCCTCTCGTGCTTGAATATAACTTTTTATCTTTGCTTTTTGTAATATTTTTTCACTCTTAAACTTGGGTTTTTCTTTTTCTTTTTCTTTTTTAGCTCTTTTGGTCTATTTTTATTACTACTCGATTCAAATTGGTCAAATCAGACAATAATCCCAAAAATGATGCTAAAGGCGGTCGCTCAGCGGGCAATTGTCAGAGGCGGTGCAGCTAAGGGTAAGAGTCAAAATCGACCGGTTGTAAATCCACACATCAGAACAAGTATTTTAAAAAAGCCAACGAACGACAGACCCAACAGAGAAAGATAGATTTCGCGACTAACGCCAATGCTTCCTAATTTGTCAACAATGTAGTTGTGGCACGCGGATTCAGCTCCAGCAGCACAATGCGGAAAGAGATTGAAATGTTTGTCGATGGCAAGGCGGTCCAAATCGAGGAAGGTTCGGCGATCATCCAGCGGCCGAGAAGGCAGGCGTGACAATCCCCCGGTTCTGCTACCACGAGCGGCTGGGCGTTGCAGGTAACTGCCGCATGTGCCTCGTCGAGGTCGAGAAGTCGCCAAAGATGGCTGCGTCGTGCGCGATGCCGGTCGCGCCAGGCATGCGGGTGCTGACCGACACACCCAAGATCAAGCAGGCGCGCGAGGGCGTTATGGAGTTCTTGCTGGCTAACCACCCGCTGGACTGCCCGATTTGCGACCAGGGTGGCGAGTGCGACCTGCAGGACCAGTCGATGCGGTACGGCATGGACCGCGGCCGGTTCTCGGAGAACAAACGCGCCGTTGAGGACAAGGACATCGGGCCGCTGGTGCGCACGACGATGACCAGGTGCATCCACTGCACCCGCTGCGTGCGCTTCATCAATGAGGTGGCCGGCACAGCCGAGCTCGGCACTTCAGGCCGCGGCAACGACATGCAGATTGGCACCTACGTCAGCAGGCCGCTTACTTCCGAGCTGTCGGGCAACATCATCGACCTGTGCCCGGTCGGCGCACTGACGTCCAAGCCGTACGCGTTCAGCGCGCGGCCGTGGGAGCTGAAGAACACCGAGAGCATCGACGTGCTCGACGCGCTGGGCTCCAACGTCCGCGTCGACTCGCGCGGCGAGGAGGTCATGCGCGTCATTCCGCGCACCAACGACGAGGTCAATGAGGAATGGATCTCGGACAAGGCGCGCTTCGCCTGCGACGGTCTCAAGCGCCAGCGCCTGACCACGCCGCTGGTGCGCGTCGGCGACAAGTTTGAGCCCGCCACGTGGGCCGACGCGCTGCGCCTGGTTGCCGAGCGCCTGCGCGCCACGCAGCCCGAACGCGTGCGAGCCGTTGCTGGCGACCTGGCCGACGCTGAGGCGATGGTTGCGCTGAAGGACCTGCTCAACGCCGCCGGCTGCGAGGACTTGCGCGTCGACGCGATGAACTCGCACGTGGCGCCGGGCTTTGGCGTCGACGTGCGCGCCAACTACGCATTCAACGCAAGCATCGCTGGCGTCGAGGACGCCGACGCCGTGCTGCTTATCGGCACGAACCCGCGCCACGAGGCACCCGTGCTCAACGCGCGCCTGCGCAAGCCCTACCTGGCCGGCACCGCGCAATTCGCGCTCGTTGGCCGCGCCGCCGACCTGACGTACGACTACGAGCACGTCGGCGAGACACCGGCCGCCATCGAGGCGCTGGCCATCGGCAGCCACCCGTTCGCCGAGACGCTGCGCAGCGCCAAGCGCCCCCTGGTCATTGTTGGCGGCGCCGTCGGTGAGCTGGGCAACAGCGCTGACGTGCTGGCGGCCGTTGCGCGGCTGGCCGAGAGCGTGCCGGCGCTCGTGTCGGACGAGTGGAACGGGCTCAGCGTGCTGCAGTACGCGGCGGCCGCACGGCGGCTCTTGACATTGGCTTTGTGCCCAGCACAGCGGCCAGCGTTGCGCCCGAGTTCGTCTACCTTCTTGGCGCCGACGAGGTGCGGCCGGCGGACATCCCGGCCAACGCCTTTGTTGTGTACCAGGGCCACCACGGCGATGCCGGCGCGCACTTGGCCGACGTCGTTCTGCCGGGCGCCGCGTACACCGAGAAGACCGCGACCTTTGTCAACACGGAGGGCCGCGCGCAGCTGACGCGCCAGGCCGTTGGCGCGCCCGGTGCCGCACGCGAAGACTGGAAGATCGTCCGCGCGCTGTCTGAGGCCGCCGGCTTGACGCTGCCCTACGACGACGTCTCTGCACTGCGTGCGCGCATGGCCGACATATGCCCAACGCTGGTCCACATTGGCGAGCTCGAGTCGACGTCGGCTGCTGTCGCACGGCTTGGCTTGGCGCAGATGCGCAACAGCGGAAGCGCTGTGGCGTGCGTCCGCTGGACGGCGCCTTTGTGCGTGCCGTCGACGACTACTACATGACCGACGCCATCTCGCGCGCGTCGCGGACGATGGCTCGGGCGTCGGCCTCGGCTGCCAAGGCGCTGAGCCGCAGTGCCAGCTCGTCCGAGGAGTCGGGCAAGCAGGCCACCGCCTGAAGCGCAATTCTCTTTCTTGATCTGCCGTTAGATTATTTTTTCTTTCTCTTTATATTCTCTCTTTCTCTCTCTCACTCTCTTACGTATAAGCACGCTTGGCTGTGTCATTTGCAAGATGAACCTGTTGGACATGTGCATGTATATGATTGTGCCCCAGGTTGCAGCTGATTTGCTTTCCTGGACATTAACCATACGAGATGTTGCATTGTCTTGGCGCTCGCAAAGAATGCAGTTTTTTTTTGCGCTAAGCATGTTCATGGCAGTGACACTGTTCGAGCAGTAGCAAAGAACAAATGATTACAGAGATTTTTTATCGGCATTTCATTGCCGATGCAATTCTACGATTAGCTGTCTGGCTTGAGAGAACTGCAATTGACAGCCTCCGTCTCCTCTCTCTCTCTCTCTCTCTCTCCATTTTTGGGCATTCATTCTTTAATTTCACTTTGCTCACTTATTCCCTCTCTCCCCCCTCTCCTCATTTTCTTTTTTAATTCAGGCAGCACAATAGCATATTTGGTACCAATGGGTATGAGGTGCCATTTGGAATACCCACACACTTTTTATATATCTCATTTCATATATACGCCCCTCACATGCATTAAAATAAAGGGTGCAATTTGATACTCACAAACCACCAAACATATTGTTCTTTAAAGATTAACCAAGAAATAAGCCAACTCAATATTGTTCTTTGTTTTTTTAAAAACATACTCGTAGTTTTAATATTTGCTTACTCATGGTCTCATTCCACATATCTTGGCACAACCACCAGCTCTACCATCCGTCGCATCGACATGGGCATCGACATCGACATCACACATCACATTGTTGCTTTTTCTTTGCCGATCAAGTTCAGTCACCACCAGCAGCAGCAGCGGCCGGGGGCCGGCTGCGACAGCGGCAGCGACCCATGCTCCGAGCAATATGCAAGTTGTTTGTGCCATTGATGAGCGTCGACAGACACTGGCGGCGTGCGGCACTCCGCTGCCTGCGCAAATCAGCCATCTGCGAGCAAGACCCAAATACAGGCCAATGGCGTACAAATTTTGAATTGTTGACGACTACCCACAGCCATTGTCACTATATATTTCGGCGTCAGCTCGCTGGTGGAACTCGCCCACGGACCTACGAGCGCTGCTCCTCAGCTCGCCTGGTCTCATCTCGTCAGTAAAGAATTGCACTTTTTGTTGTGCCCTTCTACTATTATCCTGGATCGGTGATCAGCAGCAGCAGCAGCAGCGTTCTGTATTGGAATGGCTCAAACTACTGCAGTTATTTAATTTAAAGCAGACAAATTCAATGACTTGCTGCTTCTGACGGGATGCGACTGGAATGAGCTATTTCTGAACAATTCATTTCTAGGATTATGCCGCGCCAATATATGCAGCACAGCAGCAGCAGCGGCAACAGTGGTCACGCAGTTAGTTGAACTGCGGGTGCGCTGCAATTCCCATGCTGCCCTTCCCTTGGCCCAGCGCTTAGCTAGTTCGCTGAGGGTTCTCGAGCTCGTCGATATTCCTCAAACCAAAGCATGGGATATGCTACGTATGTCTATGTATTCACACGATGCGCCAATATTATTCTCAAGCCTGCATAGCCTAACTATGCAATTCCTTGCAATGACAACGACAGAGGAGAACAGGGGGAGGAGGGGGAGGCGCTACTGGTGCTGACATAGGCGGTTCGGCTGATCGCTCGATTTGCTTGGAATCCTGTCGGTCGGCGTTCATATGCTTGCGGTCATTGACTCTGTGTGGATTTCCTTTGGACATGCGCATTTGCTTGGCTGTATTCCCGACAAGCCAGCTGCACCGGCTGCATTTGGAGCTGTCATGGCATGCCCTCAAATACCTCCCTTTGATTTTGAGCTGCCACGTATCGCTGATGTTCACATAGCTTGTACTGGGCCTAGGTCACAGATCGGATGCAAGCAGGTTGCTGGACTGGTGCACAGTGTTATTTTGCGGGGTGCTGTCCGTAGCAGTGGCAGTGGCAGTGGCAGTGGCAGTGGCAGTGGTAGTGGTAGTAGCAGTAGCAGTAGCAGTAGCAGTAGCAATACCAGTAGTAGCAAAGCAATGGTAATGGCAGGTGTAATCGAATGCGGGTTGCATTCACCCTGCACCACGCGCTGCAGCCCTGTCACTGGCCCTTGGGTTTCGCCGGCATGAGCTGTGATCTGCGCAGCTTGGAGCTGCATATCACAATCTACCTCAGCGCAGTCATGGATCTGCTCCAGCATATGCCACTCCTGCACAGGCTCAGCATTCCTTATATATCGACTGCTCCTGAATCCTTCTTAGCGGCTTCAGTCTCGGGCTGCGGCGCAAGATTGGAGACCTTGCAGATGGGGTTTTGTGATTACCAGATGAGTACGAGCAGCTTGTGCTTGGCCGTTTTGGAGTTTGTTGCTGGGTTTAAGCGCTTACTGTGGCTGGTGCATGAGCCTGGGTTTGCTGCTGAGCTGCGCGGCTGTATTAAGCTTTTTGCTGCCCGGCGCTGCTTGCCGCATTTGGCCCGCGTGTGCATCGATGACCTGGGGGGAGGCGCTCAGGCCCCAGCTTAAATCGCAAGCAGAAAATTAATCCGCCACTGCGATTAGATCACAAATTGTAATTGGCGCCCTTGATGGCTTTTTTCTTGGTCGTTTGGCTTGCTTCCAAGCTCAAGATCGGCAAGCATTGAATACTATCATCGGATCCCCCCTGCCTTCTTTCCCTCCTTTCTCGCTCGCCTCTCCCTAATTTATTATTCTGAATTGCACCACACATACACAAACCTAATCACATTACTTTTGAATTCACACCAATGTCTGCGCTTGACAACGACGGCAGCTCGGCCATCAGCCGCGACATCGCAGGCGGCGACCGACCACCACTCAGCGCCAGCTCAGCCCACGCAGTGTACGAAATAGCGCACACAGCCGAGCAGATCATCTCGGGAAAGTATACGCAGGTGGCGCTTCAATTCCCAGACGAACTACTGATAGACTCAACTATAGTCTCGCAAGAGCTGCAAAAACTGATACCGCCCACTACTCGGGTATTCATTCTCGCGGACACTTCGTTTGGCAGCTGCTGCGTGGATGAAGTGGCGGCCGAGCATTATTCGGCCGATCTCGTTGTGCACTACGGAAAGACTTGTTTGAGTTTGACGTCGCGGGTACCTGTGCTGTACGTGTTTGGCAGAGAGCAGATGGACGTTCCTGGGTGCGTGGCAAAGACAGAGGATGCCTTGGAGGGGAGAATATATTGGTTGTGTTTGATGTGCCGCTTGCTTGGTGCGCAGGCGGTGTTGCTTCCCGGATGCGGGAGAGTGGCCAGTTTGGCCATGTTGCACTGAGCTCCATCAGCGTCGCTGGTCGCCTGTACACGCCGCCAGGGATCAAGCGGGCCAAGCGCTGCAGCGATGGCAGCGGTGCCAATGCTAATGCTTGTGCCAATGCCAGCGGCAGTCAGCGTGCTGCGGCAACGCATGCGAGCAGCCGGCGGCCACCTCAGCGGATGGCTCGTCCGACGTGTCTTTAGAAACCACCGGCATTACGCCCGGGCGCTCATGGGACCTGGCAGCCGGAAAGTCGCTCAGCGACTACACCATCCTGTACCTTGGCTCCGAGGGCGCGACGCTGACCAACCTCATGCTGACTGCGCGCGCACAGTGCGTTTTCAGCTACAACGCGCAGACACACTGCCTGCGCGAGGAGTCCGCCACTGCCAACCGGCATCTCAGCCGCCGCTACTTTGCCGTGCAGCGCGCCAAAGACGCCGACGTCATCGGCATTGTTGTCGGCACGGTTGCGGCCACGCGCTACATTGCCGTGCTGCAGCAGCTGAAGCAAATGGTGAAGCGCGCGCACAAGAAGCTGTACGTGTTTGTGGTCGGCAAGATGAGCATGGTCAAGCTGGCAAACTTTGCCGAGATCGAGGCCTTTGTCCTGGTCGCCTGTCCTGAGAACTCACTGGTTGATGGGAAGGACTTTGACAAGCCCATTGTGACACCGTTTGAGATGATGCTGGCCATGTCGCGGACGAGGGAGTGGACGGGCGATTACGTGACCGATTTCGGCGACTTCTTGGAGCTGGCGCAGGAGGACGAGCCCCAGGAGGATTGTGCGGGGAGCGGCAGCGAGGACAGCGACACGCCGCATTACTCGCTGGTCACCGGCGCGCTGAAGCATCGGCGCCGCTACAACGACCCGGCAGCCTCGGGGGGCGTTGAGGCTGGGGCGGGCGACTTGATTCTGCGCAACAACAAGACAGACATTGCCAAGTATCTGGGAAGCGCGGCCGCCGAGCACCTTATGGCTCGGTCATTCCGCGGCCTGGGCCACGACGAGGACGCGGACGAGCGGGAGGAGCTGCCGCCCATGCTGGCCATTGAGGGCCGCAGCGGAATTGCTCGCGGGTACAACACCGCCGAGAGCCAGGATCACCGGATTTAAACATGATTGCACACGCAGCAAACAAAATCTGCGGGCGAGTGGGCGCGAAGAGGGGGAATGAGATCATTTTCAATGCTGAGCTCACATTCTTCATTCATTTCGCCGCTCCCCTCCCCTCCCCACACGCACTTATATCCGCAAATACATATTTACACAAACATAATTTGGGCATTTATATAAGGAAAGGCTACTGCTCTGGGATTGGAAAGTAAAGTCCGACTATGGAAATACTATTATTTCTCTGTCATTTATTGCGTTACCCTGAATGTTCGCCGTAGCAACGAACACACACACAGAGAGAGAGAATAATGCTGAATATGATTTTCTTTTGCTTTATTGGCAATGGTAATGTTTGCTATTTTACATTGCGCAGTTTATACATATTCTCTGGGAATAAAAAAACCCCAGCCCGTCAGCGCCATTTTGCTACCCTTATTTATTTCCAAGAAAAAGTAGACTACCCCGCTGCACTATATTTCTCCGCACGAACCCACTTTTATTAGCACATACTCATTCTTTTGCCGCTGCTCTTAATCCTACCAGCCTAGAATCTTGTTAGCCGTAACCAACATAGCCAACATAGTCGACCTAAGCTTTATAATATAAAAAATAAAACCCATCACATACATACATGTACCTCCCCTCCTTTCTCCGGTCCAGTCGTTATTTTCATTTATTCTATTTTCGTCTGTTTATTAAAAAATTGTCGATTTCTCAACATCAATAATATATTTATCGTATGCGCTCAACTGCAGACCAGTCGCGCCAGCCCATTGCCAGACTGAACACACCCGCGAGCATGAATTCTCTGGCCGGCAATTCTGTGCAAGTGACGACTGTCACGTCGCCGGCATCGTCGACTTCAACGTCGTCGTCGTCGTCGTCGTCATCGTTGTCCTCGTCATCGTCCACATCGACATCAACATCGACATCGTCATCAACCTCATCTATGACATCGTCGACATCATCGACACAGCGCACGGAGTCATTCCAGGCCGTCTGGAAGCTATACTGCAAACATTGCAACGTCATGTGGAGTTCGCGCGGAATGGAGGTTAGTAATACAGCTAAATAATTGCTATCATGCAGAACTTATGCTGAAATCAAACACCACGACTCTCCATGCTTTACAAAAGCTATAATAACCACTACTCAACTTGTACTTTGCATACATTTATAACCAACTTTTTAGGCCGTGGTCATGGCGCGTCCAGCCATCCGCTGCTTCTCTACGGATCTGCCGCCGCTGGGCTGCGACATTGTCAGCCAGCCAGTGGCGCCGCCAATCGCCGACATGCTTATCGACTCGGGCTGCAACACGTGTAGCTCGCTGACGCACCATGCGCGGCGGTTCGACCTGGCGCCCAGCGGGCCATGCGACTGCCACGTGCAGGACATTGCCTGCCTGGGATGCGGCAACGTGGTCGGCTACTACATCCACCGCCCATGCTTCCGCTGTCTGGCCCAGCGTCTACGCATTAAGCAGCGCGGCTTCCAGCACCTGTGGACCTTCTATCAGGACAACGTATTTGCCGTGCAGCGCGAAAACGAATTTGGCGAATTGGTCGGCTGGGAGGAGCTGCCAGTGCCACCGGCACCGACAGCCACGGCAATCAGGAGCTCGCAGAGCTCGCAGAGTATTTCTACGCAGACGACCACGCGGCAGGCAATGAGGTCTCAGAGCGAGGCCAGCTTGGCTGCGATTCAGGAGAGTATCATCATTGAGAGTTCCAATGGCGCTGGGTACTCGCGCACGATAGCCAATGTCACCAGAGAGTATGGCAGCAGTTCGATGGGCGCTGCGAGAATGGCCGGTATTCAATCACCACCAACGCTGACGCCGCCGCTGCCGCAATCGGACATTCCTTCAATGAATAGGCGCACTCTTGCCACTGTTGCCTCTGCTTCTGCCTCCGCTGACTCTGCCTCTGCTTCTGCTGCCGCTGCTGCTACCACTGACGCCCAGTCGTTCAATACTCAGTCATCCAATGCACCCACAGCGCGCCGCGCACAGTGGCTGATGTACATGTCACAGCGTGTCTCTGCTGAGCGCATCCTGCACAACCCGCGCGCTGGCAGGGAGGCTCGCCAAGAGGCGATTCGCACATTAACATCACTGCGCGAGCAAGAGTGGAATATGTCTGTTCGCGGTACCAATGCTGCTTCTGCCACAGTCACTAGCACTAATGATTTGCCGGTCGTTACGAGCACTCAGGATCCAACGCCGTTTCGTCCCTCGACTCAGGTTGTTTCTACCAGAAGCAATAATAACGGCCCGGCAACACTAGTGTCGAATACGCCTTCATACTCGAGTGCGTCCTCGCCCTCGTCTGCGGCAACGGCGGCCAGGCGCGATGAAGTAATGGAGCCTTTGCGACCGGCAAAGTCAAAGTATGCAAATGCGCCGCCGCCCGCTGGCCTGAGCAACTGGCTATTCCAAGTCGGCCTGGACTGCATGGTCAAGTGGGAGGAGGGCACGCTTTCGCGCTAGTATGGATGCCATATATGCCATTGTGCGCTTAATTAATTTTATCAATTGCCTCTTGCATTATATTTTTCTGATATCAAGCGAGCAAACATGCAAAACTATAATATTAGGAGGGGCTTCCAGATAATACAGAATCATTCTTAAAAATTAAGCAGGAGCGATTCCGGATCTTAAAGATATAAATATTCAGGAAATCTTGATTCCAAAACCTCGGAACCCTAAAATTAAAATAAATAATGTTATGTAAAAGGGGGTGTAAGGAGCACTATGGTAGTAGTGTTAAAAAGGTGGGAGTATGAATTTATAAAAGATTTTATTACCAAGGGAATCGAAAGTAGAACTAGGGCCGGCCTCATCTTATATAGGTGTCTCGTCGTCTTTGTTGTGCACATTGGCAATGTGCACTCCGTTAGCAAGAACTAGTTCTTCTGCGAGCAGACTGGTATCTTGGCAAGTCAATTTTGTGGTTTTCGTGTGTGTGCACTCATGCGTGTGCATTGCAAAATGGAGAGCATATCTAGCCATCATTATTATGCCTCCCTAATTTACGCCTGCATAATCCAATTAGTACCCTATCAATCGGTATGTAGATAGAAGCTTGTTTTACGATTCTCAACCTCGACATTCACTTCCATATCTTCAGTCTGTACACTTTCAATCTTAATTTTTGTTCCTAGCACAAGTACTCTTTTTAAAACAATTGTCTGTTTAAGCTGAATAAACAAACACGTTGGCAAAAAATAATTGTCTAACTTGTGCTCGCTGAAAAGAAACAACTAATGTACTTTGTGTCAAAGCAATAAAAATAATAAATGATCATATGGGCAATCTGCGTCATGGTACTTGTTTGCTTTCAATTCATATTTGCTCCGAACACTTAAAAATATTAACATACATTTTAGGCAAACTGTTTAAACACGTGTATATGAGCGCATTCCTCATTTTTATAATTATTTGCATTTGCTAATTGAATCGACGCGTATAAATAAATCATGCGCGCAGGCTTGCCTCGTTTTTTTATTTTCATTCACGTGTAGTAAATCTAATGTGGTCAACATTTCAAACAGCCAAACAACAAGCCAACCTACTAACGGCGTTAGTGCAACCGCTTATATGTTTGAGAAAAATAAATAAAAATTTCAGACTACAAAAAAATATTCGGTTGGCTGTGGTGCCTTCAAGCAAACAAATTGTATATAGATGTATTTATTTAGCAAAATGTCTGAAAAAGCACAAAACAATGCCCATGAAAAATAAATATGAATGAAGATATAAAACTGCCTCATTTGATTTCAATGAACAAAAATAGCAAAAAGCCGGCAGCACCTCCAGTAATATATAAGTTAATAACAGATCAGGTATTTGTGCGCGGCTTTAGATGTTCATTTAATCGTGCTCGACTTTGCTTTCAGAGCGCGCGTAAAGTGAGGGGAGGCATGCGAGTAAAGAATAATCGAAAAATCAAAGACAACTACAACTCGTGCAGCACAAATATCCTTTTCTAGAACCATCCCTGATTTAGCTGAATATCTTTGGGCCCGGAATGGTATAGTTGATAGGTGACTTGTTGATGTCGAAAAGAATGCCGGGCTGCTCGGTTCCGTAATATCCGGGGAAGAAGGCAATCTGTGAGTTGTCTGGCACTCCACTTTCGGTTCCTGAAACCTGGACACGAGCACAATTGGCATAGAATTGAGCACCGGACGTCATGTCCTTGCCGTATGGTCTGCTAGCCTCCGAGAGCCCAATGAGCTCGCCTCTCAGAAGGTACTCTCCGGGCTTTATTTTTCGGGAATCTTGACCTGGAGCTTACCGCCGTTAGAGATGAGCTTTTCAACGCACCATTTCTGGTTGTAACCGTCCTCAAAGATTTTGAACCAAGAGTACGACGAGATGCCAGGGTTAATGCGAGCCATGTACACAATGCAGGGGCCGACATGCTGTCTTTGGATTACAGTTCCTTCGTTTTCTTCGCCCTGACGCCACTGCATGGTGATGGTTGAGCCAGCCTTGACAGGGCAGCTTTCAACGTCGCTGAGGTCCATCGTGCTGGACCTGCACTGCAGGTCAGCCGATCTGAGATCTTTGGTAGGGAAGGAAAAGTTGGTCTTGTATGGAATAATACATTTCCCGCGGGTTTTGACGTCGCCATCAATAATGAGATTGCGCATGTGGGTGTGGGCGAGCACTGTCAAAGCACCGCCGGCGCATAGAAGAAGGGGAACAACTGAAAAACGCATTGTCAAATTGAGTAAAATAAAAGAGTAATACTGTTCGGGTATTGCTGGTTTAAGTGTTGGTGAATGCTAGAAGTGCTTAAGGTTGGCGAGTTTGTAAATTAATGTAAAAGGTGGGCGAGAATAAGACATACATTATATATGCTCAGCGAGGGTGTTGCACCAGCACACAAATAATGCAAAAATGGAGTATAATATTTTAAGACCACCATGCTACAGCAATAATAAAATAGCGCACTAATAGAAAATAGCTGTCACTGGCACATGCCAATATTCCACAATGATAATTTGGCATCTTTTCTTTGTGTAGCTGGTGGACAAAGGGAGAAATAGGCCAACTAACAAGAATTCTAAACAGAATTTATAAAATAATTCAAATATACCGGAAGCAATGTGCTGCCTACATGTCAACAGGTGACCAAAAATAGTATTAAAAGTAAATGTCTTTTTTGCAGACATGTCCCATCAATCAATAAGAGAAGCATGCATGTCCATGTGTCTGATCAGATGCTCGATTGTTGGACTTTGTAAAATGAATTATTTATGAAAAAGCTTTGTCGGTGATATCGGCAGGGAGTATTTGGGATTCCTAAAAGCAGTCTTGTCCAAGCACTACACCCATTAATTTTTGCCACGTTTTAACAACTGTTGTCTCAAAAGTGAATGAGTGGGTTGCCAGTGGCCACTATGGCAATCGCCATAAATAGTGACTAATACATATTTATTAAAACAAATGCTGAGGACACCTCCTATTGGGCCTCCCCTAAAGCCATTTTTAAGCAGCTATAATGTCTAAATGCTATTTTGGCCGCTACTGCATTAATTCATGTTTGTCATTGTCTTAACTCGCGAGCTCACAGCTCAACTGAGCTCATGTGGTGAGAATGACCACACCCACAAAGTCGCTGGATGTCCCGACAACAGCAGCATGCATACCAGGGTAGTTCACCTCAGCCAGATAAAATATATCATTATGCGCTGATATACTGCGGCTAGTACCTATGCAATCAAAAAACATATGGATTACTTAATTCTGTTATTCATAAAAAATAAATTTTATGTCACAGTTGAGGCACATGATGTCGCGTAAACAAATATTTTGCCCTAAGATTAATGGATTATGCGTGTGGCATTCGGAGCAACGATGAGAAGGTTTTATTATGTTTTATTTATATATAAAGGAAAACATAAAAATGGTGGCTGTCGGGCAGCCAGGAATCCTTTTTCATTGGAAGAAATAAATATTCTTTTTGATTATATTGTTATAATAAGAGGGGGTGTGAGGAGCACTAGTTGCCTAGTGTTAAAAAGTAGGGGTGATTTTATAAAAGGTTTTATTACTAATGTTTCTAAAGTGCTGCTAGGGCCAGCCTCATCTTATATATGTGCCTTGTCGCCTTTGTTATGCACATTGTCAATTGTGCACTCCGTTGGTGAGAACTGGGTCTTCTGCAAGCAGACCGGTATCTTGGCAAGTCAATGTTGTGGTTTTCGTGCGTGTGCGCTCATGTGTGTGCATTTCAAAATGGGAAGCATGTTTGGGCATCAATGTAATACCTCCCTAATTTGCGCCTGCATGATCCAATTAGCGTCCTATCAATTGGCACGCAGGTGGAAACCTGCTTCGCGATTCTCGACCTCAACATCCACTTCCATATCTTCAGTCTGTGCAACAGTATCTATTTGTAACATGTTTTCTACAATTGCACATGGTCAAATATATTAACAATACATGCTGCAGAGATTATTCAAATGTTAAATTTAGTTTTATATATGTACACCTGTGACCACACAGAACGTTACAGCACTGCCTGACATTGCTGACTGTTGTTTAATCTAGCAACACAGCCAACACTTGTTAGTAATTATAGTTCTTGTCTGGTATGTTGGATGAACAATATGTGATTAGTTTTGCGCTTAATAACATTTTATCATTCAAAGTAAAAATATGCATATGCAACTTATTTACATTATGATACAAGGAATTGTGGCTTGCCTCTGGCAATTGATTAATGAATCAATCGCTAGTCAATTCCCTACTTGGATATGCGGGAATTTATACGCACGCATAAATACTAGTGAATATGAACAGTAGAGGCTGTTCATCCCTTAGCTTTCTTTTAGTTTATTTTGTTCAAATATATATTTTTAAAATGACAATAAGCATGTGCAAAATGTGAACTAGGATTGTCCGAGTAAATTTTTTGTTGAAAGCCCGTTGTGAATTTTTCCAAAACATTGTAAACAATGCGACTAAACTGGCAAGGGTGGTTAAGAATGCCAAGCTCAAAATGACATTTGTCTTTTAAAAATAGAAACTACCATGCATCTATTAAAATAGTATTTTAACATGTAAATTTTGAACACATTAAGCCTGTTTTAAATGAATTATTTGCAGCGCCATTGTTGAACTAATATTTTAAACCGAGCAGTTCTGCAAACTTGCAATTATATTTTATTAGCTGGTCGCGATCAACTGATTAGCCAGCCTTGGTTGTTTAGCCAGACAAACACTCAATTGATAGTCATACAGGGACACACATCACATAAATGTACTGTCGCACTCCATCAATGTATAGCGCTTTTACAATACATAATTATATATACATAGTGTTTATCTCTTCACCTTCACTGAACATTCATAGAACTCCCAGATTCCAACAAAAAAGAAAAGCTGAAATTAATGAATAAAATCGATTGTCTACTGCCCCACCGTACCCATCTTGAACCCTATTTCAGAACCTGGCTACATGCCTCTGGTTACTCAGAGCTGTGTCTAATTTTCTGGTGGTGGAAGTGTCTGCTGAGCCGTTAGTAAAATTAAACCCAAGCACTCAATCTGCCAACTAAAGCATCAATCGTGGCCATATAGCTAGTGTGCATATATCCTGCCCTCATTGCTATCGTCTGCAGCCACTTTGGCAAGCCATCATCATCTTCTTGTCATAGAGTTAGTATTCAGGATGTTTGTCGAGATTGGAGTTCTTATCAACAATCGGCATTTATTAGGCGTCAAGGATACCCTCATTTCCCGCTCGACATGCAAGCTCACACTGTCTCTTGTACTAGCCCTGCTGATTATGTACAATCATTTACAAACACCATTGCTTGTTTTTGCTTGATTCCCTTGAATTTTCTTGACCAGTGTTGTGTACCTATACTCTGTGGTGCCCAACACACATTTCAAGCCACTATCTTCCCTTTTCAAGAATCAAGATCGCCATCATGGCCACTATACACATTTCTGTTATTGCTGGCTGACATCAAGGAATACCATGATGTTTACAGCGCTGCCCACACAGCGCTGCCCCTTTTTCAGTTAAGTAAGTAATTTTTAAGACTTGAATATATCGATTTAGACCCACATTTTTATAGAGCACGACATACTCTGTCAGCTCTTGCCAACTACGACTCATACCCAGGTCCAGCTTCTTGTCCTGGTAATGGGGGTCCACATGTATCTTGAGTTTCTCCAATGTGCCATCTATTGGTGCCGGATGCACCTGGAGTCTGTTGATTGTTTCAGCCAAGTGATCTTGCAGCTGGGTCTTAAAGATCCAAGTCAAAGTTCTCTCGCATTCATAATTTTATGCTTCTGTTGTGGACACATGAAGTATGTGGCTCTGTGTCTCAATTGGCCTGACAGCCAGGCAATGGTGCATAAACGCATCTCTGGTTCAGTGTACGCGTCAGGGAAGCATGTATTTTTACAGCAGTGAATGGCAGGGCCACCATGCTCCCAAAAGAAACAATATAAGCTCAAAATCAATGCGCAAGGAAATAGAACAATGCCGATTGGAAATTAATCTGTAAATATAATTATTTCTTGTTTCCATATTTCAGCCAACCAAATGCAAGCATGAAAAGCTCAAAGTTTTTTGTTTATATTAAATTTTTTGTTTTTTGTTTTTGGTGCAATCTATCGCAACAAACTTTCACCTTTGCAACTTTCCACCTTTGCTTCTACTTTTAATATTTGCTTTTTTTTTCTCAATTCGCATCATTTCGTCCAATTTGTTTTTTCTTCACTTTTTATTACTTTTACCATACCTCAGTGCTTATCACACACACACAACACACACACACACACACACACACACACACACACACTCTCTCTCTCTCTCTCAATGATGTCTGAGATAGCTCCTCCGAATAAGACTCCACCGAATCTAATAGGCGTAAGTACTTGAATATAAACGGATCGTTATGATATTGATGAATTGTTTGTTGTTTATTTTGCGTGCATATAAACTAATTCGGCCATTATTTCAAACATTTTGTTTTATTTTTTATTAGAAGAGCAAGACAGACGGCACTTTCCAAACGCCCCAAAATCTCAAAAACATACGAGCTGCCGCCGGGGAATGGGAGCCCGAAGAAGTACGCGATAAGCGCCGTCAGCGGCTGCTGAAATGCCTTGGCGATAACATTAATAAAGTCGATCTGTTCATAAGTTTGTCAAATCGCTGGGTGTGAAGGAGCAGTATAATCGGTTCATCAAGGATTGGCCTGATCTTTCCTCAGCATAGCCAGGAGGTCGCCAGTGGCTGATGGCAAATCTATCGTAGCCAATACACCTTCGCGATTGACGATTTCCCGTTGCTGGCGTTTTCGAAAAAGCACTCGGGGAAATTGATGGGTTGACCAAGGAAGCTCGTTTGGTCAAGTATTTTATCTTCCTCTTCAACGAGATGGTCGATGTGGTTCATGACGCAAATAAAGATATTCCAGCAGATGGAACTCTAATCCCAGACTGCAAGCTTAAGCTGAAGGACCACAGACCAGGGTTATACCAAAGACTCCACACAAGCCAGACATCGCATTTTACTACAGAAACTACGCAGAGGAGAACGTTCATTCCATCCATGCTATACTAGAGGCTAAGATGGACCAGATCTCGGTGGACCCATAGAGGATACTCGCGGCCAGCTCGCAGACTACGGCCATTTGCTCAATGATAAGCAGGCAACCCGCACGTTTGCGCCTGTCTTCTACCTCCATGGGCATCTCCTGACGCTTCACGCATATTATCGTGCGGGCTGTATATTATCGAGCTTGGCCAGCTATGTTTTGATACGATTTTGGACGTCTAACGGAGCTGAGAAATCCAGACATGCCTCATGCGGTTCTGGTTCCTGCTGATATTGAGTCGACCATTTTTGGACATTTCTGCGATGTCTCGAAGAAACCTAGCTCTTTCATTTTTTGCGCAAGGGCAAAGCCGATACAATGACAATGACAAGGCAAGGTAAGGCAAGGGCAGTTTGAAGATCGAAGTCTTATACTCAGTTCCATGGGTGACGAGGATGACGAGGATGCATGGATGACGAGAATGTCATGGATGGTGAGGATGTCAAGGATCAAGGACGTCAGGATGGCACTGTTTTGTTTGTATCAAGGGGACAATAGCGCATTATTCATACATGATTGGGCGCCATGTCCATTTATTCAAGGGGACTGCAAAGGTCGTGATGCTGTGCTGAAGCTTTCCTGGACCCCAGTCAATCGTTTGCCCGAGGGCGCCGCATACACCATCCTCAACAAGAGACCAGTCGAAGTATTCCTGAGATCTTTTCGAAGGGCCTGCTCATCAGCAACCTCAATGGATACCGGCTGGAGTTCGTGCTCATGGAGTACTGCGGCCAGTCAATGGCCGAGTATCTGAAAGTCAAGACTGACAATCAGAAGGCTGAGCTGGTTCCTGGCTTTGTCAAGCAGCTGACCCTGTGCCTTGCCCAGGCAAATGACACTGGTGTCCTGCACAGGGACATCTCAGCAGGGAATGTGTGCATCAAAAACGACAAGGTGTATGTCATTGACTGGGGCTGTGCCAAGGTCATTGGCTGGGGCACTGCTGAGGATGCTGCCAGGGACACTGACCCAACCCAACTCAAGCACATTGATGTTGCCAAGCAGTGGGGGTTCAATGCAAAACAGTGGGACAAGTGGAGGTGGCCAAGGACCCATTTACAGGGACGCCGTTTTCATGGGAATTCCCATGCTCAGCAGCAGCCCCATCCGGGGAATCCTTGACGACATGGAGAGTGTTTTCTATGTCGTTATGGATGCAGTGCGCTCAGCTGATACTAAGAGAGATGACGTTCAGGGCTTCAAATTTCTGGACAGTCAAAGCCTGGCTTTGAGTCGGTACAGCATCATGATGGTTGAGGAAAAGTATCTGGAGTTGTTTGGGATAGGAAATCCAAGCAAGATATTCAGGGATCTATTCCACTCAATGCGCCGGTTCTTATTTGAACCGGGAAATCAGTACATTAGCCACCAGCTCTGGTGGGACAGTACATTTAAACGACAGGCTAACTGGGATGCTGCTCCCAGATTTATGCATCCCCAGGCAATTGAGCTCCTCAAAGAGGATAATGGCCAGCTTAAGCGACCAGCTGAGGACGAGATCAATGCTGGGTCATTCAAGAAGCTAGCACTTTAGGTTTTTTTGTTTTTAATAAATCTTTTACGACCCAAAAATCAACTGCAAAAATTAAAATTTTATTAAACTTGAAGAAAATATGAGTAAAATATAAATATTTAACTCTTGTCTGTACCTCTTGTTTACAGATTCACCGATCCACCGATCACTTTAACTGTAAACAACAAATACTTTTAAACTCGCACATTGACCAATTTTACTGAAGGTTGATTGCATCCATAATTTTCGATTTCTGTATTTTGCCAAATGATTTCAATTTAACGTTATTCTTTCTTATTTCTTAATTTACTTTATCATTTTTCTTTCCTTTCCAATTCACAGTTCGCATTTTACAATTTAGTATTTTTTACAGACTTTCAATATTCTTTTGCTAGCATAGATGATAGCCGGTATTACCTCGCAATTAGCGTCGGAACAGCACTCGGCACATACCGGGTACTTTTGCATCTGCTGGACCAATTGCAGTACGGGTTAGATTTATGCTACGCACACCGACAAAAGAAGAAATGGCAACACACCTGCTATGCTGGGACTAATCCTGACGGGAGTGCAGACAGTGAGGCGGCGTTGGACATTCAGATGCCCGAAATGGTTAATTCCTTGGCACAATTGGCGCTGAAGTCGCACAACTTTAAGCTGCAGGATATTGCGTCTGAGCTGGTGCTCGATACGGCTATACAGTGAGAGATGCTGCAGCTGATAGTCGCACAGGCTCTGGGTAGTTCAGCAGTAGAGGGGGCCGGTTGAGGATAGTTGTATTTCTGTAAGTGCCGGTGATGACGCCGCAACGGGTCGGCAGGGTGGTTTGGATCGGTAGCGTTGAGGTGCTGGTGGATGCTATGCGCGCGCCCAGGGAAAAGGAGGCAGCAACGCGGGCAGTCGCTGGAGCTGGGCGCTGTTGATGTCATCCCCGCGTGTGTCTGCAAGGATGACCAGGTTCAAATGGGTGTTACAGTTCAGGAGCTATTGGGGCAAACATTTTAATAAGCATTCGCATAATTTGTGCATTACACACCTCGGCTCTTGTTAGAAAAATAGTTTTATGACACTCGCATCTACTCCCTCCTCTTGGCTTAGAATGAATGGACATATTTACAGCCATTTATTTATTTATTTCTAATATGTATTCTTTACTTCATTGGTTTTATTTATTCTGTTCTATTTTGTTCTGCCCAACTTGGCTTTTATTGAAACAACCTTTTTAGCCTTTACACACAATGTTGCACAGCCAAATAACATGGATGTGAATGTTGGGATTGAGATTCAAGTGACTGCTTTTATTTTGCATGCCAACTGATAGAAGGCAAAGAAGATTATAGAGTATTAGATCAGGGATTCAATAATATTATCCAAATATGATCGCCCTTTTATAACATGCACGCATCACAAAGATTGCAACACCAAAACACTCAATATTTGAGCTGCTTGCAGAAAAGTCAGTACTCGGCATTAGTGATTATAACGGCTAGTGTGTAAACAGGGCAGGGTCGAGGATGGCACACACACACATATGCGTGTGCCAAACCCGACCTTAATTATACTTTTGATTTCTTTTGTAATAATGCTATGTAAGAGGGGGTGTGAAAAGCACTAGTTGTCTAGTGTTAGAAAAGTAGGGGTGATTTTACAAAGAGTTTTATTACTAACTTTTATAAAATGTTGCTAGCGCCCGCCTTGTCCTGTATATGTGCCTTGTCGCCTTGTTGTGCACATTGCCAATTGTGCACTCCGTTGAAAAAACTAATTTTTCTGCAAGAAGACCGGTATTTTGGCAAGTCAGTGTTGTGGTTTTCGTGTATGTGCACTCACGCGTGTGCATTGCAAAATGGGGAGCATGTCTAGACATCATTATTATGCCTCCCTAATTTACACCTGCATGATCCAATTAGTACTCTATCAACCGGCATGCAGATGGAACCTTGTTTCACGATCCTCAACCTCGACATCTACTTCCATGTCTTCAGGCTGCGCAGCATTACATTAACATTGCTATTTTTGAGCTGCATTAGATGTGGTTTTGCAGAGCAGGCTGTATAAATGGGGCCATAGATTATCTACACAGTAATATGCCCATCTCGATCCTAACGAATAACTCCTAATTGAATGTATCATTAGCTGTACACTCTCCAATATCTCCTGTTTTTCTTAACAAAAAGCTGAAGCATTTTTTTGCTGCGATAGCTTTTTGCTGCAATGGTCTCCAATACCAATCGCAATCCCAAGCGAATGTCAATACAGCCACATTGTTTGTATGCTTGCTGTCATTTATTTTATATTTATTTTTACCAACGCTCTCTTATCAACTAAACAGCAAATTAAGCACAACGCAGATTAAGCTGGACAAGTGCCCAATAGTTGTACATGTGTTTCTGTTTGATGGCTGTTGCACATGATCAGCCAAAACACAGACTAAATCAGCGGCTGCAAAAGTGCATGCAAACTAAAATTATGCAATTTATTATTCTAATATTATCTGATTTTTTCGAGCGATATTTACAAAATTCATTCTCTTGGCTTTTTCAGTCTAATTTTTGTAATTGTACTTTTCAATGGAAATTTGGGTGTGGTATGTACAGTGGTTTTATTTTCTGCCATGATGAACGGAAAAGACAAAAATTAGCACAGTTAAAAGTAGTGCCATTTAAAAATCATCACCAGCAAATGATAGCTGTTTGGAGCTCATAGAGCTTCAGTGCAAAATGTCGTTGGACGCTCGGAGATATTTGCAACTGGTTGTCATGTCTTTGGGTTTGGTACATGCGCTACTCTTTCTAGCCATGCCATGTTGTGATTTTATGAGGAGCCCATCCAGACGCTGGCAATCGGAGAAGGTATATGGGTAAACCCTGCCCTTCTCCTATTCCGCTGCCTCTGATTTCAGGTCTTAGGCATGTCACCAGCCGGATACCTATTGAACAAATGTTCTGTGGGCCCCTGTAATGCGATTTGGACTAGCTATAATATATATTAATAGAAATGAGACTATGGAAAGAGCTGAAGAGCTCACTATTCAGAATTTGCCATATGCATAAAATATCATAAACATATTTTACGCATCTGTGCTGTCACATGACTCGGCCCCCATTTCTGATGTCACATTCACCCCTACTTAAGATCAGACTCCGTCGGTCTTGGCAATAGTGCATGTGGTTAAATATCATTCATATGCTTCTGTCTCATCCATGCTACTCTTGTCCTCCCATGTTCGTCCTTCTATTCCATATCCTTCCCACTGCACCAGGTATTGGTGTTTTCGCCTCCACACACGGTCGTCAACAATCTTTTCGACATGATACTCGAGGTGTCCTGCAACTTCTACAGGTGGTGGTTCAGAGCAGAGTGCAGCACAGTGATCGTCGGCAGCATGGTATTTTTTTAGATGTGACCATGAAATGACCGGGTGAATGCACATGTCGAGTGGGAGTTTGAGGTGGAATGCATTTTGGCCAATCTGTTCTTCGACCTTGTAGGGCCCAGCCCATTTATGTTGCAGTGAGTTGCTGGACCGGTTACGCAGGTAAGATGGCATTGTAAAGTTCGTCGAGATCATTACTTCATCGCCTGGCACAATGTCGGGTGAGGTTATCTTCTTGTCATGGTTTCTGATCATGCGTAGCTGTGCGAATTCGATGTTTTCCTTGACTATTTCGCTAATCTGTTTAATCTTCAGGATTGTATCGTCGGCGTCGGTATTGGGCTCAGCAGTTTCCATGTTGAAGGCGATGGTGGCGGCGTTCAATGGTTGGAAGCTATAATTTGCATAGAATGGGCTGTGCTGTGTCGAGCTGTTGCTGCGACTATTATAGGCGAACTCTGCATGCACTATGTGTTGGTTCCAGTCGTTTTGGTAATTGTTGCACGTCGCACGCAGCATTGACTCCAGTATCTGGTTCACACGCTCAGTCTGTCCATCAGTTTGTGCATGGCCGGCAGTGGACATGTTGAGTTGCATTCCAGTTTGCTTCCACAGTGCCATCCAGAATGCAGAGTGGAATTTCGGATCACAGTCTGATATTATGGACTCGGGCAGGCCATGTTGGTGGTAGATGGTCTTGAAATACAGGTCGGCAGTTGTCTGGGCAGTTGCGGCATTGTGTGTTGGTACAAAGTGTGCCATCTTGGACAGGCGGTCAACGACGACCATGATTGCATCATATCCATCCTTTGTCTTAGGTAGGCTGACAATGAAGTCCATGCTCACACTTGACCAGTTGCGTCGCGGGATCTGTAGCAGCTGTAGCGGTCCATCGCTTGGCCTGTTGCTGCCTTTGACTCTTTGGCACAGGTCACACGTTGTGACATAATTCTCGCAATCCACATACATGCCTGGCCAATAGAATAGTTCACTCAGCTTGTCGTATGTTGCTTTTATACCCGGGTGTATTGCAGCATCATGGAACTCGGCCAGCAGTAGTGATCTGTCTTGCTTTGTTCCGACGCAGCGGCGTCCTTTCTTGAACAGGACACCACCTGTGCATGGAATTTGTTTGTAATGTCGCGCTCGGCTCTGGATGTTGGTTCTTCGCCACTACTAATCCTCTCCATAATTTTCTCCAACTTGCTGTCGCCCTTGTAGGAGTTCTCAGGGTTCGCGCTCGTCTTCAGCGTTAGCGCTTTGACAGCAGCCATGCGGACTGCTATCCTCCCCCCTTTTCCTGAAGAGCCGAACCCGTTGGCTCCACCGGCTGTCTCCTCAAAGGACTTGACCTCAGTGATGTGTGAGTGTGCGATCTTGGTTGGAATCAACTGTGCTATGCGGTCATGTGCAGCGAACGGAATCTCTATATTGCCTGTGTTGAACAGGAGTACTGAAATCTCACCGCAGTAGCCCCCGTCGACTATTCCTCCGAGCACCACAACACCCTTGGCAGCCAGGCTACTGTGTGGGGCAATGCGCAGGTATGTGCCTATTGGCGCCTTGGCGGCGATGCCTAATGGGACAAGGTGTTGGGCCTTGGGCTTGAGCACAAACTTGGTTATACAGTATACATCAAATCCAGCGTCATCTGGATATGCCTTGCAAGGCATCGTCG